TAGAGAATACTAGCACTAGTAGCAGCTTTAGCTTCTTTATAGGCCTCTAGTTAAATATGCTATTATTATAGTTTAAAAATTCTTTAAATACTTAGTTAGATAAGTATAGCTTAGATGCGTTAAGTCTAGCTAAGTTCTTCTTAGAAGATATGCTTATATTACTGCCTATTTATTAAAGTAGAAGATATAGCTAGTCTTAGATTATCTATTAAAGAGCAGCGCATATTCTTATAATTCTTAAGATTAGTATTTACGTAAAGATAGATTTTCTAATTCTTAAAGTTCTTATTAGAAAGCTTTACCTTATTTCTAGAACTAGCTATAGTATGCTAGTATAGAGAGAAAGTAAGTAAAAGAAAGTAAGAAGTATATAAAAGAGTTAGATAGTTAAGTTTCTAGCTAGTAGTAGTAGTTATAGTAGTAAGATAGCTATTCTAAATAGTAAAAGAGATAACTCTAATATAGAGAGAAGTAAGAGGCTAGCGCTACGCTAGTAAGATAACATAATCTTAAGAGTAAAAGGCTAAGAAAAATTTTTCTAGCGCTTTAGGCTATAGAGGTAACAGCTAGTATATAATAGCAGATAGCAGAGTAGCTATATATGCGCTGATTTTTTAGCAGCTTCTTAGACTAAGAACTTCTAAAGTCTAGATATATAGTAGGCCTTAATAGGCTAGCAATAGTATGCTTCTTAGAGCTTTAGGTTTATAGCAGGCCTTAGTAGGCTAGCGATAATAAACTTCTAAAGTTTAGATATATAGTAGGCCTTAGTAGGCTAGCGATAATAAGCTTCTAGAGCTTTAGGTATAAACTTCTAGAGTTTACTGCATATAGCAAGCGTAGATAGATAAGTAATAGCTTTAAGAAGTAAGTTCTTTCTAAAGAGATAAGCATTAAGCTATACTCTATATAGTAGAGTAGAGACTAGATTCTAATAGTAAAAGAAGATAAAAAGAGCTGCTAGACTTAATAAAGAGCTAATAACTTAAGGTTCTATATAATAACTAAGCGTAAGTAAGAAACTACTTACGTTAATTAAGGCTATAAAGCCTATAAAGAGTAATTTTTACTTTAGTCTACTATTATATAAGATAGACTATAAGTATAGAAGGCTTAAGTTAATAAGAAGTACTTATATTTAACTAAAGGTAGAATAGTAAATAAAGAGTCTACTAAGAGAAGAGAGTAGCTAGCTATATATACTGCAAGGCATGCAGGCGCTAGGCTAGCGTATACGCTAGCCTAGAGTAGACTAGCTAAAGTAAAAGAAAAGAGAAGAGAAAGCTAGAGTAAGTAAGGTATACTAGAGCGTAGATAGTAAGTTAGAGAGTAAGTAGTAAGTTAAGCAGAGATGCTTTACTTACATACAAATCTCTCTAGTATCTCTTATAGCTCTTCTATTAAGCTCTAGTTAAAAGTAGTAATATAATATATTATATAAGTAATATTTTACTTTAAATATATAGTCTTAAATTAATTCTTAATTAATTTAAAAAAAGTTCTTCTTATATAATGCTCTTAGCAATTATATATATATATATTATTCTTTTTTCTCTCTAGCAGTTATACTTAGTAGGCTAATATCTATAAAGTAAATAATAAAAGAACTTATATTTATTTAAGCTAAAATAGAATGCTATTACTCTCTAAAAAGAGAAGCTAATTAAGAGCAAACTCTCTATATTATAGAATTAGTTATAAATAAATTCTTAATTTATTCTTCTTTTAGTTTAGTATAATAGAGTATGCTAGTATATAGAATATAGCTAAAAGCTATTAAGCTAGAGATATTAGTCTCTATAGATAAGGCTAATTATTAGATAGAAAAAGAGTAAGATAAAGAGAGTATAGTATCTACTAATAATTAGTTACTAATTAATTCTAAACTACTCTTACTACTACTATAGCAGATACTTATCTATAAAGAGATAAATAAAGAAAAGTAGTAGAAGAGAGAGTAAATTAATATATATAAGTCTTACTAAGCTCTTATTATATATAGCTATTATAGTTTTTATTAGAATTATAGAAAGAAGTAAATAAAGAGATATTTACTTAAGAGGCTATATTTAAATAAGCAGCTTTTTATATTAGGCAATTTATAGTTATATAAGAATCTACTTTAATTACTCTATATAATGCCTAAAGGCTTAAATATATTAGAAATTAATTGCTAATTAATTCTACTAATAGCAGTAAACTTAGAAGTTGCTAAAGTAAAAGAAGTAAGTAGAGAATAAGCCTAAGCTAGAGAAACTATAGAGAAATATCTAGTCTAACTCTAAATTATATAAGGACTTAGATAAGAGCTCTAGCTAGTTATAAATTAGCATAAATTAATTATTAATTAATTATAAATTAATTTAATATACTAAGCTACTGCTAATCTTAGAGCTAGAAGATTTAATACTCTTAGCATTAAAGCTTAGTATAGAAAGAGAGAGAAAGCTATAGCTAGCAACCTAATCTTTCTTAGGCTCTTTATTATCTTAGTTATATATTAGTAAAAATAAATTATAAATAAATTCTAAATTTATTTAACTTATAGAGTTAGAGTCTAATAAAGAAGAAGAAGAGAAGGCATTGCTAAGCTACTTCTTACTACTAATAAGATTATTATCTTAGTTATATATTAGCAAGAATAAATTCTAAATAAATTCTAAATTTATTTAACCTATAGAGTTAGAGTCTAATAAAGAAGAAGAGAGAAGGCTATTACTAAGCTGCTTATTATTCTTATTACTATTAAGATTATTATCTTAGTTATATATTAGTAAGAATAAATTATAAATTAATTTTAAATTTATTCTACTTATACTACTAAAATTAAAGAAGAGGTTCTTATTATTATCTCTAAGGCTACTATCTCTAAGACTACTATTATTCTAGTTACTCTTATTCTTATCTTAGCTATATATTAGTATAAATAAATTATAAATAAATTATAAATTAATTCTACTTATAGAGCTTAATAATAAGTCTAATAAAGAAGAGTTAGACTTATTAGCTAGCGCGTTATCCTTAGCAGCTAGCTCTATCTAGAGGTCTCTATTCTTATAGACCTAGTATAGGCTAAGCTTAAAGTAGTTATACTCTATAATAAATTAGCAATTAATTTTTAATTAATTCTTAATTAATTTAGCTATAAGCATACTTACTATTAAGCTTCTCTTTCTTACTAATCTTAGTATTAGCTATATAGCTCTTATAGAAAGATACTTTTCTAGAAATTATTATATAAGCTATATATATACGCATTAAGTCTAGCTATATCTTTATTAGAATTAATTAGAAATTAATTAGTAATTAATTTAACTTACTGCGCTATTAGGCAGTAGTACTATATACTATAGTAGAAGCTAGAAGACTATAGCCTAAGCTACTATAATATTAGCTTATATAGTAAGTAGTAGCATAATAGTAAGATTATATATATTTATAATATTACCTTAGAATACTAAATTAATTAGTAATTAATTATAAATTAATTTACTTACGTTACCTTTCTTCTAGATTATAAGCTAGAAGATAAGTAAGCTAACTTTACTAGCTATCTCTACTCTTAGACTATAGTCTTAAAAGAGATAGTTCTTTAGATTTTCTAGCTTACTATAAGAACTGCTCTATTACTTTATTAGAATTAATTAGTAATTAATTAATAATTAATTTATATACTATATAGCGCTCTTAGTACTAAGAGAACTCTATATTTAACTTTACTTATATACAGAATAAGCTTACTAGCTAAATTCTACGTAAAGAAGCCTATACTTATAAAGAGTACTCTTAGGCGTTAGTATCTCTTATATAGCTTCTAGAATAAATTATTAATAAATTACTAATAAATTTATATAGTAGCACTTATATATCTATCTAAAACTATAGTAATATTATTAGCAGCTATTATAAAAAGTATACTGCTTAGTATATAAAATTTAAGAGCAGTATAGTATATATTATAATTATAGTTATAATATAGTAGAATTAATTAGTAATTAATTAATAATTAATTATAGCAGTTTTTATAGAAACTTGCTTAGCTACTAGTAGCTAATATTATGCTGCGCATAGACTCTTAGCATACTACTCTTAGCACGCGCATAGTCAGATAACTTGCTTCCTGCCACCCGGAGTAAATTTCCGCTGTGATGTCACAAGCAAATACAAAACAAACAGTGGACCGTGCTCCCTCCCAGAGTCCTCTGCGCGTCTGCAATCTGAAATCTCAAATCTGAAATCTGCACTCTGCGGCTTGTTGGTATTATCTACGCAGGTCGCAACGTGCGTCTGATCATGGCTACCTCGCGCTGCGTCTCGTTGTGTCCTCGCAGGCCTGGCAAAGCGGTTGAACAAGCATCATTGCATCACCACAGATGCTTTCCGCGGAGGCTACGCCGTCAACATTTAAATACCGGAAGGTCTGGTCTGCAAGTTCACGCAATTCACGCAGTTCACGCAGTTCACGCAGTTCCCCCTTCCTCGGTCTCTCCCGTCCTGCGCTGGCCAGGCCCGAGACCTTCCCCGCTGCGGCCCAGGCACAGACTGCCTTTCCATCGAGAAATGCTGTTCGCATCAGCCTTTCCTAGACGCACTTGTTGCGCGCCTGCAAGCAACCATTCTGCCCATGCCTTGCTCGCGTCATAAAGCTGGCTGAACCCCACAACAGCTGTCTTGTCTATGGTGGATATAAGTGCCGCACCCACTCACAGACACGCTCGTAATAGCATCGGTCAGAACATCTTATAAGATGCGTTTTCGGGTGCAGGCTAATCGCCATCGACGCTTGGCTCGCCCTCCCTGCCTGTTTGTTTTCTGCTGTGTTTTTTCTGCCACATGTGCATACGCACTACTCTAGGGCTAGGATACCAGAGCTACCTGTAGCTGGCAATGGTCCTCCCTCCGCGCTGCATCCTGCTCTACCCCGTCTCACTCTCGCCGCTACAACAATCCCCACGAGTGCCAATCACTTCCTGTCTCGCGACCGACAAGCCACCTCCTACATGTCGCTTCCCAATGCGCCAGCTCAGCCCGGCCCGTCCAAGGTCGCCATTCCAAAGCTCGTTCAAACGAGAACTGACGCGCCTCGAAAAGCTGTTGTCAGCCGTCTGAACAGAGTCAATCGAGCCTGTCTGAGTTGCCGCTCCCGCAAAATCAAGTGCAATGGCGCAAAACCCACCTGCTTCAACTGCAAGGAGAGTGTCACGTCCTGTGTCTACGCTTCCAGCCGGAAAGACCGTCTCAAAACGTTGGTCATGGCCGCTCTGTAGGGCGCGTCCCGAGTTAATAATCGCAGCGCAACGGGCCAAAATCAGGACATGATTGAGCTCCTCAAGGAGCTTCGAGAGCAAGTCTCGGGCCAGGGTCAGGACAAGATAGACGAACTACTTCTATCTGTGCGTTCTGCAGTTGCACTTACAGCTACATGCAGCGTAATGACATTGAACAGGTTGTCGAAGACGTTGCTGACGCATCCGCGAGCCTGCAAAAGAACTCCAATAGACACGATGACACAGAAGGTGATCAGGACGATGATCAGGAACCAGCCGCCAACACTCGCGCCGATACTGGAAACTCTGCAGACCAAGATTTACCAGACGGAGACGCGCACGCTACACGACGCGCCAGCAGACCGTTCGAAACGGCATGGAATCACATGCTACGGTCACATCCATCAAGCGAGTCCCAACTCTCCAGCGAGCAGGCTGGCGCATGGTCATCGTCTAGTCTTAAATATCGGCCGATGACACCAACATCAGCTCCTATGCAGACCAACAAGCTGAGCTTCTTCCTGGACGATGAGCCATTTGAGATGGACCACGATCTAGACCCATTTGAGCTACCCCCCTTGCAAGATGCAGAGCGTTTACTCGTAACATACATGGACAGCTGCCACGAATCCTTTCCATTCCTGGCAAAAAAGCCTTTCACCCAACAATTTTACCACTGTATGTAAGCTTAGACTGCATGCACAATGCTACAGCTTGCAAAGATCCATACTCCGTGGGCCACGAAAGTGGACGTCGTGTTGCTCTTTTGCTAACAGCTGACTGGCGATAGACTATGCCGCTTTGAAACGTGGAAATCCCTACAATCTCTCGCAGACATGGCAAACACAATTGAACCTAGTCTTCGCCATCGGGGCCGTACGATCCCACCTGACATCGACTCAGAGGCGTGGGGATGAACGCGACCACTCAATCTACCACGCGCGGGCTCTAGCACTGATTCTGAAAGACCCCTGGTGTTTTTCACGCATGGATCTCCCTCAGATGCAGATTACAGGTATGCTCGCATCACGGCTTGTTGAACTTGGAGTCTGATTCTTCTTAGGATTATTGGCTTTCTACCATCTCAGCGTCGGTCATATAAACAAGTGAGTGGCATTTATTCGAAGCCAGTGATTTGAGTACAACCAACACATGACAGATCTTGGATCCTTTCAGGTATGGCACTACGGTTTGGCTATGCACTTGGCCTGCATACCTGCAATCAAAGTAGCACGTTGGGTCCTGCAAAAAAGGAGATGCTTTCTCGAATTTGGTGGGCACATTATACACTCGAGCGATTATTGGCTACATTAACTAGCCGGCCCAGTGTTGGAGTAGGAGGAACCTGTTCCGTACCATTACCACTACCTCTATCATCCGAAGAGATTGAAGACGCTATCATCGAATCACGCTTTGGCGACCAAACGTTCCGGTCGAATATCTTCCATGCTCAGATTGTGTCATCACCAGATGTTGCTACTCTAGGTTCGCGGCATCAATACTTTGCCGATCGTACTACTGCAAGTGTTGATGCTACGAACCCTAGCTCCTACTTGAAGAGCATGGTTCAGCTGAATGAGATTGCGCAAGATGCACTAAGCCTCTATCCTATCAGTGCAGCCGGCCAATCATGGCAAGGTATTCCAGGAATCATGCTCGAATTGACCGGCAAGCTCGAATTATGGATAGAGTCTCTGCCCGATGTCTCCAGAGGGCTCAAATTCCCAGCGGGATCGCGCCCGTACGATCATCGTGAAAGAAACATGATGGATATCGTCTATCACAGCACTGTCATACTTATAAATCGACCCTGCATGTGCCGTCTTGATCGACGCATCACCAACCAGCCAGCGAGATTGAATGAATTCAACCAGAGATCCGCCCTCACTTGCGTAGAGTCAGCAAAGGCCGTTGCCAGGCTTTTACCCGACAGCGCAGTTTTCGATGTTGCCCTCCTGTACGAATCCGGGCCATGGTGGAATATGGTCCATACCATCATGCAAAGCCTGATAGTGTTGCTACTCGAAATTTCGTACGAGGCGATACAGCTTCCGCACGACCGTCGCGAAATCATACAAGGGATGAAGAAGCTGGTACGCTGGCTGCGAGCTATGCGGTCTACAAACGGGATGGCCCGACGTGCCTATATTATCGTCATGAATCTGTTCAGAGCCCTTGTCAACACCGTCAACATGGTAAGCCTTCGCACTGGCTCCGTTCGGACTCAGTTCGGCACTGCTTATTCATCACCTTGCCCAGGCTAACTCACGTGCCCAGGACATTGAGGACTTGTTTCGAGAGGACGAACAAGCTACTCTTGCTTCAGCTGCAGAAGCTCAGGCATCCTTACTGCGAAATACAAGCGGCTCTTCTGCAGCCCCGAGGCAACCAGCGCATGTCGACAACCGACCGTTCCCAAAACCACTGTCTCGTATTCGCTATAGTAGTGGCGAGGGTTCGCCGGACCAGCTTTACCCACGCTCACCCACTTACACATCGCCGTACTCGGTGTCACGTCCCGAGACGGCCGATAGCTCTGCTCCCGCGTATTTCGATGTCTTTTCGGATCTTCAGGATACATGCGGTCCGGACATCCCGAGTTTTTTCTTCACGAATTTTGACGAGCAAAATCCATTGCCGGGCTTTGGAGGTGAAGATCATGCAATGAGTGGTGTCGAGTTTCAAGCACAGAGAGTACCTAGCGTCGTAAGCATGCTTGGCGTGGAGGCGCAACAGTAAAGCTCCATGGGATGCTGGACCGCGCAGATATTGTCAGGGAACAATGGCTTCCGTTGTCATGTCGGGGTACATTACTCGGCTATAAGGCCGGAACTTATATTCTCCGACAGTCCAGTACCTGGGGTAAACATTTAAAGTTGAAGGTTGGGCTGACACGAGTTGCCGCCATGGTCCCGGTGCTTGCACCATTCCACTATGTGACGACGCAGAGCCCCCTATTACAATAGTACTTGCTTTCCTCTTGGCATGGCGATTCTTGCTTAAAATTAGAGTCCGTCGGTGAATCAAGCGGTGATTTGCTGTATTAAGGGGGCTTACATTGATTTGCAGTGTCTCCCGGCCTGGAGCTCAGCGCACAAAATCATGGCCGTCTTAGCGACCACTCTACACGTGCGGGGAATAACTCAGGACGATAGCGTGCGAAAAAGTGTATAAACCAACGCGGCTCGTTTCGCACCTGCCTGTCGAAGCTTAGCGGCACCGAGAAAGGATCCGTATACGCGAAGCTTATGGTACCTAGCCTCATCCATGTTCGATGTCAAGTTCCGGCATGCGCAAACCTAATAAAATTATCTTGATTGAGGCACAATTTTTGCTGCGTACTTGATCAATTGTCGCCTGAGCACCCATGTAGTGAGCTCGAATGCAGCCTCGGGGCCTCATTGATCCTGGCATCACGCATCAAAGGTTCACCCGAAGTCCCAACGACGACTTCATGACTTCCTCTTTGGGCACCCCAGGAGTTGGGGTAATCTGCGCGCTACCGCCGTAGATGTTGCTTATTCGCTGTGGTATCCCAACTTGCCTTGTCGTGCAGGGGTGTTCGACAAGGTCACTGCAGCTATGATGTCTATGAATTGTCGAAGCTTGCACAACCGCACGAGCTCTATTCTTCACCCTAGTCTGCGATGGCATGCACAATGAGGCACATATATAACGACTGAGCAGATCGCCTCGCCGTGAACGTCCCCCGACGCTCGTCGTGTTGATCAACTTCTGGAGTAATCACGCTTTGTTCTCGCAACAATGCCTTGCCTTCTCAAGACCTTGACTGGTCTGTCGCTTGCCTCACTCGCTCTCTCTTCGCCTCTGCAAGCTCTCCAGAATGGTATCGGAAGCCCTTGTGCGGCGGCGAGCGCTGCTGTCGCGGCAAATGTTTCTCAGACTTCGCCACCTAGAGTACCTGCGCAATTGGCATACGATTGTCTTACATCAGTTCCATTCAACCAGTCAGCTGCTCTGGCTCTTGTAGACGGAATTCCTGCGTACTTCAGGTGGCAAAGCAATACGGCGTGGTTGAAGGACCCACCAGAGGAGTATGCAACAAAGGTTCAGCCAGGCATCGATGTTTGGGGCGGCCTTGCAGACATCAGATCGAAGGTTGTCGGTGGAAAGTATGCCAACGAATACGAGGCATGTGCTCAAAGACGTTTGTAACCACGGTCACTGACTTGACATAGTTTGCGATGGAACTTTACCTCCTGACGCAACAGACCCACGACGGCCATTTCGCCTTCATACCGGACGTGATTGGCAATGTGTTCGCCTTCGCAAGACCTGTACCACTTGTTTCGGTATCTGCAGATGGCAAGCAGCTGCCAAAGCCGTATGTGTATGCTGATGTCGTAGCTGAGTCGTTTAGCAACGCGACATACACTGCTTCTGCGGTATCAAAGATCAATGGACAGGAGGCGAAAGAATATTTGGAGAGCTGGGCACAAATTGGTGGACTACAGGATCGTGATGCTTTGTACAACAACTTGTTCTATGAGCTTGCCATCGTTTCGCTTGGCCCTGCTGGAGCTGGTGTCGGTACCTTTGCTGGAGGTAGTCGTGGACGTTGGGTCTTTCCCAATGCCACCACCGAACTCACATTTGAGAATGGCACCAGCAGGAAATACGAAAACTATGCAAGGGTGTTGGTAAACCTTACCGGTATCACAGATGGCAAAAGTCTGTACAACAAGTACTTCACTGGGCCACCGCCAGGTACCAAGCGTACCAACGGTACGACACCATCTCCGACACCATCTCCGACACCGTCTCCGACACCATCACCCCAGCCGAAGCCAATCCCAGCTCCAGGTTACCCACCTCCAGTCATACGTGACATCAGGAATCTGATTGGTGGTTACTACCTCGAGGGCGACTACTCCGACGTCGCTGTCCTCTCTGTTCCATCTTTTGTCGGCGCGGACGGCCCACAAAAGAGCTTCCAAGCTACGGCCGTCTCTTTCCTTGAATCTGCCAAAGCTGCTGGAAAGAAGAAGCTCGTGATCGACCTGTCTGCGAATGGTGGCGGAACCATTCTCCTTGCCTACGAGCTCTACAAGCTTCTCTTCCCTAACAACATTGACCACGCCGCTGATGATCGCATCCGTGCCTCTGAGAGTATCGATCTCATTGGCAAGAAACTCTCTGAAGTCGCTGGTACATTCCCAAGAATCCTTGTCAACAAAACGGACAACGAAACTCTTCGCGATCTCAACAGCAACATCGCTGCTTCAATGTTCAACTACCGCTCCGACATGACCCCCGAGGGCAAGAACTTTGAAAATTGGGCGGAAAAGTTCGGACCTCTTCAGCAGAAGGGCGACAACTTTACCAACCTCTTCCGCTGGAACTTCAGCGACGTGCTAGTCACCTTGTACAGTAACGGCATCAATATACACGGATATGGTCCGCTGAAGAACTACACCACCCAGCCTTTCGCTGCCGAAGACATTGTCGTCGTCACCGAGGGCTACTGTGCTTCTACATGCACCATCTTCTCCGAGCTCATGCGCCAGCGTGCAGGCGTCAAGTACATTGCACTCGGCGGGCGTCCGCGCGAGGGCCCTATCCAAGCCGTCGGCGGTGTAAAGGGCACCAACAGCCAGGGATGGGATTTCGTCCAAAACGTGGCGCAGGCCATGGTGACGGAGCTCAACAACACGCTCGAAGAAAGCAAAATGTACAATCGCACCGAATTGGGACAGTACTTTGACGACACAGTCTTCAACCGCGCTGCTGTCAACATCACGCCCGGCATCAATTTCCGCGACGGCATCCGCAGCAAGGACCTCGCCTCCAACACAGAGGCCACCAACGACATCCCGCTGCAATTCGTCTACGAAGAGGCAGACTGTAGGATCTTGTACACCAAGCCCATGACAACCGACGTTACGAATATCTGGAAGGCCGTTGCCGACACCGCATGGGGCGGCAAGGACCACTGCTTCGCTGGGAGCCTGGGCGGATACAAGAAGAGCTCGCTGGCGAAGCGGGAGCTGAGCGTTTCCGAACGTGTGCTGAGCAAGAAGATAAGTGCGTGGAGGAACCAGTTGAGTCCCGCGGACTACCCGCTCGAGGTGTTTACCGATTTGGGCAAGGCCAAGTTGAGCGGCGATGGTATCATGTACCCATAGTTGGGCAATGAGATGTGGCAGGCCAAATCTAGACACCACTCCTCGTACCAAAAACACATGAACTCTTTTTTCCCGACGGGATAAGAATATACGATTATTCCCAGTCTCATTTACTATGCAATCCCCCACCTCCGCAAGCATCCAGACTCCCCGTCGCCACTCCATGGTTGTCTCGTCTCGCTCTTCTCCGCAGAATCAGGCTTGAAACTTGGCACTAGCCAGACTTTGACGCCCGGTTCGCAACAGCGCGCATCAAGCGGTGGATCGACAAAGAACAAAGGAAAATGAAAAGAGTCCCAACGGCATGAATTTCCGTGGCTGTGTGTACGGCGTTCTTCCCGACCTCCTATTTGGCAGGATTGAGACTCGGTAGAGGTCTGATAGTTTGCAATGTCGGAGTATATGAAAGTGTAATATAATGCTCAATGGTCAAAACGTACACAGGTAGTGATCGGGAAACTGTACTGAAGCCGAAAATGCATTCATTCGACGGAGGGCTGACGGTAATTCGTGAGCATACAGTAAATTTGAAACTATGTTCATGAGAAAATAATTGAACCTGTCGAGTATAGACGGTTGGTATTCTGGAGTGTTGCAAGACTAACGCGTGCCAAGGAGAATCATGTTACATCAGTGAACGGTAGATACGAACCAAGGGACGGGTAATTTCACCGAGCCTAAGCAAACTTTATCGTTTCTATGTTGAATGTTGAATGTTCAAGGTTTCAGTGCAACCTTCTGCGACCCGGAATTTGCACGCTCAGGTACTCGGGTGTTTGAGTTCATGGCGAGAACTGATTGAACACGAGTGGGTGGGTCATACTCGTCAACATGGGTGGGGTAGCGGATATAGGTCCCCAGCGAAAGTTGGATCTAAACCTACCTGCGAACGGCCTAGAACCGAACTTTGAGATCCGCGGGTACCTTTCATGCCTGGAAACACAATAGGAGTCTACGCTACGCGGATAGCTGGACGGCATTCACCGGCCTAGTGAGTTCGTGCCTTTCTCACCGAATGGTTCTTCCGAGCAAGCACACGTATAGTTTCTTCAACCTGTAATCTGTGATCTGTAATCGTGGGCAGATGTAAAGTATGGTAGAGCTGTAAACCCGGAGCCCAGACCGCAAGGGCTCGGTTTGGCTAGGGTGCAGCGGAACACTGCCTATTCCGTGGCTCGATTGCTGCAGCGTACTCTTGCCCCTGTACGCAGGGTGCAGATCGCATCTTCAGATATATGCAAGACTGGGGCGAGTCTCATGTCCAGGCGCAAGCAGCTACTCCGTCTTCTCAGTTGGTCCAGCTGCGCGCGCGTCTGTCAGCTGAGCACGCAGGGCTCTTGAGCGATGTGGCAGGGGTTTCGGGACCCCACACTGGCCATATCATTGACTCGACTCTGATCAAACACTGCGGCCGCAAAACGGCTCCTTGATGGCGCATGGGCAGATGGTGGCGAGGATGTGGTCAAGCGGGATTGCTTGCGCATACGAGGTCGGTGCAGTCGCGAGGAAGAGGAGATTGCGTTCCAGGCACCAAAGTCGTTGAGGGACATCTGGACTGCGGTAAATATGAGGATGCGGGGACTGCAGCAATCCGCGCTTCTTTCCCAGCAGAGAAGTGGCCTTTGTCGCTGGCGACGAGGCGTGGTTCGGACGGCGGGGGCTCGACATGGGCGGTCTAGACTGGTCTACGGTTCGGGCCGCGAGACAGCAGCAGCGACGTTGAACAGCAGCACAACTCACAGGACACGCCGCGGTCATGAAGCCAGACACAAGTGCTGCATGCAACTGACGGGGCCCAAGGGTGTCGAGGAGGGGTCACGGCGAGCGGACGGTGAGGGCGTAGTGCTCGCCGGATGCGCTGTTGGGACCGGAGCCGTCGGTGGCCGCAAAATGGTTAGAGCAAGGGCACAAAGTTGTTTATGTGCGGAGGCGCCAGCCCCAGGTGTTGCGCAAGCAGCAGGGCGCCCAACCTCACAGTACATACTATGTAGGTGGTGCTGCGTGCTGCGTGCTGCGTGCTGCGTCGATTATGTGAGGCCCCGTGGCTGTGCCTGTCAGCACTTTCGAGGCCGCAGCATCCGGCGTCGCCATAGGGCAAAGCTTGCGGGGATACGGCGCAACAGATGGCGCGTTCACGGCGTGTTCTCAGGTGACTCCGGGGCCGCGGTGGGCAGTCGATAGGCGGGCGCAGAGGGGGGAGCACCGGAGAGTCGTAGAGGCAGGAGTAGTGTCGCAGAAAAATTGGCCTCTCAGGATGGGTGCCAGAGTTGGCTGCACTCGCCATGGCCGTTTGCGTGCGATGGCAGAGCTGCAGCACCAAGCGGGGCCTTTCGATTGGCGGCCCTGGGCCCCGCGACCGCCTGGATCGGGCCAAACAAGGGAAATCGCGTCTCACGGCGATCGCTCTTGCCTGGCAAACTTCGGAGGCAGGAGCGACCCAGGGCCCGGGCAGCAGCGTCGCAGTCACCCCCTGTTGCCCAATCATGCGCCCCACTGCCGTCCGCGCCCGCTGACTGGTGCGTGGCTTGTCTACATCGCTCGATCCTTCTCTAGCATTGAATATGTATAAACGCGATCCTGCCTACCCGAATGTGATGCAAAGGCCCTGTCATCCAACCCACGACACGCACCTGCACTACCATGTACGCAGATCTCTCACCCGACTACCCTAACGTCGTTCCCTTTTACTACTTCAGCATCGTCGTCCCTGCCTCTGCGCAGTCAACCCACTACAGCACCGAGACTCCCACCATCACTCCCATGTCCGAGTACTTGGCCCAGACTCCGGCCGACCCCATCAATCCTCTACTGGCCTACCGCCATTCACCCTCAGAGTCCATGTCTGCTCCATCCGACGCCTCGCGTCTGCTCCAGCTCCAAACATCAGCTGCCCATCCACGAACTCTGCAACACTCGGACAGCTCCTCCCGCTCCCTGGGCTCTTCCTCGCCCAACTCCTCGCCGCCCAACTCCAGGTCCTCCTCCACAGATTCAGGGACTTCTTCTCACCGCGGCAGCATGCCATCTCCTTCGGTCCTTGCCTGTTGCCGCTGCCGTCGTGAGTCCCTCATGGGAATGATCCAGTTCAGCACCAACACCTACTACTGCAGCCACTGCGCCAGGATGGTCGGCTACAGCGCCGGATGAACACGACCTCAACCGTACTTGGCTACTTTATTGTCTGCAAATTCTTCACCACCACATCAGCCCGCCGCCCAGTCTCTACCATGAGCAGGTCCTGGCTTGGCTTCTACAGACACCATCTGTCATCACCGTACCGAGGAAATGGCCTTGTTTGACGTCTCGCCAACGCTTACCGAGTCGTTATGGATTCAAAGGTCGCCAGTGACTAGCCTGGAGCAAACGTCACAGCTTGCGGAAGAAGTTGGCAAAGGGAGAGGAGGAGGGATCATGGAGGTTGTGTCCGTGCAGTGCACGTTTGAGCAGTATCAGAAGCTGGTCTTCGCACATGTGCGCTGAGCGCCTGGACCAGCTGGCCTGATGATGACTTGGAACCATGATACCCCCTTCGTAGCCAAACTTTGTATACTAGACACTCCATGCTTTTTTGCGCATGAGGAGCAAATCAATTCATTACTTCACAACCACACTTTCACTCCACAAATTTCAAGTCGCCGAATAGTTTTTATTTTTCATGCATGGTTCCCTTCACATTCTATTCGCCTTGGGCAGCATCCGCAACATCGATACAGTGCCATTTGCCAAGCTTAATATATTCTGCAAAGCGCGATCCGTCGATCTTCGGAAAGTGCTGGTGGCTGTCGACCCTTCGACCCTGACACTAGCTATAAACACCGTAGCCCATGTGTCAAAACAAACTACGTATCTCGATGTCGATGACCGGCTGATGCATGTGCCGGTATGCTACAGAAGTGAGTAAAAGCATGCATGTTGTTATCAGTCGCATAGCCATCATTGATTCAGCAGCATGTAAGACCTGTCTCGCGGCTCGTCACCAGTGCGCAGCGCAAGAGAAATTTCGCCACATCCCCACCAAAATTGAAACCTGTCATCGTCTCACTTGGACATCGGATTTCCACTTTCTCGATCCCAAAATCCCATTACCCATGTCGTGCCGCCGATCTGATGCGGTAATCAGTAAGCAGCGAATGATAGAGGCGATGTGCGCATGGCCAATGACGACGACGCGGGACATTCAGCGCATCACATCCACACAAGGCCAAAATGATCAACGGCGCTGCAGGGACAAAGACAAGTGTCGATACTGAGAGGCAGGTTAGATTGCGCGAAAGGGTTCAGGAGCACGCGCATCGGCACGGATTTGTGTTTCGCAGATCATGGCCCGCGTTTCGTGGCGCGCCGTTGTATCTCGATCGATTGCATCGACGCCTCTGTGCGACGCACAACCTGAAGCCACAATGGAGATAAGAAAGTCCCGTAGGCGTCTCTGTTCCCACCTGTGAACCAACCGGCTGCTTTTCCCTTCTGCCTCGGCTAAGCTACTAGAACTTGCTCTCGTTCTCTCTCTCATTTCCCAACTACTGAAGAAAAAATACGATCAAGGTCACACGCTGGATCCTCAAGACTACACTAACTCCCAAACACCTAAGCGCATCGAATTCTTCCTCTTTGAATGCCGTTCTCAAAGCCTTTGTCCGGCCAATCGACGATGCGCGTTCGACATCGATGATCTCCCGTTTCCCGTTTCCCGCCTCCCTCCCTCGCCCCACATTGCACGCGGTCCTTCTTTGCCCTTCTCCCACGCAACGGGCCACGCTCATGGAAACAGAGAAAAAGTCGTACGATTACTCCTTGATCGTCCCATCGAACCCCGGTGTACGGGATCCTGAGGCTGAAAATATCTGTGGAGATGGGCTTTCTAACCGATCTCCATGGCATTTCCATTTCATGTTGGAAATGGAAGCGGAAAGGAGCGTTATCTCCACAACAACACATGCGCATGCCCGCTGCCGTGCCCGAATGACCGCGCATCGATCGATGTATCCTGATTCCACCTGCGAACGGACTCCGTAAGTTGAACCAGATGCCGCGCATCGAACAAAGCGGTGCTGCATCAGTCTTGTTGCGCTGCGAAACAGGCGCCTAGACAAAGAAAGTAACCTGCCAATAGTACCTTACTCGACCTGCCACGGCCTCGGCATTCCACCTGCAAGCGCAAGCAAGATGCCGTCCGTGTTGGCAGGTTTAGTTCCACTGCTGTGCATCGTGGAAATAGCACTGCATCAGCGCCTTTGTCACGATGTAGGCAAGCCCGGCAAGACTCGGCAGCAGCGTGCTCCGTCCTATCATCCGTATACCTGTAGAAGTACGCTAGCAGATTACTATTTGACACCGACGAAGCCACAGGAGGCTTCGGAAGGCTTCCGGTCGTGCGTTGGCGCGCATCAGCCACGATGTCTATTTTTTTTCTCGCTATTCTTGAAATTTTAACCTTGATTCTAGGGACCGAGGTGGCGCCGCGTAAAATCAAGGTAAATCGTGGGCGTGAACCCATGATAGTTCGTGGCGGTGTTTGTGTGACATGGTTGTAAGATAAGGTTTGGTTTCCGAGATGATACATGAGGGGTGAGTTCGACGTTGAACCTTCTTTTCGGCCAAGGTGGAGATACGCTGACCTTGCATCGAACTCTATCCTCCAATTGATTGCATCGGCGCCTCTGTGCGACGCGAAACCCGAAGCTACATAGAGATATGATAACCCTGTAGCTATCCCTATTCCTAAGCTTAATTATTTGACCTAACGCGGCAACTGACAAGTTATCCTTGTTCAACAGCTCATGAGTCCTCATTCGTCCTCGATCTCGAAGACACCAAACATGATACCCTGATCGCCTTGTATGTTTGAATTCACCCATTCAATAGTTTCATCCCAGTCAGCTTCCAGATCGTCCTCTTCGAGTCGCATGTAGAAGGCGTCCTCGTCTAGTGTATCCTCATGTGGCTTTAACAAAAGCGTTGTGGCGGCTGGAAGGAAAATCATTTTCCTTCTAGTGAACTCCTTCTCGATGTTTGCAATGAACTTCCTAGGATGAGAGTCTAACTCGAGCCAGGCGTTAAGCCGTCCAACACCCCATCTACAGATAAGTCTGACCCTATCCGTAGTAGAGCTGTTGTTTCTTGTTTGTAAAGCAACATGCGAGTTGCGCTGATGCCTTGCGATGCCCTGGAGTATTTCATCCGGTTGTGGTGGATTGCTCACGTGTGGATTAGTGGTTGTTTGTGAGGACCGATGCCAATTGTGCGATATTTGGGGCGGACCTTGTTGGTAAGAGGATGACCTTACTTCTAATGGATCTGGCAATTTAGTATACGATTCACATGACAAAGTCGATGTAGAAGGCAAAATACTTACGTTCCCTAAAGTCCTGCGTCGCAAGTAGAACGTCTGTGTTAAGCCATTTAGATGGCGTCGAGTCGGACTTTGATCGTCGCATTTTCGACATAATCTTCCCTTTACAACAGTGTCCAAATACAGAAAACTGTGACATTTTGGACAGTTCGTACGTCGCTAGCTCGATAAGGAGTCGATTGGCCGTTGGTCGCGTCTCTGGGTAGTATCCGAGCATAGACTTGATCTCTTGCTCCAGATGGGCGCGTCGACTAGGCCGACCTTGAGAATGCGGATCCTCTAGCCATGCGTCGACCTTGTCAAGATTTGCGTGAAACGCAGGGTTCGGCGATCGATTCGCTTGCATGTATCGCAACGTACCTTGGGTGTGTATAACAAGCATTTCTAGCACCACACAACCCAGAGAAAAGATGTCTGCCGCTCGGCCATTGGCTTGCCACGCATTCACCTATAGCATTGGCAAAAAATTAGTGATTGTTGCTCGCAACAAGTATCATGCTACTGATTCGACCACTTACTTCAGGGCTGAAGTAGCGCGGTGATCCCCGCTCGTTGTCAGTGGCGCTTTGAGAGAGAAGGGAGAAATCCGTAGCGCTTCCGAAATCGCTCAACCACAGTCGATCGTGTGTGAGAAGGATGTTGGACTGTTTGATATCCTTATGTCGTATCTTTCGATCATGAAGGTATGCGACGGCAGAGACCAGACATCCTATCTTAGAATAGATAAGACTTGCTTTACAAGGCTCCTGTGCACTAGGAAAGTCATATCCGAGCGCTATCAAGCGGGTCTTTTGAGATGCTTCAAGCATTTCCAGTCGCTCATCTTGCCTGTGAGATGTGCCCTCGGTCTCGTGCCAGTCTCCCACGTCTTCGAAGAAGGTATGAAGGTCGCAGACCGCGACCGGGTACATAATGATCCCCAAGAATTCGCGATGGGTATACGTACCGACCAACTGGACGATATGGGGGTGTGGAGGCAGGTGCTTTAGGATCTCGATCTCCTTTCTCTCTTGACCACCAAGCTTACGCCTCACTACCATCCGCTTGTGTGCGAATTTGCGGCCTTGGACCTCGACCTCATGAACGTCTCCCACGGCACCTCTGCCAAGAAAACGGCCTGTGGTTTGAAGGTCAGCGAGTGACTGGGCGGAAACGGTCGTAACTCGCCTTGCACTAGAGGTATAATCTCGTCGCTCTGGAATTCCACATGTGAGCCTCGACCAGTCTGGGACCAATCATCCAGCTGGATAGCAGCATGTTCTGCTTCGTCGTCGAAACCAGCCTCACTCTCGTGCAGGTCGACTTGACAAGAGGCAGCTTCCAGATCGCTGATATCAGACATTCCGGGTTGTCACCTGCCTCATGGAGAAGATTGAACAGAGCACGATTTGCACGGAGATGGTGGAGGGTTGAATAATCACGCGGCTGAGCCGCTGCTCTTTCCCTCAGGTAGAGGGCTGTGCTGTTGCAGCTGCAGAATGGCGTTGTGGCGTCCTATCAAGTTGGACCTATCACGAAATCAATGCTGACAAAGAATGCAGGCTTGTCGCTATACAACAATTGCGTCTGAAAAGATGGGGAGGCGAATGCGCATATTTGGAAGAGGTGGTAGGATACAAATAAGCTCTATCGCTCTAGAAGTTCTTCATAGCCACCGCGTACCTCGAGACGCTTCTGCCTTCCTTTCCATACCCACGCCTAGCTACCACAGCTCGACACATTCTTTGCGCCTCGCGCATACAGCACCAGGAATTGCAGTATTGTCCCCACTCTCCGCTGTATCTTCATAGCATCCATTCCTTCTCGTTCCTCCAACGCAGACATATCCTTCAAAATATAAACGTCTTGGACAGTGACTGCCTCACTGCATCATCTCAATCCAGCTAGACGGCGCTCTTGTACCTCAGTCAGGGCCCTGCTGCCGCTCAAGAACGCGACGAAGCCGACGACACCTGCCGCGGGCAAAGTCTGGAAGAGGTTCCAGCTGGTGTAGTACATGAAGAAGATGCCCTCCATCGCCAGTATGGAGCCGTAGAACAGCGCATGCGATACGGGCGCATCGCCCAACGCCTTGCTCAAGTGACTGGCATTTGCGCCTAGGGTGGCCCAGACACCGAACAGTACTGGGAGCGCAGCAACAACGGCTGCGGCAAAGACGATTGTAATGATCTTAGGCGGCGATTGCGGGTCTGCGCGGAAGATGTGGTGAATCTCAGGCTCGGCGGCGTAACGAAGGGGCGCCTCGGGGACGGTGAGAGGGGTGTTGGTGTCGCGGGAAACTTGAAGGTCGAAGACCTTGCTCTTGTACGGCGCAGAAGAACCAAACGAGCCGATTACAATCGAGGCTGTGATGGGCTTGTCGGTGGTGAGGAATTGGTGGGGGAGGTCCTTGTGAGACTATGACACTCAGCAACATTCTTCATCCATTGCATTGCGGACATACCAGGTTCACTTTGCCCTTTCCGTTATCCTTCACGTTGAACACGAACGACTCTTCCAGGCCAGTGGTCGGGTCGGTCAATGTGAGGAAAGCTTGGTGTGGGCGTTTTGCGGTCTTTCCGTCAACGGTGGTGAGAACCAGCTTCAGTGAATCACTTGCGCCCAGTTCTACTGTTTTTGCCAGAGGTGCGGAAGGGTTCAGTCTTGGACATGTCAGTATAGCAACGTAGCGCGTTGGACTATAAGGATGAGCTCACTTGTCTTTTAGACCTGCGCCGACTTCAGCACCTTTGCTGTTAATAGACACAGTAGCATCTTCGAAGCTCCACGAAGATGCAGCAGACGCAATTGTCGCGCCTGAAAGAAGCAGGGGAAGAAACAAAGCTACTGAGAACCCTCATTTTTGCTGATGTGAAGCGCAATGAACGTTGGAGCTCTTGGTTGATGATCGCAGAGGACACCTGGGCAGCTTACGTTTCGGGGCCGGGGAATCGTCGGCTCAACTCGATGGCTTGTGCGTCTCCAAGGTACCGTCATCAGGTACCACGACACACACCACCTACCTAACAGCGTTCAAATTCAGCGTCAGGACCGCATGAGAAAATCGTGATACGGACCAATTGTCTGGTCGCCGGAAGTGCGTGTGCCAGTACCACAACAATCAGCCACGGCCACAGCCATCAATATCGCGAGCGATACCTCCCAGCGAGAATGGTACCTACCTTATTTCCAAGATTCGGAATTGACACCTAGCCTTGGTACCGTTAATTTTCGGAAGGCCTCATATCAGATGACCGCGTAGCTAGTTGGATTGCAATTGCAATCGGTAAACTTGTATCTCTACCTGCAGTAAGAATCGCACACATTACTTATCAGGTTCTTGCAATTACAGCTTGTCCATACAAGGTCAGCCCGAGTCTGGTCAGCTTTGTATCATCTCTCTGGTAATGGGCATAAAAAATGGTACTGGCGCATGCTGCCTGCGACACTTTGTCCCGACTGTCTGAGCGAAGACCACAGGGACTCGAACATACCATTAACATGCTCTTTGATTGTCAATCAACCCAACTCTCACGCGCATATAGTGATAATGTGGTGGAGGTGAAATTCTGCCTTTACTTCACATGCATACTTCGTCTTCTCAAGATCCGGCCAGAACTGCGGAACCTTCATCAGTCCTTCACTCTACGTCCAAGCCTGTTCCAGCTCCACTAACTAATTTCACAAACTTTATCAAGTTATTCGAATCACTCAATCTACATTCGGGATCTACTGACGTTCCTTCCCTACACTCCTTCGTCGTCGACATTTGTCGACAGTCTTGAGTGGGGTGGCTGCACTGTCGTAGCAGCTCCCAAGAACTGCCGAACGCTGACAATCGAGTCTCATTAACTTCTGAGCATCAACCTCTACCTTGCCATCTAGGATCCACTCAAAAATGGTTCGACGCATTGATGACAATGGCTTAGTGCTAAGCATCGTGAAGCTCAATGGCAAGCTAGAGCTACACTTCGTTAGCGACGACACATTCTCTGCTCAATACACGCTCTATGGAACCGACATTGAAGACACTGTCGAAATGGACCACGCACGAGAAGCTGCTGCTGGTCAGCCTGTCGTGTCACTGGGCCTGGAAATGTTCATAGAGAATGCGCAAGGATTCCTCGACGTTCGCTTTGAGGGCGCCGTCGGAAGCATGCTTGCATTTCAGTATGATGGTCGTGACGGTGAAGACCCTTCAGGCTACGACGACACAGCGATTCTGAGACTGGAACCGCCTCCAGGTATTGCCGCTGGCGCGATCAGCAATTTACGGGCACCACTGCAAGGCGATGGCCCCCTACTTGGAGGCCAAGAAGCTCGAGGTGCAAGAGATGATGCGAAAGTTCAATCACTTCGTCAGGGAACCAGAAGTGCTCAGGTGCAGACTATGGAGACCCTTGTCACACACTCGGGCGTTCAGACTAAACGCAAACGTATAGTCAATACTGGAGCCCAGGATGCAACCGCGCCGAGACCGCCTCGCAAGATGTCAGCCTTCATGCCACCCAATGTCGATATTCCCGGGATGCAACAGTCTACATCAACTGAAACGAACAGTACCTGGAAGCGACTAACACCGTCGACCGAAGTCCCACACACCTTCACAAATGCCGTGGCAACAGTCTTCCAGACATTCAACGAACCGCGTGATCCCTATTGCCAAAAGCGTCTAGCTGAACCAGCTGCCGACTATCGCGCCTACAAGCACATCTTCATCGAGGGCTACCGAAATGGCGACGACAAGGAGGAAGAAGGTCGACTACATGTCGATCTCGCCCACCATGTTCTGCTCTGGGAGTCATATGATGACTATGACCGCGGCGCAAAGCTCACGCTCGACCGCCTCGATCTGCCCCGCTGTAAGGCACTTCTGTCATCATGCCTGACCACCTCTACTAACACCATGCAGGTGAAGTCGTTCACAAGCGTCTCGAGCACGCCCACTACTTTGGTGACCACACTATACAGTTAAGTCAGAACAATTCTGACTGCACATTTTTCTGCATGGACTACAAAATATATGAGACTAGGATCTATGGCAACATCGTGGGAAATGGAGATGAGAGGTTTCATTTTCAAGGAGACGGAAGGGTGCTGGTTGTGTTAGATGCGATCGAGAAATGCTTGGAGCTTAAAGCGAGATCTGTCGCTCCTCGAATGGACTGATGGTGGAAGTATGCGATAGAAACAGTGGGTGGTGAAGTGAAGGAAAAGTACTGGAGTTGATAGACTTTGATTCATTCTACGGGTTGGACTTGAAGACGTTGGATAACGTCCGTTCTCTGCGCTGACTGAGCTTCGGAGCTGGGTATACGGAAAGGTATTCATGGGTCTCATCCTTCCCCTGTTGGCGTTCATGGCGTTTGGAGTGGGAACAGAGGTTGAGTACCGAGCTCCTCAGCTTCAAAATAGCCTTTCTTATGTACATTCGGCTTCTCTATGTTACTTGCCTTCTTGTCACTCTGGCCTTTCTTGTCTTTTTCAATTTGAGGCTTCTCTTGCTCGAGGTGAGTATGAGCCATTCGTACATGACTCTCACCACCTTGAGATACCGCCAACTTGTTCTCTCACCTGTTCTGTGCTTCCACTTTGAGACACCCGATCAAGCCTCATCCGTCAACTCTACTTCATAGTTCTTTCATCTCCTCCATCATCACCCCATCTCGCCCTTCGAAATCCACAGTACACATCTACTGGGGTTACAAGGCTCAAATATGCGCGAGCTCATCTCCCTTCTCGGTCTACGGTTCTATCTCTTCGAACTCCGAGGTTCGCTCACGTACACGCACACACGGAACGGAAAAGGACCGAAAGTCTACGAAATTTGCGAGTCCGATATCGAGGATGAGGTTGAGAGCGAAAGCAGCAGTACTGAAAGTACTACGAAGCCCAGACCTGGTGTTGACGCAAGTGCTGTGGGCGTCCAGTTGCGTTTGGTCAAGAACGACGGTCTGCTCACAATCGAGTTCGAAGGAAAAGATGGGTCGGCTGCACAATGGACGTTCGACGGCAATGAACTGCTCGGTGGTGGAAGTATGGTTGCTGCCGCAGCCACGCAGACAGATGTCGATGAGAAGAAATGTCTGATCTGTGGGGTGGAGAAGAGGCAAAATGTAGAGGTGAAGCATGAAGAGACTCAGACTGACACGACATCAACGAAGTCGATGGAGACACAGACTGCAGCGCAGACTACCAGCAGCAGTGGGGTGCAGGTTACGCCACCGACGATACCCGTACATCTTCGAATGCCAGGAGCGCTTGAAACCCTAGGACCTTTCATCAATGCGCGTGCTACGAAACGCATCCTTGGTCACATACAAGAAGGCGTGCTATCAAGCATGACCGATGTTCGAAAGGTGTTGGATCAAAATGTCGCAGCACGAACGGACTTCACTTTGCTGTACCAGGAGACACAGAAAATATCAACCAAGAGATCCCAAAATAGGTCATCACTTAAGCGGGAGTCTCCTAGCACTTCCGGCAAGTCTGTCACTCCAAAGACGGACGTGGCGAAAGCAACATCAGACTTTACAGGCATCGGTGTTCAAACAGAATCAGCAACAGATCTCAAGACCTTCGTACATGCCGAGCACCTGTCTCTGGTCAAAGATATCTCGACACATCAGTCGCTCAAGCGTAAAGCCTCTATATCGCTCGAAACAAAGAATATTCTCAACAAGCGTGCAAAGAGCCAGCACAATGCCCAACAGTGGCCGCGACATCTTTACATGGACTGTTTCAGGAACACACCCATCTTCAAAGGCGGCGTCGGAACATTACACATCGACGTACAAGAAGGCACAGCATTCTTTGAAGGCTGTTACGGCAAAGAAGGCATGCGTGTGCAAGAGAGAAAGCAGATCGACCTGCGTGACAAATCAAGTAAGAAACAATATGACAAGAAAACCGGTTCAGACTGACCACCCGGACAGCGAGAATAAGCTACGAGCTTCTGCATCGCAGCGGTATTGACAATGCAACATATGACCTCTGTGTTGACCGCCTAAGCGCCAAGGGCGAAACCATTACCTTGTTCCATGCAGATTGCTCAGCGCCAGGATGGAAGATGTTCGGCCTCGATGTCGCATATTTCAGCTTCGAAAAGCCGCCGGTCGAGGACATGATACCCATCGCTGACGCTCATGTTATTGTCGACGCACTCGTCTATTGCATCGACGTTGCATCGTGTCGTGAAGCAGTACATGACCCAGACATGGAATACAAGTTGCGCAAGGAAGTCGAAGATTAAAGGCATTACACACGACTAGAGGGTTAGGCTCCATGAGCAGCGCCGACTGGGAGCGGACGGTCAGTGAGCTGAAGAGGAGGGGAAATATCAAGAAGAAGTTGAGGGTCGTCGAAGGATACAAGCAGACGGTGCCAACAGAGGCCAAAGATCCGAGGGAGTTTCTCCAGGAACCGCAGCAAAGAATTGATGGCACTGAGGTTGTCTTCTAGGGTCGACTGGATAATTCGAGTGGATGCGATACTCTTTGGACATGCGTGGGGTCTTCGACAGTCGACATATATGCTACGTTTCAAGGGAAAAACAGGGAGTGCCTGCTTGTGTCAATAGGGTACCATACTGGCTGAGATGGGAGGTCCTGCTGCGATTAGCAGTTGCATGGCTCCTTAAATGCGGACAGTCCAAAGGCACAAGTGTTGCTCTTTTGATTGTTTCATTCGTGACAGAACATGATGAGATTTTCCATATTTATGCCTCCCGAGCTCGAGCCCAGACGGTGGAAGCCATCCTCATTCGTCATGCGGATGGAAAGCAACCGGGAGAGGTATGACAAAACGCCCCATGCCGAGCAATACCATTTGCCTGTAAGAACCCCGCTCCGATCATGCACCATGTTTGTTTGGCCTTCATCGCGCCTGTACACCAAGTCCTTCACCCTCGCGCTTAATCCTTCTTTGCGGCTGCGGGGCCCTTGGCGCCAGCGGGCGTGCCGACGCGGAATCCGTTGCTGAACTTGCGGTTGACGGTCTTGAGGTATCGCATGCGGCCGGTACCGGTGGTCTTCCTTCGCTTGGCCTTCTCGCCCCAGTTGACTGCTATGTGTCAATCCTTGTCCCGTGTCATGAGAGGAAGTGCGGCAGTTGAACGTACACTTGCGGGTCTTAGCAGCAGGGTAGCCGCATGAGGAGCAGGTGTGCTTCTGGATGTGGAGGGAGCGACGACCTGATCGTGACTGTCAGTCCATGTTCTCCGCTCTGCCAATCCGGTCTTTGCATCCGTTGTCCACCAATCGAATGCCAGAGTCCTGGGGAATATCACGTACCGCAACGCCTGCAGAGCGTGTGCGTCTTGTTGTGGCGCTTTCCGAAGCTGGAAGTTCCCTTTGCTGTATCGCAGTCAGTCTCGAAGTTCGGATTTCGGGTGCGGTTGGGAGCGCGGCGTACTCATTTTGGGCTAGGAACTATGTGCAAAGTATCATTAGCGATTGATCGTTGCAGGATGTCCTTGACGGAGAGCTCACCTTGGGACGCTGTGGTGGTTAGTGACGTTGGAGTTGTCGATTGCGAAGTTCAGAATTCGTCGTGGGCTAAGCGGCTCCTGCGTGGTCGGTTAGCGGCCAATCATATGTAACGCTTGGCACGCTAGACATGATTTCGCCGGTCACCATCTTCAGATGTCCAGTCGCACCATCTCAACACCGACTTCGGTTTGTGCCTTCCCACGATATACTGATGTTCCTCAAATGTGCGCATGGTGTAGGCTGCGACTTGCGAGGGGGCTTGTCCGGGGACTGAGGCTTGACCGGACCGGCTATCAGAGAAATGACCTGAAAATACTTACCTGCATATTCCCTCTTCTTGCCAGCCTGCAGAATGTCGAAAACCGACTTCACGCATGCACAGACATCATCGCTGCTACCTAGGCCATGGAACCAACGAGCTGCACGCTGAAGACGGGATCCAGAGTTCATAAACATCGCCAGAAATTTGACATCATCGTCATCTTTGGCAGTTACAAGCAAATAACCCTCAACATGAAGGGAAGACGATGGTCATCTTGCCTCGTTCGCAATACGCTTTTCGCAGCGTCGCCTTCAAAGTCGACACCGGTGCTTACCTGCCTTTATTAACCACCCCACGCGCGCAGCCACGCAGCTGCAGAATCATTTGAATTTCAGCAGGCCATGCAACTCCAGACAATACCGAAAAGCATGTGGCCATGCTTCGGAGGTCAGTCCGCCCATTAACTGAGATGTCTCCGCGGCATTTGCTTGGATGCCGAAGCTGAAGGACCTGGGGGATGCTTGCAAAGTGCGCACATCATTGGACTGCCGAATGACCGAATCCACCACATTGATTGTTGCTTTGTTTTTGATCATGTTCATAATCCTTCACAACCTCAAAACCAGGGAGCCTGATAGCAAGCCACCAACACACCGTCTGCCGCAGTAAGTACATGCTTGCGTTCCATCAGAAAACAGTTGGCCATAGCGAACACGGATACGTGACGAGTCAGACAACCACAACACCCCCACGCATCTCGCTGTTCCATACCTTCTGAGACCCCACGCTGTCACTCTTAAGAATCCTCGCTACCCCAGATGAACCGTTAAAGATCCCAAGACAATGGTCCATGGCACCGAGACTTGAGGGCGTGGCACCACGGGCCCAGCCTATTTTGAGGCTTTTGATCAGCCTACCAGCCAACGACAGCAGAGGGCGTGTGTTTTGCAATGAACAGACGCATTGATGGTGTTGTGAAGGATCAAGTTCCGCTAGCCAATCAGAAGGCGGAACGTGAACGCGTGCACGTCTCCTAGGGCTTGAGTCCGGCAGCAGTTCCCGCATGGCGCCCGTGCTAAGCCATATTTCCTCGCATGCAAGAGTCTCGTCCGAGTCTTGACGATGTGTGTCAAGGTTTCTTCGCCAATTGCAGACACGCAGGATGGCACCCAGCCTCCTGCTTCGCCGCGTGTCAGATGTCAGTGTACGCCAGGTCGCCGAAAAGCAATGTGCCCTGCATGACCACGTTCTGCACGTCTTATATCCAACTCCAATGACACCTCCTGCGCCGATCACATTGCTCTTTTCGCACTTCTTCGCGCTGACATAGGCCTCGGTCATTCTGTCCTTACTTGGATGGGGCTGTCGACGACTGAACACACCTTCCAAGAAGAGCATACCCTCCGTTCGTAATGCTGTCGTTCGGGCGAGTTGGAAATGCTGCATATCGCGATGTTCCTGGAGTATATGTACGTTTCCCACCAACTTTCACGATGCCAGTGCTGATCTTCACAGACTCATATAGCCGACCCAAATGAGCGTCGGCGCATGGCCCTCGCAGAGGTCGATAAGGCACCCTTTGGATGGTATCACGTTCGACTAGCAGTTGTTACTGGCATCGGTTTCTTCACAGATGCGTATTCTGTAGGTTTAAAGTAGCGTCAAGGCTGAAAGATGACTGACAAAAACAAAAGCTGTTTGCCATCAATCTCGCAGTCATCTTGCTTGGTATTGTCTACTGGCAAGATGAACAACATCGTGGTGTCATGCCGCACAATGCGGATACTTCCTTGAAGGTCGCCACATCCGCCGGAGCAATTTTTGGCATGGTCATCTTCGGATACCTGGGAGACTATCTAGGGCGGAAGAAGATGTATGGGGTTGAATTGATGATAATCATTTCGACGACACTTGCTCAGTCACTCTGCGGAGAGTCTACGACTCTGTCGGTGGTCGGCGTACTGATCTTCTACCGGGCGGTGATGGGAATAGGTGTAGGCGGAGATTGTAAGTACCAGGCTGAAGTCCTGAGCAAATTGAGTCGGAAGCGATTCAGGTCGCAATTTGATCATATCAATCAGACGCTCAATCCGCCTTGGTTGAATTGGACTGACGAATTCATAGACCCGTTGAGCGCCGTCATCACAGCTGAATTCTCCAGCACCAGATATCGAGGAGGAATCATTGCAGCCGTCTTTGCCATGCAAGGACTCGGGCAGCTTGCCGCCAGCCTGGTGACTTTGATCGTCGTCGTTGCATACAAAGACCACCTGCTGCCGGTTGCCTCAGTGGCGGATTGCAGCGGCCAATGTGCCTTGACAGTCGACAAGATGTGGAGGATTATCATCGCCTTTGGAGGCATTCCCGGCTGGTTTGCGCTATACTATCGACTCACGATCCCAGAAACACCTCGATACACCTTCGACGTCCTTTACGATGTCGAGAAAGCTTCAGTCGATGCACGAAAGTACCGTTATGGCAAGCAAGGCAATGTCGTTAACCCAGTCACTCAGGCCCAAGCACGTAGAGATATGGCAAAGTACAGGACACCACGACCGTCCATTCTCGAAGTCCTGCGCTTCTACTCGCAAAGGCGTCAAGCGATCCGACTGTTCGGCACATCAATGAGCTGGTTGTAAGTAGACCACTCTCCTCACGCCTTGCCTTCGAAATTAATCTAGTTCTCTAGCTTCCTCGACCTTGCGTTCTACGGCCTCGGCTTTTCCTCCGCCTCTCTCCTCTCCACCATGGGCTTCGACCAACGCGCCAACCTCTACGAAAACCTGCGCAACACCGCCACCGGCCAAATCGTCCTCATCTGCGCCGGCGCACTACCCGGCTACTGGCTCACCGTCTTCACCGTCGACAAAATCGGGCGGCGCCCAATTCAAATCGGCGGCTTCGCTGTCCTGACCATCATCTTCTGCGTCCTGGGCTTCGCATGGCGCAGCCTGACCAAGACGCATCTCCTCGCCTTATACGTCCTCGCGCAGTTCTTCTTCAACTTCGGCCCCAATGCCACGACGTTCATCACGCCTGCGGAAATCTTCCCGACGAGAGTGCGCAGCACAGGGCATGGGTTCAGCGCGGGCATGGGCAAACTTGGTGCGGTGTTTGCGCAGATTTTCTTCGCGCCGATGATCAAGAAGGGCGCGACGCATGACAATCCGACGCCCTGGATTCACGGCGTCATGCAGATTTTCGCGCTGTTCATGTTCCTCGGGATGCTGACGAGCTTGCTGGTGCCGGAAAGTAAGCAGGCGAGGCTCGAGGCGCTGGCGGGCGAGAAGGAGGATGTGTATGAGTTGCAGGCGAGTTCGTGGAGGAATAGAAGGGGTGGAGGTGGGAGTGTGAGTGTAAGGGGAGATGGGGATGAGGAGAGGAGGAGCCAGAGGGTGAGTGGGAGCACGAGTACGGAGGGCGCAGGGTACGAAGGAGAGAAGAAGTGGTGGCGCTTCCGACAGATGGAGATGCACGGGCAGGCTGTCTAAACGACAAAAGCGCACTTTTGACATGTTAGCATGGTGTTGGGGATCTGATTTGGATATTCGCTTCTTGTACTATACTCGTTGCACCGCTTTATACCCTCTCTTTGAGCGCATTAGCTTAGATCAATCTTCTTGAGCCTCGTCTACTTCAACCATCGCCACCAGCTCCCCGCTCAAATACCTTCACGCTCCCATCGCCCTTGACCTGGTATAGGAACTCCTTGCCTTTCCCACGGTCGTCCCTGGCCTTGTCTTCATCCTTGAAGCCCAAGCCTCTCCAGTGCATTCGTTGCTCCGTCACGCGTATCACGCCACTCACATCCCTCGCCACACCGGTATCCAGCACTCTGACACCTAGTATCCGCCTGCTCATGTGCCCCAGCTTGACAAGCAAGTTGTGATGCGCGATTTCGAGCGGCTGCGGAGGCGTGCTCAGACTCAGCAGTGGGTTGTCGGCTTGAATGTGTGTGAGGACGTGCGAGACGCTCGGTAGGTTGTGCACGGTGAGGATGAGTGACGATACGGCGGACGGTTTGATAGTAGGATCAAGGGCGAGGAGGAGGTCGGGGTTGTCGAGTACGACGAGGGTTTTGCGCTGGGCGCCCGATGAGGATGAGAGGGCGGAGACGGCGCTGGTCACCGTAGTCTTCAAGTGTGCGATGTCGAGCGACTTGAGGGCATAGTGGCCTGGCGAGGTTTGCTTCGTGCTCGTTGGTGGTGCTGGTGCTGGCACAGGTACAGTCCTGCTCACCACTGGACTCGCCGGACCTACTGCTCCTCTTGCTTGCGCAGCCGGCGCAAGACTTCGGCGGCCATGTAGTGCGAGCGCAGGAGAATCCAGGCCCGATGGTGTTGTCCTTGCGCCGTTCGTAGCTTCTCCAGCTGCCGTCGCATGCAGGCACGCCTCGGTCAGCCCGTCCACGAATGCGAACCGGCCTTCGCGCTTCAATCTCTCAAGATCCAGACCTCCGCCTTTCCTTGCTTCTTGCTTCCAAAAGTCATGTTCCCTCATCCACGATACCAGCACGACATTGTGACCTTGCTGTGCCCCGCCATCTTCAGTGTTGCTGAGCGCAGCGCACAGAAATCGAATGATCAGCCAGTTCGCACTGGCTCCGAGCGTACTCGTGAGGAGAAGGAGCGAGTCATCGTGTGGAAGGTCTACGTAGGGTTGGAGGTGTGAGGGTATGCGAGATGATGGAGGCATGGCGTTGACGTATTGGAAAATAAGTTGCGCATCGCGAATTTGGTTAGTGGTGTACCCTATCGATAAGCCTCAAACCATGTTCATTATGTTGTGATAGCTCTTCAGCATCACCCTGCATGTTCTGGTCGGTGTTTGTCTATGATACATTTCTTTCTATTGTTTTTGTGCTTTTCTGAGTTGTGAGGGAGGGCTGGATAAGCTGAACCCGCCATTGACATGCTCCAAATCACTCCTCCAACTTTTTTTTGCATACCGTTGCAGTCTCTCATTGCAAGACGCCGCTATAGTAGCTACCGACATGGTGATGTTGCCTAAGGCAGTCGCCTGCATGCCGATTCATCACACAAGGGATATCATAGCCAACTATTGGGGCTTCGAAAATCTCCCCAAGACACCTTGACACCTGATTTGAAATCCCGCTCGACTCAACCAAATCGCGAAAGCATCTCCAGCACTGACGGCTTCTTGCTTGGAACTTTGACATCCAGGCTATCCTGCTGCTGGCGACCTTCTTGCTCGCCTCCGCTGCTAATGTTTCCCTCCCCAACCCCTGTCTGAGTCTGGACTTTGGAAGCGTCGGGTCCCAGAACATATGTTCCTCCAAGAGCAAGACGACCAAGCGAGTCATTCTTTGCCCGCTCTTGGTTCGACTTGTCCTGATTCTCTTTCTTTTGCTTCGACTTGTCCTGGTCCGCCTTCTCTTGCGCGTGCCCGCTCTCCTCTTTCTCATTCTTCTGTTTTGTTCCATCCTGATACACCTGCTTTTTCTGATTCTTGGTTTCGATTGCTGTATGCTGGGGTTCTGCAGGCTGCACCGCAACTTGCATACCAAAATCCAACTTCAATAGCTCTCCGTAATGTACCGTTCCCTCTTCTGTCTCAACGTCTCCCACATCCGTACCAGAGTGCCCCGTCGGCTTCTTCCGGTGAGGCAGAGAACGAGGGAATGACGCATGGGACTTGACGTGGTGAACTTTCCTGGTAGCAATCTTACCAAGCTCGCTGGGGAAGAGCCAGGGGAAAGACATCAAGGGCATATGCTCGGCATCCATCAGACGAGCGGGAACCTCTAGTCCGCCGACAACTTTCATTGCACGACATTCTGCCAACGCTGCTTCCAGTTCTCTCCCCGTCACCTTGTACATGGCTGCCACGAAGGGTCCGAGACGGTTCCAGTCAGCTGCATTCGTCATCTCAGCTGCCTCACGACAAATCTCTTGATATTGGGCCTTTAGAGCCCCCATGGTCCGCCCGAACTCCTCGGCAAATTTGTAGTCACGGCTCTCTTGGTTGTGGGCAAGCACAAAGACAGACCAAGCCTCAAACTCTGTACGAATCCCGTGCTTAGCCATGAGTCGCTTGAATGCCTCATCGTAGAGCGCCTTGATGTCTGTCGCTTTGCTCAGGAGTTCTTCGTCAACCTCATAGGCATCGAGAATGCGGAAATCGAAGGCATTTTCCCACTGCGGTTTGAAATCAACGAGCTCAACTTGGTCATAGAGCTTGCCCAAGACCCTAGTCGACCTGTAAATCTTATGCGCTTGGAGATGCTTCTTCTCCATGAAGTGTGGCCAGCGTTTTGGTCTCAGATCTTGACTCATCTGAGCTGGTATGCCACTCTTAGGATAGTCGACGGCCTGGGAGTGGAGCTTAGCTAGCTCTAAGCAGGTTCCGGAACCGACACCTTCATGGTTGACGTCAGCTTGCGCTAGATGAGCATATGCGATCTGGCCGAGAGAGTCGTTCTGCATGTAGGTGACGAAGAAATCGCTAATATCGGACACTGTAATGGGGCCTTCTTTCTCAACCGGCTTCTCAGGCGTGAAGTCCATTGGCGCTACGTGTGATGAGTTCTGGTATCAGGTCCTTGTCCCACAGTACCATGTAATCGTCACCATCGAGATCGCCGCCAGAACACATGTTGGCCAAGTCACGATCGCCCGTTTGTGGGAGCACTACCACATTCTTGAGGTGGTGGAGAGCGGGAACGTCAACTGCGCGAACGACCCGCAAATCGCCAGGATGAAGCGATGGGTTACGCGCCAGAACGCAGACCCCTTTGACGATCTTGTAGTGGCCTCGCTTGTTTGCTTCGGTGTCGTCGACCTGCAAAAAGATCTCAGGTAGAGTCTGCATTTTGTCCTGGCGAGATGCATCGGACCTTGATTGCGGGTCATTGAGGTGCCCTTTCAATGTACCGCTCTCATCGACACATCCCAAAACAAAGGCACCGTCTTCGATCGCAATCCTAGCCTTCTCTTTGAGGTTCTTGATTGTGGCTGCTCGCCAAAGCCTCAGCAGCGACATCATGAATGGCTCGCGGCTTTCCATGAAGCCGTCAATTACCATACCCGCCATGGTCAGCGTCGTCTGATTCATGTCGATGTGCTTGCGTAGCTTTGCAATTGCCGTATCCTTGTCTGTCATAGCCTGCTCGTAGTCGTTGACCATCTCTTGTTGTTTCTGAATGAGGACATTGTCAGGGACACCCAGATCAGACAACACGACAATGATCTGTCGATTGAAGAAGGGAGTTGCCAGGGCTGATGATCGGATGATCTCCAAGCCCAAGAACTTTGCTTCGAACTTGAGCTGACTAGGTCGAATGTGAACTTCGTTACCAGTGATCTTGGGGTCCAGAGCGAGGACGCCTTTGCAGCCGCCGAGACGGAACTGGTATAGTGAAGGTGGGTCATCGAATGCATTGGATAGGCCGAGCTCTTGTGCGGCCATTTGTGCCAGGAAGAGTGAAAGTTTTCCTACTCCGTCGGTAAAGCAGTAGCCGTTGCGCTCAATGTCAGGGATCTTGACGATCGTGACTTTAACTCGCATGGCTCGCGTTGTTGAGAAACACTGTCCGAGTCGAGCGCCGAACTTTGCAACGGTTTTGATGTGGTCGAAACGTCCCAACGACGATCTGATATCGTCGGCAGATTTGGTGGATGTTGGCGCGTAGAAGTAGGCCCCATGCTCTCGGAACTGCGAGTTGCCAAATGCGAGAAACTCGTAGTAACGACCAGCAACCACGATTCCGTTCTTCATCGCTCGACGTACTCGATCAAAGGTAGCGTCTGCCTTACCATTCGGTATGCTGCGCAGAACACCTTCCGTCTTCTCATCAGAGAACTTGACTCGTAGGAAGCGATCTGCGATCGCGGCGTATTCGCGTGTGATGCGATTAGAGGTTTCCATAATGGGTGAGGCAACGTGTATTGTGCTCGGTGTGATGATGGCGGACCGTTGTAGCAAGCAGTAGCTGGGAACCTTCTTCTCGAGACTACCTCTCGTTCGAATCTCGAATATCTCCATAGGATCATAGTATGTTTCTTGTTTATCAACTACTTTCTCCAGAAGGTATACCGCCCGACGAGGGTTCTTCGCGAGCCGCTCGAGGAACTCGGCTGTGACCGTATGCTCCTTAAGGTAGCCATTTGACAAACACGCCTCCAGTTGATATCGAATCGGGAAGGATAAATAGATTTGTCCAGCGAAAAGTTCGTCAAAGCCAGAGCTGGAGGTTGGGGCCTCAAGGTGTGGGTGCGTGCCAGAGGTTTCCTCTTGCAGCAGCTTCCACAATGGTGAAGCCATTCTGTTCTTGATGTCATAGTCAGAACAATCTTTGATCTCGACTCCATAGTCAGCGAGAGCACTCGCGAACTCGGTGTATTGTGGTTTCGTGAATATGGCGTTGTCGAGGAGAATTCTATAAGTGGTCCATCGGCCTGGGGATTTTAGCATAGCCTTCTGTAGTTCAGAGCGAGAACTTACCGATATCAATGATAGCCATATCTTTGTGGTTCATCAGAGGTCTCTCCTGCATAGCGGCCCTGACACCGGATTCGACTATATCAGTCTCACGGAACCAGGTGTACCAGTCAAGCCAGGTTTCTTCCCTCGTTGAGAAGCTGGTATGATCGTTGTCATTGGAAAGTATCTCGACTTGTTGTTTCTGTACAAAGAACTGTGGCGCAGATTCGAACGGGATAATCAGAGCTCCCTGACCCGGAGCACTGCCTGCATCTTTGTAAATATGCGATAGAAGAGCAATGGGAAGTCGGAAGCGGTAGTTGCGCAATTCATCGTTCACATCTTGGGGAAACTGGATATCGAGCTCTTTGCGGTCCAGATTCAACGTGAGTCGGACATTGCGGCGAGCCCGCACACTGTGCATTTTGATCATAGACTTCTTCGCGTCTGTAGCACCGAAGTCGATTGTGTTGGCGAGGAGCGTATTAAATTCGCAATACTGCTTCTTGGGGTCGATAGGACTGGGAACTTTGCGCACGATAACATTATGTTTCTCACACCTCGCGAGAGCATGCCCAACACGTACTTTATAGGGCAGCTGCTTGTACAGTGGAGCTCTAGAGGGTTCAGTTAGTATAGCTATGAGAGTCGGTAGATTAGAAACTCACCGAAATACAACCCATGCGTCGTTATCGGGAGACCCTGGCAGGATCTTTATCCGTACCACAGTGCCGTAGCTAGACACTGCTTGGTAGACCTGCTTCGTCCAGCATGCCTTTGGTATCCCCAACAGTCTGAACCTGAGCTCCTGCTGGTGAGCCCAGGTAGCATCATTCAAGATAGCTGGTTGCTGTATTACGTGCTGATGGGTGGGCGTATTGCGCATATAGTTGCTTCGAGTCGGCGTAGATGGCTCAGTTCGTGGCCTTGGTGACGGCACATGAGCACTTCCGCTTGGAGTGTAGGTTTCACTAATAGAGGTCCCGTTGACGGTGTATGAGGATTGTTGCTTGTTTGGGGTAATAGGAGAGTCGACGTGAGCATTGCCTTGACCGTGATGGGCTGGTGGTGTCACGCTGCTCTGAGGAGCGGGAGACTGTCTAATGACGGGGTGTTGTTGGCCGTTTGAACTGCTGGAGCTGCTCGAGTTTTTGCGGCCACCTCTTGCACCAGAGAAGCCGGATCTGCTTCTACCACCACGTCCTCCGCGGTAGCTGGCGTTGTCGCGGTTCATGCTGCCGTTTTTGCGACTGCCGAATGATGTGCCACTATCGGAACTGTGCTCACTGTATACCTGGGAGCACGCGGTTGAGAGTTGCGAGGGTAGTGCGTCCCAGTCGTGGTAGGATCTGAAGGTAAGGTGTCTGGACGGCCGAGTAGAGTCGTCAAAGTTTGGCCACTCCATGGCTGTTTGCTTTGACGTGCTTGCTAGTCCGCCAATCCTCGGGGGCTGGCAGGTAGGTGCGGTCGGCAAGCGGCTGATCGAGGGTGACCACGAATTGGAAGGAGCGTTGTGGAAGTGGAGGTGAGGTGTCTCGGAGGATGAGCGGCGACACGACTATGTCAGGCTCTTGCTCGACCGCTCTTGTCGACACTTTTGAGCCGAAAGATGGCTTGCAGTGGATGAGTCGAGATCGATTGTTTGTCGCGGGACGTTCGTGAAATTGCCAGCAAACGGGCTTCACGCCAAGCCCACCGCGAGGCAAGAACAAGACACACGAACAAGCAAGAGAGTGGGGAGCGCGAGCCTTTCTTCTCAAACTTGAAAATCACTTTCTCCTTTACCTGTCAAGGAAGATGGCAATATTACTGGGACAAGAGAAGCAGGGAGTGTTGCAGGGAAGGTGGCAAGCATGTACCATGAGCGGCTGAGACTTGTCTGGCAATTGACTGGGAGTTTGAGCTTTCTTTCGATTTTCTCTGTTGTCTGCCTCGCAGGTGCCAACAACTGTGTGACTGGTACGACCAGCCAATATACGGGTAGCGACGTGAAAAGTCCAAGTGGGCTTCTGTCGGCTTGTCAAGAGTTGAATGTGAACAACTTCGAGAGGTAGCAAGCATATAGACAGACAGATCGAGATATCGCCATAAGCCAAGGACTTTGTGAACGTGGGTAAAGTAAAGGTAGCGAGAAAGGTCTAAGCAAAGAATGAGATATTGGGGTATCACAAGGTCGCCAAACTCCAACCCACCCGTTATACAAGCACAGGTCCTACAAGCCAAGCACATCTCAGACAGAGAACATCAAATTACCTAGCCACGCGCTCGGAAAGTCAAAGCTCTGTCGCCGTTGCATCATCGTCCTCGTCTGGCATCCTACCTGTTCCTGCAGTGAAATTGCCAGGGGTAAGTGGAGTGCCGGCAAGAAAGTCCTCCATGTCAAAGTCCGCCTCTTCAACTCCTGCAAGACTACCGCGCCGCTTTCGCCCAGACCGAACTTCCCTTAGGCACTCAGCTTCATTTTCAGAAACTGTAAAGCCCACCGTGGTGTGTCGTCTGTTTGGAGACAATTGTCTCAATGCGGAGCGCTTGATTGGCGACAGTTTCTTGGAGACAGAGCGCGATGACAACACGGGTTTCTGGGTATATGGCGTTTGCATTGCAGGTATTTTGAAAGATGGCCGCGGCTTGCGCCGCTTTGGGGTCGAGCCGTTTTGCGAAGAGTGCGAATCCGACGAGGCAAAAGATGCATTGGCGACAAATTCCATCGCTGTGCTTGTCGCGCCTTGGGTGCCGCGGGAGGCTCTCGGGGCTTCTTCTGAATCCTGCAATGCTGGTTTTCGATGCCGATGTACTCGAGACATTCGAGGTGTCTGCGCAGGAGGATCGGCAGCGTCCTTCTGGCCGCGTGACGTCGATCGTCCAGCGGTACCTGGCTCAGACGCAAAACCCATCGTTGCCAGGACATTTCTGCGTATGGTCCTTAACTCCTCTAGCTCCTCTTCCTGCTCAGAACAAAATTCCGTAAGCTCCTGAACTTGCTTTTCAAGTGGAGGAATCAAAGCTTGTAGCTGCTGCACCTCTCCACGCGTCGCGTCAAGTGAAGTCTCAGCACGCTGCGCGTGGTCAATAGCTCCCTGAAGCTTAGCGTTCAGTTCCTCGCGATCAAGCTGCGCTCGTGCTATGGCTGCCTCGAGGTCGCCAGTGTATCTGCGCTCAAGATTTCTGTATGCCTCTTCAGAAGACTGCACAAGCTCCTGGTGGCTCACTTGAAGATCGCTTAGTTGTGTAGTGACAGTATCAAGGTCTGTCTCAGTGCCTTGTAGCTGAAGCTCAAGCTCGGTTCTCTGCTCATTCAGTTGCGCTATTTCTTTGGACTGACTGTGGACCATTTCTATCTTTTCGCCAAGGCTGGCCTCGGCATCATCCAAACAGTGCCGCAATGCCTCGAGCTGCTCTTCAAGTGCTGTCCGCTCAAGTTCCGCATGGGTAAAGTCACGTCTCAATTGGACCAGCGCGGTGTGCTGATCTTCTGAGCCCTTCTCAAGCGCACGGATGGTTTCCTCAGAAGTGAGTCGTGTCGATCGAAGCTCTACTTCTTTGGCGTTGTAGTCTTCGCGAACTTGCATTAGCATCTCTTCTGCTTTGCGAATCGCCTCATCCGCCTCAGATTCAACATCCTTGAGTTTCGCCACAAGACTATCTCTTTCTTCTGAGATGATAAGTTTCTCATCCTCGAGTCCTTCCGCGTGGAATCGGTCGTCGGCAGCTTGCACTTCGAGTGATCCGATGCGCTCATTGAGCTTAGCCACATGCTGTTCTAGGTCATGATTTTTTTCCTTTTCTCGCCTCAAAGGCTCTTCTACTGTGTTGCATCGAGTCTCTAAATCTTGGACGATTTGCGCTACTGCTCGCACAACAGAATCCCGTTGGAAAGAGCCTTGGCTGTCGAGATCCGACTTGAGACGATCACGCCAGTCGTAAAGGTGCTGTCCGGTGTATGGCGTACTCTTTTGCTGGAAGAGCGATACCGGGATCAAATCTGGCCGAGACACACTGTGTGTACATTGATTTGGAGCATGTGATAATTGCGTGTGCTTGCCGACGAGAGCGGTAGTAAGAGCCAACGGCATCCTGGATTCCGCCGATTGCGCTGTCAAAGCCAGGGTCAACAGTAGCGCGATCGTGGTTACTGTCATCTGTTGATGTAGCGCTGTGCCGTATGCGCAGCAGGTGACATCTTGTTCTGGTTCTGTCCGGACAATCTCCCAGATCTTACGTTGCGCCTCGCTACGAGATACCGCCGACAACATCTTCGTCCTTAAGGAGTCGCAGGTAGTCATCGCGGTTGTCATTCGCTCGGCTAAGACTTTGAGATTCGACAACTGGCGCGTTCCCGGTGGAGAGATACATGCGCCCAAGATATGTGTGAGTAAAGTCTGGAACGTGGTCTCTTGCATTTGCGCCTGGTATAGTTAGTTTCGTTCGCATAGATCAACAAAGGACTTACGGAATACAGGGGCAGAGAAATCAGCAACGTTTCATCAAGACACCCAGTGTCAGTCACGTCGGCTGTGTTCTCAAGGCAGCGCTGGTATTGGGAAACAAGCTCGTTTGGCAGATTGCACTCTCCGACCATCATAGCGTAAAAGCACGAAGCCTCGAGTTGAATCGTAGGATCAATGTCGGCTCGCAGAATCTTCAGTGGCAGTTTGCTGAATATGTTCCTTGCATTAGAGCTCGACGTTGGCCATGCTCTAAGCGCTTTTCTGTCTACACATCGAAGAACACAGACGGCGATTCGTATCCCTTCGATTGCGTCTTCATATGAAACGCCCTCCCCGCCCTTGGTGACATATATGACGGACAAGTAAGTCAAGTTGATCGCCTTGTACTTGTCGCTGGCATCAAATAATATGCGTCCTGAAGCTGTGGTCCATTGCTTCGGGGCCGTCGCACCCGCGTGCTCAATGCTTGAGTAGAGGCCCTCCGATGACCCAGTCTCAGAGGGGTATTCTGTCAGGAGCACAATACCGAAGTACCATACCATGAGCATAAAGTTCTGACTTATACTATTAGAGCGCAGGATATATAGCAGCGCCTGATCGAAGTTTTCTCTTCGAGCAGCTGGAAGCAAACTGAGGAGGTCACGACATGCCCCATTCAGCATCAAATACACTGGCTTGAGTGTGGATGCTTCTATGTTGGCTTTTGCGTTCTCGAAGACTCGTAGGAAAAAGGCCTGCGCCGAGGCTGGCAGTATCATGGACGCCGGGAGCGGCCTTGACAGGAGGAGCACACATAGGTCGGCACACTACACAACGTAAGGTTGAAGACATTGAGAACATGACAACATGCTCACCTCATCGAAGCCGCGTGGCGAAGACGTCGCCTTGACCAACAGAGCATCAAGAAGATTCGGGTTATGCAGCAGCAGTGTGTTTGCGAACTCGGGTGATTGACCTAGGAAAAGTGTGTAAGCCACGTCAATCGCGATGACGATGTGATACATACATAAACTCAATATGAGGCCGAGAGTGTACGGCCATAGGTCTAATGCTTCGCAAACAAGTGCGGTGAGTCTGCTGACCTCACACGGCGACCGTTCGTATATGCATGCTCGAACGGTCTGTACGTCGGCATGTGCAAGCAGTTCCGCCAAGTGCTGTCGAAGTTTGCGTCAGCAACGATGGTATGCATATGCAGCTAGTCATGTGCTTTGCTGTGCTCGCGGTGCAAGAGACGAGTGTGGCGGAAGCGTACTCACGAGCAATGAAGCCGGGTATCGGCAGCTGACAATCCTCGTCAATTCCAACGACAGCCGCGGACCGATATCCGCCATGTTGGGGACAACTTTGGGTTAAGATGTTTGGAGTATAGCCAGATACTCATGGTTGTCGAGCGGTCTCGGTGGAGTGGCGTTGTTGTGTGCCGGCTGCCCTGACAACCGCCCGACAAGTGACCAGGATGGCGTCGCTTCCTCTTTAGGACGAACTCGACCACCAAGTCTGATGCTCACCGGAGGCCATCACCACTCCTCTCCACAGCGCTCTTCTCAGCACTTTGACGTCAGGCCCTATGCGCCGCATACTCGGCCTTTGCAGACTGCGCCTCCGAGTGCTAGGGTCCGCGGGCCTGCCCTACAATGATTTGGCTTTATTTCCCCGCTGATTGGCGGCTTTGGGATCCACGCGTTCTTGCTTTTGGCAGCTACTCGCCTATGCCGCATCTTGTACTCCAGCAAACCGGTGTGACTTCGGATGACAGCAAGCATCTCACATCCTGTGTATTGGCGTGTCGACTACCAGCGCACCCCCATCACTAGTTGTGCTGTCGCTGCGGCATTTTCACAACGTCTTGCGTCTTGCGTCGTTCGGCCCTTCGCTTGACGAATTGTCACGTCGCCTTGAATAGCCAGGAGTGGGATGCCACCGTCCGAAGGAACACCCCCATGCCAGCAGTTCCCCCACTTCGTGGTGCCAGCTAGCATCCTTTTGCATGCTGCACAGACAAGGAAACCAATTTCATGAGGGTAATCGTATCACTTGCGCCCAATCGACGCCTGCAAGGCCATCTACCACTCAGCTGCTCCACCCGACGTGCATTTCTTTTTGCAGGGCTTTGGTAGAGCCTCAAGCCCGTGAGCAACGGCTGTCCTTGCTCCGAGGCTCAGGTCGCTTCCCCTGGTAGCCGTCTTTCTCATCTAGATCGAGTCTCAAAGAGGAAGTATAACGTGCGTCAATGCAACGTGTGATAGGACCCAGTGCCACTCGTTCGGGGCCTCGTTTGGCGACCGTTGGCTTGAATCCTCGGGGAGTGCCTCGTCACGCGAGCATGCCGACTGGAATGTCATCCATCACCACAAACCCGCCACTATGCATTCGATACCTTGCATCTGTTGGTCTGTCGCCCTGGGCTTCCCCGCAATCACCGTGCTTGCTTTCAAACCCCCTTGCAGCTGATCATGCATGCCATCCATTCGCTGCGTTTGCCAATTTTTCCTCGATGCAGATGTCGGCATCTTGTCAGCCTCCCACGCTGTCACTGGCCCATCCCACAACGTTCTGGAGGCTTTGTTACCGGCTTCACAATGCCTGTGCGCTGGCTGTCGTAGGTCGAAGCGGTGGCCCAAGGTGAAGTCGCGCCAACAGCGTTTAGATTCAAATAGCTCCCCCGCTCTCACATACTGTGCCATCCAGCCTTACCACAAAATGCGTAGCGCACCCCTGCCGCTGCCGTAACTTTACTTCACCATCTCCTTAGCTTAGTTTTGCGGCGTGACCTATGGCCGCCAAAGTGGGTTCGGCATTTTAGTCCAACTACTGACAGCAACTCTTAGCACTTGCCACTATCTTACCTTCTCTCTCACAATCTTTCGGCATGTTTCGCCAGTCAACGGCACACTTGAGGCGCTTGGCCTCGCCCTTGCTCAAGCGAGGCGGCTATCGATTCCGAACGACTGCATCGGAGCAAAAGTCAAGGTCTACATATGGCTACAAACCGTTTTGGAACTCGGGCCGCGTGCTTCTCTTTTCTGCTGTGACAGGCACAACCACTTACTTCTACGGTGCAAACGACGAGGCAGGGCGATTTCACATCCCCTGGCGCAGAGCTCCCGGCCCGCAATATGCAAACAAGCACGAGATGGAAAGGGCAAGTTGCTTCACTTCTGATCCAGCAAGCAATTACTGACTCCCCTCACAGGCTATCAAAGAACTAAGGAAGGTCCTTGGAGAGGATGCAATCAGTACTGATGACGATGACCTACACCGACACGGATATTCAGAGTGGTCATCAATCAACATCGAACAATTACCGGTGGCGGTCGCTTACCCAAAGTCAACTGAGGAGGTGTCGGAGCTAGCAAAAGTGTGCTACAGATACAAGATACCGATGAGTAGGAGGGTCCTAATGAGAGACGACCATGTGCTAAGACCGTACAGTCCCTTATTCTGGAGGTTCAAGCCTCGAAGCGAACTTCTCTGCTCCATTTGGCGGCATGAGCATCGACTTTAGCTTCATGGACCAAATTATAGAATTGCATGCGGATGAGTAGGTCGGCTCTCTGGCTTCGCACACAAGTTTGGACTGACTGGAGTGCAGCATGGACGTGGTTGTCCAGCCCTCGGTGCCTTGGATGAGCCTGAATGATCAGATCAAAGACTCGGGTCTCTTTTTTCCAGTGGATCCTGGTCCTTCTGTAAGCTGCAATTTTCCCAACAAATACCGGATGTCCGTATAAGGCAATTCCGGGCCAGTACTGACGAACGTGGTAGGCTAGGATTGGAGGCATGGTCGGAACAAGCTGCAGGTAATGCTGTCAATGTTCACATCGTGACAGCGCGGAGCTAAAAGTATACAGTGGAACCAATGCAGTCCGGTATGGTACCATGAAGGACTGGGTCATTAACCTGACAGTTGTCCTTGCAGATGGCACTGTGATCAAAACAAGGCGTCGACCACGGTATTGCCTTTGCAGTCTTATGTGTTAGACGGCCATACTGACGGGCGTACAGTAAATCATCAGCTGGATATAACCTGACCAACCTCTTTGTCGGCTCAGAAGGCACCCTGGGAATAGTTACGGAAATCACGCTGAAGCTGGCTGTAGTCCCGCAAGAAACGAGTGTCGCGGTTGTAACGTTCCCCACTATACGCGATGCAGCAGCTGCAGCATCGAAGGTGCTACGAACTGGGGTCCCTGTCGCCGCGATGGAGATTATGGACGATGTCCAGATGTCTGTTATCAATAGGGCTGGATCAACGAGCAAGAAGTGGAAAGAGGAACCGACAATGTTCTTCAAGTAAGTGCGCGGTTGAGTTGAGTGACCGAGAGTTGCATGCTGATCATCACTAGGTTTTCGGGGACCAAGGCAGGGGTGAGTTCAGCCCTACCATATATTACCCAGAATGGAACTGACTGCATACAGGTACGGGAGAACATCCAGCTGGTCAAGGAAATCGCCAAGGCGCACAAGAGCGGTGAATTCGAATTCGCTGTGAATCCCGAAGAGCAAAAGACACTTTGGTCCGCCCGCAAAGAATCGCTGTGGAGTATGCTTGCGCTTCGTCGCGAGGGCGATGAAGTATGGTCAACAGATGTTGCTGTGCCGATCTCCAGGCTTCCGGACATTATTGGTACACAGCGTCCCTTCTTTCGGTTGGAAACATGCTTACAATACTACAGAAATATCCAAGAAAGAGATGGACGATCTTGGCCTGTTTGCAAGCATTCTCGGCCACATCGGAGACGGCAACTTCCACGAGAGCATTATGTACAACAGCAAAGATCCCAAGGAGCGAGCAGCCGTAGAAAAGTGCGTGCACGACATGGTCGATCGCGCACTGGAGATGGACGGCACCTGTACCGGAGAACACGGCATTGGACTTGGAAAGAAGGCTTCCCTCCAGAAAGAGCTTGGCCTGGACACCATCAACGTGATGAGGAGCATCAAGGGCGCATTGGATCCGTATTGGCTCATGAATCCAGGAAAGATCATGGACGCGTTGGAGTGAACTCTGCGCGGTATTTGCTTTGGCATTTCCACTTCCTTACGTTCCTCGGTTTTACATTCCAACAAGCTTGCATTGGGCGGCCGTTTGCAATTTTCACATGCATTGGCCGGGAGCACTATAGAGTTAGCATAGGTCACTTCACTGTAGCAACTACTGGCGTTGTACATAATTCAGCAGAGCGCCGACTTTCTGGCGGGTTCTTTTTGTGAATGTTCGGACCTCCGTGATCGGTGTCGCGTTTTCCACCCCACACCCTCGTCATACCCCCAGAGAATCCCAATCTGTAATTGACTCACGGATTTCCAGATCCACAACACCAAACATGGACGCTGAACACTTTAGCTCGCCCAAGCGGGAGTTTCCCAAGAAGAAGTGCGGTATGCAGAGCATTGACTGCAAAGAAGACGATTTGCTGACTCACTTGAAGGTGTGTTGGGCGCAACAGGCTCAGTTGGCCAGCGCTTCATCCTTCTGCTCGCGCTCCACCCACATTTCGAACTACACGCTGTCGGCGCATCAGAGCGATCGGCGGGTAAGAAGTACAAAGATGCAGTCAAGTGGAAGCAAGCCATACCCTTCACGGAGCGGATTGGAAACTTGGTGGTGAAGAAATGCACGGCCGAAGAGTTCAAGGACTGCGACCTGGTCTTCTCTGGCCTGGACAGCGATGTTGCTGGCGACGTTGGTATGGAAGTAGGTTATGGTTGATCGCATCTTACTAATAAGCCACAGAAATGGCCTTCCTCAAGTCTAACCTCGCCGTCTTCTCCAACGCGAAGAACTACCGTCGCGACCCCCTCGTCCCGCTCGTCGTGCCCACCGTAAATCTGCCACATCTCGATGTGATCAAGCACCAACGGAAACACCATGGCTTGGAGAAGGGCTTCCTCGTGTGCAACTCTAACTGCGCAGTCATCGGCATAGTCATTCCCTTCGCTGCTCTACAAGACAAGTTCGGTCCCGTCGACCAGGTCTCCGTCGTCACGATGCAAGCTGTGTCAGGCGCAGGGTACCCCGGAGTCAGCAGCATGGACATCATCGACAACGTTGTGCCCTTCATCTCGGGCGAAGAAGACAAGCTTGAGACCGAGGCATCCAAGATTCTTGGAGGTATCAACGGAGATGTGACTGGCTTTGTGGACCAGCCGATGAAGATCTCGGCGGCTTGTAATCGCGTGCCGGTACTGGACGGCCACACTGCTTGCGTATCGCTGCGCTTCCAGAGACGCCCACCACCAAGTGCAGATGAGGTCAAGCAGGCCATGCACGAGTACGTGTCGGATGCACAGAAGCTGGGTTGCCCGTCTGCGCCTAAGAATGCTATTGTGGTAATGGAGGCACCGGACCGGCCACAGCCTAGGTTGGATAGGGAGACGGACAGAGGGTATGCTGTCAGTGTCGGTCGTGTAAGAGAGGACGAGTCGGGCATCTTCGACATCAAGTTTGTTGCTCTCAGTCACAACAGTAAGTCGTCGTGGTCCACATGAGCTTGAACCCAATGCTAACGAATCACAGCTGTCATTGGAGCAGCGGGTTCATCGATACTGAACGCAGAGGCAGCGGTACTGAAGGGCTATGCATGATTGAGCGAGAAGTTGGGAATGGGTTCCCGATAATATCATGAGTAGAGTAGAAGGTCGAGGAACAAGAATCATGCAGTTCAAAATGACGCTGTTCTACTACTAGACTGGCACAGTAGCACGAGTATATTGGTGTTCTGCTTCTAATTGAGCAACGTTGTTTTTGTGAATTGACTACATCGAACATTGGCTGCTACTACAGGCATTGAGTGATCGATTCAGCGTCCTGACACACCGCACTGATCTGATATGGCTGCCTAGATACATCGTCACGTACCCGGACACTATCTTCAAAGCGGCGATATTTGTACCACGCACTGCTGTACGTTTTTAACACATTTTCCTCTGACATCTTGACGAGTCAAGCAGTACTATGTGTTGCCATCTACAAGAGTACCATGAGGGAAAGTGGCGGGAGTAACAAAACAAGTCAGCGATCTGATAGCCTGAAGCTACACATGACTTTGCTGATCTTCAACTATTTTGGGCACATCTAAATAAATTCCACACGTTGTTTTAGCATGCCCCATGTCGATGTTCCCTTGTACTTGCGAGTTGAGCAGACGGCACCGCACGTGACGTGGTAGCGCGCCCCACATTCTAAGCGAAGTCATCCACACTCCGAATTCCTGTCGAGCAACGACTTTTCTCTCCAGGACACTCAAACTACTAACCTCACAACAACAGCCAAAATGGGTCGTGGTCCAAAGAAGCATCAGAAGCGCCTCAGCGCCCCTTCGCACTGGCTCCTGGACAAGCTGTCCGGTATGCTCGCCCAGCGCACTGCGACCGCAATTGCAGTCGCGCCAGGATTCGATATTTCGAGATCGAAACTGACATTTTCCAGGTGCCTATGCTCCCAAGGCCTCCCCCGGTCCTCACAAGCTCCGCGACTCGCTGCCTCTGGTCATCTTCCTCCGCAACCGCTTGAAGTACGCTCTCAACGCCCGTGAGGTCAATGCCATCCTCATGCAGCGCCTCGTCAAGGTTGACGGCAAGGTCCGCACCGACTCCACCTTCCCCTCGGGATTGATGGACGTCATCTCCATTGAGAAGACCGGCGAGAACTTCCGCCTGATCTACGACACCAAGGGCCGCTTCACCGTCCACAGGATAACAGATGAGGAGGCACAATACAAGCTCGGCAAGGTCAAGCGTGTGCAGCTCGGAAAGGGCGGCATTCCCTACTTGGTTACGCACGACGCGCGAACGTAAGTTCCCGCCTCTATCAGCCGTTGACCAATGTGTGGGCTAGGTGATCGAGGGCAACCTCTTTCACCAGGCATCCGACCAGGGTCTGGCGATGTCTGTGGCATGATGCTAAACATGTGTAGGATCCGTTACCCCGACCCCGCCATCAAGGTCAACGACACCGTCAAGATTGACCTGTCCACCGGCAAGGTCTCCGACTTCATCAAGTTCGACACTGGTGTGATCGTCATGGTCACTGGTGGTCGCAACATGGGTCGTGTTGGTGTCATCACTCACCGTGAGCGCCACGACGGAGGCTTCAACATTGTCCACTTGAAGGACGCTGTTGACAACGAGTTCACCACTCGTGAGACCAACGTTATGTAAGTTTGACTTTGAGAGGTTTAGCTGGGCTACACTAACACGCAGACAGCGTCATCGGTAAGGAGAAGCCATGGATCTCACTGCCCAAGGGTAAGGGTGTCAAGCTCTCCATTGCTGAGGAGCGTGACCGCCGCAGGGCCTACGCTCTTGCCGGCAACTAAGGGCGAGGCCGAGCGTGGTGTTAGACTAGCAATGAGATTCCAATGAAGGTATGACCATCGGTTAAAGTCCCGAATACCAAAAATCATCCGGCGTTTGGTCGCTCGTGGGGAGGTTCACGAGTCTGGGGCATACTGCATATCATACGAATACCAAATGAGAATCCAAGATTAAGCAAAACAAGTAATCATCTCGCGAAGTGATATGTGCAGGTACTATAACGTGGATGGCGGTGTCTAGAATATGTCGCTTAGCGATGGACAGTTTGGGGTTGCGTGCAGGGGCCGTCAGGAGGCGCCTATCTTTGGAGGTGTTTTGAGATGAAAGATGTGAGGCTCGGCGGGCCCTTGCAAGCATCAGGCAATGTGGGATACAAGCAATGAGGCGGGCAGAGGGATTCGAGGATGGGCTTCGATCCCCAGGCCTGCACGAGACTGGCGCGTTTGACAAGGAGGGCTGACGCAGAAACAGTGACGGGTAACGGGAAAAGCGTTTTGATTGACTGTGACGATCTGCAAGGCGTGCCTACTGGTCTGTGCGACGCGTGGAAGATGAGGAAATGAGACGAGATGAGCAGCGAAGACGAGGACGGACGGACTCGAAGCAGATCGTGGCGGGCCAACGAGCCTCGACGAGAGCGCAGAATCCGGAATGACAGCCGTTGCAGCAACGCATATCGAACAATCGATAGCGTTCCTGCGCCATCTCGTTTTTGGAAGCCTATCTTGGGCGGCGTCCTTCTAGCCGGTGTTCGCTCAACGTTCGCTCCAGCTCCCTCGGCGTGCGATTGGCCGAAGCGCTCTCACGGCGCCTCTCTGCATCTTGGTTTCCATCCCTCTAACCAACAATCCAGCACCGCCAGCAAACCTCCCCCGCATAGCTGTGCGCCCTCTCTTCGTGCCAATACAGCGAGACCAGCGTGCGCCCGGCTCCCTCGCGATACCAATGCCATAGCAAGCAACACCCGTACAACCTCAACCGTCTCTCGTTTCACAATAGCCTCGTCTTCGGCCACACGCCCACCACCGCGCAGCTGAAAAGAGCGCGCCTGCACGCCGCGACCCTCGCCCAACACCACGCACCACGCAGAGTCTCGAGAGCCGGTCTCTGGCGAGCCGGATCCTCGCCGCAGACTCGCGCATTCTTCGCCAACATGCTTCGGCCGGCCACCCCCCTATCGATTCTATTCTTCATCGCCTTCTGCTTGCTGCTGCTGTCGACGCTGTCGACGCCCGTCATCCCGGCCATTCCAATCGCTACCTACCGCGGCATCAACTTCGGCGTGCTCGGCTACTGCGTCGATGGCAAGTGCGACGGGCCCATGATCGGGTACGACACTGGTACGTTCAAAGTCGCTTCCACCGCTGAGACAGCCACGCGCCCAGAACACTAACAATTGCTGCAGAGCAGCTATTCCGCAACCAACCCACGCCCGACTTCTCGCTCCCCGCCGCTTCGCGCCATGCCCTGTCGTCCATTCTCATCGTGCATCCAGTGGCTGCCTTCATGACGCTGATATGCTTCGCGCTAGCCGTCGCCGCCCACTTTCACTCGCCCGCCCATTCGCCGCGCTACCTTCTTGCGCTGCTGATATTCACGTTCCCTACGCTTCTCGTTTCACTGCTCGCTTTCCTCGTCGACATCCTGCTGTTCGTGCCCCACGTGGCTTGGGGAGGATGGATCGTGCTGGCTGCCACCATTATCATTGTCGCGAGCGGCATCGTGACGTGCGCTATGAGGCGCACGCTGGTCAGTCGCAAGGCCAGGAAGAAGCGCATTGCAGAGAACGAAGATATGAACGGCCAGACCTACTACGCCAACCGCGCCACTGCCGCAACCACCCAGTCCGAGTTTCCCAAGGCGGAATCGCCGCCTCCATTCTCCGGCGACGTCATGTCTGGACAGCAGGGCAACGACTTTGCATCTTTCGATATGCGCAAACAAAACTCCCCCGAGGACATGACCCCGCTGAACCAACGCAACCCTTCGCTCAAGACCGTCAGCAGTGGTGGCAATGGCTCAGACGGCCTGTCCCCACCACAACGCGGTCCTTCAGATCGCCGACACCCAATCGACCAGTATGGCAACCCGGTGCCTCCCATGCCCAATGACGCCATGATGATGATGAATGGTCCACCTCGGGGACCACCTGGACCAGGAAGAGGTGGACCGTACAGAGGGAGAGGAGGGCCACGAGGAGGGCCTTATGGAGGTGGAGGCCGAGGCGGCTATGGACCACCCCGAGGTGGCATGCGAGGCCCACCACCCCCCGGGATGGAATGGTGGGGGACGAGGCATGCGTCCTCCCCAGGGTGTTCCCATGAACGGACCAGGTCCTGGGCGAGGAGGACCTCCACCTGGCTACAATAACAACAACTATGGACCTGGACCAGGCGGACCACCGCGAGAGGTATCGCCATACGGCAACAGAGGACCTCCTCCAACTGGCCCTCTACCAATACCCATTGGACAAGCTATCGAGATGGACAACCGTACTGGCACACCCCCCGTGAACAATAATAACAACCAAAACTATGGTCTCAGAGAGAGTGATGGCGATGTCCAGGGAATGTTGGCGCTTCAGCAGGGAGGATTCCCGTCAGGTGCACCACAACGGCGACCTTCTAATGGCACTGGGTTGACGAGCCCGACTAGCGAATACTCCACCGAGTAAGTTGAGAATGAATCCGCACCCTAGACACAACTGACATCATGTAGTGGCGCACAACAATATCCACCTCTGCAGTCCGGCTGGAATGGCCAGAAGCCAGCTTCAGATCAGACACTTCAAACACTGAACAACAGCAATAGCAGCCGTGGTCTCTCCCCGATACAAGACTCCCCAGTTGAGCTTCCTACTCAATTATCACATGTCGGACAACTACCACCAGTGGCTGCCCACAACCAGGGGCCGAGCTCAGACTACTATGAAGATGTAGATCCCAAATTTGCGGAGCCCGCCCGATCAAACCCACCTCCAATGCCCTCATCACTCATGCCAGGCGGATACGCGCAGCAAAATATCTCGAACCCCAGCTTTCTCGCCGCGCCACCACCGCTGAACTCGAGCGATCCAAACCTTCCTCGTACATCTTCGTACGACGACCTACCAGATGGTTCACGCTCACCAGCCGCATCAGAAGCATCACACTTCACTTCTGTCTCACAACGTCCCGTTAACCCCAACTGGAGACCGGAGATGGGTGCCCCGGCCGGCCAATTTGGTCCCTACCCTGGACCTGGCGGCCCAATGCCTAGACGTCCCATGAGGCAGGAAGATGTCATCCTTGAAGCAAACGCTGCGAACCCCGATTTCGCGATACCAGGCGCCATGCCAGGACGTGGACGGGGTCGCGGGCGAGGAGGACGAGGCGGCGGCATGGGACCGCCACCACCTTCGATGCTCGGACCGGGTCTAAGCAACACGTCGAGATACCCCGGTGCAAACATGTAGGATGTCCAGCACTTGCCGCGCATCTTTTAACCCTTCCATATCGCCCTCGAGTCGTACAGGAGCGTCTATACACTTTCTCCGCCCACTTTTAAAATACCTCTCCACAAAGAAACGCCAACAGGACCCTACCTTTTTTTCGGCATGGTCAACGACTCTTTAGTACTAAACCTACCTTAATTTCTAGTCCCAGCTTTTCGGGCTGTCACTTCTTCTTTTCTTTTCCGGCATGCTTGCCCAACCAGCTACGTCTGTGGGCCGGCAGGTGAAGACGCCATATTTCTTCTGCACGAAACACGCATACAATCTTCCTCTTACTCTTCTGGTTTCCTTTCTCTTTCTCTTTCTCTTTCTCTTTTTTTTTCTGTTGGATTCCAAAGCGATCTAGATATGGGCCAGACCTGCAAATGACGATACCACACGTCTTGCAATGCGGGTACTGGCGCGATGCGAGCATACTCGTGTATATACCGAGAGGTGGATTGGATTGGATTGGATTGGGGCGCAGAGCGGAAATGGGTATGGGAGTAGGATAGGATAGGGTAGGAAACATTGAAATACAAAGGCAATAAAAATACACACGCTGTGCCCTCTCTGTGACTCAGAGTGCATGTGAGGAGTAGGCATTGGATATCAAAGGTGTTGAATTTATCCAAGTCTTGTCTATGTGTTATGCTGTGACTCTCGAATGCGTATGTGGTATATTGTAGCTGTGCCCATCCCAAATGCCCTAACAACGTATGAAATGCAAAGCGCCAATGCCAGTGCCCCAACTCCTCTCCGCGCCGAAAATCAGATGCAAGAAAGCGAGTGTGTATCCGTCAAACTCTGTCCTCCGCGAAATCCAAGACTTCACAATCATCTTCGAAGAAGCCCTCCTCGTCTTCTTCCATTCCTTCCTTGCGCACGCGCCTCCGCCGGGTAGTGACGACAACCTGTTCGACTTCTTCCTCGCCGTCGCGGAGGATGAGCTTGTTCTCGATGCGAGCGGCGACGCCAGCGATGAAATCCTCGTCGCCGGAATCATAGGTGCGTGTAGCTGGCGACGACACGCGAACAGCCTCGACATCGTCGCCGAACAGCCATGGCGAATCATCGTTGGCCTGGTGGAGATTACTGACCAGACTTGGGGCCGGTGGTTGGAATTCGCTGCTACTTTCCTGGACTTCTGCAAGGGGCCTGGAGTAGACGAAGCGCGTGACACGGCGATCGGTGTAGAACGGCTGGTATGGTGGGTTCGTCTCGATCTCGGAAAAGCTGAGAGGTGCGGGAGAAGGCCCTATTGCTTTGGCACCAGACTTGCGCGACGGCAGAGAGCGTGGAAGCCACTCGCCGTAGAAACCTTGGGTTGGTTCTGCATCGCCTGGCTGGGGGAAGAGAACTTCAGCGATGGCTGGCGGCAGTGCTGCATCGCGAAGTGGAGCGAGACCGAATTCCACGACCTTCTTCTTCGAGATCGCAGTCGCATTTCCGGAATTGCCTTTGCCAGAAGAATGCCGCATTTGCACGCGCCAAATTTGAAGCACGCCGCCAGAGACGATGGCGATTGATCCTCGGCCTTTGCCCGACAGCCACCGCACACTATATGGCTTGACGCCACTGGGAGAGGTAGGAAGTGCGAGTTTGTTGTCACCAGCGTGGCGAATGTTGTTGATCGACTTCCCAACTCCAGCTGCCACAGCCTTGCCGGATTTCGCACCTGCAGCAGGAGTTACACCGAGGCTACTCAGACTGAACCGCGACCCTCCACCGGTGTTTCTCGCACGAACAGCGTCCAGCCAAGGTTTCGCCGTTCCGTTCAGGGTCTGCATCGCCGAAGTGATTGCACTTCCACGGCCTGCTGAAGTTGCGTCCTCCTTTGGTTTCGCAGGTACTGCTGGACGGATCCGTCGAGGAGGCGGCCATTGGAACGCCGATGCAGGCATTGGGAACATGTGAACAGTTCCCTTGTCAGTAATGACAGCTAGCTTGTCCATTCTCGGGGCCGACCACACCACATCAATCACATTGGTGACAGTCATTCGAGCAAATCGAGCAACTTGGCGTACGTGCGGGCCTGTGGCTAGATCTCTGGTACTCTTACGGGCTCTGCGCGATGTCATACGCTTCAAATCCCATACATCCTGGTAATCACCTTTCTTGCTAACGGTCATGAGCATGAGCCCACTGGGCGAAAAAGAGAGGAAGCTGCAGCCAAGTGAGGCAGGTATCGTCGCGATTGCGTGTAGAGCACTCTTGTTGCGCGTCTCTTCTGCATCCAGTAGCCTCTGCAGGTCGTAAACAGATGTGACAGTTGCCTCCTGCCTGGGTTGTGTTTGATTGTGGCCATGTGTAGGGGGGAAGTAGTGTTGCATAGGGTCCTGGCCGTATGACATGTTGGTAGTACCGTTTGCCTGGGGCGTCTTGTTCATATAAGCTTTGAAGGCTTGCATTCCCTTCTCTGTCGCCCAGCGCGCGCCCTTGATGGCGACCTGGGTGCCTTCTCTTGTGAGACGGTCGATCAAACTGGCAGCTTCCGGTGCTTCTACAGTACAATTTGCTGACGGCTGAGGTGGCACTGTATGGTGTGTAATACCGGGTGGGCGCTCATAGTACGGTGAAGTCAGGGCCACGCCATCTAGAGCATAGAGAGCACTTGAGCCAGGAGGAGTGACAGCGAGCCATCGGTCGGACAAGGAAAAGACGGGCACTCCATATTTCTCGAGAGGCGTCTCATCTTGGCTGCCGTCTGCAGCACTCGAAGCACTGGAATGAACTGGGCGGTCACGTATCTGAACAGATGTCCAGACCTTGCCTATGCATCGGTATCGTTCAGAATAGTCTTCATGACCTTTGAGATACGGGGCAAAGATGAACACTTCACCACTGGAGCCAGATGCAACAACTACGAACTTGCCTTTGGCGTCCACCACAAATTCGCCGACCGGGGGCGGCGGCTGAAACATGGGACTTTCGACGGGACTAAGCAGAGGTACCAACGGGCTCCTGTACAATGTTGCCAGTCTGCGAGACTCCTTCAGCGAATAGATGTCGACAGAAGTTTGGTAAGCAGAGACTTGGGCAGAAGGGCCACCGTGGTTGGAAGACGGCCTGCTCGGAGATTCTGACGCGGAATCGTCAACGACGGAAGAAGAGCCACTGCCGCTCTGGCTGCTGCGACTTTCTCGGAGAACGGGCCCGTGGAGTGTAACGGCAATCAGGGGCCTTGACTGTATCAGCGGATCTCTCCGCGATGTCCAAGGCAGGATCTTAGCGCCTATGACGGCGCCTTGAAGACCCTCCAGCCGCCCTATGATCTCAAGCTTGCCCTTCTCGACTCTGAAGACGTCCAGACTGCCTTGCTGACCAACCAGTAGCACGTTCTCAGCTACTCGTGCGGCATCGTCGCCTGCCGTCATCAGAGTGTCGAAGCCACAGAAGAAGCCCCCTTCCCCTGGCGGTATGCCATCGCCGGCGGCATTGTTGAGACCAAGATCGAGGTCAGTCAGGCCGTAGAAATGCGCTTGCGGCTGGTGGGGCAGAGGCGGATTAGGGGCGAAATGCTGCGATGGGGCGCGTGCGCCGTGGTGGGAGTACATGGAAGCTCTGCGGTCCCTGGCGGAGTCTCGGGGCGAGTTCTGTAGGCGGCCACCAAAGTTGGTCTGCTGGGTCGGATGGCTCAGGGGCCGCATGCCTGGCGGTGAGTTGGACATGGGCTGCTGGGCGTAGAGTCCTTCTCGGGCGCCAGGCGAGCTGTGCAGAGTCGGTGGAGAGCCCGCTATAGCTATCCCGCCCGTGTTTGGGGAAGCCTGGTTGGTGAAGAAGGGCACCGACTTGGTCCACTCGTTTGTGTACTGGGCAGCGGTGCCTCGTGTAGCGCCCAGAGCGGACAGCAGCGGGGAGGTGGTCGCATTGTAGGACACGGGCGGCGAGGCAGAGGATAGGCGTCTGGCGGCAGGCGGCGACTTTGTTCTGCGGTACAGTCAGTTTGACGCACAGAGTGGTGGCCACTCTACGTACACCTCTCGGGGATAAATCCGCGTAACGCGCTCGCGGCGTCTATCTCGTCTTCCCAGCTCATTTCTCGCCGTGTCGCGGGGCTGGGGCTGGGGCGTGTCCTGGACCTTGTTGCCGCGAATGCGCTGTTGCCGGTGGAGCGAGGTGAGGTTGGAAACAGGCGCCGTCGACTCGGTATTGGGCGATGGGCTCATTCAAGATGCTGTGCGGTGCTCGGCGTGTGTAGCTCGGGGCCGTCTCTTCTGCAGCGTCGTGGGGTGTGGAAGGGAGGTTCGAGGGTAGCGCGGGATGCGGGATGGAAGCTCCAGGACAAAGACGGCTGCTGCGTCACGCGCCGGCCAGGACGCTGACCTTGGAGAATGATCTGGTCCCGTGCCAGGAGAGACCCGGGAAGCTGCGTTACGTCAATAGGGCTGGTGCCTGACCCAGCGTGTTATCTATGCTGCGTGTGTTTACGGCGTGGTGTTGTTGCGGGAAGTGGGAAGTGGGATGCGGGATGCGGGATGCGGATGCGGATGCGGGATGCGCGGGGAGAGCTTCACGCGCAACTGTCTCGGACTCCCTTGGTGTTCTATGCAAGCGGGAGAGAGGAGTCAAGCTATCGCAGGTCACAGCTCGAGTCTATCCAGTAGTCTAGTGCTATCCAAGTGTTGAGCACTTGATCACGTTATGCAGGGTACACTACACTAAGTGCAGTAGCTTCCACTGGCCCATCAGCTTGTGAAGCCCATCATATCATGCAGGTGCATGCCGCTCTGATACCGTGTCATTCGCCGACCACTCCCGCCCACCAGCCCACCAGCCCTTTTACCGCCCCTTTGCCCCTCTCTTGGTCTCCTACAATCTAGCCACTGTGTACATTATATACTGCGAATCATCTTCTATGCTTCGTGGACACCACACATACCCCGCTGTTGGCTGGATGCGGCTCCCTGCATTCCGATGCCTATGACGCACTTGCACGTGGCCCGCTCGGCATTCGCCATGTCCCTCCACATCTCCACTCTGAGTCTTGCCAAGCCGTGCAACGCCGAGTATCATCATATTTTGTCGCCATGTCTTGCCATGTACAGAAAATCAAGTCAAATTATTGGTTGCATTTCCTATGTACCAGCCCTGATTCAACGCAGCATACACCGCCGCTGCTCCTTGGAGAGTACATGTACGCCAGTGACACCTTTATGATGTGACATGCCTCCCTGAAAGACTTCATCTACCCCCATGTCGCGCTGGTTGATCTCAAGCCTCACAGGGCGTCCTATTCGGCCGCCATGTCGCTGTGGTCACGATTCCTTGAAACCCAGCTTCTAGAAATCGTTCAATCCACCGAAACCACCGAAACCACCACGACCACCGCGCCCACCGCGTCCACCACGCCCTAACCCATCACCCTGTCCTCCCAGATCACTTCGTCCCTGGTCATGGAAATGGCCGCGACCACCACCCCGTTCTTGATCGGCATGATATCCGCCGCGACCAGGTGGGCCAGTGTAGCCCCCTCCTCGCGGATAGTCACCGAAGCCAGGACTGTTGCTAAAGGGAGACCCGCCCGCGTTTGTCGCTGAGCCAGGACCCCCTCGGCCACGCGTCGACGATCTTGTCTCGTATCTACCGCGACCCAACCCAAGTGTACTGAGAAAGCTTCCACCATGACCAACATTGTTTTGGGCTTCGGGACCTGGCTGATTCATTGCACCATCTCCAAGGGTTCTACCCGGACCCGTAAACAATCCACTAGATGCACTGAAATTGCCAAGAGTCGGCAATGTAAAGTTATCAAATTGCGCCCACGGGCCTTGCTGAGGCGCGGTCTGCGAATGCGGGTTCTGCATGTATGGATAATTGAAATGTGGCATATGCGGATTTGGACCCTGTGGACCCAGTGGGCCCAGTGGCATGTACATTGGCGGCAGCTGTGGCAGCTGTGACAACTGTGGCGGTGGTGTATGTGCTGGCTTGAGTGCTTTTGTAGCGTCGCGAGCCCTCTTAAGGGACGCAGCCGAGGAGGCCTGAGTATGGGGTTGAGGATCTGGAACAATCTTCGAAGCCCCGTACTTGTAAAGCGCCGCCTGTAGTTGTGGAAGTATTGAGTCGAGGCCGTCGTGGCTCTGTGCCGAGAGACGTTGCATGGCAGCCATGTCCTCGTCGTCCAAACCCGCGGCAGAAAAATCAATATGCCTGAATGGCTGGTCCGGTGTTTTCTTCTTCGACCACGCTACAGCGGTATGCAAGATCTTGTCTGCGTTTGCGGTGAAGTGCCGATCGACCACGTCCTTCCATATTGGCGGTGTGTTCTCGATCCACTCCAACATTGCCGTTCGTATTGTGTTTCGACAAGTCTTCGCATTATAAACTGCAGATGGACCTTCAGATTGGTCACAGGAACCATAGGAACGCCCCGGCTCGTTGTACCAAGGCTCTTCGCACAGTATCATCGCTTGTATCGAAATCACCACTTGTAGAAGCGTGGACTCTCCGGGTACCCAAGGCTCACCTAAAAATGTGTTAGTCTACGATACAGGTGATTGTCGACAAAGCTATGCTTACCTTGCCATGTTCCAAGTAGGCTCAAGCACACCTTTCCGTCAGCATACAAGTTGGGATTGAAGTCGACCCTGCCGCCGCCTGTAGTTTTGAATTGTACCAGCGGTGGCTTGTTGGGGAAATCAGCATCGCAGAAAAGATCAAATTCGAAAATCCCGTTCGCGTATGGTGTACCTTCAGGTCCGATGATCACGGCCTTCTGTACATCCGGTCGTGATTCAGCATACCTAACGAAGATGCCCGGTGGCAGTCCCGTCTTCAAGGTGGTAATCTGGCTGATGAGACTCTTGAAGCGGCCAGATGGAGGCGAAATCAGCGCCCGTGCAAGCGGACCGTAAGCATGTGATACTAGGATCGCACCATCAGGTAGATCAGCCAGCGCGGGGATCTCTGGCTTGCTCTTGGGGGGAGTGGCTCTTACGGACGTGCCAGAATTCGCAACCAGGTAGCCCCGAAGGTCGGTGATCTGGCGACACAGCAGCAGGAGATTCTGACCTCCGGCAGTCTGAAACTCTTTCTCGTTGCGCTTCGCACCTTGTAGTACGAGCTTGCTTTGTGCGTCCAGATTGGTGAGGATCTTCAGTAGTGACAATGACGTATCTGTCGACAGTCCAGGACCTTCATGAAAAGACAAGGTCAGGAGATTGATCTTATCCTCCTTAAAAGGCCGCTCGTTGTAAACAGTCGCACTTGCCGTACTAGAATGTGCACCGAGTGTTCTTACCAGACATATGAGCGCATGATACAAATCTCTCCTCTTTGTGGCATCTTCCAGGGAGTCGTTCCGTAAAAGCTCTGCGCAGTAATTCAGGAGCTTGCTACCAACCAGCATTTCGGCCAAACACTCTGGCGGATCCATATCGAAGTTCGACTCGCGTTCGAATACAGGGAGTAGAGACTCTATGAGATGTAGATGCAATTCGTAGAACCGATCCTCGTTCTGCTGCGTTGCAAGAGCTTTGGCCTTACCACTGGTGTTGGTTGCAGCCGCCTGGAACTGGTGTTCACTAAGCGTATGTCCGGGACCCCATACAAGGCTGTCATCGAAATCGCTGTCGTAGCCCATACCAGGTCTTGAAGAACCACTGAATCCTATCCCGGCTCGTCCTCGTCCTCGTCCTCGCTGTGATGTTCCGCGCTCAACTTCTTGCGGCTGTTGTATTGGCTTGCGGTGCGCTGCTTCACTGACCTTGATGGCAGAGAAATGTTCGTCCAGACTGCACAATATTATCCAGAGTAGCAGGGTTCGTCCGCCAGCGCAGCACCAGGTGACCTCCTTACCATGCACACTGCTTAACGACCAAGGCATTGACGGCCCGGGCACACAGGAAATGCAACGCGAGTCCTCGCAGTTTGTGCATTTTAACAGCGACGAGAGCACCATATTTCCACTCTTCCAGTCCTTCAGCAACAGTTCTATGTCGCGCTCTGATTTGAAGAAGACTTTCTCACACGTAAAGCATCGAGCTGACTTGACATGCGCCAGAAAGGCTGCAAATGTTCCAAAGGTCTTTCCGTTTGGGGTCTCGGAATGATACTTCGCGACCTTACGTTTGTCTTTCTTGGAAGTCCACGGCGAGGCTTTTGGCGGAGGTGCACGTTGATCCCAACGAGATGAACGGTTGGGGGCCGATGCATCGCCCTTCGTATGATGTTGACCATTTGCTTCGCCGAATTGCAGCTCAAGAGCATATGCAAAGTCATCCCCATCGTCGTAGCCAGGCCGTTGCTGGGAGGGACCAGCGCCGCTAGTAGTAGCCTGTCCTCCGTTGATTTCTTTGGAAATCTGCACGGCTAGTTGGTAGTCGGCATCCTCGTTGTGCTGGGGACTAGCGGAGCGAGATCGGCGGGCCTTTCCAGGCCGTGACATGATGGTGTTGAAGACTCTCGAGAGTTATACGCGGTAAAGTGGGCGCTCTTATGCTTGTAGTTGAGAGCAGCAAGCGAGTGGAGTGGTAGAGAGACGAGGATATTTGGTAGCAAGAGCGCTTGCTATTGAGAATACGAGACTATCCCGGTGGGTTACCTTCACTCGTACAAGCGCCGCAATGGTCCTAGGGAAACTGTGCAAGGCTGGGCCTTCGCTCGTATGCGAGTGCGTACTGTGACTGCGTTGTAGAAATGAAAGAGGGCACGAAATATGAAAAGATGTTCAAGTGAGCTGTGTTACGCGAGCTAGAGTAACAAACAGGAACAGCGGGGCCGGATTAGGTGGGAAGCCGCAGTCTAAAGAGTGGTAGGCGCGACCATGGAACCTGGGCCAATCATTTCAGGGACCATGCATGTGAGGCTGAGACTTCCCCAAACAATGACCCGTCGACCGTAACATGAGAAATCGCAATGCGTTTCCTGTGATCTGTCAAAAAACGCCGTTTAACTTCGGGTGGCTGCGTGCGTATAGATCAGTCTGACGTCACGTGTCGTAGATTTGACTAGCATTCACTTCGAACGTCGCGATTCACTTAGACTGCCCGATCGGCATTGACCGCCGCTACACAAAAGTCTAAACGATGAAAACCTGTTCATTCACCAGGAAAGGTTCTTTCAAGACGGAGCCGGGTGATCGCAGACATTCCTCCCCAACAACTATACTGCCATCAGAGTCCGCCACATACTGCGCCAATTTCTACTACTACTTAACAACCACCTCGAAGGACTCAGACTGCACCGCCACCAAACCCTTACCACCAACTTCACGATCCTGCACTTCCACAACATCGCCCGCCTTCTCCCCATCGTTATCAGGATCCGGAACCCCAAACAACACCGCCTGCAAGAACCCCACATTTCCCGCCTTCTCCAGAGCCACCAAGCCACTCCCATGCATCATCCCAAACGTTGTTCCAGGCTTCGGGTGCAGGAAATCCGGGAGAGAATACGGCCACGGCTTTGTGGACATGTTGACAACTGGCTGAGTGTGCGATGGCTTTGCAAATGTGTAGGCCATGTGCGGAGTGTAAGTTGCCAGAGCAGGCGACTTCGGCACCGCAAACACGGAGAGGTTGATGCGCTCAACGTCGAGTGAAATGCCGCTTAGGAGCAGGGGACGCATCATGCCGGGGTCGAAGGCGCTGTATGTGGTCATCCAGTGTGGACCGTCATCTTCGTCCTGGACTATGTTGCCGTGTGGAAATTGTGGGAGGGAAAGATTCGGCTCCCACTGCGCCACACGGGACTTGGCTGCTGAGATGTCGGCGGGGAATGAGCGGCGGGTGAGACGCGCAGTTGCTTGTTGGAACATTGCGGGTAGAGCTTCGGTATGTGTTTATGTATGGTTGGGATGAATTCGTGTGTGGACAGGAAGTGGGTTTTAGTTGAGAGGGATGGGAGAAGATGTGAGCGAGAAATGAGGGAGGGAGAATAAATATGTCTTAGTTTGGAATTGTTTACTATGAAGATGTAGATTCTTTCACTGCACCCGCTAGGCATTTGTGAGGAACAGTGGCACAATGTAGATGCCTTGGCAATTGTGTCTACACAGTGTGGCAGTATGGCACCTAGTGATTGAGGACGTCGAGTCACTGCTGAAAGACATTTTCAAGAGTGTACGATATTTCTCAAACTCGCTCGTAAAGGATAAAGTCTGGCCGGCAGCCTGCTGCGAACCATGGTCATAAATCAAACTTGGAGACTAGTGCAATTGACCCACAAACGAACCAGACTAATCAGACGGGCACTAGGGATAGATACAGTAGCAAATGTTCATGTGATGTGTACATTAATATTTTGAGCCGCCAGTGTTGTGCGACTTGGTGGTATACAAAATCAAGAATTACAAATACCAGAACTTATTTTCAGACATGTACAGAAACAATGATGATACAAGAGCCCAATTAAAGCAATAGATGATGGGGTATTCAACTTTAAAACTGGCAAACAACATGCCTAGATCGCTCAGAATGCATCGCAATGCAGAAGCAAGATAGACACATGGGATCCAGTATATAGACAAACGGCGACTGAGCAGTGACATAAGGAAAAGTAGACTATGCAACAGGATAAAAAGAATGGGGACGGAATCAGTCGTCGGTCCAATACTGTGGGACCCACTCCTGTCCCGGATATGAAGTAGCTCGCATGGCCGGCTCGTCGTCTTCGACAGCAGGCAGCTCAAAGACCTGCCGATTGCTACTGCCACGTCGTTCCCAACCGGGCTGGCCACCATTGCGACTGCCACCAACGCTGCGTATGCTACCAACAGCTGCACCGCCAGAGACACTGCGCTCTAGTTCTCGAGCCCTTGCTCGCGCAGCCTCGCGTTCTTGCTTTTCACGTTCAGACTCGGCACGCTGGATTTGAGCACGCTGAATGCGTTCCATGCGCGCGTGTTCCTCTTGCTGCAGGAGTTGACGGCGCAGAGACTCTGCACCCATGTCGGCTTCGGATCGCTGAGGCGATGCGGCCATGGATGCTGGCTGAGGGTGCTGCAGGATGCCTATAGAGGCTTGACGCGATCGATATTCATCCTGCCGGCCTCGTGGGTTGAGATCAACATTGGTTGCGATATTCGGTGGGCGTGGTTGCTCTGGGCGGCTCTTGTTCAGCCCGTCGTTGGGTACACCAGGACCGTCATAGGATGGAGGAGGTTCATCTACTAGGGACCGTTCATACGACGATTCTTCATGTGGTGGCTGTGAATAGTGCTCGTCTTGTGGGAGTGAAGGCTCGTACTGCTCGCGATTCACACCTGTATCTTGCTGTCCAGGGGACGGTGAAGGATGAGAGGCCATCGTCCTTGGATGCATAGGGCTGTGGGGCGATTTTGGTAGTGACAGCGGTGGAGCTGGGAGTAGATTCTCAAGCGGGTTTGCGGAGCTCATGCTTCTGTTTGCATCAGGTGACATGGGTAGAGGATAAGCTGCAGGCTGATGAGGTTGCTCTGATCGAAGCGACGCAAGGAGTGGGAGTTGTGGACTTCCACCAGACTTGTCCTGGTCCATGTCACGTGGAGACTGATGCTGTTGATAAGGCTGTGGAGAGGTACGTGGTAGAAGCTCCCTATAACCCCCGTCTTGTTGCTGAGGTACGGACTTCTGCATCAAAGGCTGTGAAAATGATGGACTATGGGGCGAGGCACGTGGCGAAGGTGACTGCTTTACTCGCTCAGCATGTTGTTGCTCCCGCACAGTGAACTGCTGTTGCATAAATTGCTTTTGACGTGCTCGAACAATTTCTTGCTCCGTAGCGCCTTCGGGGACGTCAAGATGCCACGGTCGTTCCGACGTGCCTTGAACTTCAGATATGCTGCTCATCCTTGACTTATGTGTCCGCTGATCGGGCAGAGAGGGTACGATTGGTACACTCTGAGCAGGAGCTCCAATAGGTGAGACTACAGAAACAGTGCTTGCGTCGGAATGGGTTCTGTTATTAGGCGGCATTTGAGACTGTGCGGACACTTGTGGTGATATCGTTGGCATGCGTGGATCGGAATATTGTCTGTGATACTGCTCAGGCTGTATCTCCGACTGGGCACTTGCCACGAACCGAGACTGCTCCCTGTCTATTGGCGAAATGAACGCGCCTGACACATGGCTGTATGCTGCAGGAATTTGAGGTGTCTCATACTGAGGTTCAATTGGCGTACTGACGTGACGCTGTGTAGTCGGCACCTGATTTTGGACGCTATGATTGGGCAATGGCCCAGAAACTGCGCGTTGGTTGAAGGCGGGTGGCTCTGTCTCTGGATTTGGTCGCGAGCGAAGCTGTTCTTCTATTTGCTCTCGCTCTTGGTGTCTCCGGAGATCGTCGTTCGAGGCATCGACGTTTCCGTTCATAGAGTCATCATGTTGACGGGCTTTATCAGGATGCAAATGATCAGATCGCAAGCCAGATACCTGATCTTGCTGGGGCTGTTGACGCTGAGCCATCGAAGCGCTGGAAGAATCCTTGCGAGGCTCTGGTCGTCCATGTTGATACTGTGCTTGTTCTGCGGTAGGTCCGTTGATACCACGTCGCTCAGATTCAAGCTGTAGGCGAATTTGTTCCAGTCGAAGCCGTTCCGCGTGCAACGCCCTATAAGCTTCTATCTCCTGCGCTGAAGGTTGTCGACGATCAGTCGGAGGAATCCCATCTGTTCCTTGGCTTGGCGAGTCGTTTTGACGCAGCTGATCTACGGCTTGCCGAGGTATTTGGTTCGCATTGAAAGCCACCCCTTGATCAGGCACGATACGAGTCTGTTTTGTATTATAGTACCCGCCAGGAGGAGGACCATAGTTTGGCTGTTGAGGCTGCTGAGCATGGTGACCAATGGGCAGACTTGTGGGCTGTGTCGTTGGCGGAGATTTTGGTCCCATAGTTTGGCCAACAGCTGTAAGTACTTGCAGAGCTTTATGTTGTTCAGCCAGTTGTCTTGTACTCAAATATGCAGAGCCTTGATCTGATGGAATTGCTTGCGGGGGCTGCTGCGAAGGCAACCTGGGCTGCGCCTGTTGATAATGCTGCGATGGTCCGTAGGGATCCATACCCTGCGCACCTTGTAAGCTCGCAGGTGACATTGTCTGTGCAGGAGCAAATTGCGGGCCTATAGTCTGCATCTGCTGCGGAGGGTAGTGTCCCGGGGGGTATTGCCCAGGAGTGTACGGCATGCCATTTTGCTGAGGCCGAAATTGTGGCTGCAGTGGAGGCCATTGCGTTGGTGCGCCTTGCATCTGTAGCGGAGCAGACTGTCGCTGTGCCTTTTGAGCCTTCTTCTGCTCTTTCGACAACTTGGGCTCATTGACTCGACTGAACATATTGCCCAATGAAGAGAACCTTTTCTTCTTCCCTGTCTCTGGACCGCCGCTCACGTGTGTTTGATGTGACGGTGGCTGAGTATTATGCTTTGGAGGACCATGAGGTAAAATCTGTGGCGGGATGCCTTGGAATGGCATGGGGCTAGCGGGCTTCCTTAGATCGACACGAGAATGAGTTGGTTGAGCATGAGTAGAGCCTTGGCTACCGTGGCTGAAATGCGATTCGGCCCCATTGCTAGGCGGCCGATTTGGTGACGCAGACGATACAGCTTGATTTCCAAGTCTTGGTTGCTCAGGGTGTAGACTGCTTACGCCTGAATGATATGAAGCATTTCTGTTCGGATCGATTGCCGCCTGATGTTGGTTATGGGTTACTGCGGCATTAGGCGCATTTGCATGGTTTCCTTGTAACTTGCCACCGAGATTCTTGAAAACTGCAGATAGCTTCGGCATAGATGACGACTTTTCCTGTTGCTTCGAGGGTTGCTGTGCAGACACTTGTGGGCCACCATAAAGACCAGCACCAGCCCCACCTTGTTGATGATACTGTCCTTGGAGTTGCATCCTTTGTTGCTGCAATTCGTACTCGCTTCTCGGTGTCGGCAGGGACCCAGGCTGTTGCCTTGCAAGATGATATCCGTGTTGAGGTGCCGTAATTTGTCCTGACATGCCAGTCTGTTGCGGCATAGACTGTCCTGGCCCGCCATATATGTGAGGACCTTGAACTCCGTGATTAACCATTTGAGAAGGTTGAGACGCATGTCCGTTCGCCAACTGTGGTTGAGATAAGGTTGAGCCTGACTGTTCACGTGGATCGGAAGTCTGTGCTGCAGGTACTTGGGTCCGTGGGTGCTCTTGAGATCCAAGTTGCGGCGTGCTGAACATGTTTGACTGCTGGAGAACTGAATCTGGTGACATCGTGGAGTACACCGCACTGTTCGAAACATGACTGGGCTGTTGATTTTGCATGGAACCTTGCTCGGCGATTGAACGTGTGGGTAAATTGCCCTGCTTCAAAGGCTGATTGAGTTGGTCTTGCGGTCTGCCATCCTGATCGGTGGGGCCAGAAATGAAACTCATTGGCCTTTCTGTGCTGTATCTTCGCCCGTCCTCGCGATGCGCCTCTTTTAAACCCCCTGCAGCAGGTTCTTCAGGCTTGACGGGCTGAATTCTCTCGTCCCGTGGATCAGCATAAAGATCAAAATCGTCGTCGGTACCAGTGGGCGTATGATCTCCATTTGTTGTTGAAGACTCTTCCGGAATACGATCAGATGTTGAAGGGTTTTTGCCTGCAGAGTCGTGGTACATGCGACGAATTGTTGACGGAGTAGAGCGTCCAGCATTGCTCGAAGCGGGCGAGACTGGAGTGCCGCCTTCCGAGACCATGGAAGATATCATTGACAGCATCGATTTGGACCTCTCAGGAACTGTCAATTCCGAAGATTGCTGCTGTGGAAGGCGAATGGTATGCGAGGGGATTTCATGGCCCTCGAAGTAGCCATTCGGCGCTGCTACATGTCTTGCGTTGTTATTCGACCGTTCAGCCTCGTCAGCCTGGGCATGTTGAACAATCTTCGGCACCGGCGCGATGGGTGTAACGAGTTCGCTCTCGTTCCTCATTTCGCTGGTTTGCCTGCTACCAGAAACCGAATTAGCGGAAGCACTATCGCGATCCCATGATGCAAAGGATGAATTCGACGCGCCATTCTCCTGAACGGCGCGAGCGGCGCGAGCGACGTGAACAGCGCCGCGCCATGCATGTGGCTCGTGCGTCGTCCCGTCAGCGCTACCAACCGTGTCCGGGGCGGGAAGCATGCCCTGTACCTCTTCGACCTCAGCTTGGGAGCCTACAACTGTGTTTTCCTCCCCCTCACCGCCAAGGCGTTTATGCGCAGCTGTATGTGAGCCTGTAGCCCCCTGCGCTCGCATTTTAGGGGGTCGCAACTCGCTTGCGTACCATACAGGGGCTGGGGAGATCGCTTGATCAACAGAGGACGCATCGCTAGAGATTCTTGCCTCGGTGACCGCGTCCAAAGATGTCTTTGCTATCTGGAATCTTGATGTTGATGTCGCTTTTGGCTCGCCTACTAAGGAGGTATGCTGAACCCCCAAGGCTTCAGGCCTGCTGTTTGTAGAACCAGACGCTGGTGCACTCGGTGGTCCACGTGGCAGAACACGTGCTTGTGCACCGGCTCCAGTGTTATCGTCGTCATGTTTGCAGGTTGAACCGCGAGCTAGACTTATTAAGCGATTGTGATCGGACATTGCATTCAGCGGTGGCTCCGTGGGCTGTATCAGGGGACTGACAAGCTCCCTACCATGTGCTTGTGGTGCTGTCAAAAGCGAAGTGTTGCTAGGGTCAGCCTGGTTGTAGCCTTCGTCGTCACTCACGTCGAGATGCGAAGGTACAAGATATGCTGGAAGTTCCACAGGCTCGCTCCTTTCTGGTAGAGGCTCGTAGCTGAGACGGGGCGGCTGATCATCATCATCGAAATCGCTTTGGCCAGTGTGCTTCAAATTCTGGGGTGCTTTCGTAGATATCGCTGGGCCGAAGCGAGATGAATGAGCAGGTCGCGAATCCAGGGCAGGCCGTGTTGACGTCTGCCCGATACTGCTGGGCGAAACACTTGCTCCAGGTGGGAAATCGCTCACTAGCGGCCATTGATCGTGCTCAACTTGGGGTTGTGTCCTGCTAACATTGGGAAGCGCGGGTCCTTCCCGATTGCCTACCTCTGGCACCTCATGTTGAAGTACAGGACTTTTCGCCAGCGCCCTAGCCTCGCTTATTGTGGGAATTGGTGGAGTGGCATATCTAATAACAGACTGAAGTACTTCGTGGCTTACATCGTGACTTAGGCGTACTGTGTCTGGGATTAAAGGCACTGGTGGAATAATCTGCTCGCTATCCTTATCGTGGGCTGAAAAAACACTCTTGGCTGGCGATGGCAGAATGCCCAAGCGTGACTGCTGCGGCTGCGACTGTTCTCTGGGCGGAGTGGACAAGACTTCATCGGCTTTTACCTGCTGTTGGCTAGGCCTTACTCCCCAGGAGTCTGGTGCATGGAAAGTATGTGTCCAGCTTTTCTCGTCTTCTAGTATGCGCGAAACCTCTCGAGGCGGCGTCCCTTTCGGCGTCGAGGAAGGAAAGGGGCCAATAGGTGGTAATGCAATACTGTTAGGCCGGGAGCGAGAACGACTTGAACGACGGAATGAATTGATTGAAAATCGTCTCTTCCTCCTCTCTTCCCACGGACTGTCAATATCGGCTGTAGGTTGTCGCATATGCTTGTCGGTGACTGTAGTCGCTGATGTAGATCTTCGTGATGCTGCTGCTGTAAATTCAGGCTCTTCAGATGCTTCGCGTGAAGAAGGCATGGAATCTGTTCCAGAACGAGGAGCCTACATCACAAACCACATCAGCATGTGGCCTCAGAGACAACGTACACTTGATAAACTGTTCGGGTCGTTATAGGACTACATGCGACATACACTGAATGGCGGGGACAGGGATATGGAAACGCCCAAATAAATCATGGAGCTAAATTCGAGACCACTTCCATCGCACCATATCCAGCAGTCCAGCGCCCATGGGAAGAAAGAAATGTTACATCATCGAAACTTCGTCAACCGTACTGTTAACAAGGGGGGAAATGGGAATTATTTCTCTACCTTTTCACGACCAAATCGACTTTTGCCCTTGGCAAACAATCCCTTCGCGCTGGTCAATCCTTTCCCACTTAACACATTAGCTGTGTGAAGAAGATCCTTGCCCTTGGCCTCCAATTTGTCGGCTTGCGACTCGCCCCCCGGAAGTCGGAGAGCCTGCACCTATAGGAGCCTGCGCCGTTGTCCCAGGATTCTGCTCATTGCCAAGATTATGGGTGCTAGCGCCACCCAATTTACCGAGTAAAGAGAGGGAGGCAGTATGCTTGTGACGTACTGTGCCTGTAGGCACACGTTGAACCGGGATAGTCTGCGAGACAAGTTCCGGGTTCGCTTCCAGAGTAGATGCCAGCCAGCTTCCAAGTCCGTGGTCTTGCGTTGCCCAATGCTCTCGAGTTTGATTGTAGGTGGCAATGCGCTCAGCAGCTGTCCCAATTGTTGCAATTTCCCGTGTACCCAGCGGCTTACCAGAAGTGGGAGATAAGGCTTGAGGTGCCTGAGCAGTTGTGTGCGTCGGTGTCTGTGGTTCAGGCACGCTGACGGCAGCTGAGATTGCGGGATTGGGTCTCTCTCCGTCCACCTCTCGTTGCAATACCTTGAGATCGTCTTCAACCTGGCGTTTTTGCGCCTCGACGTCAGCACTAAGACGTGGAGGAAGATCAACAGCTTCAGGATCGACAGCAGAGTTGACTACATGTAACCCAGGAGGAGATCCATTATGTTCCCGTGTGGTGCTAGCAAGCGAGGTGCTGTCAACTGGGACTGCGGGAGAACGAGCGGAGGGTTCAAGTTCCGTCATGGGCTCCGGCTTCGTAATGGTGATAGTGTGTCCAGGGCCAAAGTATGGATCGGAAAGATCTTCAGGCAGCTGCTGACGCTCCTCCACAGCACTCTCGGTTGACCGAGAAATGCTTTCCTCGTTAGAGGCCTTGGTAGGCTCAGGTACAGCGCTGGCTTCAGCGACACTGTCGAGAACCGCTAATTGGGGTGCATTATTCTCCCAGCTGAAGCGATTAAGCATAGATGGCTTCAATGGCTCTTCAGTCTGTATCACCACAGGAGCAACAGCTGCCGACGAGCTCGGAGGAGTGCTGTGCCCAATTTCCTGCGAGGGTTGGGGTGATATGCCATTGTCACCATCGGCCCAGTAGCTGTCATACTCGGCTGGCAAAATCGAACTTGCACGGTTCGCCCCCGGACTTGCTGGCTGCAACGAGCTGCGGAGAGGATCTGCTGAAGCCACAGGTGTGAGACTAGCAACAATCTCCTTTCTCAGGCGGTCGCTTTCTTGATCATCGGCCGAAGGTTGAGTACTCAGTTGCGGAAAGAAGTCAGGGCGCTTGTTCTGAACCGGAGTACTTGCGTCTGAGTCCTTCGATGGTAGCTGCGGGGGTTCCTCGCTCCTCGGCGTATCCTTTGCGGGTGGAGTGGGTGGTATAGTTGACAGTGATGATACAGTCCGCTCCAACTGCAGAGGGCGAGGCATGTACATGTCGCCATATGAAGGGCCTTTGGCATTGCCCGCTGGCTTGTCATTAGGCTCAGAAGAGGCATCGTCCATGCCAACAGTGGTCTTGAAAGATTGAGCCATAGCTGCGCCAGCATTCTTCAAGGCTACAATAGGATCGATGCCATCGTCAGACTTGATCTCATCTACCGGATGCTTTGCTGTGGTTGGTGTCAAGTCAGCGCCTTCCAAAGACCCTGGGACCTTGTCTTGTTCGGAACCCAGGCTCCTGTCCCGCTCGCCTTGGTCCAACGGTGTTGCTACTGTGGTCGCGTACGATTCCCATTGACCAGGAAGATGCGGGCGGAACTCCTTGACAGGGCTGCTAGGTTTGCTCGGACTGCCCTTGGTTGGTGAAGGGGCACGCGAACTGTGCTGACTCTTTTCCCATGACTGCATGCTGTTCCTCGATATGTTGGACTGAGTTGATCCACGTCGCGAGTGGGAAACATCGCCAAATCTTCCAGCTAGTGCTTGTACACGGCCTTTGCTAGGTGACTCTGACCGGGAGCGAGGCAGAGCATCCTCGATCGGTGACTGCTCAGCATGGGAGTCTAGGTATGCGTCTTGAGCCCGCTGCTCGGCAAGTCCAAGCCCATGCGACTCATTTACTGGGCTGCTCTTTGCCGCAGATGCGAGATCAGCTTCGCGAGCCGCATAGGCTGGTAACGGGCCACTGAGTCCGCCTTCCATTGCACGTGGCTCGTCAGGACTACCTGTTGTTATCTGAGCGGCCTTCGGCTCTGGTAAGGCTTTTAGAGGTGAAACGACAGGCGACCGTGCTGGACTGTCACCACGAGTTGGTGTAGCAAGACCACTGCGAGGTATCGAGGAAGCGGATATATTGCGAGAATGGCCAGCGGCAGGGTTTGGAGCAGCCGCATGAGAAGGGTCATGTGCAAACGTGGAAGTTGCCCCGGGAACAAACGTTGCGGTATCATTGGGCTCCTCCTCGATTGCGGGCGTGCTACCTTCGCCCCCGACATGGGTGCGCTTGATAGCAGAGGTCGCGCCGCTGGGTACACGACTCATTATAGGGCTGATACCGGTGGAGCTACTGGTGTTCGTCCTCGACATGCTCGAATCATCATCTTTGGATATTGGTGTCGGAGGAATCGAACGCTGTTCATCGCTGCGCGTAAATGCTTGGTCCACTACTGAGCGGAAACCCTGGTCGCTGGGCGGTGACACAGCAGACGCAGATGCTTGCGACTGTGCGCTGGCTGCTGGTTGCTTGTCGCGCGTAAAAGCTGCGTCAAAGTCGGGGAGATACTCGCTCTTGCGCTCTGCAACCGTCTCCAGTGGCTGCAAATGTCTCCCGCCATCTGACGTAGGGGAGTGCAAGTCATCCTTGGGCCGAGAGGAGAGTGAGTCGAGACTGGGCCGTGACGAGTCGAGCGATGCACGCTCGCGTTCCCGCTCTTCTTCTACACGCTTGTAGATGTCCGAGGGCCGAACAAAAGGCAGGGGCTTGTCTGAGTGACTGCCCGTTCGTGGCCGTGGAGAGGTCGCGACTGGCGCGTCTGTTTGGCTTATGCTGCTCTTCCGCGGCGGGAACTGTGCACGCGCAGGCGAGGAGTTGATGTCCGAGGGCATGGGCGAAACCTGCGTCTGCAGCGGCGGAGGCATTGCAGAGGGAGTGAAGTCGCGGCGGCCCTGTGGCTCATGGCCCATGTCAGAGCTGGTGCCGCTGGTCTGTCGCTGCCGCTCGCCATGCTGCGGCTGCGCATAGCCGCCCTGTTGTGGTGGGGGTATTGATGCTGAAAAGGCGCGGTGTTCCTCCCCCGCCTCGAAAGAGTTCCTGCGCGCGCTCCCCGGAGCACCTGGCTGTATGGGCTCGGTGAAGCTGCGGTCGGTGTACTGGCGCTGTGGCTGTCCACCAGCATAGTACCGCTGCTGCGACGGCGCTGGTGCAGGCGCTGGCTCATCCTCGACGCCGTATTCGTCGTATTCATCATAGCCACCCCAGTCGTCTCCATCGTACGCATTCTTCTTTGCAGTGACCCATTTCTTCGTCTTTGCGCGATTGACATTAGTTTTGAAGGACACCGGCTGGCCGGCAGAGAAGGGCGAAGAGGACCGTTCACTAGCACACGTCAGATACAGTCGATGCCTAGACGACAGAGAGTGACTTACAGTGGCGACTTGGCCGACTCTCCCTGAAAGCGATATGGCCCAGACATGGTGTCGTTGGCTGTCGAGTCGTCCCCGCAAGAGCTATATGCGCCGACTCCCTGAGAGCGCCGTTAGGGCTGCGCCCTTGTGCTTACGTCCGCACACAGCGCATGCAAACTTCAGCGCGCCGCTGGAGGTGAGGAACTACGCGCGGTCGCAGTTGAATGCGCGATCTGGCGTGAGTGTTCGAGTCTGCAAGCTATAGCGAGGGAGCACTGGGCTGGTGATGCTACTATGCTATGTAGGGGTCGGCGTGGTCAGAGGCACTACGTCAGCAACTAGGGTATCACAACCAAGGTGCGCTTCAACAATGGCAGCCACGGGTCAAGGCAGGTATGAAGAATGAATGAATGAATGGAGAAGTAGTGAAACAGGGTAAAGACAACAGTCAGCGAGAATAGCTAACAGGAGCTTCAGCGGTTTCTTTTCCGGCCCAATCTTGAGCGCGCAGGCCGCCGTTCGTCAACTGTGGCGTTGCTAGCATCAATTAGCCACGACTCTCGAGCCGCGTGGAGACACGTTCCGCATTCAACACCTGGGCCAGCCCTTCCTTTGCATTGCACATCGGCACCACGCTCAAGTCACTTGTTTCACGCGCCAACCCCGGATTCACGGCCTGTTTTCTGTCACCACGCGCGAAACTTCCGACGCCTTTTCAGCGACCACTTCCACCACCCAGAGACCCCCGGGCCGCATTCTACCGCCGAACACTATCACCTTATCACCAGGCCATCTCTACTCTTCCTGTCTGCAGTAAAGCGACGCCGATAAACTGTGCTTACGGGGCAAAGCGCAAGACCGACCGAACACCTTCTCTCCGGCGCATCTGTCGCGCTTGGCTTCCTGGGGCCGAAGCGCTTCTCCTGAACCTCAACAAACTCCCCAACTCACATCCACCCACCCACCATGGCCGTTTCGATACAGGACCGCACCGATGAGTTCCGCTCCATCCTCGCACAGGCCCAGCGCAAGCAGGCGCAATCGAAGACAAGCGCGCAGAGGCAGTCGCTCCTGACCGCACAGGAGAAGTCACAGGCGAATGGCTCGCCGCAGCGCCAGCGCTCCGAATTTGCGCGCACCGCGGCTGAGGTAGCGCGGGGTGTCTCTAGCACAATGCAGAAGTTGGAGAGACTTTCGCAGCTGGCAAAGCGCAAGACGCTGTTCGACGACCGGCCGGTCGAGTTCGACGAGCTCACCTTTGTCATAAAGCAGGACATGTCAGCGCTATCAGGCCAAGTGCAGTCGCTACAATCCATGAACTCGAAGCAGCACCCGAAAGTAAAACCCGGCGCCGATCAGGAAGGAGAGCACAACAGCAATGTAGTGCTACTACTGAAGGACAAGCTGCAGAATGTGGGAACAAACTTCAAGGACGTATTGGAGGTTCGCACAAAGAACATGCAAGCATCGCGATCTCGGACAGAGCAGTTCCTCTCCACCGCCGCTTCACAGTCCCACAGCAGCCTCGACCCGGGCCGCACCGATTCCCCGCTTTACCAGACGCCGTCGCGAAGCCGTTCGCCGGGTGGGTTCAGGAATACAAATGCCGCGCAACAAGATCTCCTCTCGCTAGAGCCATCTGGTTCATCAGCCCTTACACGGGGTGGCATGCAATCGGATGCGCAGCTGCTGCTCATGGAAGAGGCGCAGCCGCAAAACACGTACATCCAGGAGCGAGGGCGCGCGATCGAATCAATCGAGTCTACGATTCAAGAACTCGGCGGCATCTTCAGCCAGCTTGCACAAATGGTGTCTGAGCAAGGCGAGCAGATCCAGCGAATAGATGCCAACACTGAGGACGTCGTGGACAATGTCGAGGGCGCCCAACGCGAGCTGATGAAGTACTGGAGCCGTGTGCAGGGCAATCGATGGCTCGTCGCGAAGATGTTCGGCGTGTTAATGATATGTGAGTATGCCCAATGTGATTCAATACTAGCAGCGCTAATTATACTCAGTCTTTCTCCTTTGGGTACTCATCTCTGGTTAGATCAGTGTATGGAGTATCATTCTGCATTTCAACCCGGCGTTCGGCAAGACCAGGACGCATCAAGACAAGCCAGCTTAGCATGGCAGCATTCACTTCCTCTTTTTCCTTTATCTTCGACTTGTATTCATATCAACTTCCACATTATTGGGCTAGTATCGCACGGTCCGGCGATTCTTGTGCCATCTTAATAGACCATTGTACTGCTCATCGTGTTCATCGTTCAGGGTCCAGACTTGCGGAGGCGCGGCAAAGCGAAAGAGGCCGTCCCACCGATAGCTCGATCTGAGGCACACAGACGCGTTGGCTTGGCTGCATACGTACAGCATGCACCCGGCAGTAGCTTTAGTTAAGTCGCACAGCATATAGAGAGCACGGATCAAAGTTATCGATTGTGAAGAACTATACTTGCTCCATGTGAAGGACATTGCAATGATGTTGTAGCCCTAATGTCTACAGTGCCGAGGGAATGCAAACATTGCTCTACTGGCTCTGATCCTCCAGTCCCCTGGATTCCTGCTTGCGCTTGCATCAGTGTCACTCGCGGAATGCCCCCTCTCACAAGACACCACAGACTCGAACGCATGCGAGTAAGCGTCCCTTGCGGGGTGGAACACAGGGTATGTGAGACCAGATTCGCAGTTGTCTTTGAAACGCCACAAGAATAGCAAGGCCATTGGGGAACTCCACTCAGCATTGTTACACATGTCAGTCCCGGCGGGGTGCCTGTTCGCGCGCGGCGATGGACAGATCCCTCGTTAGCTTCAATTTTCCTTGTGCAATTGCAGCTATACGGTTGCAGAGATAGAGGACTTAGATTTTGTGGAACTCCAGGTACTCTTCATCGGCACAATGTCGAGGGCGGTACACCGCACAATCGCTCCAACCTCAAGCTTGAGTCGACCTCGGGAGTTCTGATGCAGCAATGCGCCATTGACGGCAGCGTCCCGCACGGTCATCCGCATGTCAAGAAGGACGGTGAAGAGCTCGGGCGTAACTAGTGTATCAGAGCCGATCATTGCGACAGATAAAGTGGAGTTGGCTTGTATCAACTTGGTCGGCGCGATCGACTTGTAGAAAGGTCATGTGGACATGGTATACAACTTGATAATACTTGGGAGCTGGTCACGATGCTCGCCCGTGCCGCCGGAGCTCGAGTCCGCTGGCAGGGCGGTGTAGTTGCGGAGCAACGTTTCCCGCTGTGACAGGCTCGGATCGACACAAGTCAACTATGCTCATAGCAGGTGTCTGATAACAGTGTCCGGATCATGACGAATTCCTGACCTATCAATTCGTAAACAATTGCGCACGGAGTAACCTCGGGACGCTGCAGGTGGGTGTGACGCGCAAGGATACAGGGGTGGATGTGTAAGAGAGCACGGTCAAGTGGTGACAAGTTTCGGAGAATAATGCACTGTTTCGATTTGAAGGCCAGGCGCAAAGGTGCGCGTATGGCGGATCAGGATTTGATTAGACCCTGCGCAAAATGGGCGAAGAAGCAAGCAAAATGCATGGTCGCATATCAGCAGATCTTAGCGCAACTCACCTTCCTTCCTTCCTCCTGCTCTTGACGCCCACACCGCGACTTGACACTGACCCAGGCTGCTAATTGCTCCGCGCGTCTCTCTCCGCACCTCACACTCCCTCAGGCGACGCTGCGCTGGATCGGTAGAGGTTAGAAACAGCGTTTCAAACTCTATCACCGCGAAGCTTCCGGTCACATACTCGGTAGTGCTCGACTTGACATCATCAGGCCAACCAGACGTCGTGCATGCGCGCTCCGGCGCCATGTCTGCACCGCAGAGGGACGATCATGGCCCCCTCCCTACCGCAGCCATATTCGACGACGCTGTCTACTGCGCTGAAGCGCTCCAGCTCCCTGCAGACCAGACCGAGGACAGCGTTGACAGGGAGCTAGCGCTGTTGGCAGAAGAAAGTGGCATTCAGGAACCTTGGAACTTTCTCTACGTCCCACATGATATTTCGAGAGCACTCTCGACTGTCACTCTAGACACGGACACAAGAAGCTCCATATCTGTTCGCTCGCAGGAGACTCAATCGACAAGCTTTACATCTGCGCCTTCCCGTACCTCAAAAGACCAAGTTCAGAACAGCGAGCGCATGCCAGTTATGAGATCGCCACCACAGCACGCGCGAGCGTCGCCAATGGTCGAGCAACCGGACCTACTTCTGGATACTTCACCTACCGCAATCACTCCACGGTTTTCCAGCTCAAATCTTTCAGTCTCAAAGTCGGTGCTCTCCGACTCGTCTTCATCTTCAAACCCCAACCAACGGAAAAAGCGCGCAGGCCTCCTTGGCTTGTTCAGCAGGAAAGGTTCGAGGTACATATACCCAGCCTGTATTCCATTGCACGGCATTAACGTGGTCTGCAGCTCCTGTACCCCCCAGTCCCGACATGGAAGCAGGAGCCGTAGAACCAAACTAGATTGTGGCCATGCGCCTTCAGCTGATATGATCCACGTATACGTCAAGGAAGCGCTGCAGAGTGGCGGACAAGCAGTGCCGAGTTGTTGTGGAGCGCCTCTCCCACGAAAGGTTTTGGAAAGCGTCATGGCCAGGGAAGAGGTGGATCTGTTCATCAACAAAGCACTGCCATCGCCTGGCGTCGAGACTATACGAGATTCTGGCTATAGCGAGGGTGGAATGTCTACAGTCGAGTTCACTCGTGCGCTAGAAGCAACATCTCCGCCTGCAACCCCCACCAGCCCTCCAGCTGTTGCAAGTCGACGAAGACACGAAGCAATCAACATTGACTCAGCGCTAGCCAAGGAAGCTTTCAGAAGCTTTCAAACGCAGGAGAAAGAGCAGTTGCAGCACATATTCAGTTTCGAATCAAACCAACGGAAAGCGCTTTCGGCACACCATGCGAGTTCGTTAAAGCGGCTTGCAGACTTGCATGAAACCAGTAAGAGTAAGAGAATACAACAGGTAGGCCCTCAGATCAGGATTCCTTGATGTGTAAACTAACGCACTTTGTAGCAACTTCTCGAACTCGAGAACCTGGAGGAGGCCCAAATAATGGCCGAGCATGATCTTCGACAAGCGCACGACATGGAAACGCAAAATGTAGCTACCGCGATCAAGCATATTGAGGCATATTGTCGGGCCAATAGCCAGTCTCATCCAGAGCGTCCCCAGGTGACAGAAGAAGATTTCAAAACATTGGATCGGCAACGCATGATACAGCAAAATCTACCAAAAAAGCATGAGGACGCAATCAACGTTTTAAGAGCACGGCAAGAACGCGCAATGAAGAACAAAATACGCAAGCAGGAAGCTGAATTAAGCTCACTGGACGAGGCTGGCGAGCGGGAAAAAGTTACAGAAGAGGCAGAGCACGCAGCAGAGATGGGGAAACTTGAAGCACTTATCGAGAGTCGGAGAAAAAGACAGCGGCAGAGATGGAATCTCAAATTTGAGATATGGCGCAAAGACTGGGAAAACCAGCACAAAACAGTCATCGACTTCGACTTAGACCACGAGACCTGGCCATTACATACAGCGATGACCATTACACCCAACCCGGAATCGAGTGCGTTGGCTCCGTACGTTCAGGCAGCGGCCTAGATTTAACAATGTTCGACTTCCCTCGATTTTCTTTCTACAGTCATGCGAGCGGTTCTTCATCACAGGAGCATCAGCGTGGAGTTTCGGTGTCTGCTCCTCTTCTTTTCAAAAGTACATTCTTCATAGCATACATTTAATGAGCAGGCGACTGCTGTTTTCTTTGTTCAAATGTATATACCCCGCTGCTCGCCCGAGAGCAGTATTTTCCTTACACATCTCGATATACAGCCGGGATAGAAACGGGGCAAAGCATGGTGGTATTTATACATGGAGATATAGCGGGTCACACAGATGAGGCATACGGCGACTATCATCACGGCAGACGTAATGCAATGAAAGCGATAAAGATCAGATTCACAAAGTGGTAGCAGACTGTGTCGAGTTTTAATCATTCATTTAGTATCTGGGTATCTCGATGCGCCATCGCAAGTCGTAAAATCATCGCTCATGTCTCAACGCTGCTCAGCCATATTGAACTGCTCCACAGGCGCCAGCATCCCCCACTGCAGTCCCTCCTGTACATCCGTCGCAGGCGCCACGCCACCCAAGCCCATGGCCATGTCCATCTCCGCATCTTCATTCATCAAACTCAGACTATCGAACTGCGCATCGAAGAAACCCATCTGTGGCCGGGGCTGCTTTTGCACATCCACGTCATTTGGAAGCGGCATCGCGCCTTCGACGAAATACGGCGTGGGCGTCTGCGGCATACTCGGTTCCACGGAGTCAAACATGCTCGCCGGATCTTCTTCAAGACCACCGATCCAGAACTGACCACCAGTCAAAGCGTCGCGCTCACGAATCATCTCTTCAATGTCGTCGTCGGCCATGTTGTGTGTAGCGCGGAGATGACGGCGCAGGTCGCGGTCCATGTAGAAACGATACTGGCACGTGTCGACCAAGCACTGGACATCTCTGTGCTTGTCGTATCCCACACCAGTGAGCATGCTGAGCATCGACGGCTCGGGTTTCTTCTTGGACTTTGCGGCTTTGCGGAGTTGTTTGCGGGTTCCGAGGCCGAGATGGTGTGTGCGGACGTGTTGGTCGAGCGAGGATTTGGCTTTGAAGGCGGTGCCGCATGCGTTTGCTCCGTCCCAGTTCTTGAGGTCGTCGTGTTTGGAGTTTTGTAGGGCGTCGGGGGTACACTTGTATCGGGCTTCCTTGTCGTGCACGGTTTGGATGTGGATGGCGAGGTTGTACTTGCGGTTGAAGCTGCTGGTGCAATCGGGCTTGGGGCATGGGTAATGCGGCTGTGCAGAGGGGTCGCCGTGGACTGCGTCGAAGTGGGACTTGAGGTTTGAGTCGTTCTTGAAGCGCTGACCACATTCGCTGCACTCGGGTGGGTGATATTGCTGGACGTGTGCAGTGAGCTCTTCCTGTGTTGCGAATGACAGTAGCTGCGGAGGCTCGAACATGTCATCTGGTCCACCCTGTAGCGTCTCCGCTCCGTGTCCTGGGTCTGCGCAGATCATGCAGAACAGTGCGTTGCCTTCTTCGTGCGCCTTGCATACGTGACGCTGCAGCGCACTCTCGGTCTGATAGCCATGTGTACATCTGTCGCCTGTCTCTGGATCCACCCAGGTGCATGGGTAGGGCTTCACCTCCAGATGCGCCATCTTGATGTGTGCGTCCAAGGCCTTCTCTTTCCTAAATGCCTGGTAGCAAGGCGGGTACTGGGTGCAGTAGAACTTTGACTCGTGCACGTCTTGATGCCTCTGTAGCCTGCCGTTGGACGTAAAGCTCTTCCCGCAACCCGGCCAACTGCATGTGTAGGTCCGTTCGACGACGGGGTCGCTGTGGGCGTTCTTGATGTGTCGCTGGAGATGGTCTTTGCGCGGGAAAGTCTTGTCGCATCCGGGAGCTGAGCAGGCAAATGGCCGCTCCTTGTTATGGCTTCGCATGTGCTGCTCTAGACGGACTGGCCGATTGAAGCGCTTGTCGCAGCCCTCGAATGTGCAGACGTAGTTCCATTGGCGGCGTGCCTCGCTGTCTGCCCTTAAGGTACCCTTCTCGGTGTAATCGAACTTCCACTCGTCGCCCGAATCGTCTGATTGCCAGCCCAGTTGTACTTGCTCTTCCTCGTCCACATCTGCATCCACAAGTCAGATTGGCCGGACGTCATTGGATTATGGAGATGTGGAAACGTACCTGCCCGCAGCTTCTTTTGCGCCGCAGCTTGTGCGCCTTCTGCAGCCTTTCGCTTCATGGCCATGACGCCTGCAATTGTGGGTTGACAAGAGCTTCGACTTGGGTGGTTCGGAGGTGTCACGACAATCTGCGGCCCCACAGTATTTTTCGACGCCCAGATTTCGGCACGCTAGTGATCCCTGTCTGGTCGCGCTTTCCAAAGGTTTCTTTGACCGAGCGCATGCTACAGCACCAGAGCACCGACGCCAAAGACACAGCGCATAGCTCCAGCACTCCCGAACGTCACTCTCACACGCAACAGTCAACTTTACGTAATCATGTCCGACTACGGCGGCGACGACTATGGCGGTGGTGATGCTGGATACGAGTATGTACCTGGCTTTCAGTTGAAGCTGTATTGGAGCGCAACTTCGGCGCATAACTATACTATGCTGCACACAAACGAGTTCATGGACTGACTTGTCTAGTGACGGCGCTGTCGAGTTCGATGAGGAAATGGAGCCCGATGTCTTTGACGACAACGACGACGATGCAGCCGGCGGCCAGGACCAAGACGCACAGGATCAGGAGGACAACATCGTAGTGTCTGGCGATGCAAGCGCAGGAGCAGCCGCGAAAGACAAGGTCAAGAATACGGTCGAAAACGAAAAGGACAAGAAGGTCGCGCCCGAGAACCGCACCACGACCCCATACATGACCAAGTACGAGAGGGCGCGAGTGCTGGGAACAAGGGCGCTACAGATCAGGTGCGCTTTCTAGCTTCCTACTGGGGAGAATCAAAAGGCTAACATGCACAGTGGTAATGCGCCGGTCCTTATCGATGTCGAAGGCATGACCGATCCGCTCCAGATTGCTGCAAAGGAGCTACAGGAGAAGAAGATTCCACTGGTGGTGCGGAGATACTTGCCAGATGGTTTCTACGAGGATTGGACTTGTGAGGAGCTTTTGACATAGATGATTTGGTTTGGCTGCATTGGGTCCGGAGTTTGTTTGGCGATAAGGCGGATCATATTCGGCGAAGGGAGTCTTGAGTTCACGAGTTTTTCCCGAATGCCACCCGAGTTCCGCTTTCTCCAAGTTTTTCGTCACCATGCGGATCCGATGGCCAGTTAAAGTAGTCAATACGCAGCAGGGGAAGGTGGGGTAGCTTGACCAACAGCTCTCGACCACCTCCCCGCACTAACCGCAGAACAACGTCACCCATGAGACAGCTAATAAAACTTCTTAGATCCCATCAAAGTCAATCTTTTCCAACTTCCATTTCATCGCGTCTCTCATACCACACCAGACCGCACACCATGTCTTTCGAAACCACGGGCACCATCGCCTCATTTGGAGGCAAGCTTCTAAAGCTCAAGCACAAGTCCTCTAGCACAAACACCGACATGGAACTCAACCTATTCATGCCACCGCAAGCACAAAAGTCCGGCGCAAAGATTCCGGTGCTCTTCTACCTGTCAGGTCTCACATGTACTGGAAACAACTGCTCAGAAAAGGGCTTTTTTCAGCATGGCGCCGCTAAGCACGGCATTGCCGTCGTATACCCGGACACGTCGCCCAGTATGACGTTCGCACTCTGTTAAACAGTATCTGGCTGACTCGACAAAAGGAGGACTACAGATTGAGGGTGAAGACGAGGCATACGACTTCGGCTCAGGCGCGGGCTTCTACGTGGACGCGACTAAGGAACCATGGACAAAGGGCTACAACATGTACTCCTACATCACGAAAGAGTTACCCGAGGCGCTTTTCTCATCGTTCAAAGAGCTCGACTCAAGCAAAGTCAGCATCACCGGACACAGCATGGGCGGACACGGAGCTCTGACGCTGGTCTGTTCTCAACATCACTATAACAAGAGCATCATTAACATATGCCTATAGTTCCTGAAGAACCCCGGCATGTACAAGTCAGTTTCCGCATTCGCACCCATCGCCAACCCAATCAATTGCCCATGGGGTCAGAAGGCTTTCAAGGGGTACTTTGGTGAGGACCAGCAACAGAGGTGGAAGGAGCACGACGCCTCAGAGCTTGTGAAGCAATGGAAAGGGCCACTAGAGATGCTCATTGACGTGGTACGTGCTTCCTCGAAGATGTCTGGAGAATGCTGCTAATGATATTCAGGGCACTGGCGACAACTTCTACAAGCAGAAGCAGCTTCTTCCCGAGAACTTCATCGAAGCGGCTAAGCAAGCTGGCAACGACAAAGGCATCAACCTCCGCATGCAACCCGACTACGACCACAGCTACTACTTCATGGCTTCGTTTGCAGACGACCATGTTGACTGGGCAGCCAAGCACTTCGGCTTGTAGTAAGTCGGCATATTACTAGACTAGTGGCTCTCGTGCTCATTACTTTAGAAGCGGTCCCGGTCCTAGATATAAATTATAGAAGGGGGCTGTCGCTTTGGGAAGGGCACGGAGAAGTAATCAAACACATGAACTGCCAATTTTTTCACGTGCTGATCTGCATGTGTAATCATTTGTATAACTGGAGACGAGAGACCCACCTATGACATTTGTGAAATGATTGCGGGCTAATAGTTGTGATTGGCACGTGCCACCACATGAGTTTTGGGCAGCGGAGCAGACAGCGCACTCCCGCTACGTCTTAGCGACAGCCACTTCGTTCACCTCCATGCACGTTTTCGCACACCAAACCCAACAAAGGAGACAGACATAGCGAAACTTCCTTGTGAAGACAGCAGCAGGACTACGCGATCCGCTCGTACCAGAATTACCTTTGTACATCCCATCTTAGCCTCTGCACACTCACCGTGCGTGCCCCTCGTGCCCCGCCTTGTCACTTCACCGCCCATAACACTTTCATGATGCAGTTGCTCCGCCCAATGATACGGTAGCATAATCAGCCTTAGCTTCTTCTCGATACTTTTTTGAGGCCCCTCAGTTAGGCTGATCGGTCTCAACCTCAAACAAAGCAGACGTGAGCTTAGCCCACGTGGAGGCTTTGGGAAATGGAGGCCCAGGTACGCTTGCCCGGACATACATGCGCCCACCTCACCTCTTGAAAACACTTTGGCTAATCGAAACTTTACAAATCTAGGTCGAGAATGCCATCCAAATCGCCTTCGACCCGACTTCGAGCCAGCAGCTGCGCGGACAGGCGGTAGAATTCCTCGAGCGTCTGCGCTCAGAAGGTTCCGCATGGCAGGCCAGTCTTGCACTCTTCACACGCGATCCTCGCCCGTCGGACATTATCCGGCATACCTCTCTCGATCTCGTAAACAATGCCGTCCAAGAGCACCGGCTGGACGAGCAGAGTCTCGCATACATCAAAGACACGCTGATGAGTCATGTTCGACAGTCGTATGCGCCTGGCAGTAGCACAGCCGACACCTCGCACATTCAGAACAAGTTGATGCAGACCATGACATATCTCTTTGCCGCCCTGTACCCAACATCATGGCGGAGTTTCTTCGACGACTTCCGGGCTCTGGCCGGTGACCAGGCGACTATTGGCAATGTCAACACTGCGACCACATTCCTATACCTCCGAATGTTGGTACAGGTCCACGATGAGATCGCTGATCAATTGGTCGCTCGATCAAAGGAGGAGACGGACCGCAACACACACTTGAAGGACCTGATTCGCGACAACGACATACAAAAGATTGCATTGTCCTGGCAAGAGATCCTCGCAAAGTGGAGGGAGACAGACTTGAGTCTTGTGGAGATGTGCCTGCGGACCATTGGTCGATATGTGAGCTGGATTCGTCTGGAGCTCGTCATCAACCAGGACATGATCACCACCTTCCTCGAAATGGCTGGCCAACAGGGGATTTCGGATCCAGAGAGCCCTGCCGGTAAGGTGCGCGATGCGGCCATAGACACCTTCTCCGAGATTGTGGGCAAGAAGATGGAACCGTCCAACAAGATCGAACTGATTCTATTCCTCAACCTTCCCGATGTTGTTGGACAGCTTATTACTAGTCCGGCGTTGGCAGAGTTTAACAGTCCGAACTACGACAATGATCTTGCCGAAACAGTGGCCAAACTGGTTAACAATATTGTCTTTGATGTGGTCAAAATCCTGGAGAATGACAATGTTGACGAGCAGACGCGACAGCGTGCCGACGATCTCATTCGCATCTTCACACCGTATTTGCTCCGCTTCTTCGCGGACCAATACGATGAGGTCTGTTCCACCGTCATCCCGTCCTTGACCGACCTCCTCACCTTCCTCCGAAAGCTGCAGAAAAAGCAAGGGACGGTCCCCCCTCAATATGCTGCGGTCTTGCCGCCTGTGCTAGATGCCATCATTGCGAAAATGAAGTACGACGAGACAGCAGACTGGGGTGAGGAAGGCGAGCAGACGGATGAGGCCGAGTTTCAGGACCTTCGAAGGCGCCTGCACGTTTTACAACAGACCATCACGACTATTGACGAGTCGTACTACATAGAAACACTAAGTCGTCTAGTGAACGGCACTTTCAGTGGCTTGTCCCAAGGGGATCAAAGCCTGAACTGGCGTGATCTTGAGCTCGCACTCTATGAAATGTACCTCTTCGGAGAGCTTGCAATCAGGAACCAAGGATTGTTTGCGAAGCGCGAGCCTTCATCTGTTGCTGCTCAACATCTTGTGGGTATGATGAACAGCATGATCGATTCTGGTACGTATCCGGTTCCAAGAAAGCCCATGGCTAAGAGTCTAACAATCAAAAGGTCTTGCAAATTACCCACATCCAGCTGTCCAGCTACAGTACATGGAGATCTGTGTGCGGTACTACCAGTTCTTCGAGCAAAACCCTCACCTGATCCCAAAGGTTCTCGAGAACTTTGTGCAACTTACTCACAGCTCTCATGTCAAGGTCAGGTCGCGATCATGGTACCTCTTCCAGCGTCTTGTCAAGCACCTGCGTGCACAGCTCGGCAACGTCTCTTACGACATCATTCAGGCTGTCGCAGATTTGCTTACTATCAAAGCCGAATTACCGGATACATCTGAAGACGAAATGTCGTCCGACGAGGAGGACCAGTCTGCAGATGCTTTGTTCAACTCACAGTTGTACCTCTTTGAAGCAGTTGGCTGCATCGCATCATCGAACACTGTTTCCGCAGAAAACAAGAAGCTATACGCGCAAACCATCATGAGCCCTCTGTTTGTCGATCTCGAACAGACACTACCACAAGCACGGAACGGCGATGATCGCGCCACCCTTCAAATTCATCATATTATCATGGCTCTTGGAACGCTAGCTCGTGGCTATTCAGATTGGGTACCTTCCAACAACAGCAGTGCAGTACCCCACAGCGATGTGGCAGACGAGTTTGTAAAAGCTTCTGAAGCTATTCTTGTCGCACTTGAATCTCTCAACTCTTCTAGCTCGATTCGTCATGCAGCACGATTTGCTTTTTCTCGTATGATAGCTGTCCTGGGCTCGCGACTACTGCAGCAATTACCATCATGGATTGAGGGACTGTTGTCGCTTAGCTCATCCATGGATGAGATCAGCACCTTCCTTAAAGTACTCGGCCAGGTCGTCTTCACATTCAAGTCTGAGATCTCTAATATTCTGGATACAGTCATGACTCCTGTCTTGCAGCGCATCTTCAGTGCGTTGGCAACTACACCTTCGGGCACGGATGACGAGATCCAGCTGGCTGAGCTCCGACGCGAGTACCTGAACTTCCTCATTGTGGTTCTGAACCAGGGTCTTGGATCTGTGCTCGTCAGTAACAGTAGGTCACGCTGCACCTAATGTAATCATGATCATGCTAACATAGCACAGCGAACCAGTCATCCTTTGAAACCATCATCTCTTCGATTGAGAACTTTGCTCGCGACACACACGACGCGCCCACCGCTCGATTGGCCATCTTCGTTCTGATCCGCATGATCAACGTATGGTGTGGACCCGACAAAGTAGGGCCTGGTGCGAACCAAACGCCTACTTCCCCGGCCACTACACAAGCACCACTGCCAGGTTTCGAGAACTATGTGGTTGAGCGCTTTTCTCCTCTTGCATGGTCTATCCCGGCTTCACCCGGCTTCAACTCGAAGGATGCACAAGCAAAACAAGTCTTGGTAGAAGCTGCGAATTTGCAGACAGAGATCGTCAAGAAGGTCGGAGAGCCATACGTCGAACGTCTCAAGAGTGATCTTAGCGGGAACGGCGTTGCTGCCGATGGTGTGGACCAGTACGTGCGCACTCTGGCAGGCGCACTCGAAGGCACGAAGAAAGAGAAAGAGTGGAGGAACTTTTTTGTCCAGTTCGTCGATCGCATGCTGTCGGGCCGTGGCTGAACGTACCATTTGATGAGACAGCACCTTTGCATTGTCCCTTGCCGTTCATTGCGAACATTTTCTCGTAGGCGGTATCTTCTGCATCGCGGTAGGCGCGTATACGGTGTGCTTTCGAGATAACCCACTTTTCATATAGTTCAGCTAGTTCCATATGCTGAATACAAGATAGAATCATTCACACTTGCACCATCATAGCTTGGACTTGCGGCCCTTCTCCCCAGCGTATCCACTCCCTCGATGTAGCCACCCTTTACCGTTCGGCACATATAACCGTTGCTCCATTGCCTTCACATGTCCTTTATTTTTCATCCAAAAGCCATTCACATCATCCCGTCTAATGAACCTCTCCATATCCTCCCGCGTCTTCCATCGTCCAAATATCCTCGCTCCGACATCATCGTCCAAGCACGCGAAAGCCGTATAAGTCAGCATCCCTTCATTCGCCTCAACCCCATCAACAAGTCCTTTCAGCACCACTAATAACATTTCCCTTGCCTCAGCAGAAACACACGTAATCCGCATATCCTGTATTACACCCGCCTCTGCTTGCCTACCCGAAGAATCAAGAAATCCACCAACAAGACGATAGTGGTTCAGATCCAAGCCCGTCGTACTCGCTGCCGGAATCTGCGTGAGAAATGTCTGCATGGCTGGCGATGTCAAGTGCGTTTCGTAGAGGTCTTCGCGGCTGCTGTACACTTCGAAAGCGAACATGCTGGTTGTGGAAGAAAAGTTGTGCGCGTAGTCGATAGGGATGCCGAAGTAGTAAGTTTTTGTGGAGGGTTCGGAGTAGGAGACGTATTGTGCGAGGAGGTTGTAGGCGGATTGCCACTGTGGGGGAGGTATTAGTTGGGAGGGGAGGGGAGGATAGGGGTGATAATACGGCGTTGTATTGGTCTGGGACGAAGTTGCAATTTGCAAAGAGATAGAAGTCGTCCATTCTTCTACAATATAGTTGGGGTTGATTGACAAAGTTCCTGAATGTGTGGGATGTTGGTGAGCTGTCTTATGTTCAGCTTTCATCCTGACCCACAGCGCAACTTTAAAGCAACTTGTACACCAAGCTTCCCTCGCACCTGTCTACATCTCGCATGCCTTCATCCGCAACCATCTTCAACACGCAAATACAACATTCAGCACCGGTACTTCTCCACAACCCTGAAGCTGGCTGGCAGATCTCTGCATAAGCGCGCCGATCCACACCCCCGCATCCCTCTAGTTCCCGCACCCTACCCCAGATTCAGCCCCGCTGTACGACTAACAGCTGCATGGCATGAGGCGGTTGCCGTGTAGTTCGTGACGTCTGGTGGTCCGGATGAGTTTATCCGCCGTACGCGGGGTCATTTGCTGTACTCGTTGCACAAACGAGCTTGTGACATGCGGATAGGGTTTCCCGGGAATGTGCAGAGCATTTGTACTTGTTGTACTTGTACTTGTATACACATACCAAACGTAGCAGTTTACGATATACACGACGATATGACAGCCTCAGCATCCGTGGCGATTGTGACGGGTGGAAACAGCGGCATGGGCATGGGGATAGTACGAAAACTCGTGGAAAAGGGATGGAAAGTAGCCATCGCGGATATCAGCGAGAACAAAGCCTTTGCGGAAGAGTTGGGCGAGGCGTCGAGCTACCATTGTTGTGATGTCGCGGATTATGATAGGCATGTTGGATTGGTGGGTGTCGTGGACTAAAAGCTGACAAAAGTGACAGTCAAGCCGAAGCGTTTCGGCAGGTCTGGAACCAGTATGGGAGAATTGATGCTTTTTGTGCGAACGCTGGGATTGTTGATAAGAGGTAAGGAGGTCGGACTATACGTGAAGCAGTTGGTTGATGAGTGCAGCTCGATATACATATTCGAACATCGCAATTCGGACAAGTAGGTCATATCATAGTGGGAAGTTGCACATGACTGACAGGTCAGAATACCACCCAAGCCTGATCTTTCATGTACGGATATCGACTACAAGGGCGTTGTGTACGGTACCCAATTAGCAATCCATTTCATGCGAAAGAATAAGGCACCGGGCGGAAAGATTGTGGCGACAGCCAGTGTTGCGGCCATTGTTCCTCACGAGTCGTAAGTCGCGACTATCCATATACTTTAAGAATCGTCTGATTGCCCCCAGATATCCCGAGTACGATGGGGCGAAAGCAGCAGTGGTGAACTTTGTCCGAGCGACGGCGCGCATACTGAAAGACGTAAGACGACTAAAGGACTTGAGGAGGCACGTGGGTTGACGATGACTAGAAAGAAAACATTACCATTAATGCGATATGTCCAGGTCAGTCAAAGAAGCTGCTCGTCCAGCGCGAAACAATCTCGAAGCTGACGATTCTAGGCATTGTTCAGACGTCCATCATCCCGCAGGAAATGGTAGACGCTGTTTCGCCAGAGTGGTGTGTATCTCAACTTCTTATTAAAAGTCCTGGTCTGACACTGTCCAGCTTGACACCCATATCGAATGTCGTGAGTGCCTATGAGCGCTTCCTAGATGACGACTCGCTGTATGGTCGTGTGCTTGAATGCTCGGCCGAGAAACAATTCTTTCTCGAGCCACCGGCTCTCGCGAATGGCTATGTCTCCAGACGTGCGGTGACGGTCTGGGATCCGCTATTCCAGGCGTGAGTTAACCGTTTCTTTGTCGACTTGGAGAGTTTGGTTAACATCCATGCAGATGTCACAAAGAAAACTCGGGACTTTCCGACGCGATACCATGAGCGGGCATTGCAGAATTTAGTATTGGTTCGATTACGAGATATATGTTAGTGCAACCCTCAATTGCAGGTGACAGCAACAATAGAGTGGGCATCGCCTAGACCGGTGCTTTGGGGCGGTAGAGTGCGGTCGCTGCAGCGCCTTCCCCATCCGTCGCTGGCATGCAAAGCAAGATACCATACACATGATCTGAGTCACACAGAAATTTACTTCTGCTCCATGTCAACGCCCATTCGCCCAGCTATCGCAACGTCTTCCGGACATTCGCAAATCCTTTTTGATCGACCGGAAGTGAGCTATATGCCAGCGTCGCTATGAACAGGGCTTTTCAGCCGGGAAAAACAGCTTCCCTCAGCTATCACGCCGTGTCCAATCCCCAACACAACGACAAGGACACCTAATATCTTAGCAAGATTTGCAAGCCGCTGGCGTTGCCGGTATATTGGATACGCGGGGTCAAAGACCAGGCCATATACAGGGAGCTTTCAGCGCACATCTCGCGGCTGCGATCGATTGTGTGATGACTAAATGTACAGATCTCGAACATGAATTGGCGTGATGCAAGAGTTTCGATCAGATGCTGTGCTGCCTCCAGGCATATTCCAGCCAGCCGCGAGATTGGCCAACAGACGTGCTCGTTGGATTTGATAGCTCGCTTGCGTATGGTCATGGCTTTGTGTCGTGAAGCCGGACATCAGCAACCGGTCGGTGTGTTGGTTTGTTGTGGCGGCTGACGAACTCCATTTTGAGAAATGTGAATGGCCTGAGGTTAGATGAGTGTTTAGAGTTGGAAGAGCACATGCAATTGTGATCGCAGCTGTAGGATCCTACTAGCTGCGCGAGAAGTAGTGGCCTCGCAGCTAGACTGAGTGACCCTCTCCTGTGGAGTGGGTTGGCATTTCGACCACAATATCATACTTTTGGCGCAAATAGCCATGACCCAATGAACGCTGTCCCGGGTCACACTCAGCTGATGGCGAGGAGAAAGGCAGGAGGTATCCTGTGCCGTGGTTTGCCAGGCGATTGCTCGTTTTTTTACGAGTTTACGCGCTGGGTGGTGTAGTAGAATCCATGAGCTGGCATTGTACCTGCTTCTCTGTTAAGCCATCGAGCTCGTGGTAAACTGCGAGTTGCGCAGTTGGCCTGGTCTAATCCAGAGATGATCCCGCTACAGAGGCTTGGCAATACACTTGGTGGCTTCCATTGATGCTGGCGCCGGTTCCACCTGTCAGCTGGGACCGAAGGACCGTCTTTACATTCCGTTGCCTTTGTTATTATGCAGCGAAACTATGCAGACGCAGGCCGTCAGTTACACTGCGAGATCCCCGCATGCTTTTCGCCAACGCGCTCCGTACCGCGAAAGCCGTGATCGATACGACCAGCCGTTCTCAATATTGATCAGGCTCAACAGACAGATGGAGCAGTGATACCGTGCAGGAATGGGCGAGCCGAGCGGGCATGGCTCCCCTGCTGGGCTCCCGTGGGCCAGAACAGAATGGCTCTCCCCTGTGCACGGCCCGTCTTAAACCAAATCAGGTTACCGACTTCGCAGTTTTAATTGCGTGGTACAAGCCACCCTATCGCCTTGTCCATCCAGAGGCAAGTCTTTGACGAATCCGCTATTACCCGAGTCACCTTCATGCGAGTTGTCAGCCGAACAATCGACTTCGCTGCCATGGGGGCGGGGCGTGGCTTTATTGATATGCCTGCGAGGGGCTTAGTTGCCGCAAGCGTTCGACTTTGCGCTCCAGCTCGACATAAGGATTGACGGTCCCAAGCGTGATAAAACAGCGAAACTTCCCGGGGACGTTTTGTGATCGACATTGACAGGCAGCTCTGCTTGTATTTGCAACTCTAACCGGCCGCCCTTCGTTACTCGTCGCCGCCACAATCAACTGGTCCAACGTTCACCGGAACACGCATTTCAAAGTACCACGGCTTCCAACGGCCATGGTGTGCAGGGCTTTGGGGGCACTGCGGGGATAATAATAGTACAGCATCGCTGGTAATCATCAAAACGTTATCATGGGTCCAAACAATTTCGTGCAACCCGGTTGCGAGCCGCGACTGGTGCACGGGTTCCAGATGTCGCACCATGAGGCCTCTCCCCTGCCGAACAGAGAAACGCCCAGCAAGCGACTCGAAAACTCCAGCCGAGCCGCCTCCTGTTCGTTAACAGCCTCAAGGCCGCCGCACACTCGTTCAACATCTCGCGCCTTGCTTCTCATATTCGTTGCCTTCTGTTTCTGGACTTCCCTCATTAATACCGTCTCCGCTACCAATGCCGATCGCCCAGCATTGCTCGCTGTCCACGTGGAAGACGACCTAGCCTGGAAAGGGTCAGCTCTATACGTCGACCATCAAGCACCGCCAACAGCTCCCTCGTTCATGCCTCCGCTACATAATGATCACGATGGCAAGCAAGCAGCAAGGAGGGCAGTCAGCACGGATCCCAGCGCTGGCAAAGGGGACTTTACTATTCCTGAACCTTTCGACACCGGCCTTTCCAACAACTTGACAAACACGTGCGCAGCCTTTCTTCAACGGATGCGCGGGGATGCGTCCTTCAGGAAATGCCACCCTTTCTCTTTACTCTTGCAGGTGTGTTGGCCAGACTTGCCTCGAATTTCCATGGACCTCGGCTGACATCATGCAGACTTCGAGCGGATTTTTCGATGCATCAAAATCGTACCTTCGTATAACGCAAACATTAGACGCGACCTGTGGAGTAAATGCTTCACAATGCAGACAGACAATGGACAGTTTTGCGCGAGAGTTGCAAATGGCATCAGCATGCAAACAAGACCTGGACAACGATATGCCTTTGGTCATACAAGCCCTTAATGGACTGGTCGCATACCCCGTTGCATACTCGGCGAGCTGCTTAAGAGACACCGAGGGGAGCTACTGTTTCGCCAACGCAGTCAGCAACACATCGTCGCCCACAGACTCGTATTCTTATTACCTGCCAGTAGGACAAGAGCTTCCTGCTGGTTCGCGCCCTACTTGTAATTCTGTAAGTAGAACCCAGCTACGGGAGGATATTGTGACTAACAGGTTCAGTGTCTCCAAGATGCGATGGCAGTTTTTGCACAGTACGCCAATAACGCTACGCAACCCGTCTCCAGGACCTATGCCGCCGCTTCTCAGCAATTGACGATAGGCTGCGGGAGATCATTCGTGAATGTAACCGCTGCACCACTCAAAGCGGCCGCACCCATAACGACCACATCGCTCACACCAACCCTTACTCTTGTTCTAATGTTTATACTCTACTTCTTCCAGTGATGGAACGACCCGATATGTAAACTTCTTGTAATTACTTACTTTTACGACTCTTCACCGACGACAATTGTCGGACGGTCATCAGCGATGGCGCAAGGATTGGATTTCTTATTTGTCAGAACGATACCCACTGGATCATGCGCAGCGATGAGGCAACGGCTCTCATGCTGGCTGAGTCCAGGTTCTTAAAGACGGACTGGCTTTCAGACACTGTCGGAAATTTCTGGGCATTAAAAGGATGTCCGGGATTGCTTACTAGATGGTACGCAATAGATTATAGATATGAAAAAATTACTAGTTATATATACTTGTTTCACGCCCACTTTGTTTGCTGCGCGCTCTTATTGCATGGCAGAAGCTTAGAACATCCTTCTTATTGCACGATTGAGGACTTCGGACTCCAACGCAATCTTCGATAATCAATCCGCGGTAATCTGTTGGAGTGCGCCATACCCGCCATCGGGGGTCCCGTATCATCTCGTCATCGGATTGTTTGCTCGCACAGGATTGTTCCGCGGCCACGGTGCACACGCACGCGTATAGATAGATATGGCGTTCAAGCTCGAGCAGGATGTTAGTGCTGATCTGTGGCCGTAACACTCAACGCCCGTGCAACGCGAGCGAATGCTTGGGCCATTCGGTGTTACTGTTGTGCAAATTAGACCATCTGAAACATCAGGATAGACGTCACGTGCAGCTTTTCGGCAGGCGGGGTCGTTGATTTGACAGAAATGGACCCCTGAACGTCGCATCCTCTCACTTCATGCTTCAGCCATAGGTACCACGAACGACTCCGCCTTGAGCTGAATCAGCAGCCCGCGGTCGCATTGTGGCCATTTCAAGGGCATTTGTATCTAGTGGCAAAGCACAGTAATCCTACCATCTATATGATACGCTAATCGATAACCTTTGCACGGTGTTGTGCTGGTGGAGCATAGTGACATCCTGTCATCTCCAACGTCATGCATCCGTGCATGGGTAACCCGCCTTGATGCGGATCATGCGGAGCTCCAACTGCTCAGCAGCTGTGACAAGCCCGTTGGCTGGTCTGTCAAACATTAATGCGTTTGATGGACTAACAGGGCCCGAGACTCGCCTGACGGCTGTCAGCCAGGTTGTCTCTTGGACACATGAGACACCCACCTTCGCCGGATGCTTCATTCCAGGTCCTTCTTTCTCCATCGTCTTATTATACTTTCTGGTCGAGTTCGATATCACTTAGGGCTGGGACCTTCCTACATTCTCGCCGGGCACTGTCGCTCATTCGCTCTTTTCTCTACACTCTTTTCTTCTAACACCAGCCGTCCACTTTCGTTCAACATTCCATCGTTCGACCGCGCGTCCAATTTTGACATCGACCACGTCATTTCCTACAACCAATTCGCATTCTTATATACCAGAAATGACCGACGTTATGGCCCAACAAGGCTATGGGCTTACAGTGCCCTCTTCGCGACAGGATGTCATCAGCGCATTATTGAACGAATATGGAAACTCTTTCGGACGGGGCGACGGGCCTTCAGCATTATCCCCTGTACCAACAGAGAAAGACCTTCCAGCACCGCCACCACGTTCAGATAGCTTGAGGAACAAGCCATTACCAGCCGTTCAGCGCGCCGAGCAACGAATGAGCATGAAATTCCAGTTAAGAGGTGAGCACGAACTCCCATGTGTCGGCGTGCATTGCAGTACAGGTTGCGACCATCTTTGGTCGACTCTACGTCTTCACCATGAACTCTCGAAAGCTTCGATATTTCGGTGAAGCCTTCCCTCCTACACAGCAGCAAGCGCCAGCAGTCACTGACATAGTATGTTAAATGGCAACGGTCTGCTAACAAACTGCAGTCATTGAAGACGCGCCTGTGGCGCCAAACAACTTCCCAAGAGATCCTGAGAGCCCTCGCCCACGGAAGAAGATTCTTTACCGGTCCTTGTCGCGCGATGCGAAGCCTCCTTCTCTGAACCTCATAGTCAGCAACGGTTCTACAGCTGTAGTACCGCCCACACCAGTACTTCCAGCGTTACCTGCCCGAGCGCAAACTTTCCCCATCTCAACAACAAAAAGTGATCCCGAGGACCTCCCATCGCCTCCTCCCCCACCGCCTCAGAAATCCGCAAGACGATCTGCAGTCCAGCGAAAGCCCTTGAGCCTTCAGCAGTCCAGATCCCAGTCTGACCTAGCAAGAAGCGATTCATTTCTATCTCCAGGCGAAAACAGATCTTCAATGGAGCGGCCAGCAACTGTCGAGGCGGTATCGTCGGTGAAGAGGAAAGGGCTCCCGGAGCCAGCTGCGAAGAAGTTTGTGGGACTTGCGCAGCTCGGTGCTGGACCTCGAGGCGGAAAAGGTGGTCCTCTGCCACCAACATCTGCACCAAGGAAGAAGAGTGTAGATGCCGAAGCCCCCGTGAAGGGTCAAGAGGAGAATGTCAAGGCGCCTGCAGTGCAGCAGCAACGCAATGCGCCAGCAATGAACCAAATGCCTCCAACCCCCGAGGAAGATAGAGCACCTACACCGCCTCGGAAAGTAGCAATAGGCCTCCCATCCAACCCGCGCGCCAAAGGAGGAGCGGCGTCTCCGAAGCACGTTCGGGGCAAAAGCAGCACTGGCTTTAGCCTTCTGAAGGTGAGGATCCAGCTTCCCTTTCCATCGCCTGTTCTCCTCCGCTAGTTTTCTAGAACCAAGACTACGGTCAGATTACCCGTCCGTTCTGTGCCTGAACTCTTATCACGAGACCATTTCGCTGACTAGTCATCACGCAGGCTCATCGTCCAGCTCCACCACCACCATCAAAGATTATTGAGACTCTGACTCCAGAATGGACTCCTTCTCCAACACTGAAGCCAGAGCAGCTGAAGGACCAAGCCATATCGCCAGTCTCGCCACTTCCACCTCCCACAGAGCAGCGGAGGCCCTTCAGCTTCGAAGCAGCGTCAGCATCTGCCGCGGCACCCCAGATCCAAGAACAGCCCAAATCTGCCGTTCCCATCGTCACACCTCCGTCAGTGGCCGCGCCGCCTGCGCAAGATGATTCTCCCATCCGACCATCATCCGCCGATCTCTGTGGGGCGAGTCCAACAGCCAGCGGCTCGACACCTCCCACGCCCAGCGCCGCCCCAGCCTCACAAGAGCCCGAGACTACCACCGTTCTCCCCGTGCCAGCAGTCACCGTCCAGCCATCACCGATCCAGCAGACCCACCCTGCAGTCACTGAACCACCCTCTACGCCCCCACCCTTCGCCCCTCTAACCCGCGCCCCGATCCCGCTCCCAGAAGTCCTGATCCCAGCAATTACGCCCTCACATCTATCGTGCTACACCAGTCACCGCAACGTCATCTGGAGCAACAACACGTTCCAGCCCATGGGCTGCATGATCTGCCACCTCAACAACCGCGAGCGCAAGTGGTGCTGTACGTGGTGCCAGCTGCGCATCTGCATGAACTGTAGCCAGGAGCTGTGCATGGTGCCTGGACGGAATTTAGAGGTGTACCTGCAGGAGCGGGAGAAGTTGGGTGCGGCACAGGAGAGGAACAGAGTCCCGGAGAATGTGCTGAGTGCGGTGTATGAGCGCGATGAGGACTTTTCGTGAGCGTGGAAGTAAGGAAGTCGAGGGAGCGGCTGTGGGTTTTCGCATTGGATGGCGCAATGGGTGGCTTGTTTGCTTTTCTTCAGATAACCCCGAGCAAGATCTCACTGCCGGCGTTTTGGGTGTGGGCTTTCGTGCTTGTGATGCAGATGGCAGTGCTGAGTTCGCTGCGTCTGACATTAAACTTACATTCACCTTTCAGTTACTGCGTAACCATTTGCATCGCCTGGAATAGCGACATTTAGATACACCAAATTGAACGATTACAAAGTCAAATTTCACAATGCTATGTGATGGGCACTCAGGCCCAGTGGAAATAGTCTCTAGTTGGAGATGGTCAAGCGCGAAGTCGACTCTATGTTTACTTCAGCGATGCTCTGAAATCGGACACCAAGAAGTTCGCATGCACAACAACAGTCCTTCTAGCGTACAACCTCCTCCAGATCTACGTCTATCTCTTCATCTCCCCCAGCATCTGCACAATCTGCGGCAACACCTGTTCCGCATTCTCACTGATGCGCAATGCCTCGCGACCCATATTCCCCTCGGGCGCATCACTAAAGAAACTCTCCTCGCCCCTCGCGCCACCCATGTTCAATATGCCAATCGGCATCTGCCGCTCCTTCGCCCTCTTCACCAGTCTCCACGCCGAATACGTCGCCAGACTACTTCCCACCACCAGGATGCGGCCCGCGGCATCGACAGCCTCTTCGGCGGCGACTTTGGTGGCTGCGGGGATTGATTCGCCAAACATGATGACCGCGGGCTTGAGCACGCCGCCCTCGCTCTTCGGATCCCACGCGCCGTCTGCATCCGTTTGAATACGCACTGCTCCGCCCGTGGGTTTCCGCGGCGGCGACGCCAAACACGTTGGACATGCGGGGTATCTGAAGGTCGTGTACGGCGCGTCGGGAACATCAACGTCGCCGTCGGGATTTGCCTTGAGGCCCTTTTTCCGGCGCTCGGCCGGGTTCTCCGTGTCGAGGGCGCCCGAGGCGAGCATTTCGTCGAGAAAAGACGCCCAGGTGGGGTTCAGGCGGGCGAGTTGGGCCTGGAAGGTGCGGCGCGGGTATTCGTTGTGGCAGGTGAGGCAGACGAGGGAGCGGAGGTAGCCGTGGAGTTCGATAGTGGGGAGGGGAGGGTGCGCGGTCGGGTGGAACGAGTCGACGTCTGGAGGTGTGTGGGATTAGCTTTGCATGATTCTTTGATTGTTGTCAGAGTGGTTGGGACATGCGCACTCTGTGTAATCACGCTCCCCACCACGCCCATCCTGCCCAAGTCTCCACACGCGCGATGTGCATTGTTCGGCCGTGCTCTTTCTAGATTCGTCCAGCCCAGGAAACTCCGGGCCCAGTATCTCTTGCGCGCCTCGTGGCTCTCGCAGAATTCATTGAAGTAGATTGGCTTGTACGTCTTATTCAGCGTATACGTCCCGTTCTTTCCTCGATAGTCTGCCAGACCCGATGCTACCGATATGCCCGCGCCAGTGAGCAGCAACGTCTTTCCATTCTGGCTGACGCCCCTCGCCGACGTGGTAAGCTTGCTCGAGATACTCGACAGCGGCACCGTGGACCTGGGCAGACTCGGAGCCAAAAACTCCAAAAGCGCTGCAATCGCACCACTCGTCGAGTTCGCGCTGGCGGGGATTATCTTAGGCAGAGGTAGGGGATCAGTATACGGAACACGCAGGAGGGGCATTGCTCGACTCGCAGAATCCGAATAGGCTTTGCTTCCATCCTATAGTGCCGCATGTCGCGCAAGGGTTCATGAGGTTTGGGGGCCAGACCTAGCGGCTACTTTTGCGGGTGGTTATGTCATTGATGCAATGCAAGGCGGAATTTAGCGCGGCTCTGTCGTGAGTGGTGGGGGAGGGAACGTGCCCGTCTTAGATCAGACGGCTACGAATCTCCAGTCGCGTGCCAAACGTGCAGGACGGGTCATCAACGATCCGCTGCACCTCAGACTTCGAGGACCGAGTTATTTTTGGGGCCAGAAAATCCCCTACCGTAATATTGAAAATGGTCGCATTGGGAAGACGATGCTTCCAAAAGGTTTCGAGAAGGGCTGAGTGCCTGCTTCAGAGGCTGTGCTGACCACCAGGGCACCTTTGCACAACGGCAACCGCGCACGAATGGCTTTTGTGAACGTGAGGTAGTCATGCCTCGTGCAACCGGGGCGCGGGGTACGGCCATGTTTGGGGTCAGCTCTGCAAGGTACTGGCACTGCCGCAAGTGCCTTGTCTCGCAGCACAAAAGCCGTAGGCCACCCTACGGCGTGTACTTGCGGCAGCTAGTTGGCTTGATGAATCTACCTGTCAACCGACTTTGTGGCCGTTGCTCTACAGCCCCGTCTCGGTTGTAATATGGGCCTGTTTTACAGCGGCTTGTCCAGACCTCCACTGGTCAACGTTGAGGCGTAGTCGAATGTGATGTTGGTTTGCGTTCATGCCGCTGGCAACTGGGTCAGATGTAGTAGAATCGCCTTTGCACTTCAAGGAGCATTGATGCTATCCGTACATCACATTCATTCTCTCTTGCAGTCTCGACGTCTGCCTGAGCGAGTTTCGAATCGATTGATTTTCTGTAGTTGCATTTGTAGTATGTGTGTTGCATCTTTGCCGCTGCGATTCAACAGCAAGGCTTTCTGTAAAGTGGCTAGAAACGTAATATGTACATAGAAGGCGCGATCAATTAGCCATAAGGCATGTCTACGGCGTTGTTTACGGCGTCTTTTAGAGGGCATCAGGAAGCTTCATAACTTTGTGCAAGCGTATGTAAAGACATACCTAATTGTGAAGCTTTTGTCTTCTAGTTAGCACAGCACTCGCAGGTCTCGTTAAACTACTGATGGAGTATAGAAATGAAATAAGATTGACAAAGAAAAGTTCAACCAAGGGAATCTACGCAACCAATAACAGAAGTTATACTCCTTATGCACCGCGCCATTGCCATGTGCTCTCCTTGCTCTTGTAAGGCGCCACTCTCGAAATCAAGCGAATGTCCAATTGGTCCCTCGCTCTGATTACAATCCAACGCCGCGCATGCAGGGTGATCCCAGAAGAAAAAGAAACAATGATCTCTACAGACTCTCCTCTACCGAGAACGAAAAGAGAAAAAAAAAGGCTGAAATGAAAGACGCGAATAAAAAAAGTGGTATCAAGTTGGTCGGTGCTCGACTGGTGGTGGTACAGAGATTGTGTTGAACGCCGTCGTGGTGGCATAGGATGTCGTAAAGATCGTGGCAAGGAGATAAGAATGCAGGAGAAGTCGAAAGGAGGCCAGGGAAAAGGTGGACGACGCTTATTGCTGAAGCTGATGCGGATGCGGATGCGGTTGTTGATGTTGATGTTGATGCTGATGCTGATGCGCGTGTTGATGGGGATGGACCAGCTGATGTGGCATGTATTGCACCGCCTGCTGATGATACTGGGGATGTTGAGGGTGTATCATGGACTGAATGCTTGGTACCCGCTGCTGTTGCGAGGGGTATGCACCTGTGTATTGCGAGAAATGAGCTTCGGACATACCAGCAGGCAGCATGTCCGTTGGGCTCGACTCTTCTTCGAGGTCAGAAATGCCTATACCGCTGTCTTCGACGTCGTGGTAGGTACCATCGATTTGTTTCTTCTCTGCAGACCGAGCGGCCTGACTCAAGTTCTTGAAACCCTTCTCCAAGCACTGCGCGAAGTGAGTATGTAAGCTAAATAGTATGAGACTATTGGACGTACCTTTTGCTCGACGAGCATCCACTTTTCGCCAACGCGAGCAGCGAGGATGCTCCACATCTCACGGCGCACAGCCATATATGCTTGCGCAAGATCACCCAGCTTGACTCCATCCCACTGCTCTGCATTCTGTCGCTCCATCAATCTTTCGTGTCTCTTACGGCAGGCATTTGCTGATTTCTGTGGGAAGTGCTTTGGCGACGATGCGTGATTCCAGTTGAGTCCTTGGGCGCGGGCTTGGATCAGGGTTTCGTCATCTTTAGCAGACCATGAGGAACTCCGTGTTCCTCCGCCCGCCGCGGAAGCTGTTGAGACGGAGGCTCGATGTGTCGTTGGGGCCTTATCAACTTTAGGCATATTGATCATATAGAGACGAGACTTGAAAGAGGAGAGGACGCGAGACAGAGTAGAGGAGAAGCGATCTGAGGAAATGCGGCAACTAGTGAGAGCAGACTGGGGAAAGCCACCGAAATGCGAATTATGATTAGGGTAGGACTGGAGCAGGAGAACAAAAATGTTAGACAGGAAACGAAGGCTAGGAGATATTCTCGGGAAGAAAACGAAGGAATTGGTGTTCGTACCTGTAGTGGGGGGTTTCTAAAGAGTGACCATAAATCTGGCGACGGGCTTTATACATAGAGATGGAGCCGCAACTGAGCCTCTCACCAAACAAAGACCGCATAGGCCGGCCACTCGGCAGCAATTGCTGAAACTGAGATACGTTTCTGTACACGCCGGATTGATCTGCTACATCCCAAAAGGGTATGTACAACTAAGATGGAGGGGAGTCGACCATAGCCCAAGCGCCTTGAGAAAGGTGGGCTGAGGCCAACAGAGCAAGGATGTCAAGCGGTTCGTCCACTATTTTAGAAAGACAGACCTCAAACAGGCGCTTCCGGGCGGCTAATAAGCACTAAGCTTAGTTCTTGGCCACCCATCATTGGTTAGACCAAATTAACACCCAAGCGACCAAAGGGCAGAGACGCATCGCTGCTCACTGAGAAGTGCTGTAGTCATCAATACATTCATGGCTGAGCACTGCGGGAACCTGCAGATGGCGGAGTGGAGTTGGTGCATGATGAAGATGCTGTCAGCACGTGGCCGCCAAATGAAGAATTCGCAAGTCCACGCACACGATTGCGATCTGATGGCCTGTGCATCAAGACAGATCGTTGAAAGGAAAGACCCGTCGTGCGATAGGCCATATGGCCAGCTGGCCGCGATACGCTGGCCCTGTGGAGTTTGTGTTTCATCGTGAGGAGATCGCGCGTCTGTGACAGTGAGCGCCTACGGGATGTGCCTCGTGAACGAACTCCAGTTCTGTGCCACTGAAGTGCAGTGTCAATCCGTTGAAACGGAAAAGCCTCACCAGCACTGCGCACCCATCCAGAATTCAGCCAGTCTCGTACGATGACGGCTACGACCGATGCCATGGCAGCACAGTGCAAAGATCTCGCGCTGCTATTCTTGCGCGCAAGATGGTTGTACAGTAACTAGGCTGTGCTTTCAGCGGCTGCTGCAGGTATCGAGCCGCAGCTCTCGGCTACCGAAAAGTCACCTGCATAATCGATAAAGGCATGGATACCAGAGATCACGATCAAAGATGGATGAAGTGGTGAACGACCTCGTCTGTATTATGAAAGGTACTACTCGAAGAAAGGGCTGTTTGCTGTTGAATGGAAGTGGCGCTAGTTGTCCTACTCAGGCGGACGGCGCGATTTGATCACGTGACCCTTAGACCCTCACATCCTCCAGCCTTTGGTGTGGGTGCGGAAGAATCCCTCTGGATCATAAAGATCCCTTGCACTTCGTGCCAACGACAGCGAACTACCTCTTAGACGTGCGAAGTAATCCTGTCTAAAGTAGGCGTCGTTCATGAACAGAGGTAGGTATGCATCAGGGAGCTTGCCGCTCTTCTGGAAGTCGGTAATGAGGTTACGACTGCCCCAGTGTAGCTGTCCTGTGGCTTCATCGACAGTATGATCGTCGATATCGAACCAGTATGAGAGGTTGAATTCCATAATGATGCGATTGACGTCGTCATCCAGGTCGAGGAGATCCCCACCCATTTCACGAGCTTTACGTGCCAGGATCTTAGGAATGGGTTGGTAAGCAATCGAGCCGATTATACCGGCAACCCCGAGGATGTCTCTCGTAGTCTTCTTCCAGTTGGTGTGGATGGCTCCCATGACCTCTGCACCATTCTCAACAGATGGCACAGGCATAGTCTCCGTAGTTATGGTATAGATAGATCCCTTGATCACCCCGAAGTTGTTATGGGTAAGCAAATCGTAGTAAGAACGCGTCTTGCAGTCGTTCGTGAGCGGCTTGATATCGGTGAAGATGTCGAAGACGCCAGCAGGTGGCTTAGGACCATCATAGAATAGGAACATGACCCAAATATCAACCGCACCGAGTGCAGTTAGCTCGGCGGTCATGATGATAGCCGCCTTCTCGTCAGGGTAGTCATCTGTAAAGTTTCGGACTGCGGAAAGCAACTGGTCCGTCTTGTCGGCGGTAAAGACGAGGTTTCCGCCCCAGATCTGCTATTTTGTCAGTCGAATTCCAAAGACACGATCAATATACTGACCTCGCCCATTGGATGTGCAACCATTTCGTACGAAGTTATGATTCCGTAGTTGTTGCCGCCTCCTTTCAGTGCCCGGTAAAGCTCGGTGTGGCTCGAGTTGGAGGCGGTGACAACGGTAGCGTTGGCAAGGACAACTTCGAAGCTGACGATGTTGTTTGCAGCCCAACCATACTGTGTAGAGAGGAAACTGAGGCCGCCACCGAGAACGTATCCACCAACACCGACTTCGCCGATACGTCCGCCAACAACAGTGACGTTGGTGCCTTCGAGAGCCTTATGCACGTCTTGCCAATCGTTCCCTGGCCCGACCGTCACAGTCATAGACTCAGGATGAAAAGTGACTTCATTGAGTTCTTTCGTCGAGATTAGTGGGCCCTTTGAGATGGAGGCAAAGCCCTGCACGTCGAGAGGGGACGAGGTCAGTGTAAGTCTCAGATGTAGTCTGCACCACGGAGGATGTGTGAGAGCCATACCTCATTTGGGTTGTGTCCACCTAATGGGTAGTCAGTCCATGTTCGTCATCGACGAAAGAATGGAGACTTGCCTGACTTGACGGCGAAGGTTTCATTATTCTCGTTGAGTATCTCGACAATACTCGCCATTTCGCTGGTACTCTTGGGATACTACCGAACAAGGAGACGTTAATGTTATCGCACACACGGATTTCATTCACTGCAAAACATACGAGAATACATGATGGCTTGAGCGCTCCACAGCCGGTGGACCAGTAGTCTGGAGTGTCGTCAGAATGTTTGTATTTAGGTGGCACGCAGATGGTCCATACTTTGCTGTTCTTGGAAATACTCTATCGACTGTTGACGCTTGAGCTCTACAGTATTGAGTGCGTTAACTTGAGAGCAGGTGTCGGCTGCGACTGATTGAACGAGAGACAGAAACGGCATTAAAGAGTAGAGAGCGACATTGGAAGCGTACATCTTCGCGAGAATACTCGGAAACCGAACGAATGTAGTTGAAAAGTTCCGCGGCACTATCTTCACGCAAGTGTTACTCCTGGTAGATATACAAGCGAGCACGAGCAGGTCGAGTCGCGGTCGGACACTTTGGCCAATCAAATTTGATGTGGAGAAGGCTTGTGAAAGGTACCCTGGCACCGGGTGGCTTTTACGCATGTAGAGAAAATACATGTCTCCACATTTCTACTGGCAACGACTCACGCAGATCCATTTATCCAGGCTGGTCAGCTTTGAGGGCCGAGCACTGTTGTAGCTTTACATGGTTGAAGATTGGACGGAGTGGAGCTGTTCAGGATGCTCAAACAAGCCACAGAAGCTGGAAATACGACGTGGTTACGGTAATCGTCTTGGCATTCCCGAAATTGTCAAAAGTATGCCCATCGATGGCGTCTGGAGATAAGAAGATACCGCCCTTCGTTTGCATGTGCATTTTCATGAGGCTTTTCTCCGTCCCGTCCAAACAGCCTTTCGAGTCCAATCTTCCCAAGTCTCTTCTGTGTGTACTATAAATGAAGGCATATGCGAACGTTGCGTCGTGCTGCGCCCAAAATAAGCTGGCGCTTTGCTGTGACTCGTACGGGTCCCACCACGGCGGAGCGTGCATTTATGGGAGCGGACCAGTAGGTCCGAGGTTGTTTGTGCATTGTTTCGTCGGGTCGAGGACTTAGCGTTCGGGGCAATGCCGATTGCAATAATGCACCTACAACATCCCGGCCATAAATCAGGTATGAGATCATAACATTCCGAAGCTTCCGTAGAAGTGTGTTCGGTGTCGAGAGCATGAAAGGGGGAACCACGTTGAAGAACGGACAACGCTAGTGCAACCGAGCTACGCTAACTGTCTTGGATATTCCCTTTATGCACTCCCGTCGCGACTCATCCCCAACCGTCTGCATTGCTGCCCCAAAATTGCGTTCTCACAGTCAGGTGCTGCTCAAAATGCGAACGCGAAGACTTTCAAAGCACGCCGAGCCTGTGAAGGCGTGTTTTCCTGCATAGAGAATACATTGAAAAAGTCCGCCATCCTCGGTGCACCTCACTATTCCGGATGTTTTGCCGTGGTCAAATCTATCAGCTGCGGTAGGGTACCGCAAACGTGCAGCAACGGTATCTGCTAAGAATCTGTGTTCCCTTAGGCTACATCCCCAATGTCAGTTTTACAGCTGCGTTTGTATTTGTCTCATCGAACGATGTTGCACAATAGAGTTCGAACAGTACTGGCATCCCTCATGGGTTTCTCCAGTGCTGATGGTGCCTGGATGTTTGCTCGCTGCACCTGACGCCCGGTCCTGGATATACCCTGTCTTCTCCTGTTGCGCCCATTCACCCACTCTTCGGCTCAATTGCTGCATCTAGCAAGGAACTCGTGCATATGTCTATCGATGTAACGACTAAGTAGGAATAGCGTCGGGTGGATCTTGGTAAGAAGGTGATCTTCATGACAGCCTTGTTTTCGACATCAGAAGTGGAAATGCGGGGTGGCAAGGCATAAGGCATGGCGCATCTAGGAACAGGTATATGATCAGAGCATTTTCCCTTCGTGGCAGGACTAAGGCGCGCTTCGTTGCCTGGTACCACCATAGTCACTCTTTACTGTCCAGTCAATCTTTTCATCATGCGTTCTACTATAATCGTCGGTCTCTCTTCCATTGTCTCTGGAGCAGCTATTGAGAGACGTGACCCGGTACCCGCTGGCTATGTCGCAGAGCCATACTATCCCAGTAAGCTTCACGTTGTAATGTTGCGCACGAGATCACTAGGAAAATGAACGCGTGTTGACTTCTCACAAGGTCCCCATGGAGGCTGGGTCGGTGAATGGGAGGAGAGCTACCGTAAAGCAACCCTACTGGTGTCGAACATGACACTAGCGGAGAAGACGAACATTACTGCAGGAAGCGGTATCTTCATGGGACGTTGTGTAGGGAATACTGGTAGCGTGCTGAGGCTTGGTATCCCGCAACTCTGGTACTTGGTGCCCTTACGTCCTTGAGTCGCATGACATTGAACTGACGGATGATACGCGACAGCTTGCAGGATGGGCCTTTAGGTGTTCGCAACACTGATCATAATACGGCTTTCCCCGCCGGCATCACTGTTGGTAGCACATGGTCGAAAGATCTGATGCACCGCCGTGGCGTGGCTATTGGCGAGGAATTCAGAGGTAAAGGGGTGAACATTCATCTTGGTCCAAGTGTTGGAGCTCTTGGTAGGAAACCTCGAGGTGGAAGGAGTAAGTTAACCATACTTCCCTCGTAACAAAATATGCTTAACAGACATCTAGATTGGGAAGGCTTTGGCTCTGATCCCGTCCTGCAGGCTTTCGGGGGAGCATTGACTATCGAGGGCGTCCAATCTGTCGGTGTAGTTGCGACGATCAAACATTTGATTGCCAACGAACAAGAGCAATACCGTATGTACAGCTTGGTGAAGCCAGGGATCTCGTCGAATTTGGACGACAGAACTATGCACGAGCTCTATCTGTGGCCATTCGCCGAAGGCGTACGGTCTGGTGTAGGATCAGTCATGATCGGGTACAATGCAGTAAGTGCAACGCGAAAGGACAGATGAATTGTGGCTGACAGTACACTAGGTCAACGGCTCTGCCTGCGCGCAGAACAGCTACCTGATCAATGGTCTGCTTAAAGATGAGCTCGGTTTCCAGGGCTTCGTCATGTCTGATTGGCTTGCTCAGATCTCGGGTGTTCCATCCGCACTAGCTGGTTTGGACATGTCCATGCCGGGAGATATTAACCAGGTGCCACTTGTATTCGGAAATTCCCCTTGGATGTACGAGTACAGCCGCGCCATCCTCAACGGCTCAGTCCCTGTGGATCGTCTCGACGACTCGGTCACTCGGATTCTTGCAGCTTACTACAAGATGGGCCAGGATCAGAACTATCCCCGCCCCAACTTTGATGCCAACACCCAAAACGCTGAAGGTCCACTTTATCCAGGTGCTCTATTTGGACCAACGGGAATTGTAAACGAGTTTGTAGATGTACAAGGCAACCACGCAGAGGTTGCGCGCGAAATTGCCCGAGATGCCATTACACTGCTCAAGAATGACGACAACCTTCTTCCTCTGTCTCGCAACTCAACACTGAAGGTTTTTGGCACTGATGCCGAGAAGAACCCCGATGGCATCAACTCTTGCGCTGACCAGGGTTGCAACAAGGGCACCCTCGGCATGGGCTGGGGCAGCGGATCTGCTCGCTATCCTTACATGGACTCCCCAATTGATGGTTTCAAGAGCCGTGGTGCGACTCACCAATTCTTCAACACCGATTCTTTCCCATCCAACTCCAATCCGTCTCCGAACGACATTGCTGTTGTCTTCGTGACTGCCGACGCCGGAGAGAACTACATCACTGTTGAGAACAACCCGGGTGACCGTACGTCTGCTAATCTCAACCTTTGGCACAACGGCGACAGGCTCATCAAAGATGTCGCTGCGAAATACGCAAATGTCGTGGTAGTCGTTCATACTGTCGGTCCCGTGCTCATGGAGGAATGGCACGACCTACCTTCCGTTAAGTCGGTGCTCTTTGCTCATCTCCCTGGACAGGAAGCCGGAGCTTCCCTAATGGAAGTCCTCTATGGAGATGTTTCTCCTTCTGGTCACTTGCCTTACACAGTAGCCAAGACTGAAAATGACTACGGCGAGTCTGTAAAGCTGACCGGCTACCAGATTGGCCAGCCGCAGGATACCTTCACGGAGGGTCTATACATCGACTACAGGCACTTCCATAAGCAGGGAATTACTCCTCGTTATGCTTTCGGTCACGGCCTCAGTTACACAAGTTTTTCTTTCTCTGACGCTACCATCAGCACCGTTACGCCTCTCAGCAGCGCACCTCCTACCCGTCCTGTCAAGGGCGCGACGCCTGCTTACTCCACTACTATCCCTCCAGCTTCGGAGGTTTACTGGCCGGACAATTTCAACCGTATCTGGCGCTATATTTACTCTTGGCTCGACAAGAATGATGCCGACAAGGCTGCCGAAATTGGAAAGTCGCCTAGCACATACCCCTACCCAACTGGCTACTCCAATGTGCAGAAGCCTGGACCCAAGGCAGGCGGTAAAGAAGGTGGTAACCCAGCTCTTTTTGACGTCGCATACGACGTGTCTGTGACTGTCACCAACACTGGAGGCCGTGCCGGCAGAGCGGTCGCACAACTCTACGTGCAGTTCCCTACGTCAAACTTCGACACACCAATCATCCAGCTCCGTGACTTTGAGAAATCGGACGAGCTCGCGCCTGGTGCGACTCAAACATTATCGCTAAGGGTTACGAGGAAAGATCTCAGTGTTTGGGACGTAGTCAGCCAAGACTGGATCATCCCCAATCTGGGCGGAGACTATGGTGTTTGGATCGGAGATAGCTCTAGCAACCTACACCTCAGGTGTGGAACACAAAGTGGAGCTTGCGCAGCCAACCAGACGAGCCCTGTATAAGCTGCCCAGAAGCAATTTCATTAGTGTCGTATATATATCTAATTGATAGTACATAATGCAGCTTTTTGCAAGCCATGTACAATAGCAAGTGACGTATATCAATAGCCTATTGGGAGATCTGTAAATATATACTGACATCAATAGCTTTTCAAGGGGCCATTTAACTTTTCACCATCTTGGCTGGCGAAACAAGAGTCATCATTCATAGCTAGGCTTTGCGATAGATATCGCCCGTGCGTCTGATCTCATCCTCTGCGTCCTTGCCTCTTCCTGTAGCTTCTAGCTCTCTTACTAAAGGCAAGACCTCCTTACCAAATCGTTCGATGTCTTCGTCATAGTGCAAGTGAGCAGTCAGCACTAGACTCACTCCCAAGCTCTTCAACAACAGAATGCGATCCGCAATTTGCTCCTTTGTGCCAATGAGTTTCGTCTTGAATCCATCGTTGTACTGCACCAAATCTTCTAGGTTGCTGTTTGCCCACATGCCCTTCTTATTACTGGTGCTAGCACCAGCTTCCTGCACTGCGTCACGCAAAGCTGTGACAGCTTCTATATCAGCTTTGCCTTGGATCTCTTGCAGGACGCGGATAGCTTCTTCTTCCGTTTCGCGGATAATGACGAACCCATTCACAGCGAATCGAACTTGATCTTCGCGTCCAACTTTTCGCGCGCGCTCTTTGACGTCAGCAATTTGCTCGCGGAACCCATCCAGGTCATTTCCATTCATGAAGTACCCTAGATAGTTTTAGCAGTGCTTGCAGATGTTGTAAAAATATTGACTGACAGTCGCTGACTTCGGAACCGTTGACCCTAGCATCATCGCTGTTTCCGCCCTGGAAAATCTCAGGATGGGGCTTCTGGAGCGGTTTAGGGGACAGCACGTAGTTTTTGAACTGGTACTGCGTTTGGCGTACCATGTCAGCATTTGTCTCATGCGCTAATCGTGACTAGGCATCACTTACGAAGTCACCACCAAACGTAAAGCCCTCTTCGCCCGCTGTCCAAATTCCCTTAAGTGCGCGAATGAACTCGTTCGAGCGTCTGTAACGCTCGCTGTGCTCGAGCCACCATTGCCCGATGCTCTGGAATTCACTCTTGTTCCAGCCAGATACAATGTTAACAGCAATTCGCCCGTTGGTGTAGTTGTCAATGCTGGCGATCTGCTTTGCTGCAACTGTCGGGTTCCATGGGCCTGGAAGTATGGCGGCAATGAGTTTGAGGCGCTCTGTACTATGTAAGAGTGCCTGAGACAATGACACACTTTCGTGCTGGTGCACAGCGCCATACGATGCTGTGAAACGGATCTGAGTGAGAGCATACTCAAATCCATATTCTTCGGCTGTTTTTGCATAGCGCACATTAGATTGCAAGTCCCATTTAGTCTTTTGTGGTATCTTTGAGACCACTAGGCCACCAGAAACATTTGGAACCCAATATCTAAATATCGACGTCAAATTATGTAGAATTTTCCTGAGGATATGCAACTTACGCGAATAGTACACGATCGGGGTCTTGATTCAAGTCCAACTGCTTTGTAGGTGTGTAGCCGTCTGTTGCTCCATTGGTGTGTCCATTGGTGCTATCAGCACCATTGCTCTTAGTTTCTGCCATAGCGATCAGTCACACCATTAAAGTATTGTGCTAATCTGGTATCTACCTGTCTTTTGTCTCTTGCGCGGTGGCATTTTGTATGTTAGATATCATGGAATGCCGAATGTCACAACGAGATGGCGTGAGATGGTGACAGGCCACAGTCGTGGACCAGATGTGCACATTGTAAGCGTGAATTGCGTGCTCTGCAACCACGCGTGGGATGTGCGGGGTTGACGCACATCGGACCTTACGATTGACATGAACTACAATTTGATAGTGCAAGATCTACACGCCGATAAACTCGCCTAAAATCCCCATTCGGTTGTTACCGAACAGCCACACTAGACCGTGGTGTAGCGTGTGAAGTACCTTGATAGTGACGACAACTCTGGAGTCGGGCCACCTCCTGATATTCGCCATAACATGATTTGTGTAAAAGGCTTTATTATGTCTCGCTAGGCTAATTAATGCCTAACCGAACTACCAGCCGTCTTCCACTGAGTTCTCCGCTTCTAATTCTATCAAGACTCGGGCCGATCGCCGCCAATCCGCCATCCTCATACACGGTTTCTGGCAACTTGAGTCTCCCATTTCCGAGAAGTATCGAGAGCCAATTACTCAACACGTGGCCAATATCCCTGTTTGCGTGAAATAATTTGATCGGTACTTGGTGAGTTCGAACGCCTGGGACACGTTCTTTCGGGGAGCCCACCAAGCAAACGAGATGTGCGGGCGACGTACCAGACCATCTGCTGTCTATATGCTCTCCAGGCTTGACTGTTGCATTATAGTCGTGGCCATCTGCTAGAAGTCCTTGACACCATGTTGCAGTCTCGACTCCCACCGTATCGAACGCAAACCTTATGGGTGCTGGAATGGCAGCGTATATATCAATCGCAGCTTGATCAAGATCAGACCGGTCAATAATCAGATCTTTCAGCTAGCGTCAGCAATGGTGATCAGCTATCAGTTGAGGCGATTCCGCGTACCAGATCCGAGTCGTTCTAGAATTTCACCATGTTTTGCTTTGTTGGCAATTACAACGGTCCTCATCCCACTCCACTTTGCGAGCTGTATAGCTATCTGCCCCGTGATGGTGGAAGCTGATGTGATATTAGTTAGAGCTCTGGATCTTCTACGCCACAAGAAGCTGACCTCCGTAGATGAGTATCCAATCTCCGGCAACTGGACGATCTTGAGGTTCAATGCCGTCGAACACCTCTTTCACAATATCTTCAGGCGTATCATCCCGGCCTTGCGCTCGAGCAAGATTCAGGAGATCCATTTGTAAGCCCTTTTTATGCGACATGGTCATACCTAGGCACACCCCCAGACTGATTGTCGCAGCAACAAAGGCTACACCAACCGAAGCTGCTTGCGGTGCATATATGTTTTTTGGCAACCTGACCGCATTGAACTCATCCACTACTGCATACTCCTGGAATCCAGATTTTCTGAAATCGCGATAGTCCGTAGCGATGGATAGAACCTGATAACTTTAGTATTCTGGAGCAACTCGTGAAGCCAGTACCTACTACATCTCCCACTTCGAAGTCGGAAGGCTGAGATGAGTGCTGACGAACAATCTTGCCTACTAGTTCCCGACCATTGACGCAAGGAAACGCAGGTAAGGCAAAACCGTATGCACTGTCGAAAGTTTAGTGATAAAAAATCGTTTGGAAAGATTGGAGACTTACGCTGATTTCCAATCTATGGGGTTCAATCCCACAGCCAATACCTGTACGAGTAGTTCTCCAGACGATATGCTAGGCAAATTTCTGGATTGCGCGAGTTCGTAAGGCTGGCGTGCTTGATAGAGTAGCAATTGCGTCTGGCTCTGTGGTAGAGACACGGTTTGTGTAGACATGACTTCAAACTGTCCGAAGATCCGTTTCCTTCTCTTGTCAGACTTTGAGATCCTTCCGTTGCGTCGAATATGGCCCATGTTTCAGCAGATTAAAACATGTGAACTATGTATGGACATCCTTCACAAATTTCCTACCAGAGCAATGTGAGAAAAGCCGAATACGCATGGGGCACTTCTACAATGACGTGGGCGAGCCCTGCGAGCTGAGCCATATCGGCTTACCGCTAATGATCCTCGGCACTAAGTCGTATAAATTTGTGTTTCGTCCTCTAATAAATCTTCTCAATATATCGTGTGAAGAAACCCTGACACAGGTTAATGAGACAATCAGAAAGTACAAAGACGTGATTTGCCGTAACTTGCCGTGAACTCACTCGCCATGACTTAGAACAACAACCGCGGGTGTTAGCGTGCTTCAAAAGAGATGCATGAGATCTTCGGCTCGATTGCGGTGTTGAGAGAACAAATGCCGCCAATAGAGCCGGAGCACGTCATGTGCTTTCACATAGTCGTGATGGCTATACCACGTAGGAGACCATGTGAAAGTTAGATAGAGCTGTAGATAAGAACAAGAGGTTTACGTGAGTGTCCACATCCACAACCGCAATCATGCCTGCTTCATCAACATCCGATTTGAACAGCAAGAATGCTACCGGACATACCGATGTCGAGAAGCAGCTCACCCAGGAGATCGCTAGCGTACCAATAGCAGCTCCAAAGACATTGGGTGCTGGAGTGAGTAAAGCTGGTCGGAATTTCGCCCATTGTACTAAGAATTGTAGACAGCGCTCGCAATAGGTGTCTTTGCTACTACTCTGACTACCTTGTCATTTAGTCTCATGGAATGGCGTGGTGAGCAGACCCCAATGCGCGGATTGCACACGAGGCATGGGCTGACTTCGAACCCTGAATTCCAGGAGTAACGACTAACAACGTCTTCGTGGCCAATTTCTTCTTTGCCGCGGCAGTTGGCATGGTGGTGACTGCGCAATGGGAGTTGTCCGTTGGCAACGGTTTCGCTTACGTGGTCTTTAGTGCCTTCGGTGAGTCAAGTCACTCGGCCCTATAGATTGCATGCTAACTCTGGACAGGTCTATTCTACGCTGGTTATGGTGCGATTCTGACCCCAGCCTTTGGAGTCGTTGAAGCATACGGAGACAACGTCGAGGAGCTGAATAATGCTCTGGGATTCTTCATGACCAGTCAGTGCTCAGGTACAGATATAGTGGTAGTGTTGCTGATCTTGATGCAGTGTGGACCATTTTCACACTGGTCTTCCTCGTAGCCTCTTTACCAACTAACCTAGTCTACATCCTCATCTTCTTCTTCGTCGAGCTGGGGTTCCTCCTAATCTCGGCGTCTTACTTTGCCGTAGCCGATGGTCATCCGGCTGCCTCCGTCAATCTGAAGAAGGGCGGTGGTGCTTTCTGCTTTCTAGCTGGATTGACGGGGTTCGTGTTATCTCCCTCCAAACTGCATGCTGCACATACACTGACCTTGCATCTCCAATTTTATAGGTGGTACCTGACATTCGCCTTGTTGCTCAATGACTCCATTGTTGAGCTCCCACTTGGCGATACCTCGAGATACTTTGCTAAGAGAAAGACGCAATGAGCGAGGGCAAGCGCCGACGCTGTACAAGGATTTCGCACGCGATGTCGGTCCTTCTACATATCGGTGATCCAGAATCCAGTACTGAGGCATGGGGTTATTGTGATGGTAGATGGTGTCATTGAGGGGTTAGATGGCGAATGCGCCCTCCATTCTGGTGATGAGCTTGGGGTTGTTTTAGTCCACTTTGAGTTAGAACGAACGTATTAGTGTCTATCACTGCATCGATCATCGCTTGTACACTGACCTCGCAAGTCAACCTCTGAAGTGCCGTGGAAGCTCTTGCACCCCACGCTAATTCTGTCACTCGGTAAATTAACTTTCAGCGAATACCCTGACGTTCGAGGTATCTCCATGTGTGGTTGTTTGTTGAGTTTTCGGTGGAACATCCTTGTCGGCCTCCTGCCATCACCGTAACCACCACATGTTGCTCGTCACGTCGATTGCGGCCCCGCAGAATGCTCCAAGATGAACGAATAGCACGCAATCAGGATAAGACATCATGCAATTCGTAGAGGTACCCAGTCATAACCTGTGTGCATATATAGATATACATCCTTGACGTGTATTGCCTGTGACCTTGCGTACAGAACTCACAAGGACTTCTACAGACATACCATGGCTATCACTAACGGCTCCAGTGGCGATCACGGAAACGCGCAGGACGTCGATTTCAGAGATCCTGCCGTTTATGACCAATATGCGAAGACTTGGTCATCGATTCCAGGAGATGAAGCCGGCTGGGCTCAGCGCGCTCAAGAAGTTGCAGATATTCTTGCTGTCGATGCAGTACTTCGTGACCAGGAGAACAAATCTCCCCGGGCCGAGGTTGCTTTGCTGAAGCATTCTGGGCTGCTCAAAATCTTGGGACCAAGGAAATACGGCGGTGGTGGCCAACCTTGGAGTGTTGGTGAGCTCTCCTGATGTGTTGATAATATGCAGCGCGTACACTGACCTCAACTCAGGCTACAAAGCTATTCGAAAGGTAGCAGAGGCCGATGGGTACGATCCTCGTTCTTACATCTGAACGGTTATACGTGCTAACTGCCCCAGCTCGATAGGAATGCTGCTCGGATATCACCTCTTATGGTCAACAACGGCAAATGTCGTCGGCTTACCTGAGCAAGCCGATCGCATTCAGAAGCTCATTATTGAGAACAACTACTTCATCGGCGGCGCTGTTAATCCTAGAGACAGCGATCTGGCCATAAAATCCGACGGCGACAAGATCGTGTTCAATGGCTTCAAGTTTTTCAACACGGGAGGTGTGATATCCGATCTTACCGTACTTGAAGGTGTCTACGAAGGCACTGGAAATCATATCTTTGCCTTTGCAAAGACAGATCAGCCCGGAATCCAATTTGGGCATGACTGGAACAATATCGGACTTCGCCTGACTGAGTCTGGCAGCGTCAAGATCTCCGACGTAAGCGTTCCATGGACGGATGCGCTCGGCTGGAATGTAGAGAAGAAAGAGCCGGATCCTCGCGCTCTTCAAACTCCCTTTTCAACTCTTCTGCTGCCTTCAATCCAGCTTGTCTTTAGCAACTTCTATCTGGGCATCGCTCTCGGTGCGCAGCAGTACGCAGCAAAGTATACTGTGAAGGGTACAAGAGCTTGGCCTTTTGGTGGTGATGTAAGTATACGACCCATCCATATCCCACTGAGTACAGCAAGTGTTGTCATACTGCGAAGAGTGAGAACTAGCATACGAAAATGCAGTTTGATTCAAGGTCGAGTGCCATTATAATTTTTTACTGACGTGCAAACAGAACAAAGAGAAGGCAACAGATGAGTTCTACATTCTCGAACGCTATGGTAACTTCCACGCTCACCTCCGCGCCGCAACTGCTCTTGCAGACCGCGCAGGCCAAGAAGTTGACTCCATCTACCAAAAATATGGAGGTGATCTCGATACCCGCGCCAAGCTGACGGCGCGCGAGCGAGGTGAACTGGCGGAGTGGGTCGCAAGCGTCAAGGTCGTTACGACAGACACCGGTCTGCGAGTCACATCGGGAGTGTTTGAAGTCACGGGTGCTAAGGCGACAAGCCAGAAGGTTGGGCTGGACCGTTTCTGGAGAGATATTAGGACGCACTCGTTGCACGATCCTGTTGCGTACAAGAACCGAGAATTGGGGAGATTTGAGCTGCTGGATGAGATCCCGGAGCCTACTTGGTATACCTGATGACACTGTTTTAGTTCAATGCAATTCCATTCTTTATTTTTTGATGTGTTGACTGACATGCTTTCATCTCACGCCACTTCTAGATGGATTTTTTATGCAAGTTCGCCACCCAATGCAGACTCGTTTCACGATGTGTTTGCTATATTGGATGTGCACCTCATTCTTGCATGCTCTGAAACATGGCCGAAGTACATCAGGAAGCGGCACAAATATTGCACCGCAATACACCAGCACCATAGCATGTGCATCACCCTCCAGCACTCCGCCAGTTCCAACAGACCCCAATCATACCTTACTCTATGAATGAGGCAGTGGCGCAGTCCAACCCGACATAATCAGTAACCTAGGAGCCTCCTCAAATATTCTCGGCGCACGATGGATTTCGAGGCGCTGTCCGCCTTTACTCATGGTATTCGCCGCGTACCGCAAGAGGACTACGTCGTCTGCCTCTAGCTCCAAATACCCAAATTCAGAGCTAGACTCGGAATAGTGCATCAATAAAGTGAGAACGAGGTGCTTCAACGAACGGTATTTCGAGGCAAATTATAACAGACTCATGGACACTGCTTTTGTCGAGGTGGCTTCCATTGTTAATATCCGGGCTAGACTCGCGAAGTAAGCTTTTCACCTCATCACTGTGGAGTTCGTCTATGGTGAGGTCCTGCAAGCTAGCCTGGAAATCGGGTCGTATTTCAGACTATGCCTCCAAGTCATGGTCGTTGCTAGAAACAGCGTTGCCATGTCAACATGGAGCTCACGAAGCTCGTTCAGGCCTTGAAGCTAGTCCATGGAGACGACCCAAGGTCTTGATCTGTCCAACATAGGGATTTTAAATGTGGTGTATGTCGCTCCTGTGCCAATTTGGCCAGATCCTGCTGTACCGTCCGTGCGTGTCCCGCCGCAGAACCGCAACGGTCGACAATCAGTTCGTCCAAGTTGGAGGTAGGAAAGATTGCACAATTTTTGTGATAGATGCTGGAAAGAAGTTATCCATCTCCATGAACACTAGTCGTCGTAGCAAGATTCGTGTGGGCATCGGTTGTGGTACGTAAAAGAGTGGTACGTGAATGTGATCAGAGTACTCTCGCAACTCGAAGTTTCCCATTGAAGGCAGTAGGAGAATACTTCTCTCTGCAAGGGTACGTCCGTGGTAAACCAGGATTTTCAGCTTCTTCATCCGGGCTGCACCTTCGTCGCACCTGTCGACGATGGTTGACATGAGAGACTCATCGTAAATCCATCGAGACCAAGGTATACCTTGGTATAGGTCTAGGTGTTCAATGTTCTTGGCCATGCAGACGATGAGCGCAAGGACATGGAATTTAGACGTCCCCTGGTATACAGGTTCCTCAGAAAGAATGTGCCCAAATCATTGGAGCCGATTTTCGAGGCATGTCAAATTGCCTAGTGTGGCGGTTACGACTGCCGTTAGGACTTCGTTGATGAGACTCATACAAGTCCACAAATCAGACTTGTTATTGTGGTCCTGCTCTTGAATCTGTTCGACATCTGGTGATGGCGCGACTGCGATGCGCAAGATATGCTGGGTGAGCGGCTGGCACGATAGGAGCGTGAAGAACAGTCGCCATATTTGGTGCTCGTCCTTTTTGAAAAGGGTGATATCTCGGTATAGATACGGCTCAGCGACGGAGCGATAATACCTGGATGACTTAGAGAACGCGCTCAAAGCTGATGTGTCACCAACAAAGCAGCGACAAACGTGAGCATCAAACTCGGCAGAGAGCTTGCTCAGCGACATTGCAGAGCCGAAGGGATTGCGGTGATTGTATTGGCTGACGGCACTGCACCGAACTCTGAGTTGATGGCGCGAGTTTAGTGCGGTCAGTGAGTGAGAAAGCGAGGCTGTTCAAAATGTTGACATTGCGCGACGGCGGGCGGATCCTCCCGACTAACGCAGTGATGTCGTAAGTGAAAGGGCATAAAATATGAAAAGTACGAAGACGTGATGTGAAAAGCGGTACATGAGTGCGTAGAGCCTTCAATCCGGCCATGGAATCTACGGCACGTGCTTGGCTGTCGTTCTCTACATCTGTGGCTGCTCCATACCACTCCTCTGAGCCGTTTGCAGAAGCAGTGTCGTCAACTTGTACATAGCCAACTATATCTGATTCATCTTGGTCCAATAAAGTGATCAGTTTGTCCCTTGTTGAATACTTCCTGGCCATCCGATTCTACCTGTTCAATAGAAGGGTTCCGTCGTATCCTCGTAAGGAATGGGCGCCCGAATAGCCTATAGTGTCAGTCCACAGTTGCGACACCTCATAGCCTCTTGCTCGCCCGTAAAGAGAAGGTACTCGGCGTTCTTTCAGTCAATGACACCATGTGCTTGTCTTCATTACACCAATTCACGCTTTCCTTGTGTAGCGGCCTGCTCGGCTTTTTGGAAGTGTGATGACAGCGAGCTGTGGCAGGCCGGACGGAGGTACAGGCGGCGTCATCTGTGCACGGACATCCCATGTCTTGAGAATTGCTCCTGTCGTGCTCCGAACCTTCAACGACATCTCACATGTCTTTCTGTTCACTCAATATATACCACTACCACGATTCTGATATCGATGTCTCTCAAAGACTCATTGGTGAGGCGCTTTCCTCTATACGGAGAGCCAGGACCGAAATCGTTGCGAGCTGAACGCTTCTTCTGACTCAGCCTACAGCTCGAGATAACTATGGTAGGCGATAACAAACGAAGCCTACTCTGCCACATGCACTCTAGCTTCTCTTTCGCGACGGTAAGCCCCAAATCCGATACATGGTTCTAGCTGGGTGCGCCATGCGGAGTGCCGGCGATGTGCACTTGCAACGAGGCGCTTCCTCATGCAAGCTGCAAGGCTGTCTCATTTCACCTTTCCACGATGCCCCGAGTTTGTCTCATCTGCCTCAGTCGAACCACAGCGAATGAAAACAGCCTTGCTTGGTGTCCTTCCTAAGTCGGCTGTTCCGTTCATCCCCTGACTAAGTTAGCGGGTAAATACGGTTAGCCGTTCTTGCAGCGCCTTCGTACCGCCCATCGCTCAGACCCTCCCACATCAACTCAAAGAAGGCAAAATCATACCTTTGGGTTGCTCTGCCCTCTCGAAACCCGGCGGGAGGATCACACCCGTTCTTGGCGTTCGCACGCCGACCGGGAATCCATCAGATGGTCGTACAGCTTGACACAACCACGCGGTTTGTGGACACCTTCATGTGACTACCAACAGGTAGCAAACCACCACTGGGGTCGAGAACTGCCTAGACTAGTGTCGGCATTCTGGAACCTTGTTGCACATTCGCTCTACTACATGCCGGCTGAGGTGGTATTTTCCTAGCATCTGCTCTCCTATCTTATCTGCTTCTTCAAGCTCTTTCTACTCATTCGTCTATCTCGCTATCTCTAATCTCCGCTTGCACAATCTCCCGACGGCAGCGAGAAGCTCACATGCGATGCGACCACCGCCTCGACAGAGATGGAATCAAGGCCGTCTGCCGTTCCCGCTTATTCTCGAGTTGTACTCCGATGTTGCACGCATATGTCTTCAGTGGTAATTATCCCACGGGCTGCGGGACGTCGGTTGGCCCCATGGGCGCCTAAGGTGCTCTTTCGAGTTTGTCCACGCCCAAAAAATTGGAGCTGGTGTCTATGTATACCTCGCCGCCCGTTAGTGTGTTACATGTCTGACTGTGCCACATGGACCGGACCGAACGCCTCTGCCTTCCGAGCAGCCTCGTTCTATATGGGGAGAAAGTGAATCCACCATATGAACAAATATGGATGCACGTGCGTAGCGAGCGTTTATAGAGGCCACTTGGTGTTCCGGTATGCGTATAGTATACACAGTATAGTGGTCTAGCTACTACTGGCTCGCTTCTGGGGTAGATGTCAATTATCCGCCCGTCTCTGGATCGCAACCGCCCCGGGATTCTGTACATCACGCCCCTCGATAGTCCACGCCCGTAGGGCACAAGCCCCCAGATGCTCCATCGACGCCGCACGCGACGGCTTTTGTTAGCATGGCGCTTCTTACACTTGCAGTAGCGTAGTCACTGCGCCGTCTCGTGGATAGGATATGTACCCTTGGACCTCGCAGATGTCCAATCTCCTGCAGCATTCTCCCAACCTACAGACTGTCACCCTCCTTTCAAGTGAGCCGTCGTTGCATTTCCAAGTCACTCCTTCCACACTGAGCTTGTCGCGTGGCTTTCGGCCTACTTGTCTTTTCACGGTCCCTGCACGTAACCTCGCGCTTCACCGTGTCGTACTACATATATCTTGTCATTTCCTGTTCAACATCATCATCTCAAGCTTCATCTTCACAAACGCCTCATCCGGGCGATCTTGATCAGTACCTGCACTAGCGCAGCCACTCGCCACGTAGCACAGCACAGCCCGCGCTAGCGACATCATCAGGATGCGATTCACAAATATCTTGCTCTCTGGAGCAACATCTTTACTTTCTCTTTCTACACTTTCCCAAGCAGCTCCAGTATCTCAAGAAAACGACATGACTTCCGCAGCAGCTTCTGGCTACAAGAACGTTGCGTACTTTGTCAATTGGGTATGTTCGCTTGCTACCACCCCACAAAAAGCAAGCTTGGAAACTGACACTTGATAGGCTATTTATGGTCGCAATTTCAATCCGCAGGATCTTCCAGGCCAGGAGCTTACTCATGTGCTTTATGCCTTTGCCAATGTTCGACCTGAAACTGGTGAGGTCTATCTGACCGACACTTGGTCGGACACTGACAAGCACTACTCGACCGATTCTTGGAACGATGTTGGCACCAACGTCTACGGATGCGCAAAACAACTATTTCTCCAGAAGAAGAAGAACCGCAAGTTGAAGGTTCTGCTTTCCATTGGAGGCTGGACTTACTCGGCCAACTTTGCGCAACCAGCTTCGACAGAAGCAGGCCGTGCCAAGTTTGCAAGCAGTGCCGTTGCCCTTCTCCAGGATCTCGGCTTTGATGGTAAGTCCCGCATTACATTGTGTCTCTTTTCGTATACTCACCTTCCCCAGGCCTTGACATCGACTGGGAATACCCAGCCAACGAAGCCCAAGCAAACGACATGGTGTCTCTCCTCGCCGCCACCCGCAAAGCTCTCGACGCCTACTCCGCCGCCCACGCCCCAAACCAACACCTTCTCCTAACCGTCGCCTCCCCCGCCGGTGCCAAAAACTACAACATCATGAAGCTCGGCGCCATGGACAAGTACCTCGATTTCTGGAACCTCATGGCCTACGACTACGCCGGATCCTGGGACGCCAACGCAGGCCATCAAGCCAACTTCAACCCCTCTGGCAATAACGCCATCTCCACGCCCTTCAACACGCAGCAAGCCCTCAAAGACTACGCCGCCGCTGGCGTCCCGCTCAATAAAATCGTCCTCGGTATGCCCCTTTACGGCCGCGCCTTCGCCAACACTGACGGCCCTGGCAAACCCTTCTCTGGTGTTGGCCAGGGCACGTGGGAAGCGGGCGTGTACGACTACAAGACGCTCCCCCAGGCCGGCGCTTCCGTAACGAACGATTTGGACCTCGGGGCCAGCTGGAGCTACGACCAGGGCCAGCGGCTGATGATCAGCTACGACACGCCGCAGGTGATTCAGAAGAAGAGCGAGTTGGTGAAGAGCATGGGACTGGGCGGCGGGATGTGGTGGGAGAGCAGCAGTGATAAGAAGGGGAGTGATAGTTTGATTTCGACTGTAAGTTTTCTTCTTGCTGCGCTGTCTTGGGATGCGTACTGACTTGGACTTAAGTTTGTCAATGCTGTTGGTGGCACGGGCGCGTTGGATCAGAGCCAGAATTTGCTGAGCTTCCCGTCGAGCAAGTATGATAACTTGAAGGCGGGATTCCCCAACGAGTGAGGGGTAGGTGGGAGAGTCTTGGGCACCTTTTTTCGCCCGCTTTCTTGAACATACTTTTGGTGCGAAAGTTGTCTCATATGTCAATCGTCGGTCGCTTTGGAGAGCAGAAGACGAGGAGTTTTCTTTAGATGTCACTGTCGCTTCATATATGGTTGGGGATGTAGGTACCGGTTTCAAATATACTCATGATTTACTACTTCACTCGTTTCTTTCGGACTCAGGCTTGATGATTCGTGCTCATGATCAACGATTGATTGATTCAAGATGACGGCTTGTTGAAACGCCGTGCCAAATGCTGAAGTCTACATGATGAACTATATACAATCTTACCATGTTGTAGAAAATCCGCTTAAGCAGACTTCTCCATCTCGGCAATCTGTGCCCCGCCAACCTGTCCACCCCGTCCCATTCTCCTCTTCTTGATGACATTCTCAATGAACGCTTCTCCAGCCTTGTAGCTCGACCTCACAAGCGGTCCAGACGCGCAGTACAGGAAGCCCATGTCCAGCGCACGCTGTCTCCACATCTCAAAGACATCGGGCGTGACGTATTCGTGGACAGCCATGTGTTTCTTCGTTGGGCGCATGTATTGGCCGAAAGTGACTACGTCGACATCGTTGGCTCGCAGATCCTTGAGGGCTTTCCATAGTTCGTCTTCCGTCTCACCTAGACCGAGCATGATGCTAGTCTTGGTGATGAGTTCTGGCTTCGTTTCCTTTGCGATTCGCAGCACGTTGAGTGACTGTTTGAAGTTTGCGCGCCGGTCGCGGACGTAGGGTGTAAGTGCCTCGGTGGTTTCGACGTTGTGTGCAAAGACGTCAAGGCCAGAGTTTGCGACTAATTTGACCATCTCTGCGTCGCCTGCGTAGTCTCCTACAAGTGCTTCCACAAGCATCGACGGCGCTTTTTGCTTGATTTTCATGATTGTTTCCATTGCGTGTCGCGCTCCTCCGTCTGCGAGATCATCGCGATCCACGATAGTCAGGACAACGTATCCGAGTCCCCAGCGGCTGAGCGCTTCGGCAGTGTTCTCTGGCTCGTGCGGGTCGAGTGGTGGAGGGGCTTTTGATGTCTTGACAGAGCAGAATCGGCATCCGCGCGTGCATGTGTCGCCCCCAAGCATAATTGTGGCAGTCGCAGCACTCTTGTCGCTCCCGCCCCAGCAGTCGCTAATGTTCGGACACTTTGCTTCCTCGCATACGGTATGGAGGTTCAAACCGCGCAAATCCTTCTTGATCTTCTTGTAGTTCGCATTCGAGGGGATTGGTGTCTTTAGCCATTCCGGCAGTCGTGTAATGGTCTTCTTTCGCCCTTCTGGTCCTACTTGCACAGTCTTGATTTCGTAAGCCTCGGCGGGGGAGAGGGGCGCATCGGGAGCTACAAAGTCCCCGAATGAGGGACCGGCATTCAGGGTGTCGCTAAACGACGTCTGTGGTCGCGCACGCTTGGGCGGCTGTTGTGGGAGTGATGATTGCGGAGAGTCGATAGTTGTGGCGAATGCTCGTGAGCATGGTGTTCTTGATCGTGCAACAGTTCGGAGGGTCGGTGTGGAGAGAAGACACCGCGAACGTGGTATTGAAGCTGCCATTGTGGAATCGTACTCGTGTATGCAAAGAAGGAAGAAAAGAAAGCTCGGGCAGCAGAGGGTTGCGTGGTAAAGTTATTCATCTCAGCCTTCAATACCCGAAAACGGGCGGCGGATCCAGGGCCGCGCTAGGGCAGGCGCACGGCGTCAAACAGCACAAACACAGCTGCGCGGCAGGAGCAACCCACATTCGCGGCATCCCTGCACTCCGCCGAGTCGAGCCATCTTCAACGTACACCAATTCACTGCGCCAATACGCATTCCCCCCGAACACGCTCTCCTGCCCGCATCCCGAAACCTTGACCCAACAATTGCTGCGCGGGGCCCCGGACACCTTTACTGCGTCGTTCAGCAAAGGCCACGTTTGGCGGAGCAAGAGCGGGACACTTTTTATACCACACACGGACAGCTCTCGACCAGAGCTATTCTGCGCCCAGCATGGACAAGAAGCACGAGGACGTCGGTGGCGTGGCGCAGATTGACAAGACCTCTGTCTTCCAAGAAGGTACCGCGACCTGCTGTTCCACGCGGTAGTGGGGATGAATTGGCGGTATGGGAGCTGACACGACGCAGCGCGAGTATTCAACCAGAGCCCCGTCTCACCGCGGAAATGCAGAGTGGTATGTTGAACCGAAAGAAGGCCGTGTCGGACCTCAGCTGAGAATGGGCAGATCTTGACTAAGCTCGCACTGCTGCTCTTCACGGGCGAGAGCTGGGGGCGCCAGGAAGCCACGACACTCTTCTTCGGCATATCGAAGCTCTTCCAAAACAAGGATGCCTCGCTCCGCCAGATGGTCTACCTTGTCATCAAGGAGCTGGCCGGCTCTGCCGACGATGTCATCATGGTCACATCCTCCATCATGAAGGACACTTCGGTCGGCAGCGATGTCGTGTACCGCCCCAATGCGATCCGCGCCCTCTGCCGAGTCATCGATGCCTCCACCGTACAAGCGATCGAACGTCTCGTCAAGACGTGCATTGTCGACAAGAACCCCTCGGTGGCCTCCGCGGCACTCGTATCGTCGTACCACCTTCTCCCAGTCGCAAAGGATGTCGTGCGAAGGTGGCAGTCTGAGGCAGCAGAGGCAGCATCTGGAAGCAAGTCTGGCGGCGGCTTCTTAGGTGGCTTCGGAGGCAGCTCTCACACTGCGCTGCAGGCGAGCACAAACTACATGACACAGTACCACGCTATTGGTCTGCTGTACCAGATGCGCTCTGGCGACAGAATGAGCTTGGTCAAGATGGTCCAGCAATATTCGGCTCAAGGCGTTGTCAAGAGCCCTGCTGCTACTGTTCTGCTGGTCAGGCTAGCAGCCAAGCTGGCCGAAGAGGACCCAAATCTGCGAAAGGTAGGAAAACAAAAGACGAAACCACGTCCCTTGCTAACAACCTTGACAGCCCATGATGCAACTGCTCGACGGCTGGCTGCGTCACAAGTCCGAAATGGTCAACTTCGAGGCCGCAAAGGCAATCTGCGACATGCACAACGTCACCGATGCCGAGCTCGTACAGGCTGTCCACGTCCTCCAACTCTTCCTCACATCTCCCCGCGCAGTCACCAAGTTTGCCGCTCTTCGAATCTTGTCACAAATGGCGTCCTTCAAACCAGATGCTGTCCGAACATGCAACCAGGACATCGAATCGCTTATTACAAACTCGAACCGCAGCATTGCTACATTCGCCATCACCACACTACTCAAGACGGGCAACGAGTCTTCCGTCGACCGGCTGATGAAGCAGATCACAGGCTTCATGGCAGAGATCACGGACGAGTTCAAGGTCACAATTGTCGAGGCTGTACGAACTCTGGCGCTGAAGTTCAAGGCTAAGCAATCTGGCTTCCTTGCGTTCCTCAGCGGTATCCTACGCGACGAGGGAGGCTACGAGTTCAAGCGATCTGTGGTCGAGGCCATCATGGACTTGATCCGATTCGTGCCTGAGGCGAAGGAGGATGCGCTGGCCACACTATGCGAGTTCATCGAGGACTGCGAATTCACCAAACTCGCAGTCAGGATTCTGTTCGTCCTTGGAAGAGAAGGTCCTTCTACGCCACACCCTACCAAGTACATCCGCTACATTTATAACCGCGTCGTGTTGGAGAACGCCATCGTCCGTGCCGCTGCCACCTCTGCCCTCGCCAAGTTCGGTGTCGGACAAAAGGACCCCGAGATCAAGAAGTCTGTCCATGTCCTCCTAACGCGCTGTCTTGACGATGTTGACGATGAGGTGCGCGACCGTGCCGCATTGAACCTCCGGTTGATGGACCAGGATGACGACCTCGCTCTTAGCTTTATTCGCAACGATTCCATGTTCTCCCTTCCCGTCCTCGAGCACCAATTAGCCATGTACGTTAGCTCCGATTCCCGCGATACTTTCGAAACCGCTTTCGACATCACGAAGATTCCGACCGTGTCGCGCGAACAAGCCGATGCCGCAGATCTCACAAAGAAGACCGAAGGCGCGACTCCCACTCTCAAGGCACCCAGTGCTTCAAAGGCACCTTCAAAGGCTGGTGCAGATGCTGCCTCTACCGCAGCAAACAATGCACAGAAATATGCCGAGGAGCTGCAGAAGATTCCCGAACTTGCTGCACACGGCTCCGTGCTCAAGTCGAGCGATCTCGTCGAGCTCACCGAGTCAGAAACCGAGTACGTTGTCACAGCCGTCAAGCACATCTTCAAAGATCACATTGTGCTTCAATATGACATCAAGAACACGCTCCCAGATACAGTTCTGCTCGATGTCGAGATGGTTGTTACCCCAGAAGATGATGGTGACGTGCAATTAGAAGAGGAATTTGTCATTCCCGCGCCCAAGCTTCCTACAAACGAGCCGGGCACAGTCTATGTTTCCTTCAAGCGATTAGAAACTGAGTCACAGTACATCGCGGCAAGCTTCACCAACGTCCTTAAATTCACCAGCAAGGAGATCGACCCAAGCACCAACGAGCCAGAGGACGGCGATGGCTACCCAGATGAATACCAGGTTGAAGATCTTGATCTCAATGGCGCTGACTACGTTGTTCCTGCATATGCAGGCAGCTTTGACAATGTCTGGGAGCAATCGAACGGTGAATCAGCGACAGAGACTTTGCAGCTCAGCAACATCAAGAGTATATCAGGTATGTTCACTACACTTACATCGCGTTGTTAACACGCTGACATTTCCCCCAGATGCGACAGAACAGCTCACAAAAACCCTTTCATTGCAACCTCTTGACGGCACAGATGTTGCACTATCGACTTCGACACATACACTCAAACTTTATGGAAAGACTATCACAGGTGGCAAGGTCGCAGCTATGGTACGAATGGCTTTTAGCGCAAAGACTGGCGTGACGATGAAGATCGATGTGCGAAGCGAGGAAGAGGGCGTTGCAGCATTGGTTATTGGCAGCGTGGCATAGTTGAATGTAGTATGATATAGAGACGACGGTACTTTTTTGTTCCTCTGGATTGTCACTTTCACCTCGCGCCTTCCCAAAAAGGCGTTTTCCAAAATATGCATAGCGACTAAACCTACATGATGAAAATCGGCCTCAAACATCAAACCGCAGTGTGCGTTGTTCATCAATCGCACGATCTCCGTGGCCATCGGTCCTTCCCCCTCGTAGCGCTAAACCATATCCCGCCTCCCTCACCCCGTTTTCCACGCGGCTCGTTCCCCTGGTCCTGGGATGAAACGCAGTGGCGCTGGACCGGGTCGAGCGCGCAAATGGCTAAAAGCGGGAAATTGAACATGAGGTGTTGATGACGGCGCTAGGGAATGGCGCAAGACTTGCTGGGGATAGCCGGTGCGGCGGGTGCGTGGTGGTGTGGATGTGGAGATGAGGTTGGAGGGGTGGGCTTGGTATTTGTTGGTGAGATTGGAGCGGAGACATCAAGTTGTAGTTGTTTTGGACTATGTGATCATATATGTGTGTTTTTGAGTAGTTTGGAGTAATGGCAAATGCGCGGCGATTTTTGTGGAAGCTGTGATGGATTAATTGTATCAACTAGTAGAATGCATGTTTGCATGATTCAGATTGAACGTATAAATTGCCCGTTTTGCATTGAATTCATAAAGAAAAGTAGGATACTCAAGTGAAGGATTAATAAGTCTACCTGGTGGTTGTGCATGGTCAAGTAAATGTGTCACGAATATGAAAGGCTGCTTTCACTGCCTGCATACAGGCAACCAAGTTCAAATTCAATCCTTTGTGACTGGTATACTGCTAAGATGAATGTGGTTGTTGTGAAGGAAAGATAAACAATTTTCTGAATGGTGGTCAATTCCTGGATGTTGAAGGGAGAATGACTACCTCGACGATCGCATCCGCTTCCAAATGACGCACACATCCATCCTCTCTCAACTACCCCAGCACTCCGTCAAGCCACCTCATCCCACCACGAATGCGCCAAAACATCATCTATTGTCGCCCTAGCCCTTGGATCAGGCTTCATCATTCCCGCTATCATATCCTGCGCCCCAGAACCCAGTTCCTGACCCCACACGTCAAACCTCATTTCCGGCTGGTCTTCCACCGCCAGCTCAGCCATTTGAGATGCCAGTTTAAGAGCCTTTGACCACTTTTCGCTATCAATCTGCTTGAGAAGGCCGTCGTTTGCCGAGCCGAAGTAAGAAAAGTGTCGCGTTAGGATTTCTTGCTCCGGGGTGATGCCGAGCTTCGCAAGTTCCTGGTAATCGTTGATGAGTATCGTTTCCCCAGCTCCGAGGGCATATAGGCACTGCGTGGATGTTTAGCGTGGGTTTATCTCGAAATGGAGTCACGCACAACCAGTCCGAAGGAGTAAACGTCGGATGCCTTGGATAAACCTCTCCCAGTCTGTCCTTCTGGGCTACGCCACATTGCATTGCCTACTGCATGAGCGGTATGAAGCAGCGCGCCTGGTTCTAATTTGAAAGCAAGGTCGAAGTCACCTAAAGCGACGTTGGTGATTGTCTTGGTACCCTCTTCGTCGCACGTCCAATTGACCAGTATATTGTCAGGCTTGAAGTCTACCACAAGCATTTGTTAGTTGGGAGGTCGTAATGGAAGATGCAATTTGGTTTGATAATCGTACCGATGTGTATCCAGTCCTCGCTATGTAACTCTTGTATGGCTTCCCCTGTGTGTCGCAAGATCATCTTCCGTGATGCATCAGAAATGTTTGTATCATCTTTAAACAGTCCAAGCAGTGTGTTTTGGTAGTACGGATAGATTAGGACATCTTCTTCTTCTTCATTGGAGTCAACATGCATGCGAAGCCGACGAGATTGAGGAAACCCGGCTGCAAGGCGTAAGGACAGATTGAAGAATGCCCTAGACACGCGCTTGAAGACGAGAGACTGGCCCTGAGATCTGAAACGACTCTTGTTGAGCAAAGTCCTAAATCTAGGATTTGTAGAACGTACTCAGCTTTGTGGATGCTTACTCTCGGATCTTCGCGCTCCTGCAGCCCCTCGCGCTTAGTGTATACACGACCAGATTTGCCTACAATGGTGGATGCCGACCTGATACCGGTACGTGCAATATATGGCGTGTGATGAGCGAACCGACTGAGAAGCATGAGTTGAGACACGAGCGAATACATGGAAAAGGTCTTGTCTCAGCAGTCAGAGATCCTCCGCAGTAATCAAGTCCATGATTGGTTGGACATTTGTAAGCTAGCAGTAGGAGGGGTACTACCGCCCATGACCCCCAAGTCCTTTCGAGGTGCTTTAAGAGCTACGTTTTCCATAGGGCTCGAATGGGAAGATTGCTGCGATACCAGCCATTAGGATGTACAACGCAGCGCAGATATAAATGGGTACAGGTGTACCAGTCTAATTAATGATTAGCAACAAAATCACTGCTCGCGCATATTCGATACTCACATCTGCAACCGTCGCAATGACGGCACTCAGAATACCCATGATACGATTCCACCCAATCGCAATGCCGTTTCCGGTGCCTCTGTGGGCCGAGGGCAAGACCTCTGGCGTGTACGCATACAGCGTGCCGTAGTAAATGTTCAGGCAGAAATTGATAATGCAAGTGAACGCAACCTACACAGCGTGTTAGCAATTTACCCATGTCTCTCCAGCGGAAGCTTCTACTCACGTTCTGCGTCGCTGTCCGCACCTGCGTATACGCGAAAAAGAACGCCATAGTAACCAGCGCACCCACAACCATCGTGTATTTCCGTCCCAGCCGAGTCCCGCACATCCATCCCGCCAGCACAGGGCCCCAGATACCGCTGAAGTTCACGAGCGTGTAGTTTCTCCACGTGATGTATGGACTTGGCTGACCAAACGCCGCGCCTCGCGAGGACAAATATGCTGGTAGGAACACATTGTACAGTGGATAGGCCAGGCCGATTAGCGTCCACGAGAGCCAAATCAGAGTCGTCGAAATACCAATGCGTCTCGTAGCATAGAGGCCCTTGATATGGCCCCATATGCCTCCCAGTGCCCACTTGCTTCCAGGCGTGATTTGCAATTCTCCACACGCAGCCATCATTTCTACAGTCAGACTACAGGGGCGATTGTACTTGTTCGCAATGTATTGCAGAGTTTCAACACACTCGGCATCTCTGCCCTCGCCGACGAGGAATTTGGGCGTTTCTTTGAGCCGGATGACGGTGATGCGGGCAAGAGACATGACGAAGACGAGAGAGCCGCTGGCGTACCACACATAGCGCCATCCCTGGTTGTTGGCTTTAGTGCAGGGTGCTGCATCAGGGAAGGCGGAGGGATCGAGACAGGAGAAGTTTGGGAGGAAAGCCCAAGCGAAAAATCCGGCGATGAGTTGTCCGACGCCTGGAATCTGTCATCAGCTCAAGCATCAACGCTTTTATAAATGAATATGTACCCCACCATGCCGCCATGAGTGTGAGCATCCACTGCTTATACGCTGATCAAAAGTTAGCTTTGCACATACTCAATTCAACCCATATATCAAACTTACACGGTAAATACTCCAGGAAAACCGCTGTATCCAGCACCAAGTTGCCACCAGCCCCAAAACTGCTCAAACACACGAACAACCCCAAAACCTCCCACCCGGGACTCGCGCCCGCCACAATCGCAAAGACACTACTAATCAGCAAACTGACATTGAATGCGACTTTTCGCCCCATGATGTCCGCCGTGAGTCCCCAAAACAGCGCGCCCACGAGCATGCCCACATATGTCGCAATCGTCAGGCCGTTGGCGAAGCTGGGATTGAATTCGAGCGCGGCTTGCGCTGCGATGACGGATTGGATGAGTAGGAGCAGGCTGTCGACGGCGTAGCCGAAGCCATTGAGGATGAAGAGTTTGGTGTGGTAAGGAGTGAAGCCGATTTCATCGCTGCGAATCTGTTAGTAGAGGTTTTGGCAGGTGGTATGGGAGGAATGTGTACATGGCGTTGTTGATGAGATGCATTTTCGCATTCAAGATCGGGTTAACATGCTCTTGCTGCAGAATGTCGCCTTTACCCAGACTACTCGAATCATCGACCTGTCCATCTTCGACGTCCTGCTCATGCACGACTTTCTTATTCACTGGATCTTCCATGGTGGCTACCCAAAGAGCTGGTAACTTGAGATGCACGCGACACCAGGGAAAAAGGAAAACAGGAGGGGTCAATCCGAAATGCCCTGCATCGCTGCAAAAGAGCGCCCGATACCGAGACTTAAGTACAGCGGCGGTCCAGTGTCGCTTCGCACCCTTCCCACGTTCTTGTGCGGCGGCATGGATGCACCTGGGCAGGCCAAACCAAGGTAAGGCGGGGCGATGCCACACGTGGGGCGCGTCTTATTGGTCTCTTGCGACGCTGCGTATCTTGCAATGGCCGATCATTTCTTATTACAGTCTTGGATAACCGTTCGCCGGCTAGGCGTCGCGTTAGTCAGTAACCGTTGTTGGTGAAGATCGGGTGGATGATTTCGGGCCCAAATATGGGAGGTGTGACGTGACAGTACAATGGCTAGCAGTACGTCTACATTTCTCATAATTATAATTCATCATGTATTTATTGAATATCTCTGACTTCTGCAATCATTTTGGTTTGGCTCGAGCTATCCTGTAAACATGAAAGCACATACCTCGATACAGCGTAATTGCTATTGAGAACCATGTACACGAACCCAAAAGCCAACGACAGACCCGTGGCGATGTGACTATTATCCTGAACGCCGTGCTTGAAGTATCGCAGAACAAGTGATTGATAAAGTTTGAGAGGAAATAGAAATCAAACTATTGCGGCACAGGTGTGGGCGTGGCCTCTTCAGTGCTTGCAATCGCAGTGTCGCTGTCCGCTACTGGTATGGGCGCTATCCTTCGCTTCTTGTTATCACGACCCTCCTCCGCTTCGGGTACTGGGTGGAGCTCCCGTTTCTTCGATGTGGAAAGTGCATCGTCCCGGTCTGATTCACTTCTCTCGCTCTCCCTTCGTCCAATATTACTGAGGTTCGGAACGCCGCTGACAGAGCTACTAGCGCTGTGAGTGCTTCCGTGCCCATGAGCGGGTGTAAGTGGAGGTGTCCACATTGGAACAGGGCCAGAGTTGGTTGCTGCCAGGCTGGGTACCGAGGACATTGCGGGAGTCGGAGCGTTCATCACATTGGGGTCCCCGGAGCTGGGAGCAAAAGATGCTATGCTCGACACGGAATTGCTTCGAGTAGGGCTTCCGGGTCTTGCAGGCACGAATGAGCTTGGTGAGGCAGGAAAGCCCGCAGAAGGCTGTCGCTGCATTGGTGGCGCAGTAGCTGTTGCTGTGGCTGACATGCTTCCAGTCGTTGGAGTTGGAGTGGGAGTGGACTGATTTGACGGCGTTGCGGCCGTATTGATGGCAGCGGGAGTGTGGTGGGGACGGCTATGGGTGGCGAGAGGACCAGTGTACTTCTCCCCAAGCTCACCAGGGGCGAATGTTACAGCTGAGCAGAATCCATCGGAGGATGTCATTAGCAGTGTAGAGCCGTCGTTGGACCTGTGTCGGCGTTAACAATGTTAAAATCGTGTCGTACATCTGTACATACCATGTGATATCAGTGAATGTAGCAAAGTGTAGGTTGCTAACAATGCACAATGGCTTTTGCTGCTGTGTGTCATAGACGTGGATAGCGTCCTGGGTCGCTACCGCGTAGATCATGCGATATGGAAGAGCGAATGCCGGTGCTGGACCACCTGGTGGTGGTGCAGGCGTTCCATTTTCGCTTTCAGAAGGCCTTGGCGATGCGGCTGCTAAGCTTGGTGATGGCGAAGGCGCACTGGTCACACGAGGTGGGTCCATCGATGAGTGCGAAGTCGGCGGTTTCGAAGGCATGAATGGCTCTGGCAACGATGGGATATCGTCATCATGTGATGTATCAATAGTGATTTGTCTTGTTATTGGGGCGCTCTGGCGTATGGTGTAATACACTGGCGAACATCGAACGGCCACCGAGGGCTTCTTGTGGCCAGGGAGATAGGCAACCGGAGGCTTATTCAACCCAGCGCGTGTATAGATGTAGACTGTGTTTGTGATGTCTTCTGTTGGTTTAGCGTCATTGATAGCAGGGTGGAGTGCTTTGTATTGACCAGCAGGTGTGAAGAGCAAGCTGCCGTCCGGAGCAAAGGTCAGACGCCTAAAGAATGAAGTGAGAGTCTCGTTGAAGTATATGGGTGCGTTGCGGACCCCGGCTGGGTTGCCGAGACTGTTCAGGCTTGGAGAATTTGGCATCACTGCGGGCAAAGGCATTGATGGGGCTGGCGAAGCGGAGCGGCGCATGGAGGGTGATGAGCCAAACGAGGATCGACGGCTGTGCGATGTCGGTGGTGGGTGCATCTGGGGCAACGCTAGAGACTGAGGAGTTCCCGGCATGGAGGGCACTGGGGACCCAATGGCGAGACTCGAGTCGGCTACGAATGAGGCCCTGCCACCAAAGTCTGGTGGTGCAGGACTGTTGGACGACACTCGTCGGGCAGGCAGATCCATTTTGGTGACCTTGCTGTGTTGAGCGAGCGAGAATTGACCATCCTTGTTCTTCAATGTGTAAATGTGCACCGATCTGTCAGAAGATTGTGTTGCGATGTATTCGTTGAGAGGATCCCATGCTACTCCCTGCACGTAGTGGTTGTGTTCGGCAATCTGGCGTACGATACTTCCTGCGCAACGTTGAGTAAGAGTATGGCGGGCGTGTTGGACGTGGAGCTGTACCTGTCTGAGCGTTGTAGATGCGAGCAATGTTATCCATGCTGCCTGTGATGAAGAAGACGCCGTCTGGTGACCAGGCAAGATCGTAGATTTCTGAACCTATGGATCTGCACATGGCCTTGACTCGCCATGTCTCCTTGTCTTCGAGGCCCTCCTCGAAGTTTGTGTGCGTGGTGTGGCTATCTGCCGGTACCCAGAGCAGGACGTTGCCGTCGTCTCCCGCCGTGGCCAGCATTTCACCTGTGCTATGTCAGCAGCTGCTATTCAACGACATGTGGGTCTATGTACCTCGTGGACACCATCGTACTACGTTGACGGCCTGAGTGTGCTTCACGAGCGTTGAGAGATATGTAATCTTGCGCTCCTCGCCGTGGTTCTCGACGTTCCATAGCTGTGCCCGTGTCAGCAGTGTCCAACACACCGATTGGCACGGTCTCCTGTACCCGAACATTGTTATCGCCGCCCGCGGTTGCCAACCGTCCCTTGCCGTGGGGCTCGAAGTGGGCTGAATATATGGGAGCGTTCTCATTGTGCCAGGACACAAGCAGCGGAGCGGCCTTCATCGTGTCGGAGTCGACGGCTCACCAGCCGTTGTGTTGGGGTTCAAGTATCGTGAAGGGGGTTCGCTCGGCTGGTGTGCGTTGGGTGCAGGCAATGGTAGGGGCGATCGGACAATCAAGGTCAAACGGTACGTTGCCAGGGAGTGGGCGGGTGTGCTGAGCGGAGTAGGTGGTTTGCAGAGCCCCAAGGTGAATGTCTCTGTGTGGTGACAGGGAGGGTGCTCAAGGTGGATATTGTCGTCTATGTGGGAAGACGCTCGGTCGTTATCTGAGGCAATTGAGCTTGTCAGAGGTGGTTGGCACTCCTTCCGGCGTCCTGCACACGATCGCGCCTGCAACTCGTGGGCCTATACCCGATCGGGAAACCTAAGTGATAAATCCCGTTTCACGCCCACCTTTCTGCGCATTTGCATGGCAACGACACTGATCAGCAACAAGCAACCGCGATTTTCACGTGTCTTGTGTGCCGAATAATGCCGTCCAAGTATTGCATGCGCTTCAAGAATAGTTCATTACCTCAGGGTGCTGGTGTAAGCCGGCGTACGTATTGTTCACAGTTCGGCCCTGTCACCCGGGAAACCATGTGACTTAAACTTCCCTCCCAGGCTTCGCATGGCCTCAGCTGGAGAGCCAAGTAATATATACACTTTCTCTACCGCCGAGCGCTCATTTCGAGCTTCTGCCGAGGCTTCAAGGTACATTGTTCCCATCCAACATCCAACATGGCCTGATCGCACCTGGGCACCAACTCGGAGCCGGCTGCCTACTTTACGCGTCGATTGCTGGACAGCATCACACGTCGCGCCAGTTCAAAAGTGTATCACAGACTTGACACCCTACTGTCGCTGAAAAGCTGAGCAGAGTTTTCTCGGTTTCGTCTGATCTGCAAACACCCTGTATGAGATGCTCTGGAGTCTGCGCACGGGCCGAAGAACGATGGGGCACTGTGTCGCCGCGTTTGATATCAAGCGCCCCTTCAAGCACGACGATCACACAAATTGATATCGTCTGTCTCGAACGTCTTTGGACCTTTCTCCATAGGCCAGGTCCATTCCTATGGCGTCGTGACTATGTGTTCTGACGTCATGCAAATCGATGAGTTTGCTTCTGCATTCAGACCTGGGTGGTCGCACACGCTCGCAACCATCCGGAATTTGACTCAACATGTCGGAGCAGGAGCCGTCGCGCCTCGAGCTGGAGATGGAGCTTCTCGAGGCCATGTATCCCGAGCAAGCAAGCTACGAAACTAAAGCACGCGAGCTCAAGTTCATCCAGAATGGCGCATTGCTGCAGCTAAGATTACCCGACTCTTATCCAGAATCAGGCCTGCCAGATGTGATTGCAGCAAGCGATGCATCGAAAACAGATATCCGCGCCGCCACTAAAACGGCAATCAAAGAGTTGGGTTTGATGGAGGGAGAGGAAGCCTTGGACGCCATCATCGTCGCATTCCAATCGGTGCTCGAATCCGCCAGCACCGCACAACCCTCCACAACCACCGGCTCCAACGACAATGATACGTGTAGAACGGTCATCATATGGCTCCACCACCTCCTGGCCCTTACAAAGAGGAAACTCGCCCTGTCCCCAACAACCCTCTCCGGCATCACCAAACCTGGCTATCCAGGCATCATGATCTTTAGCGGTCCTGCATCAGCTGTCACCGAGCACGTGAACACGCTCAAAGCCGAGAACTGGCAGGCTTTCCAAGTGCGATACGAGGAGAACCTCCTGTGGAAGTTTGGACATGGGAAGGGAGTCAAAGAAGTGGAGACGATGGCTGAGGTGGTAAAGGGTGTAGAGGGGGCGAAGGAGCAGAAAGACGAGTTTCTCAAGGCAGTTGGGATCAAGTGAAGATGGCAGAGTCTGAAGCGTGGTACCTCCTGGGAATATCTATGTCTTGCGAACCTTAACTCGCCTCATCTCCTCTCAGGAACGTGAACGACAGAACTCAAAAGCTCTCCGTACGTCATCAGTCAGCACCGAAGAAGCTCTCGAAAGGCCGTGGTAGAGTCTTTACGTTAACTGAAACATGTCAACTTTTACGTTCGCTAGCTTACAGCCACACTGAGGAAGATGGTTCTGTGGGCAGTCTTAGCTTCAACGCTGTCAACTGTACCCGATCTAGACAACTGTGATGCGATTCTCGTTGGGGCCAGTCACTCTTAAGGTTTGAACAGCTAGCTGACAATTTGAATAATGGTAAGCTCAGCATGCTCGCACAGAGGAGACTATCTGCTACACGCCCCCAAAACAGAGGGTAGTAGTAAAGCAGCTTGTTCCTGCACTGCGTAATTTCTCTTCGGCTGACCTCATCCGTGTTGGTGTTGGGTTTGTTTGTTTGGGCATCTCAGGTGTCCTCTCGGAACCTTGCCGGATCGACCGCGCACTCGCTGTGGCTGGCCACCTGCAAGCCTGCAACTAATTCCGACTGAGCGCGCAACAAAACAGCCCATGTCAAACGAACTAGGCGATCAGAAATCACCAAGCGCCCCCCCAACGTACGGGGTAATGCGATCATCAGTAAAAGGAGTGTACGAGTTCGGGCCGCGGCGTATCGTGAGCGCATGCTATGTACTGGAATGGCGAAACACGCGCACCAGGAATAGCAGCTGGGAGAGAGTGTATCTGGCTTGAGCGTTGTCACCGTGCGGGCTTGTGCCTGAGTCGAGTGTGTCAGCCGTATCACTGCAGATGCGAGGCGGCGGCACGGGCGCATTGGTAGAGGCGCGACATGCTCACCACCACATGGTCAGCAAGCTGTACTTTAGGAAGATAAGCAAGGTGTGGTGTGAGCGTTCTGGGCGCGCAGCGGAGGAGTGAATCACCCCGCAGAAGACATGTCGATGCAGCAAAAGAATTGGTGGAGCATTCTAGCTGGCGCCCACTCCGTAGTGCACGAGATCGGGTGATGCGCGACCATACTGGGATGGGCTTGGTGGTGAGATCTGGACCGTCTTCGGCTACAATCCTTGCAATGCAAATGGTGAACTGCATGAGCGCAGCTGATGGAGTCCACGCGATATAGTCCAGTGCTTCTCACCACACCATGGGGTCTATTTTGTTTCGCCATCTGGTGCTGGACACACCTACCGTCGACGTTGAAAAGTTACACCGTCTCCCCTTACTCGGCGCTTTTTCACACTGAGGCCATCACCCGTCCTGTTCACTCTCACGCCGTCATTTCACGCAGATCACCGCAGGCGCACCCCTGCAGTTTCTTGCACAACTCCAAGGGCTCTCCTTCCATTGACCTTCTACGCTTCTGCTGTCATTTCTTGCCCGACACGTCAAGTTCCATTGTGTGCATTGCTTTGGCCGTCTGCAAACAAAGCGTCGTCGCACAGTTCGTCGTGTGTTCCGTTTTCAAACAAGCAAAAGTCAAGCCACCGCACTCGGCGACCACCTCCATGCACCGCATTTGTGCGCCTGCCTTCCTCATATAGAAGACTGGCCTGTTCGCTGCAAGCATCGCCAGATTGCTATTTGGGTGAATTGACCGACCGAACACCTGCATCACGCCTACTTTGATTTCGACCTCGACGTTCATCATGGAGTTTGTTACAGAGATCACCGCGCAGGGTCGCCAGAACCGAACTTCGACTACACCCAGCACCGTACCATCAGCTCCACCGACATATGGATACCACAACACCTACCACACACATGCGCAATTGCCCGCCGGTTCACCACCCACCTATGCGCGCGCAAACGACCCCAAGACGTTACGGCATCTGGAGGAGAAGGCGCAAACAGAGGTCGCGTGCAGCTCAGCACTACCGCCAGCATACTCGTGCTCAGTCGAACTGAGCGGTGTGCTGGGCTTGAAGCCTGAACTCTCGTCGCCCTTTCACGTGGCTGGCAACCGCGAGTGGTTCGATGCGTTTGTGGTTCTGCAAGGGACACGATTGAGCATTTACCGCGTCAAGATGCCTGGCCTGCTGAGCAAGAGCCGCGCCCCGTCACCCGGCAAGCTCATCCACTCGTATTCACTCCAACATGCCGAGGTTGGTGTGGCTTCGGATTTCAAGAAGACGCCTCTGGTCCCAAGGTCGCCGTTCGCACATCTCGTCCCGGCGTCCACACGACCGAAGCTGTACGAGACAGACCCGCACCTGTTCGAGCCCGTCCGCGAACATGCGATCCGCCTGCGACTCGAGACGGAGCAGTTCCTCATCTGTGCACCGTCCCAAGAATCCATGCTCGACTGGATCGAGTCTCTCTGCGCCGCCGTTGACATCAGCACCCCCATCGAGGACCGCAGCGAGCCACGCTACCGCAGCCTCCCACGCCGCAGCAGACGCCAACGACTCCTCGACAGCGCGCAGCTCGGCGAAAACATGGAGAACCTGACCAACCTCGAAGCCGGCCGCCGCATCATCGCCCAGCAAGAACAAATCATCCGCCAACTCTACCCACACCTCGCCGGCTCCGCACCCAGCACAGCCGACTCCAGCTTCGGCACTACCACCACCATAACTGCCTCGACCACACCCGCCCCCACAGCCACCGACGTCGACATGCTCGACGACTTCGACCCGGAAGACGCCACACCTCCCTCGCGCTCCTCGCAATCACCAGACGAAGACTTCTCCCCGCCATCGTCCTCGCCTTCGGACCCCAAAGACACAGAACCCACCCGCACGTCGCCCAGCCAGATCCTGCGCTATCGCCGCCGCTGCGCTCCCGTGCTCCTCGCCTCCTCCCCGCGCGTCTCAGACATTGTCTTCATGGATAACCAGCGCTTCCGCATCGACGTCAAGCAGCACATTCTCGTCGACTACACCCCGCTGCCGCCGCGCTACGACGCGCACAACTTCCCCAAGCAGAAGCGCATGACCAAGCTGCAGCGCGCGAGCAAGATTGTCGTCGTGGCTGAGAGGCCGGGCAGCCCCGTCAGGGGCGTGAGCGACGATTCGATTGCGAGCATTAGCTTTGGCGAGGACTTGGATCTGAGCATTGGGCTGGGGCCCAGTGCGAGTGCGGACAGTGTGGGCGGGAGTGGGCCTCCGAGTCCCACGCAGGCCAAGGGGAAGAGGATTGAGGGCGGCGAGATGGAAGCTGGGGTTGCGATTGTGGTGTAAATGCACATCACCGAATCGATGCAAAAACTACTGGTTTAAGGAGGAATACCTCGACGCGACACGTTATTTTTTTTTCCTTTGTTATATATCTGCATCATATGGGGCGTTTTGAAGCACTGATAGCGCATCATCTTCGCTTTAATTTCTCTTTTTTTTTTCGTATAGAAGGCTGGCAGGCAGGGCATGGATTCGGCGTTTTACGCATCGTCGCCACGACGCAGGCAAGGGAAGATACCCAAACATCATAGATTACTCTGTTTTCTCGCATAAAAATATAAATCTAAAGGATTCACACAAACACATACACACACACACACACACACACACATAAACACACTCTGACTTCTGTCTCTTTAAGCTTGCACACCCCTCGCAACACCCTCCTCTCCAGCTGCCTGCCCAGCTTCCCTAATCGCCATCGCCTCCACTTTCTCGAACCCACTCAACGCCTCTCCATACTTCTCAAATACGCCCTCCCTATACCCATCACATATCTTCCTCACAAAGCTCTCCTCACTCCACCTATCAGCAAGGAAATCCTCAAACTTCTCCCCTGCCTGGCGCTGCACCCCCCACGCAGCTTTATACGCGCCGCCCAGGGCGCACGCATTCCCGCCGATTTCCAGCTTGAACACGCCCTCTGTGCCGCCGAGGACTTGACCTGCGAGCTCTGCAATGGCCGGGTTGACAGCGCCGCCGCCGACCATGTAGATTCTGCGGGGCTGGGCGGGGAGGTGGCCCTGGGGGTTGACGAGGGATTGGGAGCGCAGGCGGAGAGAGAGGAATTGGGATTCGAGGATGGCGCGGGCGTCCGCGGTGGGGATGGGCCAGCTGGAGTCTGAGATGGGGGCGAGGTCGGATGAAGAGGGAGTGTAGAGGTAGCGCCATGTTCCTGCTTTTACGTTGGGCACGATTTCGGGGCGGGGGAAGAAGAGGCCTAGACGCATAGGGTCGGTGGGCTGGGATTGGCCGAGGGCGGGCGTGGAAAGGGCGGTTTTGTTGAATGCGTCCCAGGATTTGTCGGTGGTGCTAGATGTCTTGTTGATAGCGTCGCGGATGTGCTCGCGAGCGAGACCACCATTCTTGTAGCACAGCATAAACATGTAGTTCCCTGCCGTGGTTGGGTGGTTGAAGAAGTGATATGCTGGATCAGGTTTGTATTGATTTGTCGACATGAGGAAGGTCGTTGATGTTCCGAGAGACACAATAGCATCTGAAGCTCGGAGAGGGAGGGCCAGGATCGTTGCCGGGTTGTCGCCAGTGAAGGCTATGACCTGTGTCGACGGGGGGAAGCCGTACCGTTTACTGAAGTATGGCGAGATGGTCCCAAAGCTTGCGCCGCCGTCCTCTGGTACGTGTCCAAGTTTTGCCTTGAGGTCCTCAACTCCGGCACTTTTTCCTGCCGCAAGTGCTAGGAGATCTTCTTGCCATTGTCCGTTCTTGATGTCCCATAGATTTGCGCCGCACACATCGCTGATATCAATCGGAGCTACCTTTCCAAGGAACACAGACGCCAGAAACGAGGATACAAGCGATATCCGCGAAGTCGCCTTGTATGCCTCAGGATACTTCTCCTGGAATCGTTGAATCTGTGGTCCACTGAATCGCTACCCCAGTCATTAGCACACGCCCTTCTTGCACACACTGCCAACTCACATGATGCGCACTGCTTCCCGTCGCCTCCGCCAACTTCGCCTCACTCCCCAACGCCGTATCAAAGCCCTCACACTGCTTCTGCGTACTCGCATCCTGCCAATTTGGACTGTGCGGATGACTAAATGCCTCCTTCAACTGCTCGACCAGCGTCTTCGCTCCATCCAAATTCGCCAATCTGCTCTCCGCATCCCGGCTCCAAAAAACAGTCCCATGCTGCATGCCCGCGCCCGAAATGCCTTGCACCTTTCCAAACTGCGCGCCCTGCTCTTTCAGCCGCTGGAGAACAAGATCAATGGCTTCGAGGAAGAGCGCGACGGGCGCGAAGACCTCGCCCTCAGCAGGGTTCGTGAGGACACCCTTCTCAATGCCATGGTGAGAGAGGTCGGCGTCGAAGTCGACTTTGGCTTCGTGGATCAATTTGAGGTCAGAACCGACTATAATGCCTAGTCACGTTGTGTCAGTCGCGTCGTTGGTGGGGTAGCTTCTGGCGGGGCATCACGCACCCTTGAGTTGCTGCGTGCTGAGATCGAAGCCGAGGAATTGGTCCGCCATGGTCGTGGAGGGGTTTCAGAGGTTCTGGTAGAGTAGAATCTGAAAAGAGGTTCAGTAGTCATAAAAGTTGAGCATCTAAGCAACCGGTGGTGTTGCATCAGCCTCAATGTTCACAGCTAGCTCGGTCCCCACTTGGGAATGGTAAGAGCTACGGAAGAGCTACATCACCAATTCTGCCGGTCGTGCCTGCTGAAGCTCAATCGCATTGTTTGGGCGCGGATAAATTCGACGACGCGCATTCTGGCCTGCATATGAAATCTTTCGCATGTGGCTCTCAGATATATCCCTGTTCTGGAGAAAAGGCCTTCCACCATCTCGGAGGTATACTGGCGCTAGAGAGCATCACAAGATCTGTAGTCGGCGCGGTTTAGCAAGTGTGTTTATTCATTCGGTATTCAAAAGAAGGCATACGGTATGCCTGGGTACTCTTTCCTCAACGCCCATGCGCCCCTGTCCATCTTATATGTACAAAAGATGAAACATGTAGAAGCTTACTTCCGCTTTGCTACGCTACCATTAGCAACCTCGCTGTGTTTATGTTCGTGGTCGTGGCCATGGTCGTGCTCGTGTGCCTCCGGGTTTGATGTCGCAGAAACGTCGCCTGGGATAAATTCATCGAGAAAATCTGGGTCCTCCGCCGTGTTGTTGACAAATCGCACGCGAACCTTCTTGACTCCTCGTACTTTTGCGCCAATGCGTTCCCGGACCAGGTCTTCAACTTCCCGACTCTGTGTAATTGTCCAGGTGCCGGGGACGCCAAGCTCGACGTCCATTAGGTAGTTTTGACCGGCCTTGACACCCTGGATAGCACGAATGTTAATGGGCTCGGAGACTGTGGTGATGCTCTCGATGGCTGCAGTGGCTGCTCGTCGTACGTTGTCCTTCATCTCCGTCTCCACACCCACATCGGCCAATTCGAGCAGTGCTTGCTTGGTGTTACCCCAGCCGGCTTGGACGACCATGAGCGAGATGACGAGTCCTCCAACTGGATCCAACCACTTCGCGTTGTTCACCAAGTTCGATCCGACGATCAGGAGAAGTGCGACGAAAGCGGTGAGCGAGTCTACGCGGTGGTGATAGGCGTTGGATGCGAGAACGGCGGATTTGCGTTCATTGGCGACCTTGAGCGCTGGGAGGTGTTAGTGGATGAGCGCAAGATTGCATGTCATGTGTACTCACTGGCTCGATACAGCCACTCCTTGATCACGATAGAGCCCGCAGCTAGCCAGGCAGCGTTGATGTTCGGGCCCAGGTCGTCTGCACCGTGGTGGTGTCCGTGACTATGCGGCAGAAGTCCCCAATGGGCAGCGATCTCGGCGGCCTCGGGGAAGAACTGCTGGCAGAGCGCAATCAGAGCTGACCAGCCCATCAAGAAGCCTCCCGCAAGCAAGATGCCACTGACGCCCAGCGCACCCAGACTCTCAATCTTTCCGTAGCCACTCGGGAAGCGCTTCGACGGCGGCTTGAGCGACCAGCCCACGGTTGCGAGGGTGAGCACGTCGCTGACCAGGTCGGTCAGACTGTGTATCGCGTCGGCCAGGAGTGCTGCCGCGAGTTAGCAAAGGTCCCTATTCAGCTCCCCTCTTGGACTCACCCTGGCTGTTGAACACGTAGCCGCCAAAGCCCTTGCTCACGGCCATGCCCAGATTGACATAGAGGCCAATTCTGGTGATGCGGACGCCGGCATCGCTCTTGTTGGTCGACAGCAGGAACGAGTTGTCGTGGTGGTGGTGATGGCCCGCATGGCTGCGAGTCTGCGTCTGGGACGTCATGGCGGAAGGGGAAATGTGTCGTATGCGACGTATCGTCGAGGACCAGTTGAGAGAAAGCGCGGCAGTTCGGGGGTACTGTGTCCCCTTTGCGGTTGAACACGTCTGCAGCACGCGCAACTGTGGTCGGGGTGCTGTCGGGGCTTGCAGGCGGCAGTGTAGGACGTGCGGTCGGGGCTGGAGTCGCGCTGGTGCTGAGGTGAGGGTGCTATATAGGGCTTGCGAAAGGGACCCGTTCGGCAGTGCAGCGCGAGAGACAGACATGCCATGTCTGCGGGCGCGCAAGAACATGCCCGGGTGTTCGATGTTGCGCGACTTCGAAGCTGCAGGGGACCGGCCAATTGCTCAAAGTCTCACAGAATTTTGAGCCTCTCTACGTCCCTGGCCAAGACAAGCTTCCATCACATCATCGCACCTGCCATTGCCGGCCGCTGTGGGGCAGAGGGAGCCGCCGATTGGGCATCCCGCGAGACCCGTTCCCTGCACTGGTGGTACTCGACGAGTTCCAGTGCAGGGTCGGATGCTGCCGACTGTTCACCATCCAATGTGTCTGTACTTGAATTTCTGCACGCAGCATTGTCGGCGTCAACATCGTCGGCGTCAGCATCAGCATCAGCATCAATATCAACATCAGCACTAGCATGCTAGGTGAAGTCTATTCTTTGCACGTGCTTCACTAGCACCAAATCTTCCTTCAGCCACGTGTACCAAATACGACTACTACTACGATGCCTCAGAGCTTGGGTTTGGCACCATCACCCGCCTGCACCGGCTCAGTCGAGCGAGCCAAGATCCAATTCGCAACATCCTCCATGAAGACCTCCTTCTCAGGACTCGGCTCATCGTGAACTATCAAAATCAGCAATGCAAGTCAAAATCCCAAAGGTACTCACGTCGATGGTAGTATCCAGCATACGACTTGAACTCCTTGTCCTTGACCTGCAGAGCGTCCGCCAGCCGCTTGGACGCGTCGTGGGCGGTGATGCCATCTGCATCGCCGTGGCCGATCCATATCCGGGTGACACCACCCTCTCCAGCATTGTCTGGAATGTTGATCTTGCCGTTTGCCAGATGCGACGTCCTGTCAAGCAGCCCAGCGAGTCCCTCTAGCGTGCCCGTGTCGTGGCAAAGCTCATCCTCGTCGAAAGACTGGCACACGGCAGGATCGCGGCTGATGAGTTTGGGATCGAGCTTGTTGGTGAGCTGGCGGTGGGGAAGCAGCTTTCCTGCCAGCCTACCAAAGAAGACGGTCACAAACGAGGGCTTGGACTTCGGATCGAAGTCGACAAATGGCGACTCCAGAAGGTAGCCACGAATATGTTGAAGGACTTCGCTAGGTCCTTGGGCGGCATAGCAGAGTACCTCGCCGCCGCCCATGGAGTGTCCCATCAAGAACAGCGGGATCGGACACGGAATCACGGATGTTATGAACGAGGTCATGTCGTCCAGAACTTGCTGTGTCGATCCAGTGTGACCGCGCTCAGACTTTTGTGTCACAGACTTGCCCCATCCTCTGTGAAGTGTCAGTACATGTCTCTTGAATTATTCCTTGAACACCGACCTCTGGTCGTACGTATAGACCTCGATGCCTTTCGAAGCCAAAGTCGAGAAGAAGTTGTCATATGTGTTGACTGTCACATGTTAGTTGCGCCATGTATGCGACATAACTGGTCTATCTCACTGTGCTGCAATCACCAAGTTAGCATCGGTGTACTTGATGGAGAGCGGAAAACTCACATCTGAGAAGCCATGGATGAAGACCAGTCGTGCTCGGGCTGCTCCCTCTGTCTAGAGGATGCATCAGTACAGCTCGCTGAATCACTATCCGTGCTCGCACCTTCCATGTCTTCGTATACAGCTTGTGCCCGTCGGCCAAGGTGTGCGATCCTTCTTCGGTAGGCATTCTCGGGGCTGTAATTTTATCAAACAATGGCCGCGTGAGGTGATGGAGACGTGTCGAAGGCCCGAATCTTACCTATTTCGTTCCCAACCCTGAATCACGTTCCACTGCGATGTGGATGCCGCGGCTTGCCGCAATGCAAGGCTCCTAGGGTCCAAGCATGACCAGACACGCTGCATCTGCCCAAACGACCCGAATAAGCCCAAGGAATATGCTCAACTATATGACAACTCATGTAAGACGTTCCACATCAAGGTCCATCCCCAGGATACAATCAACACGCAACCTCGCAGCGCATCGGGTGTGGGTACGCGACGTCATTCCCACAACGTCCATGCTCCATTGACGATCAGCAACAAGCATCTACCCCACCGTGCCGCTCACACAGTTTTTCTTATGTAGGCAGGCCATCGTGTTCAGTGATGCTATGTCCTTATCCACTTCTCGTATTCTGCGCTCACAGTCTGCCCTTCGATCCTCCTTCATGCGCAGAGCTTCGCTGAGCGGCACGGCCCAGCCACGGTCCGCCAAAGCAACAAAGTCCTTACTCAGCCACCAAGAGCGCACAGCGACCGAGCCCCGGGAGAATGATATGCATACTGCGACCGTCGCAAGCGTGAAGCGCATCAACGACCGCATCAAGACCTTCCGGTTCGACATCGCAGATGGCAAAGGCTTGAACGTACTGTCAGCACCCTCCTTGCTCTCGACATCCGCTGATGGCTAAGGCAAGTTCCATGCAGGCCAATGGCTCGATGTCTTCGTTCCTGATGTCGAGAAAGCTGGTGGCTTCACCATCACATCGTCGCCCCGAGAAGCTCTACCGCGAGCAGACCCCGAACACAAGCCCTACTTTGAGTTGGCGATCCAGAGAAGCCCAGATAATCCGCCCGCAGCATGGTTATGGCAGCCGGAAGAAGATATACAGGGGAAGGAAATCAAGGTGCGCGTGGGCGGCAGCTTTGTCTTCCCCCCACCAGGCTTGGACATAAATAAGATAAAGCGCGTCATGTTCATCGCCGGCGGCGTGGGCATCAAGTAGGTTTGCTAGAGCAGACTTGAGGCGCATTGAGCGGACTGACCATACCACAGCCCCATGATGTCGATGCTTTCGTATATAAACGAAAATTACCCCAACCTGGAAGTGCGCATTCTGTATTCGACCAAAGTACCATCGCACGAGACTGGGCCGGACGAAGTGCTGTTCCTAACGCGAATCATGGATCTATTCAGAATGCCCCGCTTCGAAAGGACCAAGGATCGAGTTGAACTATTTTTCACGGGGACGTGGGACGGTACCGAAATTGGGAAAAGGGGCGAGGCTCCCATACAACCTCTCATGTCGTTGACACTGCCACAAATCGACTCCAAGACGGAAGTACCCGTGACTGCATGGACGCATCGCATTGACGATCTCGCACTTTCAAGCGCAGTGGGTAACAAAGCAGAAGCGAAGTCGACCGTGTTTTACGTGTGCGGGCCGCCAAATATGACCGACGACATTACAGAATTCCTGAAGGCGCAGGAGGCCGTAGATCCGGATAAGGTGCTGTGTGAGAAGTGGTGGTAATAGTCTAGATAGCAGTAGATAGTTTTTCTGGGCAGGCTGGGAGGCAACCTCTGTTCATTATCGTTCAAGAATCAACATGTATGTCAGATCCTTGTAAGAGCCACGGCTTGCTATGAGGTTAAACTCGAACACATTCGGCGCTTGAGAAGTCTGTCAGGCTACGGCACCAGTGGCGATGCTAGGTCTCGAACATCGGGCCTCAATCTTCTGATCGAACATCAACTCAACGAAGATGCGCATCACTTCGCAGGTGGAAGCGCCTCGTAGGCGTGAGCCTCACGACATAACTTCAATTTACGCGCCCACAATGGCCGCAAAATGCTAAGATCTTCCCGGCTGGTCCCCACAACTCCCGAGTCATCAAAACGATCAACGGTCAGATTGCAGCAGTCAGCAGCAGCGCCCTGCGATTCGACTGTGCCGCGAGCAGCATTGTCTAACGCTCCTCAAGCGACTTTAGACGCCGTACAACCCACCCTCATCGCCATGCATATCCGATCCATCGTGCTGGGAGCAGTCGTATATTGAACTGCCCGATGAGGACATATTAGCTACCTATCTCCGCTTACACGCGCAGGGTTGGCGCAAGGAACCAGCCGTTTAGTTCCCGGCGTCTGCACGCGTGATTGGCTATCACACTTTACAAGCTGTGTGATCGCGCAGCATGCGTGTGCCACTCAGCGCCTGCAATGGCACTTTCGCCCCTCAGCGAGCTGGGCCGGCCTGCCATTCAGGTGGGTTGTCAGCCCGTGCTACCGGCTGTTAAGAGCGAGGGACGCCCCCGAAAGGATCATAGTGAGCCCTCTTTACAACGAAGAATCGACACCGACTTCCTGGCGCAAGGACGGGAGCGTTACGCTGTGCTTCCATCCCATCTACACGGCGCATGCATGCTCATCGCCGAGCTGCGCAATCCGATATCCCCGCATTGTCCTACCTGCTGAGCTGAGCTGAGGCCGTAATTGCGACCATCTGACATTCATCGCATATCAGCGCCGGCTTCGACTCGACAAACTTGATTCACAATGGCTCGATTCTTTCTACCGCGGACATGGCGCCTACAGCAGGTTGTCTTCTTTCTGATGATTTTTGAACTACCCTTCACAGTTGCAAATCTTGCGCTGTTTGGTATCGCATCGCCAAACCTCTACCGGACGATTCTGTGGAGACTAGGCGGAGAAATGGGCTACAACTCGTCACCACAATTTGTACTGTACAAATACGCAAATTACCAGCCAGTCACTCTACCAGTGGTATGGAGCAGCTTGTAAGTGCATAATTCGCCTTGGCGGTTTATATTCGTGTAATGGTGCGCACGCACACTGTGCCCATTACCAGAATATATCCAATATCGCACTGAAGTGTCAATACTAACCAATTCCAGCAACACTCAATTCCACCTCGTGATTGGCGTTGTATGCACATTCTTCTGGCTCATCAAATTCACCATGTGGCTGCTTAAAGTCTTCCTGCCAATCTTCTCGCTACTGCTACATATCCCTCTCCTCATTCTCTGGTGCTATGGTATCTACATGCAGACGGCGCCCGACACCATTGACCCAGACCACCAAAATAAGGGCGTGCCATGGTACATCTCCAAGAACTGCAACATTGTCGAAGACAAGCTCAACCGCGGCTACTGCATGCAAGCAAAGAGCGCCTTTGCCGTCACTGTCATTATGATGTAAGTTCCCAGCCTGCTTCAGCCTCCAGAGCTCCAGGATCTAACACACCACAGCATAATCTACGCCGCATTCCTTGTCTTAACAGTCTACTCTCTCATCCCCACCCCCGAGGCCAAACAAGCCCACGCCATCAAACGAGCCGAGAAGAAAGCCGAGAGAGAGAAGTGGGCATCGTCACCCACTGACAACGAAATGACCGCAGAAGAGCAATGGCAGCACATGTGGGAACTCCAACAACTTCCCCGCACACCAGGACTCAAGTCGCCCATGACGCCACGCACACGGACATTCAACGACCTCGAGGGCGGGCACTATAGCAACATGCAGCCAGAGTACGGCGGGTATTACGGCGGCGCGGGCGGCGTGACGGTGCAGGAGATGCATCATGCGGGCGTCAGCCCCGTGCAGGAGCAGGACGAGTACATGTATCCGCAGGACGGCAAGGGGAAACAACATGCGGGATCCGCATACTAAATCAATTCTTCTCTTGGTTTGATTCTGGGTCTGGGCGTTTGAGCGAGTGATATTTTTGAGATACCAAGGGCTTTACAAACGCTCATTATTAAGGGGGGCACGGGCATGGATATCGGAATGGGAAAGACAATGGAAAGGCGGTTTCTATATGTTTGAGTAGCGAATGGAGAGATCTCATAACCATACATGCGTGGTCTCCGTCTAAGGATGTGACGTATGCTTGGGTGACCCCACTTTCCGGTGATTGCACTTGGGTGGCATGAGATCGTGACTGCTGCGTTCACAGACAACAAACACCGAGCTTTGGTAATCGTGTGTCTTATCAGATGTCCCCTGGTAATTCTATCGAGCTAGAGAGCCAAAGGTACTACGTAAATCACGTGGTCGACCTCGGCCGTCCAGACCTGCATTTCACGAAGAGGCTCGCAATACACGGCGAAAGCCGAAAACATCTCAACTCTGAATTAACCATTCACATCCTAAGTTTCGACTCCAATGGCTGCAAATACTACTAACGTCGTATGCGTGGGCGCCGTCTACATCGACACGATATGGACGTAGGTAACCCATGACAAAAAAAATCCTCTTCTCATTGAGACTTTGCACGATACCGCACAGCAACTCAAGCACATAGCAAATCTCCAAGCCTCCCTCCAAACCCACTAACATCAACCAGCGTCCCCTACTTCCCCCTCGAAGACACCAAACTCCGCGCCCAAAAAGTCATTCGGCGCCGGGGCGGCAACACCGCAAACACGCTCGAAGTACTCTCAGACATCCTAGCCCACGCGCCCACAGAGAATGAGACCGAGCTCCACCTCATCGCTATCCTCCCAGATGAGAAGTCACAGGATACGGCACTCATCCGCGCCTCCCTTCCAGGTGTAAACGTGGCAGGACTCTTCCGCGCGGGCCACCAGAATGCCGCATCCAGCATGATCATCCAGAGTCGACGAGATAACACGCGGACGATTGTAAGCCATGGGGGTGATTTGCCTGAAGTCACTTGTGAGGAGTTTGTCAGTAAATTTCGCGCCACTGTGCCTGAGACGCAGGTGAAGACTTGGGTGCACTTTGAGGGCCGTGTGCCTGCAGTTACGGCTGCTTGTGTGAAAGCGCTGAGGGCCATGGAGAGTAGGGAGTGCATGGTTAGTCTTGAGTGCGAGAAGCCTGATCGAAAAGGGTTGGAATTCGCTGCGGTGCTGGCTGATGTGGTGTTCTTTTCGAGGTTGTGGGCACAGGTAAGTTGGTGGACTGGGATGCTGGTTAGGATGGGATATTGATGCTTCCTAGGAGATGTATGGTATCGTTCATGATCCTTTGGTGTTCCTGAAGAAAGAACTTGGTGGGGTGGAGTACACGAGGCCAAAGTTCGTTCACCCTGGGAATGTGGACAATGTTCGAGTGCTGACTGCTTCACAGCGTCGTATTAGTCTGTACTTGGGGGGCCAAAGGTGCAGCCGCTGTCAGGCTCAGCGACAAACCCGACAAGCATGAGTGGGCCAAAGTTGAAGATGTTTGGCGTCCACCCGGCGATCCTGAAGCGCAAGTTGTCGATACCGTCGGCGCAGGCGACACGTTCATCGCCGGTATGCTGTACGGCCTGATCAACCAGCCCGACACTACTCTCTTAAGTAAGCTACAGTACGCTGTCCAAATCGCCAGTCGAAAAGTATATCAAGACGGCTTCCAAGGTCTCGGCTCAGCCATGCATTCCGCCTAATCGATCCTGTCTCCCCACAGAGCCTTCGCATTGCGCCAATATACGCCTTCTTTCTCTTCTTCGGTGAGGAACTCGGCTTCAGTCAGGCCAGCAATATTGGCATCAACGTCCCAGAAGCCAATTCCGTACGGATAATCCTGTCGACCGTTAGCCACACACTTCATCACACAGTGCAGCGTATACCGACCGTCCCGAAGACCATCTGGCTTATTGGTATCTTCATACCCTCGGTTAAGCCTTTGACTTGGTTTGGAAACACAGGTCCAGCAATGTCGTACCAGAACCGCTGTTTATAGGCCTTCCTCGCTTCCTCCGCCACATCGGGAAAGCCCAGTAGAAACCGCTCCGAAATATCTGGGAAAGCGCCTGCGCCGTGCGATACACGCCAGCGCAAATTTGGAAACTTCGTAATCGTCTTGTTGGCCGTAATGCTCGATATCGCGCGCGCAGTCTCGAAGTAGAATTCTCCCAGACCAGAGCGTAGAGGTGCTTTTGTATCGAGATTAACGCTCCCATCTTTCACGTTCTCAATATAGTACTCACAAGGTCTCGAACCCACCACCCTCCCATCCTCAAGCCTAATGACCGGCTCTGTCGGATGTACAAACACCACCTCCCCCTTCCCCCTCCGATCCAAATACCCCCACAGCCCATCATTCTCCTCATCACCAACATACCTCCCCTCAGCATTCGTCAACACCGCGACGCCCACCGCCCCAAGCTCCCCGATCGCATACCTCACCTCCTCAATACTCGCATCTACATAGGGCAGCGCAGTCACGCACAGCCAACTAAACCGCCCCGGCAGCAGGCGACATACTTCCGCGACGTACTCATTCAGCAGACGCGCCAAGGCGATGGTCTTCGCCCGCCTCTCGGAGGAATCCGTCATGTGAGTAAATGCATTCCCTTGCGGCGTCGACACGCTCAACATGCTCCGCTTTATCCCCCGGGATGCCATGAATTCGACGTGTGCAGACATGTTCCATTCAGGCGTTGCGCGGCCTGCGGCGAGGGGTTCGAGGGCGCGAAACCAGGGGGGGATTGGGTGCGTGTGCGTGTCGATTTTCGTGGCGCGGGAGAAGTCTAGGGATGTTGCGGGGAGTTGGGATGAGAGGGCGGCGATGGAGGTGAGGGCTTCTTGGTGGAAGGGGAGGGTGGTTAGGTCGATTGAGGAGTGGGATGCGTTGGAGGTTATTTTGGTGATCAGGTCGGTATCGTGGGTTGAGGGCGCCATTGTGGGCGTGGTGGAGGAGTTGTGGTGTTTTGGGTTGATTAGAAGTGTGGCGTACGTTGATGAACGCGGCTTAGGTATTGCTTATGTATGATGAATCGATGTTAAAGTTCCGACTAGATATGTGCTGCTGATCAGTGGTATATCTAGCTGCAGGTGAACTACCGGCTCCCCGCATTCTCGGGTGGTACTATACGAGGAATCGGTCTGGAGTCGCAGCAATGGTCGCATGCGAATGACAGAACGTGAGCAATGCCCATGTGTAAATTTGCAGGTCTTGATAGTTTCATTCGTTTCGATATGATACATAATGATACACATCTTGTTGTACATGGCGAGTTCTAGTCAGACCATAACGCCGCGCGAAGGAGCTTCTGCTAAACTTTTCGCGTCAGCATGGCTCCGGAGTAATGTAGTGTGGTCTGGTTGCTTCAACGCCCATAATCAACCATCGACTCAATTCCATCTCTCCGCCTTCTTCAACGGCTTCTCCCAGTCCTTGATATGATCAATCATGATCTTCGCCGCCTGATCCGCCGTAAAGTTTCGTCCTATGGCTTCCACAAAATCGCCTTCCGGATCTATGCACTTTGTCAGCCTCCATCTCCCTCCACAAACATCTCACACAAAACTCACCCATCAAATAAAAGTAAATACTATGATCCACGAGATAATCCTCGCCAGGCTTCACACTACTCGGCGTGCTAAAGTACACACGATACGCCTTGCACACGTTCTTGATCTGTTCGTATGCGCCCGTCAAGCCGATAAAGTCCGGGTGGAATTCGTGCAAATAGTCCTTGAGCACTTTCGGCTCGTCGCGCGCGGGGTCGCACGTAATCATGATCGGGAGCAGGACTCTACCGCACTGCTCCACCACCTTGTCGTACATGAGGGCCATTTTGTCGAGTTCGTCCGGGCAGATGTCGGGGCAGTGTGTGAAGCCGAAGTACACCTATCAAGATTCTGTTAGCATGCATACCAGCACGATAGAGTTGGGACGGGCTGGACGTACCAACGAGTACTTCCCCAACATGTCGTCCGAAGTGAATGCATTCCCGTCTTGATCAACAAGCTGGAACGGCCCGCCGACCTTCGGCTTGCCGATGCCCTTGGTCTGGTCGGCTATTCGCTTGCGTGCCATGCGCTCCTTCTCGTATGTGAAGTAGGCCCAGAGGCCAGCGCCGGAAGCGACGAAGAGGATAGCGGCTGTAAGATTGAAGGGCTATCATGGGATGTTAGTTCATCATCCTACAATATGGTAGTCGGATGAATGTACCCCGCCACGGTTTCGTGCTTTAATCTGATCAATGGTCTTGAGTTTATTGCGAGATGCAGATTGTGTAAAGGACCGCTGGGAGCTCTGCCCAGCCTGTATATGTGGCTGCCTCAGACATTTCGGTGCGGTTCGCGCAGGTATAGAGGCGATGGTTCGGCGGGCAATGCGTGGCACGGCGGTAGTTTCGAGGGCCCTTGTCGCGCCCATGACAAGTCTGCACGGTGCAGACATGATTGCGAGTGACGGAGTGGGCGTTTAGAGGAGGACCGTTGTGATTGACTGTTCAATTCGCAAAGATGTTCAAGTTCGAAATGTGAGCGGGTTGCGCGCACGGACGGCCTTGAATGATCTCACCACCGGGGGTCCGATGATATTCTTGACATGCCACTTGTAATGCACAACATGCACTGCGAAGCACGAATTTTTAACACTTAATTACTAACATTTGATTATACTGAGATGAAAAAACGTGCAGTTGCAAATGTTTTATTTTGTCTTATTTATCAATTAGTCATGACTAAATCCCGTGCAATCATCAAGGAGGAATCCTCTACTTGGTATGTGTATATAGATATAAAAGTAGTTCAAGCGTCCCTCTCTACATGACAAACAGAGGGCAAGGTCCAGCTTGAGCTCTGGCCTCTTGCGTTGCATGGAAGTTACGGCAAAAACATTAGCCGTACATGCATGTCGGAAATTCGTTGAACAGGTGCGTAGAGACGCGAATCGCAGAATGCCACCAACGCCAGTAATATGTCCCGGATGTACTGTGAAAGTTTGGGTAGGGAAGCAGGGGAAGTAGGTTGCTTGTGCCACAGCAGCCTGCGAAGCCGCGTGCATGCGTTGGATATTTGACCCACAGTCGCTGGTACGAAGGCTACAGCGAGTGGTGGCAGATAATAATAAGGACATGCTGTTCCATGTCTCTTCAGGTGCCGCTACCATTGTCGGTGCTTGGTGTCGATACTGGTTCAGACTTGAGTTGCGACGCGATTTCAGCCGCAGATCCCACTGAGCTACTTCTCCTCAATGCAGCCAACTCTTTTCTCAACTGCTCCATCTCTTGGTCTTTAGATTCAAGCATCCTGTCCTTCTCAGATACCTCTTGTTTCAGTTGCTTGATGTAGTCGATCGCACTTTCAACCTTGGCGGCCTTTGAGTTACTTGATTGTGCGGCGGAAGACTCGGGGCTCTTAGCGTCCGTGGCAGCAACAAGTGTCGAGGGTAGCAACGCTTGCATCTCCTGCAAGGCCATATTGATGCGGTTTCGTCGACCTTGTTCAGCAATCTTGTGGGAAGTGCGTTTTGAAGTCAAGTTGGTAGATAGTGAGGTCGGGTAAACGACACCAGGCACTGTGGTTCCATCCAGGATATTTTGATAATTGGATTTTGACGCCAAGAGAAGAGCGTGGGTGTTATCGGTGCCGCCTACCACATCATCAGCCTGATATCATTAAAGGAAAAGAGCTTCAACTTACCACTACCGCCATCGGGAAGTAAAGGCTTTATGCTGGGCGAGATCTTTGGCCTCAGTGCAGGACTAACAAGCGTCGAACATGTGCTGTTCCTCTTCTTCGCATTTCGGGCGAATTTGGGGTCACTTTTCTTGGTGTTGGTCGTTGAAAATGCTGGGCTCGTGGGAGTGGAGGCAGCATCAATCATGGGGCTCCTAGACATGGCTGCACCAGGCGTGCTAAGTGGATTCAGTTTCGGTGTTTTCCTTGCGGCCAAACGAGGGGTATCTTGATCTCCATCGTATATGACTGTATCCAGCCTGTCAAGAGCTGGTCGCTCTAGGGAAGCTTCCGGCAGAGTCAAATCCTCCATCATGGGCGGCGCCTCGAGAGAGTCGCTGAAGTTGGGGGACGGGTGTATGCGCATCAAGGAGGCGGGTGTGGCGGGCGTAGCACTCCCCTGACCGTTCATCTGGGCCATCATTGCGGGAGACTGCGTGAGAGACGTGGGCTTTGGCGGCGGAGGCATGTCTGATAACATAGGCTCGGGGGATATTGAGTCCGTCTCCGAGCCATCGCGACTGTGGGGCACGTCGAGACTACTGGAAGATGGACGGCCTCCTCGTGCCTCTTGCATGAGTTCAGTAACCTCCTTGGGCGGGATGAAGGACGAAACGGTCGCTTTCCGCCTTCCTGGTTTCACGATGGGGGATTGTCGCACACGGCCATTCGCATTCGCGGATCGCGGCGCATTCCTCTTGTTCGTACTTCTTAATCTGCGTCCCGTCTCCTGCTGCATCATGGCCGGTTCGCTCAACATGTCCATGTCGACGTCGACTGGTGAATGCCCAGTTGAGCTGCCTGAGGGGGTTGCGTGAGAATGCTGATGCGCATGTTGCTGGTTCTGCGCATTCAGTGCAGGGGACGTCAGAGGGCTGAAGTACGCTCCTGGCATAGTGAAGTCTGGTATCTGAAAGCGCGCATCGTGGGGCGTTACGGCTGGAGATACCAGTGGGGTGAAGCTCTGGCATCCAGTCAGTCACAAAGCTGCGGGTGCGGCAACAGTCCAACGTACCGTATCGTCCTTGCGCATGTGGTATCTCTGGTCGAAGAGAGCCTGCTGCGAGTCCATCTGGCGCATGTAGCGGTGCGGGTCGCCGTGCATCTCGATGCTATTGGGCGTGGGCGGTACGCCATTGTGAGGGCGGAAGATGTGGTCTTGGGCTTGAAATGCTGGAGTTCCGGCCTGGCTGAACTGGCCCAGCGAATAGTCGAAGGTGAAGCCATTCGCCGAGTGGCCGCCCATGTTGCCCTGCGGCTGTTGCCCGCCGTTGGCGCCATTGTGGTGATGCTGGGGAAGTTGGGCCACTTGGGTGGGGAAGTCGTGGAGAGCGCTGGGAATATCGGCGAGAGGTGCGGCGCCATTATAGTTGAATTCCGAGAGGTCGAGATCCAGGTTGTCGAAATCGACAAAGTCGCCAAAGTTCTGCTCGGTCGCGTCCATGTTACCAAATGGCTCCGCCGTCGTCCATGCCTGCCCGTTCATCTCGGCGGCTCCTAGGCAAATATCGTGCGCGAGGCTCGCGGCTGGCGTTGAGAAATCTTGCCCGTTGGTGGGGCGGGTCGAGTCCTGGTGTGGAATGGGCTGCGCTTTCCGTTTGGCCTATGCTGACGAGCGCGCAAGACGTGGTGCATTGAGCAGTCGCGCTCGATTGCAGTTGGGACAGGCAAATCCTCTCCCCGGAGAAGAGTGTCGTCAAGACGAGGACATGCAGCTGGAGGGATTCGGGTGGTGGGCTGCTGCGCCAATCCCACGGCATTACCTACCTCTTGGAACCTCCCGCGCGGCGTGCAAATGCTACTCCTAGGTAGGCGGGCTTCACGCGACAATTACCGACGCGCGACCCTCAGAAAGCTCTAGCATCACCTGCCAGGCCAGACCGCTCCGAGTCTGCGCCGTGTGACCTCGCTCTAGCGACTTCAACAGAAACCCCGTCAGCACCAGGCACCTTCATCGCATCGGAGCTGGAGACATCACATGCAACTGACTCGTGTAGGACACCCCACGCGGTTGAATTGAGCGTCTACCTACAGGCGCAGTCGCAGCGTCATGCCCGTCGGTAGATCATGTGCAGCGACTGCATGCGCAGCCAATACAAGCTCGCGAGACGCTGATGATCAAGTCGAGCATCTTGGTTGTATGTGACAGAGCCAATCGATCCAGCTCGCAGTCAACCGCCGTAAAACCAGAGACTCGGACTTGCATCTCACAGGATGCCGCGGCTGTTTGCAATCCCAGCATGCCCTCGCTCGTTCGCATGAGACAGGGAACGGCCAGTGCAGATCCCACGCCAGAATGGGTTAACCACCACTAAACATTCTCACCCTCTAACCGTACCTGCTTCTTTTGCAGCCGGAACATAAGCAGCTTGAATGCAATGGTGTGGCTTGAGGTGTACCTCGTTTACACGTCCAGCATGCCGATGGTTTCGTTCACTCGCTCCAGTAAATCGCAAGGTCAAAAAAGTCTTCGTTGGAAATTGTCAAGTCGTGCTCAATTTTCCGCAGGAAAGATTCCCGTACGGAAGGGTGTTCAGGAGAAAGGCCGCTCAGGGTCTCCAGTTGGAGAGAGCGGCCCACAGGTCAGTTGGAGAAGCGACGACGGCCCACAGAAACGCTTTTGGCGTTGGGATCAAAATATCGAAATCGTGCCCGGCATCACAGCACGCTCGTTGGAAACATACCAATCATCCACGATCGCGGTCATCTAGAAACCTTCTTCAGAGGGCAGAAAGAAGACCAAGGATCGAGTGCCCCTACGGTAGATCTCGTCGCCTCCGTCTGAAATACATATGTGGTCATCAATGGAATAATGATCGCTAGTAAGCTTCGGAAAGATTCGCTCGATGACAGCTGATCTCGGTGGCATTATGAAGCTGGGCCATCCTAGCACGCGAGCTCACCGTCAACAGCCGCAGAGAAGTCCGGCCTGCTCACCGCAACATGCTTCTTCGAACATTCTCTAGAGCCAGATCGGCTCAAAGGTAGGGCTGAACATGGCCCAACTTACCAGGCCCCAGCATCGTGACTTGGTACCGGTGTCGCTGAGACTTGGGTCAAATAATAGCATCTAGTGGTACTGTTTCTTTCAGCAAGTCTATCGAGAGCCACGATCACAATACCTTTGGCAACCTCGCGTAACAACAAGGGATATTAACCGTGTATAGAAATGCTCTATATCACTCTGATAGTCGCTCTCGCTTACGCGACCGCTTGTCCTACCTTGCGACTTTTGGTGTTCAACAGCTAGCGAGCATGCATACGGCTATATGCTCGCAGTGCTTCAATGCCGGCTTTTGGAGACGCCAGAAGCACTGCGCAGCGCGTGACTGACTACCAGAAGTAGCTCCATCAAGCACGAAAACACGAATGGTCCAACGTCCGCGATGAAGGAGCGCCCGAGTGCACGCACCACTATCCATGTGCAAGCCTTGCTCACTGATCATCGTTAACGGCCCCCCACAAAAGTTCGCATCCACCCATTCGGGAGCAATTGCGCCATACAAGGCTCGACGTTGGGTCAAAATACGTCTTCCGGAGCTTGAGCGACATGCCAATCGCATGCTGGACCACGTCGCAGCTGTCAAAATTCACGTTTGTGCGAGGCCAGGACTATTGAATGTCGCTTAATGAGGTGTGGGGAGCCATTTATTGGCTTCTCACGCCTTGATAATCTCTCGCGTCGGGAGCCGACCTTCCCGTTTGAGGTGCGTACGCCGTGTCAGACATCAACACAGGAAATGTCGGAACTGTTGGATCTGATCAGAACGCATTGCGGCCGCGCGAAATGTGATGAATTGGCTCGCGGTCGATCAAACATACACGTCACGATAAAAAAAACGCCGTGAAACTGCTTTAAGCTCGTGAAATTGGGAATAACCTAACCTGACCGAGGCCGACTGAATGCAAACAAGAAGAGAAAAGCCCACCTCAAAGCCCGCGCTGCATGCGTCGCTGTCTAGAGAGATACAGCTAGCATGGCGCCCTCATGCCCTAATATACACAAATGCTGGAAGTAACACACGTCCGGTCGTCCACATCAGATGTCCCAGGTAAGTGTCATGCAGCGCACCCTTGGGGTATTATCAACCTCTCGCGTCTCCAAAAAAGGTAAAATGAAACAGACTCTGCCGTGTTGAAAGGGCCCCGCAGAACGCCGTTTACTCAGACAGACATGACGCGTGCATCTCGTTTACATTACGATGCAGCAGCCGTTACTTTGCTGGGGGGCGTAAGGGTCCTCGCGCTTGTCAATCTGTTGGTCATGTTAGCATTGGCAAGACTCGTTGCATCCACGCGTGTTCAAGCATACCGTTCCCCATCGTGATGGTACCATCCAGTCCTTGGGCTCCTTGTCCGTGAATGCGATCAAACTTTAAGCACGTTAGTGGCTGCCCAATGGCTGTGGCAATGTTCAGGCGCAAACGTACTCAAGTGCTGCTTCTGACACCGGTATCCTGCGGCGCTCGAGATCCTCCCGCAGACGCTGGTTGAGCTCGGTGAGGCGGCGCAGCTTCAATTCGGCCATGCTCTGCTTCTTGCTCTTGCCGTCACCGCCCGTCCGTATCTCGTAGGGCGCGGCGACCATCATGGCGGGCATTTTGCGCGTCGGGAATTAGGGGAGACAGTAAGGAGCGTCGGCACCGGGTTCCTGCTGGATGCGACGTGTGGAGGGTGCTGGGAGGGCGTGTTTGCGGATGATGCGACTGCGGCTTCCGGCCGTAGCAGACAGAGCGCGGAGTGAGGCGAGAGAGGTAAAGGAGCGGACGGTCAAGCGGGTGTACCGGCCGCGGTGATTCAGCACGACGAGGGCAGAACTGCAACCGCGGGGGCGTTGGCGATGGGGTGCGTGAGGACGTGGATGGGTAAGCCAGGGAAGGAGCAAGGAGAGGTTGGAGGGTGCGAATGGGCTCGGGCGCCCTCCTTCGCCGAATGCGGAACTAGCCAATTTCCAAGGCTTGCTCCTCACCGCCGACGACAATGCGGAGCACAGCCAATTACTCTACTCGTCACACTGCACCTGGGGGAGGACAGGCCGTTGGAGTCTGCAAGCGAGCCTGTGTGCGACGACGAACATGTAATCCGGCTTCATCGTGCAGGCCGATCAATGTGCTGCTGATTGCTTTGGGCCGCACAGGTCACGGGACCCGGCGCCTCTCACGTCGAGCCAATCTCCATCCCTAGCTAGCCGACCATATGTCCATACCCGTGCCTATCTTAGAAAACATCTCAGAGTTCCTGGAGATATTCGCAGCTTCATGTTGCAGTTTCTGTCGACACTTGGACTATAGTAGCAGCAGCCTTGCCGTCCGTCGTTCTTCCAAGGTTCCCATTTTCATGGCATGGTAGTCACGGGACGCGCTCGCTTAGTCACCCCACTCCATGATCACCTTTTTTGACTTGCGTGACAACACCAGCCCAGCATAATTCCGCCCTACGCTGCGTCGCCCGCTCGCTCCCCAAGCCCCCCGCGACCCAAGCAGATCGGATCACGCATCCGCGACTGCCCAGCATGGCGCCTCCTCCGCACTCCAAGCCGGAGAACACGCTGTATGCCCCTCACCAAAGGCCGCCTGCATGGCAAACCACTGACATGCAAAAGTAAACGCGCCCAAGAACTCATCGGAGTCGAGCAGCAACAGGCTGCCCTCCAGCTCCTCCACGAACATGTCACCTCGAAGCGGACCCGTAACAGCCCCATCGCCTCCCTCGAGCCGGTCATGATCCTCTTCGTCGAACTCTGTGTCGATCTCCGCAAAGGCAAACTCGCGAAGGACGGTCTGTACCAGTACAAGAACACCGCGCAGAACACCAATGTCGGCACTATCGAGGTAGGACACGAGAGCATTGGAAGAATGGCAGGAACGGTGGCTAACAAAAGCAGCTTGTCTTCAAGCGCTTCATCGAACTCGCCGAGCAAAAGGTTACCGAAGCCCAGGCCAAGGCAGACGAGGTCCAGTCTACCCTCGAGACCTCAACACAAACCCAGAACATCGACGATCTTGAGGCGTCCGAGACCCCCGAGTCAATCCTCCTGTCCACAGTATCCGGCGAGCAGTCCCGCGACCGAACCGACCGCGCCATCGTTACACCCATGGCTGAAGTTCCTGTGGGAGACATATCGCACTGTTCTCGACATCTTCAAGAACAATGCTCGCCTCGAGCTCATGTACCAGTCGACCCGCCCACCAGGCATTCCAGTTCTGCTCCAAGTATGCCCGCAAGACCGAGTTCCGCCGTCTTTGCGAGCTTCTGCCGCAACCATTTGCAGAATGCTGCCAAGTTCTCGTCACAGATGCATGCCATCAACCTCTCGGACACCGGACACTCTGCAACGCCACCTTGATACCCCGCTTCCAGCAGCTGAATGTCGCGGTCGAGTTGGAGTTATGGCAGGAGGCTTTCCGCAGTGTCGAGGACATTCACACACTGCTCAGCTTGAGCAAGCGTCCTGCTAAGAATGTCATGATGGCCAACTACTTCGAGAAGCTCACCCGTATCTTCTTGGTTAGTGAGAACTACCTCTTCCACGCCGCGGCCTGGAGCAGATACTACAACCTCCTCCGCCAGTCTGCCGCTGCTGTGGCATCCGGACAGAGCCCAAAGAAGGACAACCCGGCCGTCACCGAGGCGGACATGACAAAGGCGGCTTCATTTGTCGTCCTGTCCGCTCTCGCCATACCCGTCATCAGCACATCTCGTTCCCGAGGAGCTCTGGTCGACGTCGACGAGGCACGCAAGAACAAGAACTCCCGCCTGACCAACCTCCTCGGCATGTCTCAGGCTCCTACCCGTGCTATTCTGTTCAAGGATGCTCTCAGTAAGGGTCTGCTTAAGCGTGTCCGCCCCGAGATCCGCGATCTCTACAACATCCTCGAAGTCGACTTCCACCCTCTCTCGATTTGCAAGAAGATCTCGCCAATTCTTGCACAGATCGGTGCTGATGAGGGCATGGAGAAGTACGTTGGCCCACTCCAGCAGGTCATCCTTACCCGTCTATTCCAGCAGTTGTCTCAGGTGTACGACTCGGTAGAGATCAAGTTCGTGCTCGAGCTTGCGCAATTCCCCGAGCCATTCCACGTTAGCAGTGGCACCATTGAGAAGTTCATCATGAACGGCTGCAAGAAGGGTGACTTGGCCATCCGAACCGACCATGCCACTGGTATCCTCACATTCGACTCGGACGTCTTCTCATCCGCCAAGGCCATGCACCCTGGCTCTGGCGCCGGCTCTGCCGAGACTGAGACCCGCTCTGTCCAGCGCCTGCAAAGCACACCTGCTGAGATTGTTCGGACTCAGCTCACCCGCCTAGCAAAATCTCTCTTTGTCACATGCCAATACGTTGATCCATCATTCAACGCCGACCGACACAGGGCGAAGGACGCTGCTCTTGCGCGTGCCAAGGAGGGTGCTGAGAAGGAGCACCAGGATATCCTTACTCGTCGTGATATCATCTCTCAGAAGAAGGAGGCTGCCTTGAAGGCCCAACAAGCCAAGGAGAATGAAGAGCAGACGAGGAAAATGATCCGCCAGCAACAGCAGAAGGAGGAGGAGTCGCGTCGTCTGGCAGAAGAGCAGAAGCAGCGTGCTGAAGCGCGCATCAAGCAGGAGCAGCAGCGAATCCAGCGAGAGGAGATGGCGAAGCAGATTGAGGAGCTCAAGAAGACTACCAAGGTTGATATCGACCTTCCAGAGGACCTTGCAGAAATCGACTCCACCCGCATCCGTATCCTCAAGCTCCAAGCTCTCGAGAAGGAAAAGGAACAACTTGGCGAGCAGCTCCGTATTGCCGGAAAGCGTATCGACCATCTCGAGCGAGCCTACCGTAAGGAGGAGGTTAAGCACTTAAAGGAGGACTACGAAAAGCAGATGGAGAGCGACAAGGCAGCATACGAGAAGGCCACTGCAGAGACGCTCAAGGAGGCCGAGGAGAAACACAAGGCAGACGTCGCACTCAAGCACCGTCTGTCGCGATTGGTACCAACCTACCAGGAGTTTGTTACCACTGTCAAGCAACAACGAAAGAACGAATTCGAGAAGCGTTCAAAGGCCGCTCAGAAAGAGCTCGAGAGCAAGAAGGCGGCACGCGTCAAGGAGTTCAGGGAGCGTTTCCTCCGTGAGAAACGGGAACGCGAAGAGGCAGAGCGCCGTCAAAGAGAAGAAGAAGAGCGCGAGCGCGAAGAAGCCGAGGCAAAGGCCAAGGCGGATGAGGAGAAGCGCGAAAGAATGCTCGAGGAGAAGGCGAAGAGGGACGAGGAGCGAAAGTCAGTATTACTACACACTCTTACCAACAGCCAACCTAACTTTTCACAGGGCTCTCGACGAAAAGGCACGCATCCAGCGCGAGCGCGAGGAAGCTGCAGAGGCCAAGCTGGCGGCAAAGAAGGCTGGCCGATTCGGCGCAGACCGTCCCATCTCGCGCGACGCACCTGCGGAGCCATCTTCAGCCGCTGCGCCACCTCGTATCGCCCTTCCAGGTGGTAAGATGACCTGGCGCGAACGTGAAGCCATGAAGGCTGCTGGTCAAACACCTCCTCCCGCTGCTGGTGCTGCACCAGCTCCTGCTGAGTCAGCCTCCCCAGCACCCCCTGCTGAGGCTGAAGCACCCAAGCGAGGCGGATATGTGCCACCTGCTCTGCGTGCAGCCGGTGGCGCAGCTCCTGGTGGAGGCTGGCGCGAGCGTGAGGCCAGCGGAAGTGGACGTGGGCCTCCTGCACGACCAGAGAGGACCGAGTCACCAGCTACCGGTGGCCGTTTCGAGGCTCCTTCCCGCCGGAGGTCGCAGCTTTGGCGACGACAGGAAAGCATCTCCAGCCTCAGGCGGTGGATACGTTCCCCCGTCTCGTCGTGGACAAGCAGATGGTGAAGAGCGCGAGTCTGCACCTCCGCCAGCGCAGGGTGCTAGTGATGGAAAATACAGGCCAGGTGCCTTCAGGCGTACCCCCGGTCAGTAGAGTGGTTGTATAGAGTTCGGTTTTCTTGGCACGACGTCTTCACGACTTAGGCAACGTCGGCTATGAATCTAGGGTGTGAGGAGTTTCTAGAGCTCCTTGGTCACCCGGTTATGGCAGTCACGAACATGCAACAAACAGTGTGTAGTCTTTCAATGGCATTTCAATCTTCCAAAGCTTCCATCAGCATCTCCTGCTTGTTAAGTCTATGGCTCAGCATCATGCATGTCCCTCTTGAACCTCTCCATGCATCTTTGCTTCGTCTGCTTCCAGTCGACATGAGGCTTTGGATACCCGAGTTTCTCAAATTCCGCCTTGCTCAATCTCGCATACGGGGCAAACACCGCTTTCCCTTGCACGTCCTTGAGCTCTGGCACCCATTTCCTGATGTAATCACCATCAGGATCGTTTCTCTCCGCCTGGCTTACAGGATTGAACACCGTATAGCTCGGCTCCCAGCCCTGCGTGTTATTACTCAAGTCCCAATCAATCAGCGTCTCCGCAAAGTACCGCTCCCCTCTGCGATAGTCAAGCAAGAGATTACAATACAAATAAGACGACACATTCATCCTGAGGCGATTATGCATGTACGCCTCATGATTCAACTGCCGCATCCCCGCATCGATAAACGGCTCCCCCGTCTCTCCTTTATACCACTTCTCCCACCCTTCCTCGTCGTCTTCCCACTGCACAAAGTCGAATTTGAGATTCTGCGGCATGTTCATGCTGGTATGCGGCGTCGTCAGCGTCGTCTGGCGGTACAGCTCGCGAAACACAATTTCCCGGACCCAGCCGTAGACGCCCGGGCGCGCACTGGATTCGGTGAAATCGGTGCTGCCGTGGTTGTAGTCGGCGACTTTTTGCAGGGCCGAGCGCACGCTGAACATGCCTGCGCTGAAGTAGGCAGACAGGCGCGATGTGCTGTCTTTAGCGGGGTTGGAACGTGTGGCGGCGTAGGAGTCGATGGTCTTGAGGAAGGCGTCCATGCGCTTGGATGCGGCGGCGTGGCCGGCGGGCCAGAGTTTCCGGATGCGTTTCTTTTCTTCGTCGGAGGAGAATTGCTTGTCGGCAGCGGGCTTGGGGGCGGGGGTGTCGAAGAGGTCTTTGAGTTCCTTCTTCATTGAGGAAGGGTTTGCGGCGGGTGCGGGTGAGGTGTCGAGGAGTTCGGGTTGTTCTTTTAAGATGGCGAGCCATTGTTTGTGGTAGGGCGTGAAGACTTTCATGGGCTTGCCAGCTCCTGTCAGCATAGTGCCAGGCTCGATGACGGTCTGATCGTGGTGTAGTGACACTTGGATACCTCCGCCAACCTGTTTTACGAGCTTGATGTCCCGGCGCAGTTCATCGATTTCGTATTCGTAATTACCGAAGACGTGCGAGACCTTTTGCCCCTTTAACCACTCAATCACAGTGGGCACGATCTTCTTGCGGTCTTCGCATTCCAGGAAAACCAAGGGAATGTTGAGATCTTTGAGTTCCTTTTGCATGATCTTCAAGCCCTCGCACATGAAGTCGACACGGGCTGGACTTGTGCCATGCCATGATTCGTCTGCTGCGCAGTTGACGTACACACCTACGAGAGGCTTCTTCTTGCTTTGCGCAAGTTCTGATGCATGGTGTAGTGCGGTGTTGTCTTGGATGCGAAGGTCTTTCGGGTGAAACCAATGTGCGACTTTTGTTACTTCTTTGACCTCCTCTTGCGCTCCTAAGGCTTCTTGGAGCTGATCGAAGGGGAGGTTCTCGTCGACTTGTTTTGCGCGTTTTGTAGTAGTATGTCCGAGTTCAGAGCGCTCGTAGCTTGTTCTTTTCGACATGGTGCCCTGGTGCGAGGTGGTTTGCAACACTTTCGTGGCAGGTTTCTTCGACGCGGTCTTGCTTTGTTGTGTCGCGTGCTTCGCAGTTCGGATTGGTGTGCTTTGTAGCTTCACCAGAGTAATCGCACTTGGTCTACTATTCGCGTATGTCACAGCACGAGAAGTGAGAAAGCTTCTGACGGAAAGCATGGAGAAATATCGCGCGAAGCCATGGCTAATCAGGCCTTTGTACCTAATTGCAGCTCAAACTTGGGACCACATAATCGGAGTGGTGACGTCGGCGGACAAGCGTACTAGATCCGATCTGGGCGATACCATGATGTCTGGCCGCCATCAAACCCAATCAGTCGAGTCCCATTTCGTGGTTTCAGATCTAAGATCTCGGGATCGTCTGGGACCTCAGATCGTACCTGGGTTCATGCAAGTGTTTGGTAGTCCGGCTGACTTGGTAGGACCGCTTTGTGCATGCGGGAACCAGGGGAGCGGGTGACGGCGGTATCTACGTACTGTAAAGGCACGTGAGCTTGCCGTTGCTGAGCAAATTTCCGTTTCGCATATTAAACCGCCCACCAACGCCATTGTGCAATAATTGCATATGCAAAGTTGCTGGAGTTGGAGGATGGGATGCGAAGAGGCTCAGGGCGCCAGTCCTGACATCATCGCACTTCACACGTGATCGCTTCATCTCGTCTTCGCTTCGGGGTGTCAAGGACGTTCTTCCGTTCTTCCAAGATTCCCTCGTTCCCCATCGGCACCGCATCCGTGGACGCTGGGCTCCAAGAAAATCTTCATTACCTCGTCCCGCATCTTCTCCGGAACAATGACCAATGATGGTGGGGGCCGAGATGCACACAGCATGCTGCAATGTTGCGGCGTTCACACCCACGCTGCAGGCCAAGGAGCCAAGGAAGGCTTGCGGGGAGGCCGGTGAATATAGCGTACCACAGCCAATAATAAGGGTTCATCTGTTCACGTTGTGCCAAGCCCATTTCCCACATCCTTCCACGAGCGTGGAAAACGTGCAGTTCATGCCTGATGAGGCAGCTCCTCCAGAAAAATCATGATGGCAGTGGCTCGTGGCGCGGACCAGACCAGTGGATTTCGGTCTTGCCCAGGTACTTGGGGCGTTGATCTCGAGCAGTAAGAGTGCGTTGTTATTGCACGCGGACGCTAGGTCGACGGCTGAACGCAGCAGTCGACCCAGTACGTTGAACAGGAATATACTGCAGGGATACCAGTGGACCCCAGTCTGTGGGTACTTGCGGGCTGCCTTACTGGTGATGGAGCTTGTATGCAGGTCCAGGTAGCTGTGCAAGCTTATAAAGTCTAGGGTCAGCTTCCCGAATTTTTAGGTGTCATCGCACCTTTGAGAGCCTTGCGTGTAAATCATCCTCTCAATAGCGTCCAGCATGAAGTGCTTCTGCTCAATTGCTGCTGTTGCGGCCCTCGCGGCAGGCGTCTCTGCGCAGACTTTCCGTCGCCTGGGAGCTTGCCCAACGCTCGGTATGCGGTCAATTGACTTCGATCCTCGAATTGCATGCTAACAAAACTACAGGCTGCGTTTTCCCGCCTGACCAGTAAGCGACACAAATTTGAGAAGCTGCTTGTAGCTTCTTTCGAGCTCTTGAAGCTTCCAGGCCAAATACTAATCAACTATCTTTAGGGCCGACTTTTTGGCTGGACAGTTCTTCGATGTTCGTCTCGAGGTCCACCAGCCAAGGAACGGATCTGAATTCATTGGACTCCCCTTGGACGAGCGCTTCACATTCACCGTCGCTAAGAAGGGTGCTGCCGCCAAGCCCGCCACTGAATACTTCAAGCTCGAGGAGCCTGAATTGGAGAAATGGAACTTCACTTTCTATGAGGGTAGGTTAAAATTGACATTGCAGGATCAAGGGCGTAGGCTAACTCTGTACAAGATCTTTTCGCCCGCGACGCTAAGAAGCCAACTCTGGTCAACGTTGCCGCAAAAGCCTACCGTCGCGTGGCTCTCTACGAGCCTGGAGAGTACACCGCGACCCTCAACTACAACAACGGCAGCAAGACCGAGGCCACATGGAATGTTCGCTCTCTTGAGCAGGAGCGCAAGGCCAAGAACATCATCCTCTTCATTGGCGATGGTATGACTACAAACATGATCACGGCCGCACGCCTGATCGGACACAAGACCATCAACGGAAAGTACCAGACCACCATGGCCATGGACAAGTTCCCCGTGCTTGGTCACCAGATGACCCACTCCATTGACAGCTTCATCACCGATTCTGCCAACTCCGCCGCTGCGCTTAACACTGGACACAAGAGCACTGTCAACTGCTTGAACGTCTATGCCGACTCTAGCCCCAGCCCATACGATGATCCGAAGGTCGAGACCATTGCTGAGATGTTCCACCGTCTCACTGGTGGACACATCGGAATCGTTTCTACTGCCTTCATTGCTGATGCAACTCCCGCTGCCTTGGTTGCTCACACCCGAGCCAGATCTACCTACGGACAAATCGTGGACACTTTCCTTAACGGTCTCCAGAATTACACTTGGACAAATGTTCCAATTGATGTCATTTTTGGTGGTGGTGCGGAGCAATTCTACCCTCCTTCGCTCGGTGGTGTTACCTACCAGAACAAGGTATGAAACCACTGAATTTGTGATGATATATCTTACTGACATTTACCCTAGGATTACTATGCAGAGTTTGCGAAGAAAGACTACCAGATTGTCCTGAACCGTACTTCCATGCTGAGCGCTCCCAACACAGAGAAGACTCTTGGTATGTTTTCGACCTCCAACATGGCCAAGTGGCTCGATCGCAATGTCTACCGCCAGAACTTGAACAAGACTCTTTCTCCCACTGGTGACAAGACCCCTGCTCTTGATCAGCCAGGCCTCAAGGACATGACCCTCAAGGCCATTGACATCCTCGAGGCTCGCTCCGGCAAGGAGGGTTGGTTCTTGATGTCTGAGGCCGCAAGTATCGATAAGATGATGCACGTCCTTGACTACGACCGTGCTCTTGGTGAGCTCCTCGAGCTCGACGACACCATCAAGGCTACCATTGCCCACCTGAACAGCACCGACTGTCTCAAGGAGACTCTCATCCTCGTCACAGCTGACCACGGTCACGGTTTCGACGTCATGGGTTCAGTCGACACCCACTACCTCGCTGCTCAGAATGTCGACCGCAAGAAGCGCGACGCAATCGGCACCTACGAGCAGTCCGGTCTCTCCCAGTACATCAACACCGGCAACCTTACCTACACTGACAGCAACTTCCCCTCAAACTGGGACCCCCGCTACACCCTTTTCCAGGGTTTAATGGCCGACCCTGACCGCCGCGAGAACTGGTCCGTAAAGAAGAACGGCCCTCGCACGCCTGCTAGGGCCGCGAACGGCTCCAGCGACTATTACGCCAACCCAACTGACTCCCCTGGAGGCATTCTGCTTAACGGTACTCTTCCTGTCGAGAACGACCAAGGTGTTCACTCACTCACTGACGTGCCTGTCTTTGCCATGGGCCCATGTGCGAGCAAATTTGGAGGGGTTTACAACAGCCCGGACATCTTCTTCCAGATGGCGGAGTGTTTTGGTCTTGCCCGTAGTTCTCCTCCCAAGAACGGGACAGCTTAGATCGAGTGGTTGGTGATGAATGACGAAAAACGATGAAGTAGCTTATACACATTGCGTAGAAGTAGTAATGAATGTTTAATGGGATATTTATTTGCCTTGCGGCGGTTTGATATTGATGTCAGCAGCTTGTGGTATTGCCGCGTCGTGCTCAGATACGATAGAGCCTGGAGGGCTTCACCGATGCCAGCACCAGCAACTGCAATTTCAAAGGCCTGTGTATATCTTCAGCACGCATGATAACAAAACAATTAGCAACTAAAACGTGCATAAGGTCTTTCAAGTCGCAATATAAGTCGGTTGTAAGTAATGCAACAAGACTATTATATTTGCGTAGAGGTCAAGAACCAACTGCACAAAATAGCAGCGAGCAACTCCGGTAACATCTGCAAATTTAGGATGGTAGACGGGAGTACATATCTCTGCAGTGTAATACAGTAAAATTCTTTGCGTTGCCATATAAGAACGCAACGTACGCCTCTTTGTGTCTTAGCGCCGCCCTGCATCTCGCTCCCCACCCAACTTCCAAGTCTTTACATCACCACACCGGCCTTTCCCACCTCTGCGACCGCGAACAAGTGTTCCGTCCATGATGCGACGTGCGTTCATTTGTCCATTGTCAGAGAATCGTAAAATTAGATTGGCACGCCATGTCTCAAAGCAACAAACCCCTCACACCACCATTCGAAAGCTTCTAGCGTACGCGTCGCGTCTTCCATCAAGCTTCCAGTGCCTACATGTATATTCGAATCCTAGGTTCGAAATACATTAAGACTTGGGAACGATGCTTGTTCGTGCTTGGCTTGGTCGCATGAACGATGTTCCCTCGAAACGTTCACCGGACCCCTGGCCAAAGATTTACATGAAACAGACACTGTATCTGGCTGCAGTACGCAGCGCAGGACCTGCCTGACCACAGTGTCTTCTAAGGGGAGTCGAGAACCAACTCAGCACCACCGGGACAAGCCCGAAAGTCTGAGAAAAATGAGGAACTCGCCTCCACCTATGTGTTGGTCCGCGATCAATTGTAATCTAGTGTATATTTGGCCGGGGCTTACCTTCCCCACATCTTCAGCGACCCATGTAATTTAACGGATCCAGCGTTTCTGCCAAAGTGCTTTCCCAATTTATCCAATTTGGCGATAGAAGCCGTACCTCCGATCTGCGAATTGAGTACCACAAAGTCGCAACAGATGACCAAACACTGTCAACACTATACCTATAGTGGCGACGGAGAAGCAAAAGCCTGGGCGGCCAACCCAAGCAAGCTTAAGCAGCAATAAGACATGGAGAGCGCTATGCCTCAGCTTCGGGTGTGCTTGGTGACGCTCGAGTGTATAAATATAGAGATAGCTCCCATCGTCAATCAGCAGCATCAAACTTGCAATCACAATCATGTTCGGACAAACCGCTATTCTCACCGCCGCGCTCGCCCTCGCACCCGCCGCCATTGCCCAGGTATCTGAGGGCTTCGAGAGTGGATGGGATCAGACTGCGTGGCCCACATATGCTCCAGACTGTAACCAGGGTGGCAAAGTTACTCTGGACACCACAACAGCGCATACCGGAAAGAACTCTATCCGCGTTGATGGAGCTGGAGGATATTGCGGTCACATCTTCGTTGGTACTTCCAAGGTCCCTAGCGGCGATGTTTACGTCAGGACGTGGTTGTACGTATTTGATGAGTGGGCATTAGAGGCCTTGCTGACTTCGCATCCAGGAAAGCCTCCAAGGCCTTCACAGACTCTCACGTCTCCTTCATTACCATGGATGATTCGTAAGCCCTACCACTCTTTGATACATTCAGACACGCTCAACGTTTCTAACTTTCTTGACAGTGCTCAAGCGAAAGGAAAGCATCTCCGTATCGGTGGTCAATCCAAGATCTTGATGTACAACCGTGAGAGTGATGACGCTACATTGCCCGACCTTTCTCCCCAGGGTATCGCAGCCTCAACGGCACTTCCCGCCAACACCTGGACCTGCTTCGAGTACCATCTCGGCACTGACGGCTCCATCGAGACCTGGCTCAACAACGCCACCGTTGCGGGCCTCACCTCCAAGCCTGGTGTTTCAAACCCTAACGCGGCACAGTGGCAGAGGAGTACCGTCAAGCCGAAGATTACGAACGTGAACTTTGGGTGGGAGTCATACGGAGGCGACACTAACACCTTCTGGTACGACGACATTGTCGTCAGCGCTAGCCGTGTTGGCTGCTAGATGCCTCTGATGAGGTGCAATTCTTGTACATATTTTGCGGTAACATAAGCCAATATACATAACGAAGCATGATGGTCGCCTGCAAATTATTGTGTCAATCTTGAGTTCAATTGATACATTTGTATCTGTCCGCCCATTACAACTACAACTTCGACGCTGGATTGATAAACAGGGCTGCGCTGTTCAAGGCGATTTCAGTTTCTTTGACCATCTCAGCCACGATCTCCGCCGCTGTCTGATTGGCCTTATTCACGGACCCTCCAACTACTCCGATAGGTCTATGTGTTGTTAGTATCTCATGTTTTACCCAATTCTCAATCACTTACCGCATCGCTGCGGCATCTTCAATCTCATCAGTCAACTTCCCCTCCTTGTGCAGCCTGTCAAGCTCATATGGTAGCGGTACCACACCTCTCGACGTAAGTTCCTTGATCTCCGCTTGTCGATTCTGCTCCCAATCAAGTAGGTACGGGTTGCTGAGCGCGCGTAGCGGTCGACCAGACCATATCGTGCTTTTGATCCACGAATCGTAATTGGCCTTGATGACCCTATGTGAGGTTAGCAACTTATCTACTTGTATACTGATTGCAGTTCCACTCACTCTTCCTTGAAACTCTTCGGCGCCTTACTCTCCACCGACGGAATGAATCTCGTCCCAACCCACACGCCACTCGCGCCTAGCATCAGTGCCGCGGCCACGCTTCGGCCGTCGTTGATGCCGCCTGCTGCGACGAGCGTGACAGGGTTTCCAGTTATCGGTGATTTGTACTGTTTGCACACGTCCGCACATGCTGGGATCAGTACACTCGTTGCAATATCGCCAGTGTGGCCACCGGCTTCGCCTCCTTGCGCGATGATGATATCAGCACCAGCCTGGCAGGCTTTGTGCACATGCTTGGGGTGGCCAACCATGTTTCCGCTGTTTGGATTAGTGGAATGGATATGGATTCGGAGACGGTGTTGTTACTATAACACCCCAGCTTTGTGGAGTTTGTCGATGGCCCATTGTGGTGGGATACCAACTGCTGAAACGAAGAGTTTCGCACCGGCTTCGATGACTATGTCGAGGAGTACACCGAGGTTTCCGCCGGTGTAGTCGTACTGGGGTTTGAGAAGTTAGTTTTGAGTTTCGTAGTTGATGTCTTCCTTTTTCTTCACAGTTACCCTTACTCAACAACCTCGGCTTAACCACTTCCATTTCACTCTTCCCTCAAACACTCACAAAGACCTACTCAAGCCTTTGCGATAAGAAAAGTACACTTACGTTAGTCTTCCTCGCTGTCCCACCAACAGCCGGAATTAGCAAATCCACACCAAATGGCGCATTCTTATCCTTCAACAACCCTTTCATCTCCGCGATCATTTCCCGCAGCATTTTCGGCGTATACCTCGCGCCACCCAGCGTGCCAAAACCCCCAGCGTTCGTTACAGCTGCTGCGAGTTCGGGGCCGGCTACTTGGTCCATACCCGCCAGCATGATGGGGTGTTGGATGTTGAGGAGTGCGGTTAATGGCGTGCTGAGGGGCGGTGGAGGCGACATTGTGGAGTTTAGTATTGGAGGCTTGGAGTAGAAGAAGGGGATGTGAAGTTGGTTCACAGGGTCGATGTGTGTTGGGGGGGGGGGGACGTTTGAATGTAGGTATACACTAGACTTTTGTACTAAGATCGACGGTGCTTGCGAGTTACCGCGGCTCATGGCTGCTGACTCGTCATAGGCTTGGGGACATGTGGCTTGCTATTTATACACGTATGGTAGTTAATTCTGCATAGGTTTGAGCTTTAGAGCTGTCTGCATAATCGCGCACGGTAAAATATTACGATTCGTGATTTACTACTGATGAATATGACCATCCCAAAATATCAAATCAGCGCTATAGAATGTGATGTACTTCCGCTTTTGGTTTACAGGGACTTTCCTTTTGCTCGTCCGAACGTGTTTTGTGCATCACTAGCAAACCTCAACCTCAGTGAACCTCTGTCTCTCTCTCTCGATATCCGTCTTCATCTCCGGGAACCTCTGATAGAACGTCGGATCCACAGTCCAGTACTTCAAGTCTCGATGGTGCCGCTCAAACAATAGGCTCGGGTAATGCATTCCCTTTCGTTCATCCAAGAAGAAAGCGTCTTCGAATGCGAACGGCCAATCAAATCGTAGGTAATCAGAGTGGCACTTTTGACAGATTGCCGTTTGTGAAGACATCGTCGTGATTCTGGACCAGGCAGTCGCGCAGGCGTGGGCCATGCAAAGAAATCCACAGCAACTGGGTGTTTCGTGGCGGATTGTGAGAGACTACCAAATGATCGGTACACAGCTTGAAGAAGTAGTAGGTATATCCATACCTCGGTCTCAGCCACTCAGGCACTTTATCCAGCTCATCCTTGGTCGCATTAAGATAATACTGCCACACCACGTAAGTGCCAATTCCATAATCCCCTTAGATCAATATACCTTCAACAGTTTGAAGCTCTTGTACGCCGCGGCCAATCTTTCCACATTCGGCAGATGGCAAAACAGTAGATCGTCGACTTGCTTCAGGATTTGGAGCACGGGGCTCTGCATCTGAACCCTTCTGTATGCCCAGGTATAAGAGACCTGCTTCGGAACTAGGGGGGCAGGTACCTGTTGTTGAGGAACGGTAGGACAAGACTTTTCCGAAGAGCTCGTTGCTCTTCTTCCAGCCGGGGCAGAGGGTGCTGGATGCAGAGGCGGGGACTGGTTCAGGATTGCCGAAGTGTAGGATGACCGGCGGGGGACAGCGCCAATTTGGACCGAAAAACTGGAGGTTCCTTTAGTCAGTGCTAGAAGAGAGTTTTGAGGAGGACTTTGTACCTCTGCCATCAAGGGCGCCCATGTAGCGGTTGCTGGGTCGTTGCTCCATGACAAGTCTTCCGCCTCGTGTTCTGGGCTTTCTGCAACTGGTGGTAGATCGAGATCCATACCCGTGCTCGGATCTGGAGCAGCTGGTGTATTGTCTTCAAGGCCTGTCATGATGGTCATACCGTCCAGGTCAAGCGACTTCGCAGTAGGTGGAACGGGTTCCTGGTAGTCGAACTGATCATGACTTTCGGCTGGTGGGGAGATTACAGATTTCGTGAACGAGACTGTTCGTGGTTTAGGAGATCGCTGACCTACCGGGTGCTGTCAGCCCTATTTGGTGGTGTAGTAGGAGGCTATTTCATGCATACCGACACTGGATGCTGCTGGCGAATGCTCCATTCCGCCATCTCCCGTCCCGCCGTTCGTAGCAGTATTACGAGGGAGCAAGTCACATCCTATCACGCTTTTGACGTTGTCTATGACTTCCCGTAACCGTTCATTCTCGGCTCGCAACACGTCAATTTCAGACAGTAGGCTAGATGTTGTGCCATGTCGATCCTGGTCTCGCAGAATCTGTATAGTTCGTTCAAGCTCGGCAATATGCGTCTTTGTCTTTTCTCTCAGTGATCGCTGTGCTTCTCGGTCAATTGCTCGTTTGCGTTCGCGTCGCTCTTGCTCGCCCAAGCACGAAGCTAGTCGTTTGCGCTTGACGACAGGAGCGATAGGTGCTTGGGTCGACGGACCGTCACTAGCTCGACGATTGACCATTGCGGTGGGATGATGCTAGAACATGTGTATATGCTTTCGATTCGATACTGGATAGTCAACGTGAGATCGAAAGGCTAAACGTCAATGAATGCGAGTCGAAGGTCCTGTTAACTCTTTGTTCTCCTATATCTACCATTCGGACGCCTACGGAAGGCTTAGAAAACAGCGATGTCCCTCAAAGAGTCCACTTAGCGCCTCGGGAGTGCCGTAATGCGGGGAAAGTGGGGTATAGGGGAACTTCTAACGGAGGCAATGGTCCATCGCGAGTTTGCTTCCGCTGCATGCATTAACGTTCTTCGCTCTGGTCGTCAATCTTGTAACGCTAAGTGGTCCATTGATTGGTTCTATCAGGAAGGGGTCTGGAAGTTGACCCGTTCAACTGACGTTATTGCTGACGTTGTTGGTGCATGAGTGGAATTGCCGAAAGATGCCATATCTGTCCGATACGGACGAAAATTGTCCACACAAGCTGTCAGTAATGCGAGCAACTCTCAAGAATGGTCGGAAACGATGATGACATTGTAGACTATTTTCTTGTAAGTTTCAGCCGTAGGGAAGCTGAAATGCTACGTGCATTTGAGCGCTCCGTGCCACGTTTACAACTTCGAGGGCCTCCAATTAGGCTTTCGCTTTTCTGCGAACGCCTGTAGCCCCTCTAGAGCGTTCTCGCTCGAGTTCAAGGGCTCGTTGAATCGCTCAATAGTCAATTGGGTGGCGCGTTCAACACTGCCATGTTCCCATGCCTCCTTCAGCGCTGCCCTTGTGACAATCGCAGAATCTGGAGAGATCTGCGCAATCTCATTTGCCAACTTCACAGCTTCATCGACGACTGTCTCCTGTGATGGCGAAATGCGATTGACAAGGTTGAGCTCTTTAGCTCGTTGTGCGGTGATGGATTTGCCGGTCAAGGCCATCTCAGAGGCTATAGGTAGCCCGACATTGCGAACAAGACGTGGAGGGCCGCCTGCGCCTGCGAAGATTCCGCGGAGAGCCTCGGGGAGACCGAATGTTGCGCCTGGAGCTGCCACCACCAAGTCGCTTCACAAATGTTAGCCATAGTACTTCTGTCCGAGGCGGATTATAGTCCTCACCATCCAAGCACAATCTCAAATCCTCCACCAAGTGCAAAGCCATTAACAGCCGCAATGACAGGCTTCCTCCCACCTCTCCTACTCAACCCACCAAACCCACTAAGCGGATGCCTGAGAAGGCCTGGGCTCGGCTTGATCTTCCCGCTTCTGATGTTGCCCAGTTCAATCAAGTCCTGTCCAGCACAGAAGCTCTTCTTGCCAGCACCCGTGATGATAGCTACGCGCAGGTTAGGTTCGCGGTCAAACCAGTCAAAGACCTGGCCCATTTCCAGATGACCCGCGAAGGGGATGCTGTTCATCTGCTTCTCGCGGTTGATAGTGACGAGCAGGACATAATCGGCTGGGTACGAGAGTACGACGTGCGACGTGGGTGGGGGAGTTGTCTGAGGCTGGACCGAGGACATGGTGCGTGATGTCGATGTGTTAGTCGCAAAGTTCGAGATAGCTTTAGAGGGACCCAAGAGCTCTGCGCTCTGTTTAAGTTGCTATATGGCCACTGGTGTATGGCAATAAGCTGATTCGATTCTCCGCGCAATGAGCCGAGGTTCGCCAGCTTCAAGCTTCAAGGGTCCTCATAGCTCACCATGCCCGATCGAGCACTTCTCCAGAACACTGACGACAAATTGCGCATCTACACAGATTTGAACATTCGATGTGTATTGAAAAGTATTTGATACGTGTCTTCTAGAGATATGACAACAACGACAAGCAATGTACCGTCCAACGAGGCCTCGATCCACAGTCGTTTCATTCCTGCGCTATTCAGTCCTACTGTACACAACTGCACTGCGTAAACCACATAAATACAGACACACACAAGATCACTAGAGCTCTTCATGGACCATGTCCGTTGTCGTATCTATAACCTCTCGGATCTCCGCCCAGGACGCGATACACGTAGATTGCGCACCACACTGCCCATGCGAAAGCCCCCAAAACGAACAGAGCGCCCACCCAGTATGGCACCGTTCGATGGGCCAGTATCAAACGCCCATGTCCACTGATACTCGGCGGTATGATGCGGTGCTGGTGTGGCAGCGTGTAGCCTGGTCGTGGCAGTTCGACTGGGCTGACTTCGGTCGAGTTGTTGCGCGATGAGCTCGCGACGGACACGATGCTTCCGTATACGACGGGCTTGAATGGAGGAGATTCGGCGAGCGCAGCAGCGTGCTCTACATCATCGTTGAGCTACAGCGATCGTTAGCAAGGTGCATTCGCTGTAGGCTCTCTCCTCGACGGGGGAGCAATACTAAGCCTGCCATTATCATGCATAGCTGGCCAGCAGTACACAAATCTCAGCCTTCACGCAATCGTCCTTCTCCGGCGATGGTGTTATGAACAGCAGCAGCAGTGCCCAGATGAACCGCCCACGTCCGGACTGTTTCAATGTCGCTCAGCCTCCGGACCGATCCTTGGGCTATCCTTGGTGTACCATCAACCACACAGACTAAGCGCCAATCGCCATGCATGCGGTCCAACTCCGGGCATGCATCCGTCGACCACAGTCGAGAGTCATTGGCAGAGCGCTGGTTCGCCAGGCTGCATGCCGCTGACTTTGTTTTGCTTCGACGATCGTTAGGAGCTTGCATCTTCACCAAGTTGAGCTTCAAGGGTAGTGCCGCAACAGCTAAGCCGATCTGGCAAAGTGCATTATGCTGCCGATCTTCTCGAAACGTTGCACTTCTGTGACGAACAAATTGCTCACCATCCAAGACATGCGCGATGCTTCCTCGGACCAGGACAGCCGCTCGCTTGTGCATGTCATCGTCTCGAAGGGGTCAGACGGGGCGCACCTTATGCAGATTGCGGGGCTTCGTCAGCTGAGCACACGGCCGACACAGCAATGTGAGGGACGTTTTCGGATCGTTGCGGCAATGTGCAAATGTCACCTAACTTGGAAGTCCCTTGGAAGTGCACAAGAGGACAGACGAGTTGCTTCTTCTTCAATGTAAGGTGGCCGCTAACCTTCGGGCGGCCTCCGTGGACTTTCCTAAAGCGCCTCACCCCGCAGCTCTGGAGCGCAGAAGCCTGCTTGTGTAACAAGGCATTTTGAGGTGCAGGTAGCACAGCGGAACCGTTTGCTATCTCAACCGTGGAGGACTATTTCACGCCGTTGGATCCTTAGCTTGCCTCCACAACATCACTGGATTTCGCACTCGCTCCAGCTTTGCTGGATATTTAAGCCGGATAAGAAGATACACAACCTTGGCCATAGGCGTGACTATCGCTATCTCGACAACTGCAATATTCAGCACGATAAGGGTACCTCTGTAGCAGTTGTGCCAACGAGCACAAAATGGCAACGGGAGTGTGCGTCGGCTTGGGGTACATCAAAATTGAAGACACTCCATCGCCCGACTTAGTCTGCTGGCCGCTCGATCAGCCTGGTGTCAATGACGTCGCTCCAGTCCCGACTGTCGAGCCCACTCTACCTCCTGTCATCGACAGCACTCCACTCATTGACCCACGGGACCCAGACGGCTTTCTGAAGCGATGTTCGGGCTTCAACAAAAGCAAAAGAGTTAGGGAGCGATGTAGCGCCGTGATAGGCAAGAAGTCTGAACAGAGCTGCCACCCAACATTCCTACCCACGTGTAGAGCGCATCGCGATCAGCAAAGCTTTGCGGGATGGTGTCAGTACAAAAGACCAGACGGTGAAAGATGTGGGCGACTTTTCCGATGGACGCCGCCCTACTTTGAGCTGTGCACCGAACACCAAGGTCACCCGGATACGCCTTGCTACTTCTTCAACCTGCCGCTGGAGCTCCGACAGGAAATTCTTCACTACCTAATACCAGACCGACCAATTGGCTCTTCAACAGCCGCACTGCATGATGGCAAAGGCGATGAGTTTGATAATCACCCTACCAGCGGTCTTATTGTACGTTCGGCGTCCCAGTGGAATGCGAAGGTCCATTCAAGACACCATAATAGCGCCTTTCCCATGCCTGCGTTAGATTTGTTTCTGGTAAATCACCAATTCTATCGAGAAGCGAAGGATCTGCTCTTCAGCACTGTACCTTTCACGATTGACGTTAGGAAAGACGGAACATTCATGTGTGGACGTCGACTCTTGGAGCCCAGAAGAGCGGATGGATCGTCACATTACCTTGTGGAAGAAGCTGATGAGGCAAAACAAAGGTTCTTGAGGTACTTTGACTGGGCTGCTGTGAAGCACTACGTTGTTGATATCCTGGTTGAAAATTGGGCAAGCGGGACTGCGCATGCTTATCCCAACAATTCATCGTGGGATGAAGAAGTCGAGCTATACGACATCCGAGGTGTGTATCTCTCACCTCATCTCAATTTCACACCAACTAACATGGGCACAGACTACATCTCCGTTGTTGTCTCCGGTATCCTCTCCAAATCCCACCAGCTCAACAAACTTAGCGTCCGCCTGTGTCTCGCAGACTTCTCCTGGGACCATGCTCAGATCCTTGCCAACACAAAGCTTATCGTTGGCCCTTTCGAGTCGCTGCGAAACGTCCGCCAGCCCCAGATTATCGGCATATCAACAGGCAAGCCGAACCACAACTCGATGCTGACTGTCCAGCGGCCCATATCCACAAACGGAAGCAGAGCGCCGATTTGTTCGGTCCCGCCTTTGCCGATGCATATGTTGCTACTCGTGCCCGGCATGTTGGACTTTGATGCGTATGCAAAATATTGGAAGCGGTGGATATCTAGTAGTAATTCTTGCGCAATGACACCCAAGGCACCGATTCGAGGCATGTTCACCGAGTTCAAGAATTTCTACACCCATCTGGCGAACTTAGTTCCAGAGGTCACATACATATCCGGTCGGCACGCATTTTTACACCGCGCGCGTGTAGCACGAGAGCAAGAAAACGTCGAAGGCTTCAGATCTCTGAGAAACGAACTCATTGCGTACTGGTACACGTATCTTGAGCGGGAGGAAGCGAAGAAGAAAGCCATGGAGGATAACCTGGCCAGGATGTTAGAATCAGATGTATACCCGAGCCATGAGTGGGATAGAATGTCGAGGGGCAGTTCAAGAACGGTGGCGAGCTCGTCACGCTCGCCGAAAGACACAATTTCCCAGACGCAGAAACGACCAGCTGCCTTACTCAACGACCGTGAATCCACTTCTGAGCGGAAAAGGCCTCGACAAGTACCAACCTCAGACGCATCGGCCGCATCTAAACGCCGTCTGCTAACCAACGGCTACTCGAACACTCAGGTCGGCCCGCCAATCGACTCCGTAGACGTCGGCTGTTTCGCACACGTCAATCTCAGCTCAGATTGGTATGGCGAGGCCGGCCCGTCGACGAAGAAACGGAGGATTGATTCCGGATTCATTGAGATGGAGGGAGAGAAGAGGAGCCCAATCATGGTTACAGATACAGAGATCGAAGAAGAGGTGGCTTATGTCGGAAAGGGAAAGGGCAAGATGGGCGCCGAGGTGGTAATATGCATTGATTGAGTGGGTTTTCTGGCTACGGCGCATGGAACGGAAAAGGCTCAAAAGTTGTTGTAGAGAAGATATTTTGATCTTGAAGGGTACAAGACACATTGGTAGCCTCTCATTCTTATGCAAGCAGCAAGTGTGAATGTCGGTGCAATGGTGGGTCCCGCAGCAGCCAATGACGGAGCTTGTGATACCCACACTGCGCCAAGGCCGATGTTTCTCGAAGTCACATCCCGAGGTCATCTATAATTTGCCTTTGCCATCGCCGCTGCCTACTCACCATACCAGTCGCATCCCAATCACTTCAATTCAACTCTCACCAGCCCATTCATCAACATGGCTCGTCAACGTGGAGGATCTGCCCCTCGCCGCCCTACCGCGCCCGTCGCAAAGCCCGCGACCACTCCCCAGGCCCGCCCTGCTTCGACAGCTGCTGCTCCCCCAGCTCCCGCGCCAGTGCAGCAGGCGCAGGCTCCCACACCCCAGGGACCCGGCCTGTTTGGACAAATGGCATCGACTGCTGCGTAAGTGATACCGCCTTGTGAACTTGGAGCTCCAAGATGCCACTCCACCCCCACCGAAGCATCCATGACTAACTCCAACACAGCGGTGTCGCAGTAGGCTCCTCAATTGGCCACGCAGTCGGCGGCTTCTTCAGCGGCGGCGGCTCTTCCTCCGAGCCCGCCGCAGCGTCGCCCCAGGCCACCGACTTCTCCCAGCAACACCAGAGCGCCACCCAGATGCAGTCGACCGGCGCATGCGGCACCGACGTCAACAACTTCCGCAAGTGCATGGACGAGAACCAGGGCAGCTTGACTATCTGTGGATGGTACTTGGACCAGCTCAAGGCATGCCAGGCCGCCGCTGGTCAGTACTAGAGGATTGTGGGAGGGATACTGCATATGCTTGACATGGTAGCGAAGCGAATGGATATTGCATTTGGACTGGCGTATGTATAGTATTGTGAATGCATGAGAATCACTACTCTCGCCATGGCAATTCTACGTCCGTTTCTTTACGTGTTTAGGCCCATGTACCTGACTTGAACGTGACTAGATATACTGAGCTAGTTCACCTGTGCGACAGCACTCTAATTCTGGCCACGAAACGTATCGTCTTCATCACATAGGGTAACATACGGCAGCCGACACACAACATGGAATCCGAGCAAATGTCTAGTAGAGCACGTGGAGAGCATACCATGCTGCATAGATCTTCGATACCATCGCCGTCTTCCAAATCATTTGCAGTCACGCTTGCCACCAGCCGCGACACGATTGGCCACAGTCAAATGCAAGTCAATGTCGGATGCGGGAACTGTCTTTCGGAAGGGCTTCCGCCACCTCAAACGCGGCTTGCTAGCCTCACGAACTGGAATCATCGACACGCTACCCCGCATTACCCTACAGCACCAGATCTGGACTTGGACGTTTATGGGACGGTTGTTTCGGTGAGATGGAAGCTAATTGTGCTGGGTGGGATGTATTAAAGGTGACGGGCGTGTCTCGAAGGTTCAACCTGGAGGAATTGAAGTAGCAATATCATCACCTTTCAACATGAACGGAACAAGAATCGAAACATGCCCCATGGGCCACCACCGGATCAAAAACATCCATAATGGTCAAGTCCCCAGCGGCACCGTCAAAGCCAGCGGACAAGACAAGAAAGCACCCGGGACATATATCAAATGGGACGCTCCAGGCGTCGAGACCATCCAGCCTGGCGAGAAGGAAAAGATCCAAGAGGTGTCTGACCAGTTCAATCGTTTCCAAATGATGAATTTCAACGAGCATATGCACTGTCTCCGCGGCACGCATCTCAAGACCCAAGGCGTAAGTTTTGCACAACCATACAGATGCAGGGACGGAATACACATCTAACCCCCCATCCTACAGTGCGTAATGGGAAAATTCATCGTCCACGACAACCTCCCCCCTTATCTCGCCCAAGGCATGTTCGCTAAACCGGGCTCCTACGACGTAATCATGCGCTACTCGTCGCTCACGCCTAAGATCGTGCCCGACAACGCGCCCGCGCCGCGCGGCATCGGGATGAAGGTCTTTGGCATCGAGGGCGAGAAGATCTGGGGCGAGGACAAGAAGACGCAGGATTGGACGTTTAACAACTACCCCGTCCTGGAGCTCCGCGATCCCCAGACGACGTATGAGATTGCGGATTCGCTTGAGCGCAATTGGAATGATTTGCCCACGTTTGCGGAGGAGCAGAGTAAGAGGGTGGATGCGGATGTGGCGACCTTGGGCGGGCAATTGCCTAGGCAGCATAGTACGTCTTTTCTTACTTCCCTTCTTCTGTTCTTGAGAATGTGTAGAGCTGACATAGCCGCCAGTGGCCGCGATGCCCGAATACTCGCAATCCGCCTACCGCCACGGCCCCTACGTCGCCAAATACGGCGTCTTCCCGCTCAGCCAGGCACAGAAAGATCTTGTAGACACCGACTACACCGACAACGACCCCATCAACGTCATCTCGCAGTCGCTGCGCCAGTTCCACATGACTAACAAAGCCACATACTCCTTCTGCGCGCAGATGCTGCAGGACCTCGACGAGCAGCCCGTCGACGACATCGGCATCGAGTGGGACCCCAAGAAATACCCCTTCGAGCAGATTGCTACCCTCGAGTTTGAGCCGCAGGATAGCTGGCTGCCCGAGTTCCGCACCTGGTGGGACGATCGGATTACGGTGAATAGCTGGCATGGGCTGAGGGAGCATCAGCCGCTGGGCAGCACGAATCGCATGCGCAGGGTGGTGTATGCCGAGTCGCGGAAATTGAGGCTGAGGGTTAATGGGTATAGGGATTATGTGGAGCCGGCGGGGCTGGGCGAGGTGCCTGTTCCTGTGCCCGCGCCGCAGTTGAAGATGAAGTACATGGATGCGGTTCAGACTGTTGAAGTGAAGTAGGTAGTTATAGTTCGATAATTACAATCCGAACAGTTTGTTCAAGAACTTCACGTGAACTACTTGGGCAGATGGTGCAAATGAAGCATGGCAGCGCTCATATCTCGTCCACTATGCTTTTCCATACTCAACCGTCATCTCCGTCTGAACATGAATGCAGTCTCCAGTCTCTATATCCGAGTTGTGAGAAGCGCTCATGTCGTGAAGTGCGTATGCCTTGCAGTTACCCTCGTTGGCAAACTCAATCATTGAGTCGTCATCTTCTCCCTCGAGGCGCGGTCTTCCGCTGGAGGGGCCGCTACCAAATGTTCGAGTTGGACTGGGGTTAGTGCCGCCATTCGAACGTTGTCCAGAGGATGTTCCAAGGCCGCTGAATATGCCACCGAATTTGTGGAAGACGGGGCGGAGGAGGGGCAGTGATGCTACATGTTGTCAGAGAAAGTACACGACTAATGCTGGGGGAATGCTGACTTGACAACGAAGCGAGGTTGACGTCGCATACAGCCCAGATTTGATCGTCGAGGCCATCCCACGTAACATCCGCTTCGGCGGTGTGTTGATTCAATGACACAGTGTGGATAATCGTGCCCATCGCAGAGCAGCACACCAAAAAGCCCGACGCAAACATCGCCCCTACTGCCATTTTTTTCGCAGTCGTTAAGTGAAGCCGCCAAATCTCGACGAGCGGACATACCAAGATTGCCACTTCGATGATCAAGTGAGGTATGGCTGCGGCACACAGAGTTGCCATGGGCGTCAGGAAGCAGCTGCGGCTTCGGAGCGTGCCTCTGTCCCAGAAGGTATGTATAGGTATACACTGCAAACAGGTCAGGAAGACCTAGACTTATTAGTATACTGTTTTCTCGCCGACATATGCGCACATACCCTCGCGACGATCCAGGCGGTTGAGCAACCAAAGAGGATCCGGATTGGTAGTCGTATGAAAGAGCGAGAGAACAGTCTCCAATAGAAGCCGAGAATGACAAATTTTGATAATCCTACGCTAAAGGTGTAAAACCACATGTCGAACCAGAGTTCCAGGAAGTAGTGATGCTCGACGTCCATGTTGGGATCAAGCTCATATATATGCTTTCCGAGGCCCCATCGCATTTCTGCTGTTGTCAGCAAACTTGGAACCGTCGAGCAAAAGTCGCGAGAAACGGTCCGACGTACTGTACAAGCTGATGAAGGTGAACCCACTTCCAACGAGCTGCGATGGCATTAGCAGTCGGCTTTTTCAAGTATACAAAGCTCGACTCACGAACGCTACGATCGCCAAATAGTCCTCCCAGACCATGCGCATCCTCATTGTGCGCCTTGCAACCATTCTAAGCACTAGCGCTGTCGCTGCTGCCGTGTAAGTAATGAGTGCAGCCGCGTACAGCTCGGGTTGTCGATTTCCTGTCATGCCGCGTTGCCCATTTCCTGACCAACCGTACCACGGCGAAGTTGAATTGAGCGCACCCTCGAGTTGTCGATTGCCTGACATGGTAACGCGAGTTCGGCGCCCGTCAAAAGACTCTCATGGATAGTGGGTTGCGCGGGCGATGCAGGTTGCAATCTCGAGTTGTGCGATTATTGTTGGATAGTCCCAAGACTAGCGTCGAAGTCAGCCCGTTTGGTTGTGGCCATGTTTATTTTTTAGCATTCACCGCTCCCGCTCTCACCTTTTATTCACCCCAGGGCTTTTTGGCGCCAGAGGGAGCAGTGTCTCCTGTTTCGACAGTGACATGCTGGAGGAATTGTTGCGACGGCATGATGCTATCATAGATAAGATTGCTTGCCGTGATAGGAACACACATGGCTGGTAGTAATGTGGCTGTCCCATGGCAAGAGCGCCTTTATGTAAGGCACACCTGTAACGACTGTACTTGTACTTACAGCTGCAGCGATGGGCGAGCTGCGTTTCTCGGTGTGCTATTTCTCGATTAGTCGCTTGCGCCATGGTGGCGCTGGTCAGTCAGTTTCTCCGTTTGCAATGCGATCAGCATGGTGGTACAAGGGGCGGGTAACTGCTGTCCTTGTGTCATATGCATTCGCGTGACGACGCCTAGGATCGAAAGACATGTGTGTCTCCAAGCATTTCAGACCTGCGACTTGAGTGCGTCTGGATCGACTCCACTTGCTGGCACGAATGCGCAAATGCAAGCCAATGTCCGTCCCGCGTGGGGGAGCTTCGATTCATCGGAGCCGACCGTCCAGGCATATCGCATGTGATCAGAATACTGAATACTGTTTCTGTGTGGCTACATCAACATACACGGCACATAGTCACAGGGGTGCTCCTCGCGCTGAGACATGCTGCATGCTGCCAACTACGAGGGACGGGGAAGTGAATTGAGTTATCTCACAACCTGAATCTAAGCACAATATCATCAGGCGTAGCGGCAACATCCTGTGTATAGCTTTTCGATCCTCGCAATGGGGTGCTGCCGACTCGCTCGTTGCAGAATGAAGAGGTAAAATCTTGGGACTCTCGTCAGCATGGCAAAAGTATTGAGATTGCATGTAGCTAGCGATGATGCTTGCTAGCAGGTCTTATCACTTTCGCCCCATCTGTCAGTGCTCGCATGATCTACGCTGTCAATACGCACCACCAGGTTTGCTCCTGATTGAGTAAGAACGTCTCCGGACCCGGCTATCTTATTCGATCTCCTATCCTTCGACAAGGTTAGATGGCCAGACAGGTGGCATCCGTGGCACAATGCATTGCCTTCGAATGAATGAACTCCTAGAGTTATATACTAGTGTAAAGATAGAGAATTGGTCCTGGACTACAATTTACGTGTTCATCCTTGCTTATGGATTGCGCTGTTCGCCTGATCCAATTGTTGGCCCGATGTCCAAAGATTCAGATAGTCCCGGGTTATCAGACACGAGGAATGTTGGTTGACTGTGTACCAAGTTCGCGCTGTCGAGATTTCCCGCAGATATCTGGAGAAGTTAAGGGAGATTATCATTTTACAAAGCATCTGCTGAGATTCACAGTCAGACTGCGGCACGTGTCATAGTCTCCTTGGCCTCCTTGTCTTTCTTCTGTGCCTCCCTCTCCGCCTTCCTCATCTCCCTCAGATCAGGCGGCTTCTCGATACCCAGCCTTGTTCTCAGCTGATCTATGTCTGTCTCCAGCTCCTCTTCCCAATATATATTGATAACGTCGTCGCTTTGCGCTCCATTCCTGGTTGCCCACGGTCCGTATATATCCCAGAATCTCCTCCATTCGGCCTTCTTCAGTGTGAACGCACTGAAAACTGCCAATCCGGTCATTGGAAGCCCAGTGTTGGCGAACTCAAAGGCTTTGAGCGCGACTTCGCCCTCCCGAAAGACTGGCAGCCCGACCAGCGCGTGGTAGAAGTCGTGACACTCGCGATATCGCTGCATGACGTATGCGCATTCTTCATCGTCTATGTATTGTACGGTCGCTCGTGTATCAGGGGAGACGCCTTCGCGGTCGAGCCATAGAGCGTACACATAGCCCAGGGTATTTGGTGGCAACTGGCGTAAACGTGGGATATCGAGGGACGTGGAGGTCAATCGTGGTCGATCGCGTAAGATTCGACGTCCTGTAGGGTTCAGAAGCATGCGATCACGAAGTTTGTATATAAAGTGAGGCTGAGCAGTGGCTTCGCCAAATGAGGCAATGAGGTCTGAGCGCGTCAGTGAATTGGCGCCTCTCAGTGTAGAGATGACCGCTTACCAGCGCGCCGAGGGTCCAAAAAGCTTCCAAGGCCTGATCCGACTGCGAGTCCCAGTCTCTCTATGACCGTCAATGGTATGTGTCCCTCATAGTTGGGTGGTGGTCGATTGAGCACCGAGAAGCAGCGCGCATGAGGCGGCAGTATGCACCTCGAGGGTGTTGATACTGACCCAGCTAGCTTCCGTAAGTCTCCAACACACACGCGCTTTGCCATGATGTGCTTGTGCTAAGTTTGAAGCTCCATGAGGTCAGACGAGATGGCATGACGCGATGGTATGCTTGTTATCGATAAGAAAACAACGCCACATGCACCAGCCACAGCACATCATTTGCTGAACAATGACTCCAAATGTTTGTCCCTCCACACTCTCAACATCACTTTACTCATTTGTGAGATTTTGCCTTCGCACTTGACTGTCTGGTGCCGGAATACAAAGGCTTCAGCTGTGGATCAATTACCATCCTAGTCAAGAAGCCTTCACTATGGCGGCGGCACTCGATCCCGGAGAACAACACACCAAATTCGTCGCATGGGCCGAAGAAAATGGTGTAGATATCAACGGAATTGCTCCAGCTAGATTTGCGGATCGCGGGATGGGTATTGTAGCGGCCAAAGACATCAAAGTACGTTCACCCTCAATCTCAATATAGAAGTATTTCACTTCTCTACATCAACCATTTACTAAGCTTTCAAGAAAGGAGACCGCTTAGTACATGTTCGGAATACCTCTCTAGTTCATCTGGCACTACCCACGATCCGGAGTCTCAAGCTTCCCGAAAATGTCCCCGTTCATGGCAGGTTGGCTGCTGCACTGGCACTCTGGTATTCAGATAAAGAACACCAACAATACACACTCTGGCATGATGTATGGCCGACTGATTCCGACTTCCGTGCTACTATGCCATTCTATTATGCCAAGGAGCTTCAGGACCTCCTCCCGCATGCCGCCACGCTTCTGTTGAACAACCAATGTACCAAGCTGGAGAAGGACTGGAAAGACCTTCATCCGCATATTCCCGCAATATCGAAGGATCTGTTCACGTACACTTGGCTCATTGTAAACACGCGAACCTTCTATTGGGAGTACCCTGATCTACCCAACTCGCATCCACGATTACCAAAGAAGCGAAAGCAGCTTACGGCCGACGACTGTTACGCCATGTGTCCATTTATGGACTACTTCAACCATTCTGATGTAGGATGCGACCCAGAGAGCGACAGCAAAGGCTACAGCGTCACTGCAGATCGCGAATACAAGGCTGGCGAAGAAGTTTTTGTGAGTTACGGAGCACATACGAACGATTTCTTACTTGTGGAGTACGGCTTCATCCTTGACAGCAATCGGAACGATGCGATACCGCTCGACCATCTTATCTTACCACTCCTCAGTAATGACCAAGCGAGTGCTTTGAAAGAAGATGGCTTTCACGGTAACTACACTCTTTTCACGAAGGAACCTACGATATGTCACCGCACGCAGGCAGTACTTCGACTTCTTTTGCTAGACAACAGGCGCTATTCCGCTTTCGTCGGCGGTGACGATGATGGAAGCAAGGATCAAGTGCGCGTCAATGAGTATCTCGCAGGCATACTTACGAAGTACTCGAGGCAGATCATTGACACACTTGAAGAGCTGGAGCGGCTTCAAGTCAGAAGCAGTGAGCAGAAGGGCAAGAGCGGACAGTCCAAGGTCACCAAGGGCGAGAAGAGCTTAGTCGAACCTGAGCATCGAGACGTTTTGCTGAGGCGATGGAAACAGATCCGTGACCTCGTCAACACCGCAATTAGCAATCTACAAGCATAGCCCGTTTGGGCAAAGACCGATATCGATTTCTGACAAGAAACTTGAATAATGTGGATTTTTTATCGGTGGATTGCATAAGATATTTTATGGACCGTCCTCGACGCAGTGTCCTAACGTGGACGAGGCGTGGCTCGGCGAGTCTCAACAGTTAACCACGTAGAGGGTGAGAGTTGGAAGGTTCAAAAACTCCCCAGCATTATAATTTTCAGTCGTGATACATGCGTGCGTTTTCTAACGACTTCACGTAAAGTATCGCAAAGGCAACTTGCATCCACTATCCGAACTTCCGATTTTTTCACAACGCGAAGGCTCTTACCCAACCCCATCAATCACTTCTCCAGAATCAAGCACTCACACATAGCCAACTTCATCCCTAATCTAAGCTCTGGAATATTACTTCTGCTTTGAGATCAGGCACCCAACTCCCGTTCGGCATGCACACAGGCTGTGGCCTAGTATGCCCTTCCTTCAACTTCAGCCGATACCTCGTCAACACATGCACCAAGCACACTTTGATAGTATTGTTCGCCCAGAAACGTCCAGGACACGCCTGTGTTCCGTCGCCAAAGTTCGGATCCATGGGCCCTGTCGAAACGAACTGGTGGCGATGCTCAGCACCAGGCTGTTCGCGCTTGTTCAAGAAGCGGTGCGGGTCGTAGCGCGTGGGCGCGGGAAAGAGTGCAGACGAGTTGTTTATGTGGTGCACATCGACGCAGAAGATGGTGCCCGCGGGCAGCTTGGGACCTGTAGAGAGCTGCAGGGGCTTGCGAGTGATGCGGTAGAGTGAGACTGTTTGGATTCGTGGTCAGGACGACGAAATATGAAGGGCTGGCTGGTAGCTTACATAGTGCAAATGGATTGACACGGAAGGACTCCCGCATGACGCTGTCCATTTTGCGCAGCTCAGTGAGGCTTGTGGAGGGCAGTTGACCGTCGGTTGTATTGTCTGCAATCTCCTGGCGCAATTCGTCCTGGAGTTCAGGCCGCGAGGCGAGCTGAAATAAGATATAATAAATAGTAAGAGCGGTACTTATCGTGGATTCAAACGCGGTGACGATTTGATCGGTGGCCAGCTGGCGTGGAGTGGCTTCTCCAGGACCATAGCGCGAGATGAGCCACTTGTGGTACGGAAGTCTTTGTCCCTCTTTTACCTTGAGCTGCTCCTTCTTGTCGTCAGTCTTGCTCCATTCATCCAGGTCTTGCTTTATGATTGGCTCCAGGATACGACGCATGTCGCGTTGTACTTTAAAGTGGGGCAGGAAGAAGAGTGGTTCCAAGAATGGTCGGAACAGACGAGGAGTCCAGGTCAGAAAAATGACGGCGAAATACACAGTCATGGGCAACTGGGCGACTAGCTCGTGCCAGCGTCCACCAGCAACCTCGCGGCCTACGAAAGAGGCTCCATTGGTCAACGCAACGACCTTCATCATCACATCGAAGACATTGAAGGATTTTTCATCCGGACAATAGCCAACGTATCTTTGGAGCAAGGTTAGTAAATAAACATGCTGAGCATGGTAACAAACTCACCGGTCAAAAGCCGTCCGCGCATCCTTTTGTTTCGTGCTCACGACCGGTGCCCCTGCGCGAGCCAAGTCGATTCCAATCGTCTTCCACAGCGCTGGTGTTTCGGTGCCCACACTTGTCCAATACCCGTGTGTAGCATCATAAAAGAAATCCTGCGCGCTGGCCTCTTCCTCGCTGAGACGCTTGATCTCGTCAAAGTTGCTGGGAGGGTATACAACGAATGGTTTGCCCGATGAATTGACAATGAATGGCTGATCTGGGTACTAGACGAGCAAGTACTGGTCAGTTTTGATCAGACTGTTCAAGAAAGGGTCTTTTAGCTCACCATTTGTCTTCCGCGTTCGATCACAGTTGCAAAATCCTTTTTCAGAGTCCTCGATCCTCCGATTAGAGGAAGGCCAAGCTTCTTGTCCAGTCGTTTAGGTCGGGTCAAGACTGATACTGCCCAGAACAACCCGGCAACAAATAGTAGGGCAGCTATTTTAGCTGCAACTGGGTTATCGCGATGTATTTGAGCAGCCAATAACTTGACTAGCTGCCATCGAGACAACCTCATGGGGGCGAAAGCTTGGCGCATTATTTGCCATTGTTCGATCAATGATTCCAGCATGATTGTTGTAATGGTAGTTGAGGCAATGAATTGAATGATATCTGCATCTATCACTCCAGTGTAAACAAAGGCATAGTCTCGGTCATTTGAGGCTTACACTGCCAGGGCGAAGTACAGCTCGCTAGCTTTCGGGTTGATGCAGTGATCCTGCATGTGAGACCGAAGCGTGGGTCTTCGGTACTGTACCACGCATCCGATTTCCGAAGACCAATCAACTCCCCCAAGCCCCTCCGAACTCCTGGAAACGCCATTGTGGACTGAGAAGAGAGGCTATCCCAAGGAAGTCGGCTTTGGCGAAATCCGAACTTAGGTTGATGCGGAGCCAACGATAGACAAGCTGATCTAAACTGTGGACGAACATGGCAAGTGGTTGTCAAAGTACACAGATTTAAATCCTGCCTCGCGACAGTAATGGGAGAATCTGGATTTATTCTATGCATCTATGAAATTTGGTTCTTCAAAGTCGACAATCATCACTGCGGGCTTGGGCAACACCACGCGCAAGGCTTCAGTCCAGCATTTTGTTCACCTTGTCTATCAAGCAGCGAACCGAGATCATGCCTGCACAAAGCTATCATTAGCAATCGTTTCCATACAGCGTTGCTCACGGAAACTCACCTGTCTCTTCCCCGGGTGAGTATTGTAGTCCCTCTTGTTGAAGGACTGTCTCCAGTAATGCCTGGAAAGTGGAGTCGGACAGCATATTTTGCAGTGCTTTCTCGACAGAGTCGAGCATATAAGAGCTGACCTGGGTCAGAATCTTAATTTGCAGACTGGGGTGATTCTGGAGCACGAATCCATTGATTTCCAACCCAGGTACTGTCTGCGGCAGTTTGATGGCTGGAGCCAAGGATGGTGAGCATTCCAGTGTGTGGCAAATGACAAAGAATACGGTCTCGTAAATCCAGAGAAGGTTGGTGTAACACAGTAAAACTGCTGCTTTTGCGGTCATGTCCGGTTTCCTGGCAAGCCCGTAGGTGAGATTGTCGCCAAGCCAAGACCCGAAAGAGAGGGGATTTGGCGACTCGTTTCGACGCTCCAGATACGAATGCAGAATTCTCCATCTCCTGTCCAGTTGCGTAGCTTCACTAGAGTTTTTGGAACCATCGACGGCTTCGGCGAGAAGACCAAAGTCGTGGGCATCGACACGCAGTGAAAGACCGACAAACGGAGGCGCGGATTGAGCTGGCTCATTGAACCGCTTCATAATATCGAGAAACTTCTCCGAGCCTTGCAGCATTCTCCCAATGGCGCTTTCCTGGCTTGATGACCCATCTAGGGTCTTGAAGAGGTACTCGTCAGGGCCTTTGTTTGAGCGCGTGAACAGGAACGAGCTTGCTAGCTTACAGTCGACGACGGTATGGAGGTCCTTGGTCAAGGTTGAGCTGAGCTCATTTAGCTCTTGTATGCATGCATCTCTAACTCCCGTAGTCGAGTCTTTTGAGCTGTCATTGGATGCAGTTGAATGTGTGCGATGCGAGCTGGCCATCGTGGGGGGATGTATTGGAGCGACAGGATGATGCATAAATTCCACTGAAGCAACATGGCTGCGCTCGTCTGCAGGTAGATGGGCGTGTACCGGCGCACCGGTGCAGTCTTTCTCGAAATCCGAATTACATTGTTCGCCAGGCATGTCGAAACGAGGGCTGAAATCAAATTCATGGCCCGGTAGAAACGGGTTGGCCACTGCAGTCGTCCCTTGACTCGTGGGTGTGATAGTATGTACTCTACCATCTCCAGGCCCATCTTGGTCATCTGCTGCGCCTCTACTGCCACTGCCACTGCCACTGCTTCTATCTGCAAAGTCAAGCTCGTGGTTACTGTCACACGCAGAATCGAGCATTGCAGAGTCGAACATGTCTAGCCATGGTACTGATGACAGGTGTAATGCATCGCCTTGTTCGGTATCGCCAAGGCCGGTGGCCCATGCAAGTGCTTGTTGTGGAGGCATTGAAAGTGCAGGAGCAGCTGTCGTGAGACTTGCTGAGCTGGTTGCTCCTGGCAGCTTGTGTCCTTGAGACGACCTGTTCAGCCTGGCCGGCACGGGCCGCGTAGACGAACCGATTGTACACTTCTCTCGTGCTTTTCGACACCGCTGACATGGGCTGTCAACAGTCATCTGGTCGCGGATGCAGCGGAGCTTGTGGCCCCGGCATCGGTCGCAGGCATAGCGGCGGGAGAAGTTGAAGGGCGCTTGTGGTGCCACCTCCGTCCCACGCTGTACAGCTGCGAATGGATAAGGCTGTGCCTGACCTTCCATTTCGGCGATTGTGCGTTAACGTAATGTAGTCCTTGTCGAAATGTCGGAGGTTGGGTGCGAAGGGGAGGATACACAACCTTAACATATTGTATACGCGTGGCTGCCCCAGGTTTGAGGACCCCCTTCCTCAAGCTGGTGGCTGACTGCAGCAGCAGGCCAGTGCCCGGGCGTGTATGCCGTCAGGCCATGCAGCCACCCTTTCAATAAAGGATTCTTCCGGACGAGAAATCGCCGTGTGCTTACAGAGCATGCAAATGTCGCAACATCATGTTCGCGTAACGTTGTAAATCACGAGCGCTATAGCCTGCAGAATATTCCGTGTGTTGAGACCTACTGGCTAACACCATAGATGTGAGGGCAGTCTGACTCCACATTTGGGATGGAAGCTGCTAAGATCCCACGGGGTCCAATTAGCTTGGCAGTTGTCCGCCGCTGGCCCCGCATTCCGCCCGAGCCTTGGAAATCCACTTAACTACCCGACTTGATTGAACGTCGTCTTGCTTGCACCAAACCTCAGGATTCGCCTTGTGCTTCACCTTGCGCTCGTCGCTTAGGAAAGTCAATTAAGTGGACTCCTACCGCAACGCTACGATGTATTTGGTTGCAACTCCGCAGATAAGTGTAGGACTTCCTCCCCTCACTGTTGGACCTAGGGTCGAAAGGACGCTTACCGCTGCCAGCTCTAACCGTACCTGGCTCATTCACTGTCTCAAAAGACTACTCCTCGCATACAATGCAGAATTGCGTTCTCCAGCTGCAAGCCACTACTAAGCTGACACGACTCCGTCCGCCCGGAGGATTTAGCCATATGGCAGCCTGCTGCATCGGGTACCATCAACATACTCCGGCGAGTGTATGGCTCCTTGAACAAGATACAACAATAGCATGTCTATTATGTTGGAGCTCCTGTATATAGGAGGCACGAGCATAGTGAGAGTTCTTCTAAGGAGGTGAAACCGTCCATGCCAGCGTTGAAGATGAGGTGCGAAATCCAGAAAGGACACATGACAAGGAGAAGACGTGAATTGTGCCCACATCATGGGCAGCTGGTTGGGCACAGGTTGGAATGAAACATGGCACTTCGCATCTTGTGCTCGAGTATCCCGCTGTGGCGCGACCGCAACGGCAACGGACCGACCCTCGGAAGTATCCATGGGGCGATGCCTATGCACCTTTTACGCCTCATCACCACTAGCATGATGTTTCACTGATGGTAGTTGCGGTAATGTCTATGCCTATTCGGCGAGCTCCAGGATTGGACGACTGTAAGGAAGTAACAGCGAGGCGCCTTACAATCTGCTGGTAAAAATCTCCATTCCTGACTTCTCGTCCGCAAAGGGTCCGCAAATGCTGTCTCGACTTCGGATGCCTTGCATAGTGCAGGCACGCATACTCGGCACCGGTGGTGACATTCGCGAATTCCGAATGACAGGATCGTGGCGAATAGCCGATGCGGCTGACTATTGAGTACACCATTCGGCACCATGCTGAATCAAGCCATATCGTTCGGTACCCAATTGGGCCTGTGGCGGGCCTAACTATCCAGAGTCAGCGTGTTTAGCGCTCAGAAACAGCAGACGTAAAAGGAAGATGCCGGTGATATGGTTGAGTAAACGCGATATCAACAACCTTCATTTCTTTGGAGTTCAACGATTGGAATCGAGCTCATAAATTGTACTCTCTCCATCCATATCTGTAATGGGGTCATCAAGTAAAGATTACACAAACGAGCCAATCGCCATCGTCGGCTCAGCATGTCGCTTCCCTGGTGGAGCAAGTGAACCGTCCAAGCTATGGGACCTCCTTGAACACCCAACTGATGTATTGAAGGAAATTCCAGAAAGCAGATTCAGTGTCGATGGGTTCTACCATCCTAATGGCTTACACCATGGTACCACTAATGTGCGCCACTCGTACATCCTGGACGATGATATCCGGCTCTTCGACGCGCAATTCTTTGGGATAAAGCCGATCGAGGCTAATTCGATCGATCCCCAGCAGCGCTTGTTGATGGAGACAGTGTACGAGGGATTAGAAGCAGCCGGTCAGAGTATCCAGAGACTGCAGGGATCACAAACAGCTGTCTATGTTGGCCTCATGTCATCGGATTACAAAGATTTACTCGGCAACGATCAAGAGAGCTACCCAACGTACTTCGCAACGGGAACGGCAGCGTCAATCTTATCAAACCGTGTATCATATTTTTTCGACTGGCATGGTCCCTCTATGACAATAGATACCGCCTGCTCCTCTAGTTTAGTGGCCTTGCATCAGGCTGTGCAACTACTGCGTTCCGGAGATGGTACCAACGTGGCACTGGCAGCAGGGACCAATCTCTTGCTCAACCCCGACCAATACATTGCCGAATCCAAGCTGAAGATGTTGAGTCCGGACGGTAGAAGTCGCATGTGGGACGAGAAAGCGAACGGATACGCCCGTGGCGATGGAATAGCTGTGGTAGTGCTGAAACGGCTGTCGCAGGCTCTGGAAGATGGAGATCACATAGAATGTTTGATTCGGGAGACCCAGATCAACCAGGATGGAAAGACAAAGGGAATCACTATGCCTAGTGCAACCGCCCAAACTGCTCTCATCCGCGCAACATACGCGAAGGCAGGATTGGATCTATCCAAACCGAGCGATAGGCCTCAGTACTTTGAGGCTCATGGAACCGGAACACCTGCAGGTTTGTTGACCTACGCTTTGTACAGATTGTAGACGGCGAGAACTAACGTTGAGTTTAGGTGATCCCATTGAGGCGGAGGCCATCCACACTGCCTTTTTTGGCGGAGATCTAGGAGAAGCAGGACACGACAAGCTCTTTGTAGGAAGCATAAAAACAGTCATTGGACACACTGAAGGAACAGCCGGCTTAGCAGCGGTCCTGAAGGCGAGCCTGGCTTTACAAAATCGCGCCGTGCCTCCAAATCGACTCTTCGACCGTCTCAACTCAAAGATTCGCCCATTTTATGGTGATCTTGAGATTCTCACAAAGGCTCAAGAATGGCCGGTTCTTGTTCCAGGCTCAGTAGCACGCGCTTCGGTCAATTCTTTTGGATTCGGTGGAGCAAATGCTCATGCCATTCTTGAAGCTTACGAGCCCCCATCGCTTGTATCCGACGACGTCCTCGTCACTCCACTCGCCCCGGTGCAATTTTCAGCCGCTTCCGAGACCGCTCTGCGAGGGACGCTACGCAAGTATGCTGAATTTCTCGAAAAGAACCAAGACGTCAATCTACGTGACTTGGCATGGACCTTGAACACTCGTCGCTCGGTCCTGGCAGCGCGTACTGCCGTGTTTGGTGCTAATGCACTCGATCTAGCCCATGAGCTACAGAAAAGAGCTGAAGCCGACGTCGCCACCCTGATTCCTGTAGCTTCACGATCTTTGCCTGCCAAACCTCGCATCCTTGGCGTGTTCACTGGCCAAGGTGCACAATGGGCACGTATGGGTGCCGAACTACTAGATGCCTCTCCCGCTGTCGACCGCATTATCTCAGAGCTGGAGAAGAGCCTCTCAACTCTTCCAGATGGTCCCGAATGGTCCGTCAAGGGCGAGATTCTTGCCACTGGCGGTGCGTCTCGAGTCGCGGAAGCTGCTATAAGCCAGCCGCTCTGCACGGCGGTCCAGATTGTCTTGGTAGATCTACTCAAAAGCGCCGGCATAAATTTTGAGGCTGTGGTGGGGCACTCTTCTGGAGAGATGGGTGCCGCGTACGCAGCGGGCTACCTTTCGGCCCAGGACGCCATCAGGGTTGCTTATTACCGTGGACGTCACCTTCATCTTGCTGGAGGTCTTGGTGGCGAGCAAGGCGGTATGATGGCCGTTGGTACATCGTTTGAGGACGCCGAGGAACTCTGCAGCCTTCCAGAATTTCAAGGTCGCATTGGCGTTGCCGCGATCAATTCAGGCGCAAGTGTCACCTTGTCAGGAGATCTAGACACGATCGAGGCCGCCAAGGAGATATTGGACGACGAAAAGAAATTTGCACGCTTGCTCAAAGTCGACAAGGCATACCACTCGCATCACATGATTGCCTGCTCTGATGCCTACAGAAAGTCTCTGGCAGATTGTAGCATCAAGGTGCTGCGCCCGTCACGCGGCAGTGCAACATGGCTTTCCAGTGTCTATGGGGAGGACATTGTAGACTACAGAAAGGAGCTTACCAGCGAATATTGGATCAACAACATGGTCCGACCAGTTCTGTTTTCACAGGCTGTCGAATTTGCTGCCGCTGAGAAGGGACCCTTTGATTGTGCTATCGAGGTAGGTCCTCATCCTGCACTGAAAGGTCCTGCGCTTCAGGTCTTGCAGGAGTTCCTGGGAAATTCGATCCCATACACCGGTCTTTTAAGCCGCGACAGAGATGATAAGAAGGCTTTTGCCGAAGGATTGGGATACCTATGGCAAGCCTTTGGCGAGAATGCAATCGATCACAAGTCGTTTGATACATTCGTGGCTGGAGCTTCTGCACCTTTACCTCAGATTACGTCCAATCTTCCCACTTACGCTTGGGATCATGATCGCCGATTCTGGCACGAGTCAAGACAATATGCAGCCAATCGTACCAAGCCAGATCCTACCCATGAGCTTCTGGGTACTAAATGTCCTGACGGAACGGAACAGCAATGTCGCTGGAGGAATATGTTAAGGCCACAAGAAATCCCCTGGTTAGCTGGTCACCAAATCCAAGGACAGATGGTTTTCCCAGCCGCTGGTTATGTATCAGCAGCGGTAGAGGCCGTGAAGTTTTCGAACGAGGGGTTGCCCATCACGACAATCGAGATCGAAGACTTCGTTATTGGACAAGCGATCATATTCAATGACGATTATGCTAGCGTTGAGACACAGTTTACGCTCACTAACATTGTCTCGGATCACATGAGCTGGTCAGCCTCCTTCGCATTCTACTCTGCTTCCCAAAAGCATTCTCTTGGGATGGATCTCAATGCTTCCGGAAGAATTTCTGCGTTGTTTGGGCCGCCTAAGGATGATGTCTTACCCCCGAGCACTGGTCGCGAGCTCAACATGATCGATGTAGATCCAGAACAATTCTACAATTCATTGTCGAAGCTTGGCTTCGGTTATACTGGCGCATTCAAAGCTCTCAGAAATTTGTACAGGAAGATGGATGTTGCTATGGGCGAAATCCAGAATCCCCGCAGCACGGATCCTGCATACAATTTGCTGCTCCACCCGGCTACGTTCGACAACGCCATCCAGTCGATCATCCTCGCTTACTGCTATCCTGGCGACGGGAGACTTTGGTCAGTTCATCTGCCTACTAGCATCAAGAAAATCAGGATCAATCCTTCGTTGTGCGAGAATAGCGCAGGTCAAGAAGCTGTGCTCCATTTCAAGTCGACCATCACGAGCGGCCGGTCTACCGAGATTCAGGGTGATGTCGAGCTGTACGATACCAATGGGGTGAACTCAATCATGCAATTAGAGGGCTTACACACGAAGCCATTGGGTCATGCCACTCCGGAAAACGACCGTACTCTCTTCCTGGAAACGATCTGGGATACAGCTGAGCCTACGAAGGAGCTGGCTCTCCTTGCACAGCCTGATATCAGCAAAAAAGCACAGCTTGGCCTCGATATCGAAAGAGTGGCCTTTTACTACATCAGAAATCTCGGCCATGTTACCACCAAAGCTGATCGCGAACAAGCGGAAGACTACCACAAACACTTCTTCAATTATATCGACCATACTGTCGTTAGCGTGAATAATGGAACGTCACTTTTTGCCAAGAAGGAATGGATGCACGATACCCACGAGCAAGTACTGGACATAATCAAGAGCTATCCTGAAAGCATCGACATGAAACTCATGTACGCAGTAGGAGAGCACCTATTGCCAGTCATCCGACATGAGACAACTATGCTTGAATACATGCGAGAGGACGATATGCTCAATGACTTTTACGTCAAAGCATTGGGCTTCGATGAGTACACAGAAACCATGGCCGACCAAGTCTGTCAACTCGCTCATCGATATCCTCACATGAATGTGTTGGAAATTGGTGCAGGAACTGGCGGTGCCACCAAACGCATCTTCAAGAAGCTTGGTAAACGATTCAGCTCCTACACGTATACCGATATTTCAACTGGTTTCTTTGAGAAGGCGAGAGAAGTATTTTCCGAAGTAGAATCGAAGATGACCTTCAAAGCGCTCAACATCGAAAAGGATCCTATCGCCCAGGGATACACCGAAGGATCGTATGACCTAATCGTTGCTTCCCTGGTGCTCCATGCCACCCATGTCATGGAAGACACGATGCGAAACGTGAGACGCTTACTCAAGCCTGGCGGTTACCTCATTATGCTCGAACTTGGGGACTATGTCGATATGCGAACAGGTCTCATGTTTGGACCACTTCCAGGTTGGTGGATGGGATATGACGATGGCCGCAAATTGTCTCCGACTATGTCCGAAGACGACTGGGATAAATGTATGAAAAAGGTCGGATTCTCGGGAGTCGACGCCATTGTTCCTAGGCAGGAGCATGTCCCAATCTCGTTGGCCATCATGACTGCCCAAGCGGTTGACGAGCATGTTGAGTTCATTCGCAACCCGTTTGCATCGGATGGAATGTTCCTTCTTGGCCACCACTTGACCCTCATTGGAGGCAGCACAGACAAGACTGCGAAGTTACTGGAGGCGGCTCTCCCATATCTTAGGTCTTTCTACAAACACGTCACCACAGTGAAAAGCCTCGCGAGCCTCAGCACGATCGAGCTGCCTTTCATGGGCAGTGTGATCTGCCTTGAAGACCTGGACGTGGCCGTCTTCGAGAACCTCAGTACGGAAACGCTACAGGGCGTTCAACACCTTTTTACGAAGTCCAAAAGCTGTCTGTGGGTCACGCAAGGGCGTAAGGATGACAATCCATACCAGAATATGACTGTGGGGCTTGGTAGGGTTGCCACGTTGGAGATGACGCACTTACGTCTTCAGTCTCTCGATTTCGATGTCATCGATAGCTCCACTGCTGTAATAATGGCCAAATCGCTCTTACGTTTCGAAGCTACCGAGGCCTGGGAGCAACAGGGCTTAGCTAAGAACTTGCTGTGGTCGGTGGAACCCGAAATGTCATACGAAAAGGGCAGCTTCAGAGTTCCTCGTCTGATTCCCAACCACGCTCGGAACAATCGCTACAACTCAAGCCGGCGCCTCATCACTCAGAATAAGGATCCCCGAACTTCGACCATTGGTTTGCGATGGACTAGTAAGGGCTATGAAATCCACAACGAAAGTCCGGCAAGCTCCGGTCTTGCTTTCGATGGCCGGGTGGAGCTTCAAGTCAGCCACTCCAGCCTCGAAGCCATTCGTATCACAAAGGCCGACTACGCTTACCTGGTACTGGGGACAAATCTTCGGACCAAAGAGCAGGCATTTGCCATCACGCCAGACAGACATTCCATCGTTCGTGTCTTCGACTCCTGGACTGTTCCCTATACGATGACCACTGAAGAAGCTCTTCGCCTACTGCCTCTTGTCCAAGATCACCTTATGGCCCTTGCAACCATGTCTGACTTCTCGAGTGGAGAGGCGCTGATCCTTATCGAGCCGAGATGGAGATTTGCTAGACTCCTGTCAAACCTCGCCCAAGAAAAGGGTGTCAAGCTTATCTTGTTGACTACAAGACTGGACATAAAAGACCAGGATTGGATCACCCTACATCCGAATGCTCCGCGCCGCATCATACAGTCGCACATGCCCAAGACTGCTTCTCGCCTGATTAGCTGTACAGACGATCTTGAGTTTGAGGCAAATGTCAAGGCATGCTTGCCTCCGAATTGCAAAATGCAGCGAACAGAAATCTTTTCTTCCCGGGTTTCCAAGTTGGACTCGTTCTCATCCATGGCGTTCATTCCGTCAAGTCTCCGTTCAGCATTTGTTCGTGCGCATCATGAGTCCAGTCCCGGCGATAAAGAATCCATAGCGTCAGTTTCTGACATTGTTTCTCGTGGAAAACCCGCGAAAGCCACCTTCTTCAGTTGGGATTCTAGTCCAACTATCCCAGTACAAATTACTCCTGTAGATCTTGAGCCTCTGTTTTCGTCAGATAAAACCTACTGGCTTGTCGGACTCACGGGAGGTCTTGGACTATCACTCTGCGAATGGATGATACAACGTGGTGCCAAATACGTGGTACTCACGAGCCGCAACCCGCAGGTGGATGCAAAGTGGGAAGCTCACATGAAGGCTCACGATGCAGTCGTACGGATCTACGCCAACGATGTCACAGACAGAGACTCCGTGAGGTCAGTCTACAAGCAGATTCGTGATGAACTTCCCCCGATTGGAGGTGTTGCGCAAGGCGCCATGGTGCTATCTGATGCCATGTTTGTGGATATGGGCCTCGAGCGTGTGTGTAAAGTCGTGGAGCCAAAGGTCAAAGGTGCTATCCACCTGGAAGAGCTGTTCTCAGAGGCCGATCTCGAATTTTTTGTTTTCTTCTCCTCCATGGCATATGTAACGGGAAATCAAGGTCAGTCGATCTACGCTGCGGCAAACGCATACATGGCCGCCCTGGCTGCTCAACGCAAGAAGAGAGGTCTTGCGGGTTCCGTCATCAACATTGGAGCAATTGTCGGGAATGGCTATGTCACTAGGCAATTGACCGACGAACAGCGCGATTACCTAGCCCATATGGGTAACGTCTTCATGTCTGAGCAGGATTTCCACCAAATCTTCGCCGAAGGTGTGGTAGCAGGAAGGCCAGGCAACGACGATATCCCAGAGATAATGACAGGTCTTGGTCTTGCGCACATGGATGATTCGGACAAAGTCACTTGGTTCAATAACCCGAAATTCTCTCACTGCGTTCTGTGGCCCGATGATCAGGGAGCTGCTGTCGGCATGTCCAAACAAAACGTCACAGTCAAATCTCGCTTGTTGCTTGCAACTACGGCAGATGAAGTCAACGAGGCAATACAAGGTGTGTGTATGAAAGCTTGCTGTTCGGGCCTAGCGCTAATTGTTACACAGAGAGCTTCACGATGAAATTGAGATCTTCGCTGCAAATCGAAGATTCTGTTGCTATCCTCAAGATGAACGCTGAAGAGCTAGGATTGGACTCCCTCGTTGCTGTAGATCTTCGCAGTTGGTTCGTGAAAGAGTTAAATGTCGAGATGCCCGTTCTCAAGATCTTAGGAGGCTTCACGGTAGCGGAGCTTGTCTCTGCTGCCCAGGAGCAGCTCCCAGCAAGCTTGACTCCAAACTTCGGAAAGGAGATCGACCCAGCGTTGAAGGCTGCAGCTATGCTTGAGAAAGCAGCCAAGACCGAAACCGTTCCGAGAATCACGAATGAAGCCAATACCGCTGCATACCGCGAAGAAGTAGATGAAGAAGAACAAGAAGAAGACGAAGCAGACAACCGACCGAATTTCTTCTCGTCGGCGAGCAAGGATGCTACTCAATCCTCAGAACGCTTTGCAATAGATGCAAGCCATATTTCCAAATCCAGAGAAGTGGCGTTTAAAGCAACTCTGCTGGCACCGCCAGCGACCAGATCCAAAACGAGCAGCTCTTCTAGTTCATTCACTTCCGACCCAGAGAACGACTTCATGATGAAATCTCAGATGTCAGCTGCAACGCCATTGTCTTCATACAACGACGAGTACATCACAGCAGAAGATATCAAGTTTGAGAGAGTGTCTCCCATGTCCTTCGGTCAGGCTCGATTCTGGTTTTTGAAGTTTTACCTCCAAGACCAGACTACATTCAACATCACGACATCAATCCGTTTATCTGGTCGTTTGAACGTCGAGACCTTCGCAAATGCCGTGCAAGCTGTTGGACGGCGTCACGAAGGACTGAGAACTGCGTTCTTTACAGACAGACATAACCAGCCCATGCAGGGTATCCTTCATCAATCTGTTCTCCATCTGGAGCATTTACGAGTCTCATCCCAGGAAGCTATTGACATTGAGTACGCGAAGACAAAGAACCACGTATACAACATTGGTGGCGGAGAGACGATGAAGATCATATTACTCTCTTTAGCTGATGATCTTTACCAGATTATCATTGGGTACCACCACATCAACATGGATGGAATGAGCCTTGAAGTCATTCTCAGTGACCTTCAGAAGGTATACAATCAGCAGCAGCTTGCTCGCGTTGTCCCTCAGTATCTGGACTTCTCCGAGTCTCAACGTCGAGAGCACTCGACCGGGAAATGGGGTAAAGAAATATCGTTCTGGAAAGGCGAGTTTGCCGACATACCAGCGCCTTTACCCATACTACCCATGTCGAAGAAGTCAAATCGATCACCCCTTACCAAGTATGCCTCCAATACTGTCAAATTCAAGATTGATGCCGCCACTTCGGCTCAAATTCAAATCGCCTGCAAACGTGCCAAGGCCTCTCCATTCAACTTCTACCTTGCGGCTTTCAAAACTCTGCTCTACCGAACTGCAGGAGAGGAGCAAAACGATATTTGTATTGGCATAGCTGATGGAGGGCGCAACAGTGAGCACGTCGAAGAAAGCGTGGGATTCTTCCTGAACATTCTCCCTCTGCGCTTCAAGCAAGACTCTGCTCAAACCTTTTTGGAAGCCCTAAGAGACGCTCGTTCGAAGGTGGTCGCAGCGCTAGCCAACAGTCGAGTGCCATTTGACGTCATCTTGAACGAGGTCAATGCTCCTAGAGCTGCTACTCATAACCCACTGTTTCAGGCGTTCATCAACTACAGACAAGGTGTACAGGAAAGGCGACAGTTCTGCGGTTGTGACAGTGAGGCTACGCAATTCGATGGAAGCCAAACGGCCTACGATATCAGCATTGATATTCTCGCTAATCCAGGTGCCGATAGCACCGTGTATATCTCCGGCCAGAGCGATCTGTACAGTGAGGAGAACGTGAAGCTCCTCGCCCATAGCTACCTCGCTTTGATCAAATCCTTTGCTAAGAATCCAGCTTCTCGTCTGGGACGCCCTCCGCTCTATGATCCCCAAGACACCCACCGTGCTCTTGACGTCGGCGTCGGCCCCGAACTGACTGATACCTGGCCAAACACTTTGGTGGACCGTGTCGACGAAATGGCATCGCGCTTTGGGTCCCAGATCGCTTTGAAAGGGCCGCGGAACCAGCTCACTTATTCTCAGATGACCGACCGCATTCATTCCATCGCTTCGAGTCTGAAATCCAATAAAATTGGTAATTGCTCCCGTGTTGGCGTGTTGCAGGACCCTTCAACAGATTTCTTTTGCTCTTTGCTGGCCATTCTCCGCATCGGGGCGATCTTCGTTCCCCTGGAACTCCGACTTACCTCCCCGAGGCTAGCTGTGATCGTCGAAGACAGCAACATCGATGCGATAATTTACGACAAAGCCAATCAGAAGGATCTTTTAACTCTAGGAAGTGGGTTTCAAAAAGTCAATGTCTCACTCATACCCGCAAAGAGCACTAGCACTGTTGTGAACGAAGCGCAACCAGGATCACCCGCCGTGATCCTCTATACAAGCGGATCGACCGGCAAGCCAAAGGGAATACTGCTTAGCCACGCTTCATGGCGCAATCAGATTCAGTCTTCCACTCAAGCATTTCGAATACCTCAAGGCACTGGTGTTCACCTTCAGCAAAGTTCCTGGAGCTTCGACATTGCTATATCCCAGACTTTTGTCGCTTTGGCAAACGGTGCTTCACTTTTGATTGTATCCAAGGAACTACGAGGAGACTCCATTGCCATGGCTAGGATGATCGTGTCGGATCGTATTACTCATGTTCAGGCTACGCCCTCCGAGATGGTCAGCTGGCTTCATGATGCTGACGCTAATGCTCTTCGCTCATCGAGTTGGAAGTTCGCAATGAGCGGTGGAGAGAAGATGAATTCAGCGTTGATTGGAGAGTTCAAGGCTCTCGGTAAGAGCGACCTGGCTCTCGTCAATGCCTACGGACCTGCTGAAACTACCCTGGCCGTTGGGAGTGCAGAAATCGATATTCTGGATCCTGGGGCTCTCGACACGGCTTTCCGTCTCTTCCCGAACTACTCTGTGTACATCCTTGACTCGAAGAAGCAGCCAGTTCCTTTGGGTATTTCAGGTGAAGTCTATATTGGTGGTGCTGGTGTGGCAACAGGGTACCTGAACAACGACAACCTTACGAAAGAGCGCTTCTTGCCTGATGACTTTGCACCCGAGCGATACCTCCAGAATGACTGGACAATCATGCATCGCAGTGGCGACCGTGGCAGACTTACCGCAGACGGTCTGGTTCTTGAAGGTCGCGTAGATGGTGATACACAGATCAAATTGAGGGGCATTCGCATTGATCTCCAAGACATTGAGTCAACAATTGTCCAGCACTCAAAAGGAGCGGTGCGCGATGCTGTCGTTTCACTCCGAAAATCTGGCGAGACCCAAATTCTCGCCGCCCACATCGTCCTTTCGGCGGCTTTCTCGGGCAATGCAAAGACCATCCTGGACAGCATTCAGACGTCTTTGCCTCTACCGCAGTACATGCGCCCAGCAACAACATTAGTCGTTAAGACTCTGCCTACAAATTATTCTGGCAAGCTTGATCGGAAAGCTGTCAGTGAGCTGCCACTTCGTCCAGTCTCCAAAACAAGTGTGCCAGTAACAAAGGAAAATAAATCGCCTGAGTCAGAGCTGAGGACTATCTGGAAGCAGGTACTGGGTGACGACATTACCTCATCGCACGAAATTGACTATGAAACTGATTTCTTCCACGTCGGTGGAAATTCGCTAGCCCTGGTCCGGGTCCAAGGAATGCTCAAAGCTGCCTTCAACGTTGAACCTCCTGTCGCCCAGCTTTTCGATAATTCTACATTGGGTGCAATGCTCAATTTGATCAGCCCGGCGAGCCAGACAATGTCAACCGAGCATTCATCATTGTTACCGAATGTTGTCGAGTATAGTCCACAAGCTGCGGCCTCCTCTGGCACGATCGACTGGGAAAAGGAAACCGCATTGACCGACGACCTGTACGATGCAGAGATCAACCCAACTCCCAGAGACCAGGGGCTTGCTTTCAAGACTGTTGCGATCACGGGAGCCAGTGGATTCCTGGGTAAAGAGATCCTGAAGCGCATGGTCGACGATGTGCACATTGATAAGATTCATGCCATTGCGATTCGCCGGCATATATCAGACCTACCTGCCATATTTTCAAATGCCAAGGTTCAAGTACATCGTGGCGATCTCAACGCCCCACGTCTGGGTCTGTCCGAGACTAGGGCAAAGGAAATCTTCGATGAGACCGATACAGTAATCCACAACGGAGCTGACGTGTCCTTCCTGAAGACCTACAAAACCTTATCCAAGACCAACGTCGGAAGTACGCGCGAGCTCGTCAAGCTCTGTCTTCCAAGTCGCATACCCATACACTTCATCTCTTCGGCCAGCGTCGCCCATCTCTCAGGTAGAGCGTCCTTTGGCGAAGAATCAGTTTCAGAATACGAACCCCCACAGGATGGTTCTGATGGATACACAGCTACAAAGTGGGCAAGCGAACGTTTCTTGGAGCTTGTCAGTGAGAAGTTTTCCATTCCGGTATGGATCCATCGTCCGAGCAGTATCACAGGCGCCGAAGCTCCTGCGCTAGATCTCATGACAAACTTGCTCCAGTTCTCCAAGACAATGTCCAAGGTTCCTTATTCGCCAACCTGGAGTGGTACGCTTGACTTCGTTTCTGTTGAGAGTGTTGCACACGACATTGTCGAAGAGGTCAAGAATGATAGTGCGCATTCGAGTGGCATGGTGCGATTCATGTACGAGAGTGGCGATTTGGAGATTGCAGTGCAAGACATGCAAGGTTCTCTAGCAAAGCAGACAGGTGAAGAGTTCGATAAGGTGGATGTAGAGACATGGACGCGTGAAGCTGTCTCTGAGGGTCTGGATGAGCTTGTTGCAGCGTATCTAAGCACTGCAGCGAACCTCCCAATCATGTTCCCAAGGCTGATCAGAGATAATAAGAGGAGGCGGATTGAGCAAAAGGTTCAGGAGCAGCCAAGCCGAGGGTCTTCTTTGAGGGAAGTAGTTGGCAGGTGGCTTTGGTCAAGACAGTAGACGCTAAGTTGAGTTTCCAGTCTAATGCGAGCAGTAACTGTCTGTGACCCAATTTCCTGTATGCAACAATATTGTAGCGTTTTCATTTAATATATTCCAGTTAGTGATATCATCATCATATGCTTGATGAATCAAAACACCGCCCGGCTCGTAATAAGTCATATTTACTTAGGAATATATTCTCATGTGCGTGTTCAAAAGTCACACCAGGCAGCGGTAAAAGCCGTGCTCGCTCTGCAATTATAATCTTAGGGAAGCTTAAATACATACGCAGCTTCAAGATACTCTACCTGATTCTATATGATTCTATTAGAGATCTTTGAATATATACAGGCTACCTCTTCGCGTCTTCTCGTTCACAAAAGGTGGGCAGATATTCTGCCGACGCCTGGTGAGTCTGTATCTTTTCACGTTCAGCCTGATTCACTTTGGTGTGCGCACTTGGCTATATTGGTCGGGCATAGCGAGCTATGGTGCCTGGTCTCAGTGTCAGCTTATGCGTCCTAGTCCGCTCGGGGACTTTGTAGGCCATTCAGCTAGGTTCAGAATGCGTATCATCATCCCTGGACCCTCGTGGGCGCTGCATGAGCTCCGGCAGTCCGGCACGTGTTGGCGCACATACAACCTCAGTTTAGATTGTCATAGCTACTGGGGATTCAGTACACTTACGCTTCAGATACCATTTGAAGGTCTAGAATGTCTCTATCGAGCCATTAACTAGGCCTCCGAGTGTCCTCACGCCAGCTTTGGTCAAAGACATCCGTGCACTGTCAGCCACGCTCCGAATCAGCTAGAGACCCCGATAAGCCACCAACACCCTTCTAAAATCTATAGACGCCCTTTCAGCCCCCCGAATCGGAGTGGCGGAGTAACATGTGGAAAGTTGGGAAGATGGGAAGGGCTTGAGGCTCTAACTAGCTGTCTAGCTGTGCTCCTGTCGAGATATATAGTTTGAAGTACATCCATGGTTTACTTGCACTGCACAGCCAACTTCCATTCTGAAATTCCTAGCCTGAATCATGTTGTCTTCTATTCTGTTGACAATATTTTGTGCTTTTCTTTCTTCCACAGGCGCAGCAAACGTTGCTGATTGGAACTCGCTGAACAAGACTCTGAAGGGTCAACTCAAAGGCGCCACTCCACTAGCATCTCCATGCTTTTCACAAGTCAACGGTATAACCGTAACTAGCCAGGCAGATAAATGTGCAGGAATCCAAGCACAATACACAAATCCACGATTTCGCGTGGATCAATTTGCAGCATATGAAGAAACGCAATCCGAAGACTGTGCCACAGCTATTGGCCAACAATGTCTGCTCGACTCTTCGGACCCGTCAAGCATCAAGGCATATGCCAATGTGTCTTGTAATCAGGGATCTGTACCCTCGTACTACATCCAAGTCAAGTCAGCTGAGGAGGTCAAAAAAGCTTTTGCGTTCGCCGCACGCACTCAGACGGCTATCTCGATCAAGAATTCGGGCCATGACTACAACGGCCGGAGCAGTGGAGCCGGGTCACTTTCCCTCTGGACACGCAAGCTTCAAGAGCTCAAGTACGAGCCATCGTTCGTCCCGCAACAGTGCGGTCGGCAAGCTGGCGTTGCAGCTATCACTACAGGCGCTGGTATTAACTTCGACCAAGTCTACACATTTGCTCACGAGAAGGGCGTGACTTACCTTGGTGGATCGGGACCTACCGTCGGCGCATCTGGTGGATGGGTGATGACGGGCGGTCATGGCGTTCTATCGCGAGTTTACGGTTTGGGCGTAGATCGCGTGCTTGAATTCGAAGTCGTCACAACGGATGGTGTTACCCGGATCGCAAACGCATGTCAGAATCAAGACCTCTTCTGGGCCCTGAGAGGTGGAGGCGGAGGTACGTTTGGCGTTATCTTGTCAACGACCACTAGAGTGGAGCCAAAACTAAGCATCGCGGTTGCGTTCATCGCTCTTCCGGCAAACACATCTCAGCAAGTCTTAGCCGAATGGACGAGCCTTGCCATCAACTCTACAATCAAATGGGCTGCTGATGGGTGGGGCGGGTTCCAAGGTAGCGGTATCACCCTTCTAGGGACACCGCTTCTCTCACTGGCTCAAGCCGAATCGTCAATGGCGGAACTCGCCCAGTTTGCAAAGCGAAATGGCGGTTCAGTCGCCGTTGAACTACTCTCGGACTTTTACGACATGTACACAAAATACTACATTACCAATGTACAGGCTGGTGGTAGTGCTTTGTTCAGTCATAACTGGATGATTCCTTCGCGGGCGTATGCAAATGCTCAAGGTCGTAAGCAGCTTCAAGACCATATGGACTGGATGAGCAGCGTCGGGCTCAATCCAGGCTTTCTTGCTACAACACCATACGTATATAGTGGTAAGGGTAGCACGAAGGCGAAAGCTTACGCTTATGGGCCACATTCTTCCACCTCTACCACGCAGGCGTGGCGAAGCAGTGCGGCACTTTTGACGCATTCGGTTGGATGGGCCTATAACGCTTCGATGAGTGACAAGAAGAAAGTTGCTCGATTGTTGACTGAAGCGAGCGATCGCGCAAGTAGACTATGGCCGGACGGGGCTTCTTATGCAAACGAAGCGCATCCATGGGTTAAAGACTGGAAGTCGGCATTTTGGGGCGGCAACTATGGCAAGTTGAAACAGATCAAAGAGAAGTATGATTCTAGGGGGTTGTTAGGCTGTTGGCATTGTGTTGGAAGCGAAACGGGAGGAACTGCTGATACTGTGGGAGGTAGATGCTTGGGAAAGCTAATTTGATACGCCGTTCTGCATTTTCTTGTTCTATGTATATACGCTACTCCAGAAGCTCTTAAATTTTTTATTGCATACTCTTGCTCCTATCCATCCGATACAGACAAGCATCCTCGTCTATTGCCTGTGAGCATGACGCCAAGCTTCATTCTACCACATCACCTTGCACAACCTCAATCATGTATCAAATACAGTAGTAGTATCTCAATTCTATGTATCTCTTCATATTTTTATTTTTTGAATTCATTGCTATGTAGTTATTAGTATGTACAGAGGTGCTGGGAATTGCGCGAAACCGTCATAAATTCTGCAATTGCTTACGTACCTGCACTTAGCTAGACACTCCGCGCTCTTGCAAGTAGACATCGAATAACTCCAGCCAATTTACTTGCGGGCCCTTCAGTCCTCAGAATATTGAGGACGGAAGAGCGGTGACTTTTTCGGGAAGGTCAGCGCTTCCGTAAGAGCGATGCCTTTAAACTGCTCTCTACCCATCCTTCCACCATTCACCCAAGCCGAGAAGCCACTCCCGCCAGTTCCACGACCCAATATATACTCAAAAGCCAGGTTCGCATGGTCGATGAGAAACGTCCAGTGAAGCTGTCTACCCGGTGACACCAGCTCAAGTTCGTAACCTGTGACCTTGTCGCGCAGCGTTCCCGTAACTTTTCCATCGTACGTCTTTGTGAATGAGAAATAGTCATTCACATCCGACTCCTCAGTGTTCTGACTAGAGAAGACAGGCTCGCCGTTGTCGAAAAGGGCGATGGACGGATACTCTCGGCCCTTCTTGATATTCGAGGTGAAGGAAAGCATCGATAAAGAATACGGCCCTGCCAGAATGCGTATAACGTTCATTCCCTGCAAACACGTGAACCAACTGAAAGCACCCCACAGCCTTTCCATCCCGCCAAGACCGTCCCATGCGAACTTTTCTCCGAGGATGGTCATGTCAACATGAGCTCTGGCGACAGGAATGGGTTCAACGAAGTGAAAGTATGGAAGGGCTTCCGATGTCGAATTCTCGCTGGGATATGTTCGACCGTCTGGATAGCGAGGCTGGGATGTGGAAGTCATTGACACTATTCCCGTGACCTGTGGGGTATGCATACCGACACGCGCCCGCTTCATGTCGGCTGTGATCTCGAATGTGTAGTTGAAGTCGTTCGAGCGCCAAATGCCGCGTGTACCCCAGTCGCATTCCTCTATGATGTTGTCGGTGGGATAGTCGACCTGTGCAAACCGACTGCCGTTCGGCCATGCCATCTCCACACTGACACGCAGATTTCCAGAGCCCAAGATAGCGTAGTTTGGATCGCGGTAGAAACCAAAAACGAAGGCGAGTTTTGCATCGTCGGACACGCCATCGAACTCCCATTGCTCGCCCGCGGTGCCGTTAAGAGGCCGCATTTTCGGTGAAATAAAGTTGTCTAACCCTCCAGTGCTGAAGAAAATTGGATCCTTGGATTTGGACATTTCGAACGCGGTTAGGTGCGACGTTTTGCAGCTGTCACTGCTGCCAATGACCGTCTGCGAGCCTGTGGGCAGCCACTTTGAACCCCATTCTTCAGGCCATCCGTAAGACCAAGCCTTGACTGACGAAACAAAGAAGAATACTCTGAAGAGGCGCATGATAAAACCTTAATTTTGAGGCAGAATTATAGGTACAGTGCGCCGGCGCGTTCATATATTTGATGTGGATAGGTTGGCCGTTACCACTTATCTTCTTCGGCGTAGCTATTACGGATCGACTTCAATACCATCTCAAGCTTGTACATGTGCATGATTTGTGACGCCCGAAATGGAATGTTCGCAACGATAGAATTTCGGCACAGCGCGAGATTCGGCGTTCGGCTGACGTGCTTTTAACGTATGCAGGGCTGATGTGAGACTGCTTGGTGCCTCTAGTACCTGCAGGTCGGACTCGGATGTTCGCTTTCGGGGTGGAGCAGTATGTGCAAGGATTATTCATGCTTCACATCACGCTAGTCGCCTTGATAGGTTTGATGCTGCTTCTCATCAAGCATGCTTTCTGACTGCATACAAATGTACTAGAGTAAATGTGCACGTGTCCACGACGAGACTTGGACGAGCAGTATCAGACATATCATGAACTTGTCGATTTGAATATACCAGATTCCTTCCAGTATAGAGATTACAGTGATCTAGTTATTACTACCCAACTGCACAATGAGCTTCTCACCAGAGACTTGCTTTGTTTTCAACATTTGCAAGCCTTTCATGATACCGTCAAAGCGACCTGGTACAACTCTCACTGGGTGGGTCATTAACCTGCCGGCATCGAGCAAATCCTGCATCTCGCGGTACCACTCGATGCCAAATGCGCGCTTCCCGGCATCTGCCTCACTACCATACCCGTGATTAAGAGCCACCTTTCGACCCAAAATTGCCATGCCCATGACCAGCTCCGGCTTGACTACTTTGCGTGTGCAAAGCTCGTCGGCGTATGCTTCAAGCGCGCAGTACTTGCCGCCCGCTCGGCCCATGGCTGCGTAGCAGAGCTGCATAGTCTTGGCCTCGACGATGGGGTCGATGATGTGCGCGAGGCGATTCTTGGTGTAGGCGCGGATATCCTGCGCGCATGTTGGAGAATGATAATCAAAAGCTTTGACAGCGCCGTATGACTTGACCAAGTCGTAGTTCTTGGGCGAGCAGACGGCGATGGGTCTGTGCCCGGAGCTGCATTATGGTCAGTGGTGCGGATGCTGCGTAACGGGTGGTGGTTCTCACAGCCTAAGCAATTGTGTTGCTAGAGTTCCTACCGAAGTACTGGACGCATACACCAAGACATATTTTGAATCAGTCTCTCCGACAGGTCGAGTCGGGCTGCCGGGAAGCCCCAACGATTTGCTCAAGGCCAAGCCCATAGTTCCAATTCCTGTGCCACCCACGGCAGCTGCTTCTTTGAGTCCCATGTATCCGGGCACTTTGAATGTAAACTCCGCATCGGCAGACAGATACTCAGCAAACGAGCCCGTGGTTGGATCAATTGGATTGGAGCCATGGACACCACCGCACACCTTTTCTCCTACCTGGAAGCGTCCAGTCTTCGACACGTCGCTTCCCAGTGCAACAACGGTTCCGGCAAAGTCGCATCCATCAACCGCACCGGGAGCGGGGAAGCGCTCTGACATTTTCCAATCACAAGGATTAATGGCGACGTACTCGACTCTGACCAGAAGGCGATCTGAGCGAATCTCCGGGAGGGGAAAGTCCTTCTGGATTGTAAGTAACCCGTCCTCATTTTGTTTGATCACGGTTTGCGTTGCGGGAAGAGCAACAGAATTGTTGTATCGGACTCGAGACATGGTCAAGTAACGAATAGGCGGTTCTTCCAGATAGATAGTAGTTGGTTAATATCGATGGGTTGTTATTTCAATTGTATTACAAGAACATAAACAAAATGTCGTCTTGAATACTGCAGTGATCTCGCTAGGACCAACAAGGCTCTCCTCCTTGGCGTTCTTCGGCCACTTCAATCGGCTCGGTGTTGAATATACTGGACAGCAGGCCAAAGCTGACATTCGGCGTAGTCGCGAAATCCGACCCGTAGTTCGGTGTCGGATTCGTCATTACATTTGACGGCGCGTTTTGGGCTATGCAGTGTTACTTTGGCCTGGATATCGCACACAGAACAAGCCCGAGTGACAAATCCATTCAAATCCAGGCAGTGCTTGTAGGAACTAATTAATCGTTGCATATTGGTGCTGATACACCTCATTTCGCTAGCTACCTGACAAATCAGCAAGATCATGAAAATAATAAATGGTTACGTCGACAACATTTTCCGACCATACACTGCGAATGGAACACCTGGCTGCTCCATGCTTACTGCCTCCTGTAGCTCCATTCCTTTAACCATTCAAAATAGCTTCAACGTCTGCGTTTTGCTTTCTCAAAACATCCAAGACCTCGGCCCAGAATTGCTTGCTTAGTGCCTTACCTTCGTCAGAGGTGACGAGCTCGCCCGGCCTATAATATAGTCAGCAACGCGATACCCTTAATTGTACCACTAGCTGTACTCACACAGAGACCGCGTCAAGAGCCCAGAAACCACCGTGAGAGTCTGTTCCGGCAGTGACCGCGCTAACCAAGATGCGACTTCCAGCTTCTGCTGTCTGCGCAAATATGCCTTTGAAGACGGCATCGAGACCTCGCAGCACGATGCCGAAGTCCCGACCGATACTGCTTTTGCAAAGCCCTGGACAAGCCGAGTTGACAATGACCTCCTTTGGTGACGTCTTCGCCGCAATGTGCTCCATGGCCCAGATCTCGAGAAGCTTCGTGATTTGGTATTGCGCGGTAAACTTGAAGTTTGCTGGGTCATTGACCTTTTTGAGGATACTTTTGCCGTCGCGCACACTCTCGGTGGTGACGTCTCCGTGTCCTGTGCTGGACACAAACTCGAGGTAGGCTGGCTCCCCAATTGCTCTACCAGACTCACGCAGCTTCGGCAGCAGCAAGATGGCCAGATAGGCGGTCGAGATGACGTTGACTTGGAGGGACATCTCCCAGCCCTCCTGACTCAGCTTGTACGATGGCGGCGCAACGCCCGCATTCAAGACGGCGGCATGAATGACAGGGAACTCATCAGTCACACTTTTGGCGAACTTCTCAATTGACGCGTAGCTCCCCATATCGAGCTGGACCAGTTGGATAGCGTCGCGTTTGCATTTGGTCAATTGCTCGATCTTGGTCTTCGCTTCCTGTCCTCGCTCCAGCGATCGAACGCCAAATATCAACTTGCTTGCGCCCAGCCTTGCGAATTTTGTGGCCGCCTCGAAGCCCAATCCAGCATTTGGGCCAGTGATTAGGATGGTCTTGCCAGCAAATGAAGTGGTAGGATCCTTCACCGGGTTGGCTTTGGTGTATCTGAACCTCGCAGGGCTCGACTTCGCGGGAACGGTGGTAAAGGCTTCGGCCATGACTGTGTGGGGGAAGCTGTATCTAGATGGTGTGGTTCTTGGAGCTAGATTACTGGAGAATACTCAGGCTTTGGGTCGTGAGGGAATGGTGCTGCAGGCAAGTAGACTTCAAGGCTCGGGGTAGAGCAAAGGATAGAGTAAACATTCGAGCGCGTAGGCACGCAACAAGGCGGGCCTGCGCCGCGTCGGACGACTCGCGGAAGGACAAAAGTGCTCCCATTTCCGGACGTCAGCTTCGCGTAACAGCCCTGCCTTGTGACATGCAATATGGCCAAATGCACTCTTTCACCACAAGTGCACAGACCATCTCCGAACTGTGGGGGCGGCCCCATAAAAGTTCGGAGTTGGTGGCTGGTGAGCACAGCCACAGCAAGTGCGAACGCGATTGACTTGCATGTGCATTTCATTACTTACGGCACGTGACTGTATCATTCACCGCCACCTGCATCAGCTTTCGACCGTGACCCTACGAATACCAAAAACCTCATCCAGAAATCCATAGGCCTTCATGTTTGCCAAACCAAACGCACCAATCTTAGCCTGCAGTCCCCCTTCTTCTGGCCGGTTAGGCATCCACACGCGACGCCAGCGCTCCTCCAGATGTCCCAGATCGTCGAAAACCTTCATGGTGTGCTCTTCTGTATCAAAGTACAAACTCTTCCCAGCTCCAGTCACCAGAACAGGGCATTGCACCTTTTCCAAATAGCCGCCCTTGAGCGAGTACTTGCTCATCTCTTTCAGTATTTTGGCGGGGCTCGCGATGCCCCAAAACGCGGCTGTAACTCCCACCTCCCAGCGCAGTTGAAAATTCGTCCGCATGCCCAGGCGAATGATGCGGTCAACCCAATCATCTCCAATCCAGCCGCCCGTCCACGCGCTCATGAACAAGCCCGAGATGTGCTTTGTGCCAAAGTCCCACATGTCGTAGAAAGGATCAATGGCAACGCAAGCTTTGATGCGTGAATCTTTCGCAGCGCGCAGAGCGTAGTATCCGCCCATGCTTGCGCCCGCTACGGCGATGCGGTCGAGGTCAAGCTCAACGCCGACTTCGCGTTTGAGCGTCGACGAGTATCCTTTCCAGCCAGTCTAGGACCTTGCTCGTTACCACTTCCCAGTCTGGGCGCATGTGGAGGCCGTGTTCGCGAAGGACTATTCCTTGTCCTGGTCCCTCGAAGGTGAGCACAGCGTATCCGCGTGTGTGGCCGCCCTGAGGATGAATGTAGTATAACTCTTCCTGTACCGAATCCGCGCCGCCCGTGTTGAGGAGTACTGGTATTTTCCCATCCGGTAGTCGATGCTGAGCATTTGGCAGATAGAGATATCCCGGAAGCATGACCTCTTTTCTCTCAGGCGAGTCCACCACATATGGAATTTCCACCACATGAACATCGCAGTCCAAGAAAGGTAAAGCTCTTCGAAAGAGACTCTGAACTTTCTTGGAGATTTCAAATGCCAGTGGATGATGTTCGTCTAGTGTTGGTCCGTTGATGTACAGGTAGCCGCTCGCTCTGGTGTAGGAACTAGCGCGGAGAAACCCGTCTCGTGCTGCAACAACATCGCCGCGGGATAATGCTTCTTCTGCCATGGTTTCGGCCAGATGTGCCATGTGGCTCCAAGCGTCTGCCCATGTTTGTGGGTCCTTGGGGTTGATGGCGGCAATCGCGGTTAGAAACTCGGCCGCATCGCATCCTCCATATGGCGCGGTCGATAATATGCGTACACTCTCAAAATTGAGAAATGTGTTACCAGGGAAGAACTGATGGATCGTAGAAAAGGGTGGAGAGGAATTTGTCATGATGGTTGAGGATTTACGTGGAGGGACGATCTTGTTCAGATCTATGGAATGGTGTCGAATTGGACTGGCTCATGTACAATCTCACGCAGCTGAAGCCATATAACAGTATGCAATCGGGAAGCGAATGTGTCTCATCGTACATGCTGGTCGCTTGAAAGGCCACTAATCATTCCGAAAGTAGATAGGATTCGTGATAGTCATTAAAAGGCTTAAGCTTACACGGGCATCCGACCGATTCGGAATCGTGCTCTCCGAGTCGGTTGTATGGTTCTACCAATCGCGAGAGCCGACAGCTAATACAAGTTTGCCTACATGCAGTACGAATAGTTATCGATAACTTTTTAAGCTCGGGTGTTTGAGAACGTGCTAACCATTCTGTAGCTATGATTTCCCAGAACCTTTCTAGAATCTTATGAAATTATGCATTGAATGAACCAATTCTTCAAACTAAAGCTAGTTACATCTGGCTTTGATACGCGAATTGATCCGGCATCCTCCCAGACGATTGGCTGGCAGCATTAGCAGACTACTGGACAGTTGTGCCGTTATTCTCTACATCGTTTTCCTCCTTCGCCACCTCCCCTTTCTTTTTCTCATCGAGGCCGAAGTCGGTTTTAAGTTCAGTCCGCAGGTGAATCTCCTTTTCGAAGAAGACGGAGAGAAAAGTGACACCACCGAAAACAATGCCAATCTGCCACACACGTTTCAGCGCTTCAATGTAAGCTTGTATAACAATTTGGCGTGTTTCAGGATCAAAAGATTGTATAAACTTCGCCGTACCATGTTCGTAGGCTTGGCCACGGGTGAAAAGCGCTCGAATAGAGGGGTCAAACTGCGTGCTTAGTTGATCGAACCGGTTGTTGAAAATCGCCGCTGGGATCGAAAGACCCCAGATTGTGCCGAGAGAGCGCACAAAGGACCATGTTCCAACACTCGTGGCGACTTCGCTTTCTGGAAGAGCGGCCTGTACGGCTTGCAGTGTCGTAGAAATCATCATGCCGCCACTGACGCCGAAGAGCAGTTGCCAAATGACCCATTCGGCTTTGGAGGAGCCCTGGTCGAGAATGGAGCTCAGACCCATTACAAGTGGCATGATACCAGTAGAGACCAGATGAACGGTCCGGTACCGCCCTGTCTTTGAAACAATTGCGCCTCCAACGGCAGCGAACAGCGGGAACGCGATTGCGCGAGGGAGCGTGTAGACACCGGCCCTCGTTGGTGAAGCAATTAAGACCGCTTGGAAATAGACCGGATAGAAGAAGTTGATCCAGAAGGCGAGCAGCATGCACATGAAAGAGATAAAGAATGCAGCTGCGGAAGTGCGATTCTGAAAGTGGAGCGGTGGCATGACAGGATACTTGCACCATGGAGACATTTCCCAGAAGAAGGCGGCCACAAGTCCAACAAGGCCAATAGTGAGCGGTGCTGCAATATGGGGATCAGACCAGGTATATCGTGTACCTCCGTACGTGAGAGCATACAGAATCGCGAATGTTGCGCCAATGAGGATCGAGTTGCCGATGACATCCACGCGTCTAAGCCTTTCCATAGTGGAAAGGTCGTTCTTCCACTTGACATGCAAGAACAGGATGAGCAGAAGGAGAGCTACGCCTCCAAAGGGGAGGTTGATGTAAAATATCTGGAGCAGAATCAGCAGCCAAAGCTAGAAATACTGTGCTCATGTGGCTTACCCAGCGCCAGCTCGCGCGGTCTGTAAGAATGCCTCCAACAAAAGGACCAATTGTTGCACCTAAGCTCACGAAGAGGAACAGCAGTCCGATGAAATTGCCGCGCTCACGCATTGGAACAAGGTCGCAAATGATCATGTCGATGAGCATGTTGATGCCTCCGGCACCGATACCCTGAACAGCCCTTGACCAAATGAGCATGTTCATGCTTGAAGAGCCGCCACATAAACCACTTCCGAGGATGAAGATAATGGTAGCTCCAATCATGACATATCTGCGTCCCCAAAGGTCTGCAAGCTGGCCATACAAAGGCTGCAACGCGGCACTACAGTGTGGTCAGGATTGTTGACACTCGTACTTGGGTATGAAAGTATTTACCTTGTGAGAAAATATACATTCGCGACCCATACATAGTCGTCTCCACCATCAAGTGATTCGATGATACTAGGGAGGGCTGTTGCGACGATCGATCCATCAAGAGCCGAGACCAGACCAGTACAGCAAAGTCCAAGGAATGCCAGCCAGAAACTGAGCGGATAATGCGTCTTAGCTGGCTTCTCTGCTTGCGGTTGTGAATTGGACGAATGGTCGTCGAGGATGCCCTCAGTTCCTTCAGATGGTGGCGCTTTGGTTGTGGCGCCAACTTCTGTAGTGTCGGTTCCGGAAACCATGGCGCTATTGTTGAGAGATTGTGTGTGCGTGTGAATTGTTGGAAAGCAATTAGCAGAGTGTGGTGTTCATGGGAGAAACAGTCTGCAAGCGCAAGTTGCTATCACTGAAACAAGGTGAGCTGTCGACAGAAGAGAGAGAATGCAAGTGTGTAATAGCTGCGACCGAATCTAGCTAGCAGCTCCCCAACATGGTCTGCTGAGTAATATCGCGAATAAAGCAAGTGCGTCCAAACTGTTTACCTCTTGGTGTGGCTCCGAATCACGTGTTCGGTATTCCGAAGGGGCGCCCAGGTGGTCACCAAACACGGACGAACGACGGAAATGAGACCTAGCCAATCGTGGGGCTTCATGAGTAGCGGGAGGCGCGGACTAGGCAAACTCCTGCCCTTGACCATTGACGAACGAAGTATGGGGACTGCAACGATTCACAGAAGCTGAGTAGACCATGGTTCCCAAAGAGGCTAGCGTAGCAAACGGGACGATCATAGAACAGGACTTTTACATCTTTGGAGAACCCTGCTCGGGTTAGAAGCTGGCGGCAGTGCTGGGAACTAACAAATGAAGCATGCTTCTTAACGTGTTCCAGATACTCAACTCATGTGCATTTCTTCAAGCGTGGAACAAGACCTTTCCCCACTGATGAGATTCACTTTTGCATTTCTTGCGAACGTCTATATCATGCAGTCATCATAACCGAAACTAAACACCCATCCATGCCGCGCGCGCCTCCCAAACCCTTCTACAATTGCGTCAACAGACCCTGGCTCTCCAAGAGCAAGACGATCTGATGAACGGCAGTCCTGACATTAGTCTTGGAAGTGTCGACAACAAGGTCCGCGTTTTCAGGCGCCTCGTACGGGTCGTCAACACCTGTGAAGCCCTTGATCTCGCCTGCGCGCGCTTTCGCGTAGACACCGCGCCTGTCCGTCTTCTCCGCGTGGTCAAGCGGCGTGGCGACGTGTACGAGGAAGAAAGATCCGTATTTCTCAACAGTTTCTCTCGCCTGCTGTCGCGACTTCTGGAAAGGTGCAATGGGTGCGACAATGGCGGCGGCACCAGCCTTGGTCAGCTCGGCGGCGACGAAGGCAATGCGCGCAATGTTCTTGTCACGGTCTTCTCGCGAGAAGCCGAGCTCCGAAGACAGTTCTGAGCGGACGGTCTCGCCGAGGAGGAGGGAGACGGAGCGGCCTCCTTGCTGGTTCAGTGTGACGTTGAGAGCGCGGGCGATGGCATCTTTGCCGGAGTTTTGGTAGCCGGTGAGGAAGACGGTGAAACCTTGCTGGTTGCGAGGAGGATGCGATTCGCGCAGAACTTTGACGACTTCGGGGTAGGAGAACCACTCTGGAATCTCCTGGCCTGTTCGGAGACGCTTGCGGAGTTCTGTACATAAAGTCAGTGTGTGCTGTGCTGGGAAAGTTCAAGCTGTGCATACCAGTTCCTGAGATATCCAGGGTCTTGATGTCCTTTGCAACCTCGTCCTTGGGCTTGTACTCATCCGAGTCGGGCAAGTAGGTCATCTGCTGGAAAGGCACAACCTCAATACCAAGCTCGTCCCTGTACTTCTCGACCGCATCCTGAGCATCATAGGGGCCGTAGAAGTCGACGCCCTTGGAGTTCTTTCCAGGACCAGCGTGGTCACGACCAACAATGAAGTGGGTGGCACCATGGTTCTTGCGGATGATAGCGTGCCAGATGGCCTCACGGGGACCGCCCATACGCATAGCAAGAGGCAGCAGAGCAAGCACAGCCATGCCGTTGGGGTAGCGGGGCATCAGTGCTTGGTAGACACGGACACGGGTGAAGTGGTCAATGTCACCAGGCTTGGTGAGACCGACGACGGGGTGGATGAGGACATTGGCCTGGCGGGCTCGGGCAGCGCGGACAGTCAGCTCACGATGAGCGCGGTGCATGGGGTTCCTCGTCTGGAACGCGACGACCTTCTGCCAGCCCAGCTTGTCGAAGTGCAGACGCAGTTCCGCAGGCGTATACCGCAGACCGACATAGTCGTAGTGCTCCAGGCGGTCAATCGCCTCGACCTTGCCACCAACGTAGAATTCCTTCGCCGTGTGGTGGAGGTACTTGACTGCCGGGTGCGCCTCGTCGTTGTCGCCAAAGACCTCGTTGGCCTCCTTGACCTTGTCTGGCTTGTAAATGTCGTCGACGGTAATGATAGCGAGGTTGCGGTCGTCGCGGGAATCGCGCAGCGCAATGCGCGCGCCGGCTTTTACGCCCACCTCATCGATGGTCTCTTTCGAGACGTCGAGAGTAATGGGAATCGAGAAGAGGTTGCCATCGGCGAGGCGGTTTTCAGCAACAACGCCGGTGTAATCCTTCTCGTTCATAAAACCTGGTGAGGCTTGTCAGGCGCCGCTCGAAGCAAACAGGGCAAACACGAGGGGCATCGGCGCGAAACTGTGCCCCGCGCTTGTGCAGGAACATGGCGATGACGACTTACCCTCCAACGGCGAAAATCCTCCGTTCAAGATGAGCTCCAGATCGCAAAGCTGCCTGTCGGAGAGAACAATCGCAGGCAACTTCTCAGCCTCAGCATAGAGCTCCTGCCTCCTGGGCGCGTCGCGCGCAATCAAGTCCTTGAGGACGCCGCCTGTCGCATGTCTCGTCAGCATTCCATTGCGTGCGCCGCAGAAACTTCGCAGAGCCTACCATGTGGGGGGTTGGCCATATTGCCTGGAATTTCTAGTAAAAGAGTTCAAGAGTGTCTTCGAAAGTATTCGTGATTAGAAAAGGCCTGCTGATGTTCCTATCTAGCAAGGTCTTTGTGGCCGTGTTGGGTGAAGTATTGTTCGGGTGCCAAAGGCGTGTATGAGGGAAGGCAGTCAGATTCTGTGCGCGCCCTGTGCCTTTTATTCCCTGGATCAAGGCTCTGTTTGCCTTTTGTTGACCATTTACGGATCTGGCCCTATGCAAAAACTAAGACTAGGGCGCAAGCGCGTGGGGATGTACGGGTCGGCGAATCCTTGGAAGCGATTGCGCAATTGCACGAGGTAGTAACATCTCCGGCCGTTCGCTGGATTGACACCCGGTGGGTGGGTGACGTCGACCGACGTCGATCTTGTGTTGTTTGGAGCATCACGATTACACGTTGTGCATTTTTTTGTAAACATCTGATTGTTGAGCTTGTGGCTCTTATGTGGGTATCTCGGCCCCGTCATGCTATGGTTGGTCTCCACTGGAGAATGCTATCATCTTTTGTCGTATCCGAAAATCCCAAACGCCGTGCTAATGCTCGAGGAAGTAAAAACAAATCTAGGTCGAGAGATACGCTATTGCGCAATCGACACCTTTTGTAGAGCATCGCTCAGCACCTCCTGCTGCTTCTTGAGCTCCTGCTCGCGCAGGAACTGGGCGTAGCGCGACTTGGGGTTATGGATACCGCACTCGGTCTTCGCCTTGCCCTTCCAGCGTCCTGATCGCTCATCCTCACCTGCTGCTACTGGCTGAGTGGAATGCCAGTCACCAACACTCTTGTATCCTTGGTTGAGGAGGTCGTTGTACGGAACATCGTTGGCGTCGACGTATGCCTTGACCTGGGCAAAGCTCCAGTTGGCCAATGGATTGATCTTGATAAGGCCATCCTCAGTGACTTCGACAATGTCCAGGTCGCCACGCTGAGCACCTTGGCTGCGACGGCGTCCCGTCAGAACAGCCTTGACTTGAAGGTCAGAGTAGGCGCGTTCCGCAGGCTCCACCTTGGCAACATAGTCGTAAAGTTCGTCGTTGGTGTCCCAAAGCTTGTTTCCATGCTTCTTGGTGAAGTCGTCGACGCTGTCACAGCCGGCAGGCTTGTAGACGTGAACTGGGGTTCCATAACGTCTTCGGACCTTGTCAACGAGCGCATAGGTCTCGTCGAAGTGGTAGAGTGTGTCGAGGAAGATCAAATCAATGTTGTGGTTCAAGGGTCCTTCGAGCTTGGAAAGCATGTCGATGGTAACCAGACCAGTGAGACCAAAGGCAGTAGTCTGGAAAAGACCAGGCAGAGTCATGATGCACCATTTCAAGATTTCTGGTAAAGTCAGTGACTGCTCCATTATCCACCAAGATACTCTGCTACGCACCCTGTGGTTCAAGCTTCTGCAACTGAGCATTGACGAATTTGAGATGAGGCTTGCTGAAGTAGACTTCTGCAAGACCATCCTGGCTTGACGTGGCGGAGGCATAGCCAGATTCCTCACTTCCGATGGTGGGGGAAGGGGGGTATTGCTCCTTGTTGTCGAATAGCTGTGACGACATCTTCGAGGTGTGGCGCTTGTATGTTTATAGTGGCTCGTGCAGAAATGTTCAAGTTGAAAGAATGATGGCTTGATTTCCTATGGAAGGCTTCGCAGAAGAAATATGCTATTACCAACTGCTGCGTTCTGGAGATGGAGACGACCTCCAAGGCACTGGCCTCGAGTATATATTGGGCGCCGCCATCGGCTCGCTTTGTCACCCATCTCCGCAAGGTGTGATGGCTGGCAACGAAGACGTGCGATCACGCAATTCGCGCTAGCACTTCAAGGAACAAAACTCTTTCTTGCAGACTTATGTAAGGTCGCTGAACCAATCAGTCGGCGGCAGCATTGAGATCTGACAGATCTGGTGCCTGCGCATCATGCAGTCCGCGGCTGTTGCGTCGTTGCAAATCATCCGTTGCGTCCATGTTTTGTCATCGGCGTCATGCCTTCGCTTCGGACTTTGACTGGCAATTGCGGACGATGATAACAATTTGGAGTGGAAACATTCAGCTGAAATTCGAGCGGACATTTACACGTGCTCTTCCATGCCATGCTCATTGAGCTTCTATCTCTTTTGACCTCTCCATGGGTTCTGTCGCAGTCTCCGGTGGCACGTCGGCGAACTGTTCGGGCCATCGGCCACTCCGGTTGGTCGCTTCCGGCATCTCGTAGCGGTACGGCGCGAAACACGATGCAGCATAATGACCTATAAATGACTGTTAGCGTGCATCGCATGGTGTAGTATATATCGACCAAGAGCCACGTACCTTGAGTTAAGCGCTGGTATGGGACGAAGCCTAGACGCCCTCCAGCTTTGCATGCTGTGGGGTCAGCAAATTCTGCTTTGTTCGAAGCCGACCCTTCTCAACGGTCGTCATCTCTCAATTCTGGGAGATTTGAGAGCGAACGACGTCTTCATTGTTTGAAGACGCCCATGGCTGATGGTATCGTGAGTCGTGGAGGTGGGGGGCATTTTCGCGGGGGTGCGCTTATTTTTGAAGTCTTTCGCCCGGCCGTTTTTTAAACCGCGCTTTTCCGAACTGAGGCCGATGGCCAACACGGTGTGTTGAGCTCGACGTCGATTGGGCTGCAACTCTCTACTTCCTCGATAGCACAACCATATCGCCCTAAAGAGTAATTGTGAGGTTTCGCATTAATCACACTGACATGTATGAAGGACACCTGCAGGTATTGATCATAGTACTCCAAGACGTGAGCAGCATGAACATGTATGAGGCTGATGCATCTGCCTTCTACTGGAACGTGGGAGGTCTACATTTGGTGCTCATCAACATCCTCACTCTTCACATGGTGCTCGAAAAGACTTCGTCTGAAGCTGACATACACTATTCGTATCTAGGTTCGAGGTGTAGAGAAAAGGTAACTACTAGAAAACTTCGACCATCCATCGCATCCATCACCATAGAAGCTCCAAAATATCAACGGTCAAACATAACTCAACTCAGCCACGCCCCCAACCAAGACCCCAGCGACCCTTCCGTCCGGAGGAATTATGACCAGGCTGCTCTTGTGTATCCTGTCCCTGTGGAGCCTGGGCTCTCTGCTGCTTCGACGACGGCTTGGGCTCTTTCCCTCGTCCGAAGATGCTTGCGGCTCTCTTCGGCGAACCTGGAGGCTTTGATCGCGGCTGCTGCTGACGCCCCGTGTCCGCCTTTGTGGCTGGTGGTCTATCTCGTTGCTGTCCTCCACCAAGTGCGGTTGATGGCCTCGTCGGAGGGACCTGGGAGCTCTCTGGTGCTGATTCGGAGGCTCCTCTGGACGCTGCCCTGCGATCTGGTGCTGGTGTCCGCGGTTGCTTTGCAGTCTGCGGTGGTGGGGACTCTGAACTCTCGAGGGAGGTTCCGGTACTGGAGTCGTCGTTGTATTCACGAGAGGGACTATCGTCTTGGCCTTGTGACGAGAGCTCAGAAGAGGGATCTTCCGAGCTTTCTTCGGTACTGGGCTCGGACTCCTGTTCTGGCTGCTGTCTTGGATGTGGTCTGCCCATAGTTTTACGTCTCGGTTCTTCCTCTTCTTCCGACTCGCTAGGGGCATGTCGGCGGGGAGGCCTTGAGAAAGTCTCATCTCGCGGCTGCGGGCGCGGGCGAGAGGGTTCTTCGTGATTCTGCGGCCGACGCGAAGGTAGATGCGCTTGAAGCCAGTGATGGTCCTTCTCTTGGTGACGAGGAGCTTGTTGCGCTGGAGGTTGATGGCGAGCGGATGGCGGCGCTTGGCTACGAAGGGGCTGCTGGCGAGGAACGTTACGATGGGGAGCCTCGGATCGAGCTCGAGGCTGGGCTTGCGGGTAGTCTCTTGGAGGCGGTCGGTATTCTGGCTGCGCTCGGACAGGATACTCTCGCCGGACTGGTACTGGCGGATATGGCTCCCTTCGGACAGGCGCGGGCTGGTATACAACTGGTGCAAGCCGTGGGTAGTAGTCATCTTTCCGAGCATAGATGGGGGCCTCTCGAACGGGGTAATCATAGTCTCGGGGTGGGTAGTACTCGCGAGGTGGTAGTGGCTCACGGGCATAAACGGGACGGTATGGCTCCTGTCTAGGTGGGTTGACATAAACCCTTGGCCTTTGTAGCGTTCCCCCAGGAGGTCCTCGTGGTCCTGGTGCCGCGTGTCGAAAGGGAGGAACGAAGTGCCTGTCCCGATGAGGCTCAGGGTTGTGGTGCTGGACCGGCAGTGCTTGTTCTTTTGGCTTCGTGCCCCAACCTAGGAATCTCCGCTTCTTTGGCTCCGGCTCGACTTTAGGCTTTGGCGGCGGTGATTGTGTATCCGGACGAGTCCATTTTGGTGTCTCACGAGGTGGATAAGCAGGAGCTGCAGGATGCTGTTCTTCAGGTGGGTAATTGGGGACCTTTTTGTGCCGTCTTTTCGCAGGCGCAGAAGATTTCGAGTCCTTCTCTACTGGCTGCGGAGGTGCAATCTCAACCCCCGGGGCTACGCTGACACTGCGCGGCCGTGCAGTCTGTGACCGCGGAATAGTCAATACTCTGGGGACACGGTCGTCAATTTCAGGATCGAATCGAGTCTTCGAACGTGCTAAAGGTGGTCCGAGAGACTCCGGGTCCCTCGAGAGGAGAGCTGTAGGAGCTCTGTCGACCCTGCCAGGCTCAGTCTCGGGTATGGCCTCTTCTAGAATTGTAGGTCGTCGCTCCGAAACATGCTGTGCCGTTTCCAGCTCAAGTATCTCAGAAGGCTCTTCTTCAAGTGGTTCTGGTGAAGCTGAAGGAGCCTCGGGTCCAATTGCTGGTAAGGCGTTGTAGACATCGTAAGCAGCAAGTGGCTCGTCGAGTAGGGATGTGTGCGCAGAGTCAGGCTTTGTGACTGATCCTTCGCGTGGCTCGGTTTCTGGCTCAGGCCGGCCAAAGTCGATGAGCAGTTCATGCACCGACGACAAACTGGATTGCTCCTGAGAGTCAGCCAAAATCTCGGTTTTTTCTTCCACAAGAGGCTTATCCACAAGAGGCCTTCTCGTTGGCCGCCTCGACTGCAACACTGGCGGGGGTGTCTGGTCCCTTACCGTAGGCTGGCGCAAAACACTTGTGGGCTGTCGGGTAGGTTGCCTCGACACAGGTTGCGTCGACGCGCGTGAAACCCGCTGAGACTTTATTTCTACCACAGGTTCTGGCTCAGGTTCAGACTCGGAAAAAAGCTCTGTATGAATAGATGACGATGCCGAAGAAGGTACAGAGTCTGCAAGCTCTGGACCGACTGTGATCGCTCTCTCGATACGTGTTGTTGCACGACGTGTGACGGCACGGGATACTTCACGAACTTCTGGCCCAGCCTGCTCCGGTTCAACAACTGTCACTCGACGTGTCGAAACTCGTGTTGGCGGAGCTGGTTCTGTGCGCCGTCGAGTCGTTTGTCGCGAAGGTAGTAGAGAGGCTGCTGGCGACTCTGTAGGCTGTCGAGTCATTTGTCTTGATGGCGGAAGAGGAACTGACAGTGGATCTGTCGCCTGCCGAGTCAATTGTCTTGAAGGTGGAAGGGGCATTGCTTGCGGCTCCGTTGACTGCCTGGTCAGTTGTCTCGAAAGTGGCAGGGGTAACATCTCTGGTTCTGTCAGCCTTCGTGCAGGTCTTCCGGTGGCGACTTTCGAAAGTGGTGGGTCACCCGGCCTGATAGGATCAGGATCAGACATGACTGTCGGCCTCCTCGAGGGTATTGGCGTTGATACTTCGAAAGTAACACGCTGTTCTGGAAAGGTTGGCTGACGAGAGACATTTGTAGTGCGTCTTGAGACTGATGGTGGCGATCTGACAGTGGTCTGGCGGCGCAGCGGAGGTTCATACATGGCCGTTGGACGACGCGTCGCAGCATGTAGAACATAATCATCCTCCTCCTCTGTGATTGGCTCAACTACCATCTCCAGTATTTCATCTCCTTCTGCGACAGAAACTGATGATGGATATGAGGGACTCGAAGAATCAGGCAAAGCGAATTCTCCCGGCTGTGTCGATCTCCTTCTTGCAATAGGGAGCTCCGGCTCAGGATCAGCTAATACTGGTTCTTCTCCCGTAGAAGGCGAAGAAGGTGGCGCCGATGGCTCTATAGCTGGCTGAGTCAGTCTTCGTGTTGTAACCCTCCGGATGATCTCCTCGGGAGAAGGCAATCGTTCTGTAGGCCGCCGTGTTGTCGCCTTCCGCAGGATAGGCTCGGGAGAAGGTTCGAGTTGAAGAGGTTCAGACACATGTTCCGAAGAAGAAGATTCGTGGCCAGCAACAGGTTCGGTGTATGTGCTTGTCAATTGTCGTGTCGTGACCCGTGATATGGCGGGCTCTTCAACTATTTCTTCGGGTATGGGAGATGGTGATCTGATAGACTGTCTACGACTCGGTTGTGTCATGGATCGAGTCATTGTTATAGTGTGAGGTTGAAACTCCGATTCAGGCTCAATGTCATGAACAGTTGCTCTACGCGTAATTTGGCGAGTTGGAATCCGCGAGATTGGAGACTGTGTCTGTGGCTCCTCAAGACTGATTTCCGATGAGGAAGATGATGTTGTAGGAGGCGAATCATTGGCAAGTGAAGGTTGCTCTTCTGTTTCTTTCATACCTGGCACGCTTGTCGGCTCAACTACTTCTTCCTGCTCACTCGACACCGGAGAAACAAAGGAGAAAGTCCTTTCAGGCTGTGTTGTGGGCTGTCGACTCAAGAGAGGAGCCTTGCGCTCGGTATGCATACGCTCAATGGGTTGTCCCTCAGGCTGAGGCTCGCTCTTCTCCTCGCCTTCCTAGAGGTCGGAAGAGAAACTCTCCTCCGTTCCGACCTCTGACCTCATAGTGGTCTTCCGCGAAGGTGGTATAGTCACTTGACGGGTTGCGATACGCTCCGGCAGTGGCTCGTCACGGTCGTCGGAGATCGAGAGGTCATCCTCAGACTGCGGAGTGGAGGTCTCGCGTATCGACTCTTTTCTGAGACGCCGCTCGAGCTCCTCAATACGATCGTTCAAGTTCACAATGGGACCAGTGTACCTCCGCTGTGGCGGTGGAGTGCTAGTATCGTATTCTTCTTCGTACTCGGGCTCAGGTTCAGAGTCATATTCGACTTCAGGCTCTGATTCGTAGATTAGCTCATATTCAGGTGGCTCTTCATAGTACGGCTCGTATTCGGGCTCATTGTAGAATGGCACATATCGGGGTTGTGGGTAGTAGATAGGCTCATATTCGAGCGGCCCTTCCAACTCGCTTGGTTCACGATCCATCAGAGCAGGTAGTGTATCAAGGACGTTGGTGATAGAGTCGATAGCGGCTGGCAGCTCATGCTGCGCTGCCTCCAGCCACCTCTGCACCTCTTCCGGTGGAAACTCACTAGGTTCTTGATCCCCTGTCATTTCTTTTGCCTGGGTGGCAATGCGGGTGAGCACTCTGCTCAGTCGACGCTCGTCAATCTTCTGGTCAATCATTTTCGGAATCTCCTCCACCACAGAACCAATAGACTTATTCCTCAACCGTGTAGATTTGCGGGACAGTCCTGTAGAGACTTTGCTGAGCACGCGTTGGATGGGATCGATCATAGGCTCTGAGGGGCGGCGGTCTTGAAGTTGAATGCCAAGATCTTCCGCAATGGTGTCCAACTCGTCCATCATCTGTGTTCGTGCTTCCGACAGCTCTGATAGATGCCGACGAGTTTGCTGGAGCCAAGGATCGTCGCTAGAGTGCTCATCGTCGCCAGATTTACCCCGAACCGATTGCAAAGGGCTGCTATGATGGAACGGAGGGGCGACTGGCGGCGTGTTCTGTGCTGGAGCTTCCTGGAATATTTTATCGTCCCGAGCTGTTGGTCGCCTGTCAAGATCGACCCCGAGGTTATCCGCAGCGGAATTGACAAGGTCGACCAAGTCCGGAACTGTCTGAACTGCCTCACGCAGAGTGGGAGGAGAGTCATTTACATTTGGCTTGACTTGCCCAGGGGAGCCAACATTCAACTTCTCAGCAGGTTTTGGTGGTACAGATGGACATGGTGGTCGCCATTCGCATGCCTGTGGTTGACATACTGGTTGGCACGTTGGTTGGTACATTGGCTGGTACATCGGGATGTACATAGGCTGAACTGGCTGACAGACAGCCTGGTGCGTACACTGACTTCGACATGAGGTGTGTTTGGGCATAGTACACTTCGTACCCTGCTGGCAGCGCTGTACGAGATCCTCAGAGACCCTGCGAAGCTGCGAAAGACTAGGCTGTGTTTGTTTGATGTTGTTGATCACACCCTGCAACGAGTTGGTGTGCTCATCTATGATCGCATCGATGATGTGCCCAAGGTCTTTCGCAAAAGTATCATCACATTTGCCCGCCGGTAGGCACTCAGAATGGTGCCGACGCCGCTTTGAGCTACGCACTCTCCTGATACTGGGAACATTAGAGGTGGACGAGCTAGATATCGAGGAGTCTGTGATAGCCCGCTTCCGTAACGAGCGCTTCCTCGCCTCGTGTAGGTCGGGTAGGGGATGATCCGCCAAACACTGCCGACAAGGTCGCTGAACAGGGTCGCTTCGGACCTCGGAATTTCCCATGTGTGAGAAATGTCCACAGGAGCGCCTGATCCAGTCGCCAGGGTCTTCAAGAGGCTTGTAAGCTTTGAATGTCCTGCGAGGTTTGATGCGAGCGCCGGGAAAGCCAAAGTCCTGTGTCTTCCGTCGACCGTAAGCACTACGCCAGTCGACATGATCGGGAACCTCGACATCGAAATAGTCTGATTGCACGCCGATATTGGCTGTGGGAATGTGACTATGAACAGTGCTACGTCGCGAAACACGAGGATCAGAACTTGAGCCATCATGGCTGAGGCCCCGAGGTGCAACATGTCCATCGAGGCTATCACTGTATGTGTTCGGCTTTTGCTTCCGCGACGTGGCCGCCTTAGTCTTCGAAGCGCGCTTCGGCAGTCGTTCAGGAGCATCGTCTGCAGGCTCTAGAGGGGCACTTTGTGATTGGCAACGCCGCGTCCGATGGTGGAATGGTCGTGTGGCCTCTTCGACAGCTCCTCGAAGATTGTCACCAGATTCGGAACGTTGACTCTTTTGTGTGCGACCCTGAGGGCCCTGTGCTCTGCCCTCTTCCGTCTCAGCGGCTGATGTCGATCTGCGAACGGTACGACGTCTTACAGTATCTCCAGAATCCTGGCTTTGACGTGACTGTCTGGCTTTCTTAATGGCAACAAAGGACGCGTTGGAAACCTCGTCCAGTTGGGTCTCGTCGAGTGCCCGGCGTTCAAAGCCCAAGGCCCTGGCGTCGCAAGAAGAGGTATTCAGTAGAGCAGTAGAAGGATGTTTTCTGGCTGACTCGGTCTCGTCCAGACCAATATCTGTGGTGGGCAAGAGACTATCTGGGATGGGCGAGTCTTGTCGTTTGGGAGCTGTGCGTTCAATCATGCTAGAATGATGTACTTGAGCTTTCGGTTTGGCATAAACATGATGAGTGCGAGATGGCAGAGGTTCCTCTTCCTGGTGCTGGATTTTCTTGGTTAATGTGGCTGTTGGTCCAGAAGGTGGGAAGATAGGAGATGACCGGTTCTGCGATGCTTTACTCTCGAAGAAATGTTTCACAGCTTGCACTGAAATTGGCTTCGCGGGCTGACGTGTTGGCACTGGTCGCACCTCGGGGTCCGGTATGTTGGCTAGTCCATCAGGCTTAGCAGGAGCGGCTCGAGTTTTGAAGTGGAAAGCGCCTGTAGTGCGTGGTCGACCTTCAATACTGGCACCGGCCTGAGACGGTGGTCCAGCATCTGCTGGAGCTCTGACTTCACGGTAAGGATGTTCGACACTTTCTAAGACCTGGCCGTACCTACAGAGTACAAAAAGTAATCAGTATGCCCGTATACTCTTGCTGTCGTGACCCACGTACGGATTTTTGCCTTGCAGATACGCAGGGGATCTTCGCTCAGAAGTCTCCTGTGCTTGACTTGACTGCTGAGGGAGTGACAGTGTTGGCTGCTGGGCGAACTTGCGCCGGGACGCGATCGTCCGCGGGGGTCTTTGTCCTTCGGTGCCTTGCTTCACAGCAGATGCTTCGTACTCAACGCGTCGCGTGCGAGTCGAGGGCTGCTGCGATGGCTCGCCAGGTCCCGTGTTGAGGGGACGGGAGCCGGGCTGTGATGTCGCTTGATCGAAACCACGGCGCATTGCACGGAGGTCTTCGTACGCAGGCGGGATAGGATGGGATCAGATAGTGAGTGAAATACTAGTAGTTACGTATAGAAAATGGGTCCAGTAAGAGACTAAGAATGGAAATAAGGTGGTCAATGTAGGGCTGCAAAGAATGTGAGTGCACTCAGTCCAGGTAATGTATACAAGACAGAAACGTAGCGAGGAAAGATGGAGTGTATGGACTGGTTTTAGAAAGCACCTTCTTGTCTTGTGCACATGATAATCGCGCATGCTTCGCACCTGATACTATACAGCTGGGTGCTGTACCCGCGAATCGCTATTTACAATTACTTCAGTGCCGCCTGCAGGCTCTCGAGGACCTGTGCCTGTTAGCAGTTACTCAGCAATCTCAGTGCTCTTCTTACCTCGAGCTCAATCTTGGCCTCAGCAATGTCTGCCTCGCTGCCGCTTCCACTGGCAATCTTCTGGGCCTCGGCGATCTGGTTCCTGACAGCCTACCACAAATTTAGCTGGGATGTCTCCTGTTCTATGAAGATGTCTCCTACCTCGGCGCTGAAGTCCTCCAACGGGTAGCCCTCAACCGCGTTGATGCTGAGAACGGAGTTGGGCTGCACAGTCGCGAAACCTCCGGACAGGAAGAACTGCTTGCTGCCACCCTGCTCCTCGATGATCTCAACAAGACCGGGCTTCAACTGCTCGATTGAGGGCACGTGGTTGGCCAGAACACCCATATCACCGGTCTCAGCGGGAAGGTTGACCTGGACGCTGTATCACATCTCTCGTCAGTATTCGCGCGCCTTGGTGTTACAGGATCGGGGGGTCTGGCGGCAGACGTACACATCCTGGGACTTGTAGATAGACTATCGACACCTGGTCAGCTTCAATTTTCTCGAATTCTCCCGGGCGAAGCCAATGCGCCAGCTTTGTCGGCCACGGGCGATGCATACCTGGTGCGGAAGAGCTAGGGACAGCTTGATCTTGTCTGAGGCGACCTCGGCGTAGCCTCTGCGCTGAATCGGGCGGGCGATGGCGGCAGGCCTCACGCGGACGGCAGCCCTGGCGATACGGAAGGAGTTCATGATGGATGGAGGGGTGGTGAGGATGCAATTGCTGGTCTGCCGGAGCTTGTTGGTGAATCTGCGAACCCGAAGTTCTGCGCTTGGCGGGTTTAGCCGATGATCCGCCGCCTACATCGCTAGCGCGCTTTCACGATTAAAGAAGTCCAGTTGAGTGCTTGATGGTATGACAGGTAATTCTACGAGGCTTTTTTATGGCACGGAATGTAGTGAATGCAGCAATTCGACCAGTTTGGAAGGATGGAATTGATCTTCTGACTAGGGGTATCTCAAAAACAAAACGCCAGTAGCAAAGCCTCCCAGTACTCCATATTCTCAGCGATGCCCGGGTACAAATACGAGCACAGAGTGCCAGGAACTTAGTCGTCATAGAACTGCTGCGGCGCTGCCATGCTCATCCGTAGCTGTCTTTCTCTTTGCTTCGCCTGCATCTCAAGTGTTTCCACCGCATAGCTCAATCGGTCCTTCTTTTGCCTCAGTTGCTTGTATCTCAACTCTTGCTGTGCACTCATAGCCTTCCCTGTCGTTCCTCTTTGCATAGCCCTGCTATTTGGACGTGACCCAGTCGCGCCCGAGCTATCGCGCCCTAGCCGGCCGTCGTTAAGGTCGCACTTGGCGATGAGTGATTGCTCGCGTCGTTCGAGCTTATCAAGATAGTTCTCGACTCGTTTCAAGAGATTGTCAACTTCTGGCCGTATCTCTGAGAGCAGCGCGGACTGGGCAGTTTGAAGATCGGATTCGGAGATGAGTTCGAAATGCTGCAGATCACTGTTAGATTTACAACGGATTCTGCGTCTAAATGTTTGGCCCTTACTCTTGTGGTCTGGAGCACCTTTGCCAAACGAGGGAAGTCGTTCACGCCCTCAGCCAGAATATTGATAGACGAGTCGAGCAATTGCATGCTGTTCCGCAATGATCCTACACAGCCTTCCAGCGGCGAACCCATATTTCCAGTGTGATAGTTGAGTGATAGTACTTTAAGTCCCTTTCGTCTCAGGTGATAGTGTTGGGTTTGCGGGGTTGCGCTCAATCGCGGGAAGGTAAACAGTCGGGGTTGTCCGACGTTCTGCCGCCGTGCCAAGATCGAAGTTCTGCAACTGGGACCGCCGAAGCTCAACCTCTACCAACGACCCCATCGCATTTGCAGCACTACCCATTGCAGCTTCATCTCACACAAAATGGCTGGATTCCTCGGAAAGAAGTTCCCTGCGCCCGTCGGTACGTCAATTGGGCACAATCGAGCTCGGTGCTCGCGCCTCGAAGAGATAGCTAACAAAGCTTCGCAGCCCGCCCCATGTGGCCTTTCTACATCTCCGGTACGTCGAACTGCTGGATGCATATTTAGGGGAGGACAAAGCGAATAGCAAGAGGTGGAAACATGGCCCAATGAGGCCATGGGGATCTTCGGGTGTGCTGGAACAAACGGAACAGCAATACTGACAGAGCCTACTAGGCCTTGTCATCCTCTACGGTGTCAACTCAGCCGCAAACGCCATGGCAACAGGTTAGCATCAAATTCCGCATAGACGTGTGCTCTCTCGATCGCCGCAAATGCTGATTGTATCTAGCCGACGAGTACAAGAACGACCCCCGAAACCCTGCTGTAAAGAACCAGTCGGCCAACCACTAGATCTTCACGTGTGGAATATTTGATGGAACAGGCTCGACGGGCATGATGGGAGACACTGTACAATAGCCGCCGAAATGGAACTGTTAAGGGTACCTCGATTTGCAAGAGCTGTATAGACGTTGCGGAATCAAGCACAATACAAGCGACATCCACGATTGACTGAGATAATCTGCCTGAGTATTCGAATCTACGTTGCCTCCGTACGCCCAATTCCTAGCAATTCCCTATCACTTTCCAGTGCGCCTTCCACTGATTGAAGAAGTGCATATGGGAAACCGCCAGCAGAGGCATGGTCTAGTCTGCGTACTTCAACAGAAATAATTCCTCACTTGTTTCACTGTCTCATCGCTCAGATTGGCAATATTGCACATTCACCTCCCACCGCAGGCCGTCAAACACGACAGAATTTGAGCAGGGAAATTAAACAGCTTGGAGCTATGCACAGTAGGTACTGTCAGGCTTCCATGCGCCAGCAACACCCTGCGTATAACTTGCGTCTATATGATGAGCTGCTACCTGTTGTACCCTCGTCGCTTTCTACAATACTTGATAGCATATGCATGAACTTCCCCACAAAGCTTGCTAGCAAGTCTAGCAAACTCAAAATAAGTTCGGGACAACATGTACCTTGGTATTCATGAGGGATACTGGCATTTTTGCCCTCATTTCTACATGCTCAACGGGTGTTGGGCGCATTTCATTCTCCGGGGTTCATCCTCGAAGCTGCTCCCAGCCACTTAAGTGAGTACAAGCACCTGCTGTGCCAGTTATCAGATAATCTCAGCAGCAACATTTTTTGATGAGGCCCCAGAGCGAGCCCGAATAACGTGTCACGATATCTCAAACACATGCATATACGAGGCCGATAATGACGCATGCAGTCGTGGACCGTGGCATGCCTCGATGACTTCGCAATCAGCAGAACTTGTATCCAATGAGAGAACTTTACAACACGTGTACAGCTGTGGCTCGTGGTGTACGCGCTGTGCATTCTGTATAATCAAGATTTCCTGTTGCCATTTTCTCGAAATGCTCCAAGACAACAGGAGTTTGAGACATGCGGCGTCGGAATGTACATTCGGAGGACAGTCTCGATGTCGTCCTGCAAGCGACATACGCTACGTGCGACCTGCCTGTTTCGATCTGACTGCAAAACTCCGACGTTTGCACCTGGCCGGTGGCCGATCCACATCTGACCGTTTGGTGCCTTGCCACATCGCCGTAGCTGTCAAACGCGGCCACGAACCGAGCGTTTGGACCTTGGGTTGCAAGCTGGACGATGACGAACAGAGCGAAGACAGGGTCGGACCGTCCTGCCCAGATCTACCCGGAACATAGTTTCTGATATGGCGTGAATCTGCAGCCGTGCTAGAGTTGGTGGGCAGCTCGACGACGTGATTCTCAGATGGTCCAGACGCCAAATATAGTAATCAAGCGGAGGTGCATAAAGGGGCATAGAGAGATGCTACAGTGGAAGCCTCGGCATGATCTGGCCTCGAGGCTACGGCGCCTGAAACCGTTTGAAGCAGTGTTAAGGAGCGCAGGCTGGCTGGCGTGCCCAAGTCGAAAATGAGCCGAAGCTCTAACTGGGTAGCAAGATACCCGATCACCCAAGGGGACGATCGGCAGATGCTGCTGTGAAAGGCATGCCTAGCGCGAGCATCACGTGTGGCTGCGCCCAGCCAAGGTCGGCGGTAGCGACGGGCCTCACCAACCTTCGCTCCTCCCATCTCGCTCCCCCAGCACCACAACCGCCGTGTGCGTTCATTCAGAGGCCTCTTGCTGTCCCCGTGTGTGCAGCCGCCTCGTTGCACCTCATAACGTAGGAGTAAACGATTTCTGATCGCTGCCCGCAAGACATCGACGGTGCCGCTACCCGTTGGGCTCTTCATCCACGCCCTGTAAGTCCAGCTCAGCAGACGGTCCCGCCGCCCTGTGACTTCCTCCGCCCGTGCTCTACTTATCACCCACAACGCACCTCTCTCACTCCTTGTACGCCTTGCACTCCTCTAACCTCACCTTGCCTCGCGTTTCCTCTCTTGTCGCGGCTCTCGGCTGCCCGCTCCGCTTACTCACCGCCTTGTTGGCAAAAGCCTCTTACTGACCGGTACACCTGCAGCAGGCTGAACCCCATAACAACAGCGCCCTTCCCAGCTCTGCCCACACCTTCTCCTACAACACCACCCTCAACTACAGGTCAGCCTCCTCCAGGTTGAATTGCTAGCAACCATGACGACAATGGTACGCCCCGACCCCGCTCGTCGTCAAGACACGAGCATGTATCCTCTATCAGGAACCAAGGCTGACCGCGTCATTTAGGATCTCCGTGTCGGCAACAAATACAGAATTGGCCGCAAGATTGGTAGCGGCTCTTTCGGTGACATCTACCTAGGTCCGTACAAGCTTCCTCCTGTCGACGTCACCGTAGCTAACCGTGTCCAGGTACCAATATCATCTCCGGTGAGGAGATCGCCATCAAGCTCGAGAGCGTCAAGGCCAAGCACCCTCAGCTCGAGTATGAGGCTCGCGTCTACAAGTCGCTCGCTGGCGGTGTCGGCATCCCGTTCGTGCGATGGTTCGGTACCGAGTGCGACTACAACGCCATGGTCTTGGACTTGCTCGGCCCCTCCCTGGAGGATCTCTTCAACTTCTGCAACCGCAAGTTCTCTCTGAAGACCGTGCTTCTCCTGGCCGATCAGCTCATCTCCCGCATTGAGTACATCCACGCCAAGTCGTTTATCCACCGTGATATCAAGCCGGACAATTTCCTCATGGGCATTGGTAAGCGCGGCAACCAGGTCAATGTCATCGATTTTGGACTCGCCAAGAAGTACCGCGATCCCAAGACGCACTTCCACATCCCATACAGAGAGAACAAGAACTTGACTGGTACCGCCCGCTATGCCAGCATCAACACTCACTTGGGTGTCGGTACGTACTCTTCAACCCTACGTCTACGTCTTGCGTCCCATACTGACGTGAACAGAACAATCCCGCCGTGACGACATGGAGTCTCTTGGATACGTCATGCTCTACTTCTGCCGTGGATCTCTTCCCTGGCAGGGCCTGAAGGCGGCCACGAAGAAGCAAAAGTACGACCGCATTATGGAGAAGAAGATGACCACCCCCACCGAGGTACTCTGCCGTGGCTTCCCCAACGAGTTTGCCATCTACCTGAACTACACCCGTTCCCTCCGCTTCGACGACAAGCCCGACTACTCGTACCTCCGCAAGATCTTCCGCGATCTCTTCGTCCGTGAAGGCTTCCAGTACGACTATGTCTTTGACTGGACCGTCTACAAGTACCAGAAGAACGCCCAAGCCATCGCTCAGGCAGCCAACCAGGGCCAGGGCGAGGAGGACGACAAGGGCCGTGGACGTCACGTCACCACCACTGCGGCTGCCAACGCTGGCACTGCGGCGGGTACCAAACGCGGACCTGTCAATGCACGCCAGGAGGGCACCGGAATGTGAGTTCGACATATCTGATCCTCGTAAGGACTCCTCTCCTCTGCGTTTGGTGTTCGATACGCTTGGCGCTGGGGACGCCCCAGACAGAATTTACTAACCTCTCTTTTCTGTTCAGGCAGCTCCGTTCGGCCAATAAGCGTGGCGGGGACCAGTATGCTTCCGGCGGCTACTGATTCATGATGCGGCTCTCGATTCGTCATCTCAACTCTCTTGCGGAACCGGCTCGTTTGATTCGGCTTCGCTCAATGCATGGGAAATGCGGCACCGCCGTCCTCGTTACATATCGGACGGCAGTCGCTCCTACTCAATATCAGCTCACGGGTTCATTTCGTCGATTATCTAGTATCGGACCTTGCGACACTCTGCGGTGCTTCGCATACACTTTGGCCCCTGGTTTCGACGATGCTCCCGGTCTTTCTGGAGGCTCGACCTACACGGTATTTCTTTGATGAAACAGCAATTACGCAGGCGGTAGCATGAACCCAGTTCTTGGTACCGGACAGCATTCACGGAATACCACGAACCATTAGGCAAACCTTTACGGAGTGCCTCCAGAAGAAGACTGATTTTTTGTTTGGTTCCACGGCTCTCATCTCGTTTTAATCGCCCCCCCCTTGCCCCTATGTGTTTTTGGTTCTCATCTTCACCTTTCCTTCGTGCGTTTCCCTCCTTCCGGACATGGTCTGCCAGCTCGTGGGGAGGTTAAAGCTTATCAGGGGACGAACATAACTAAATTGCAAAACATGGCTCGAAAGAGTACGAAGCTGAGTTGGTAGACCGGGTGGAGTGCTCCGATTTGCGGCTGGGGAAATGTGACGGGCTTGTGAGGAGCCGCTGCTTCCGGGGAAGAATATCTAGCTTGCGATCCTTGTGCTCGGGGACGGTACGACTGGTCACGGTGGTTTACTTTACGTTACTTGCTTTAGAAATGTATTTCCTTGGGTTTTTCCTAATGCGGTGCTTACAATCGTTGAGTCGTGATGTGATGTACAAGTGTGTGAGAGCGATGTTTTTCCAACCATGAGTGTCGTCCGATGCCCAGCCGGGTCTTGTACAGGTGATATACACGATTATACACTCGTCCGATTTTAGATCTTACAAGTCTTCCAACACATCCGCCGTCTTCCTCCTCCCCTTGCGGCCACCACTTCCTCTAATCTTGCGATCACTCGTGTACCGTCCGTCCCGATCTCCCCTCAATATCCTGGCAGGTCCTTCCTCCACAGCCCTGCCATCCTTCTCCCCAATACCAATCTCCACAACAACCTGCTTCGCCTTCTTCATCTTGCGGCCCTTCTTATCAAACTCGTCGTTTGGCCGACCCAGCCTCACATTCCTTGGTATCCTTGTCTTCGCACCCAACGCCCACAAGTCACCCCAGCGGACTTTTCTCGCGTCGCGGAACGCCTGCTTTGAAAAGCTGCGGGGCACGGTCCAGCGCTCGAGGGTCCCGGCTGGCGTGCACACGTCCAGGATAATGTGGCCGCGGCGCTTGAGAGCGGGGAGGATCAAACGCGGTAGGGCGAGTGAGTTTACGTCTTCCGGAGTTTGCAAATCGGCGTCGATTTTCTCGGCATCAGTGGTTGACTGGGATATGTTTTTCCACTCGTGGCCTGCGAACGCTGCGTCTGTAGTGTCCTTGGTCTGTGCGAAGCCCTTGCCAATCAAGTCGTGTTCGGGGAGGCGCTGGTCACGGCCGCGTTGGACGGCGAGGTAGGAGAATTGGACGTCTTCGTGGTTCTTGTCTTTGGCATTGAGGATGCGCTGGAGATAAGGGGGGCGGATGTAGCGTTGGGAGAAGAAGCAGAAGTCTTTACGGCCAGATGAGATACCGGGTGATGCGTACATGGGGCACGCAGAGTGGTTGGTGCAAGGGGCAATGATCATGCCGGTCTCCTTGGCTGTGAAGCGTGTGTCTTCGTCGGGTTTGCTGACCTGCTCTTGGAGAGGCGTTTCAATGTGAGGGGAGTCTGGAGAGGAGATGTGTTTATTCAATAGGAGTTCGCGAGCAGCGGCGATGACTTCAAAGCCCCGAGGTAGACCCTTCTCGAGGAGGATGAGAACACCACCTTTGGGGTTCAGGAGTGACCAGTACTTTTGAACCTGTTCTTTCCGGAGGTACTCTTGTCGGATAGACCAAAGAGTGTGTGGCGCAATGATGATATCGTAAACTTTTCGTGGTTGTTGCTCGTTGACGTCTTCTTCTTTTGGCACATTATCAGGTAGTCGAGGGATAAAAGTTGTATTATCCAGCAATCGACTTGCACGGTGTCGCAGCGTGTCGGAAGCAGTCAGCACTGTGGCTTTGCCTAGAGGCGCGGCATCTTGCGAGGTGTTGCCTGACTGTTCGTGCAGGCGCTGCCACTCGGCTTGGAGAACCTCGTGCCATGCGAGAACGCCAACACCGCCAGAGCCAGCATCGAGTATGGTGCCACCCTTCTTCTCCAGTATGTGCTCCATCCAAGGAGACCCGAGTCGCCGGCGGACCTCTACCAAAGCGCTCATGACGCTGGCATATGTTCCTGGCTGTACAGACGCCATATATGCATCCGCCTCGATGTTGCCCATGTCTGCCTGGGAGGGGTCGAGTGGGATTGCCTTCTGTTCTCTCCCCAACCTCGCTGGTGGTGTGCTCGCAGACAAAGGAAGGCCTTGGCCACCAAATATACGGTTCGAAGTCTCGGCGAGATGCTTGTGATTTGCGCGGGTCAGCAAAAGAGCTGTAGGGTCTACGAGGGTTTCTTTCGGCAAGAAGACGGTCGACGGCGAGGGTTTGAAACGGCCAGCGAGCGTCAGAGGATGAGCTCGCATGAAGTCATCGTCCTCCACTTCTTCCATGTCTTCCAAATCTTCGGCTTCGTGGTGTGCCAAGCGACTTTGTTCGTAGACGCTGTCGTGGTACTTCTGTGCCTTCTCTTCCTTGTGTACCTCCCACTCTTCTGGTGTCATTGTGGCTGCGTCTGGGTCTTCGCCCTCCACCACTTCTTCCAGACTCTCAACATCTTCGGACTCATCGACGAGCTCAATCTCTTCAAGCTCCCCATCTGCACCCTTTCGCAGCAGGACAACTGAGCCATCCTCCTGCTCCTCCTCAATAATTTCTTCTTCCTCCACAGCGGGTTCCAGCAACTCGTCGACCGTTTCGACAAACAGAGGTTCTCCATATAGACGCCGGTACACCTTGTATTCAGCCTCGCTCAGATATCCTCGTGGTAGCGAATCGCCGAACCGCTGCCTCGCTTGCCGTACATTGACTTCGGTATTGAGCTGCTCGATCGCTGGAGGAGGTACTTCTTCGCCGGCTGCTGCAGTTTCCTGATTTGCTTGTCGTCGTGGGATTGCCGTCGATATCACTCTTCGTTGTGTCCAGACATTAGCGACGGTCGTTTGCGACTTTTGCGGCGCAAGCTGCGCTTGAGATGGCAGTCGGGCGTTACGCGCTCTCGATATGGCGGATTGGAGGCGACATGACAGGCAAATAGTCTGTATGCCTCTCGTCTTTAGCATCTTCGTCCCGGAGTGAGTTCGTGGGTGTCGAGCAATTCGAAGGCGCGGGAGAGAAAGTTCGCCGCATCTTCACTCCACAAAACGCGCCAATCGCTTTCGAAGTTCAGGGTCCATCCAATCACGTCAAACCTGTTACTGAACACCACTCGCAAGACATGCTTCCTGGATTTGCAATGCTGGACAACATGAAGTGCAGCTATGTCCGTCCTACCGCTAGAGTAGCAGCAATGTGTTCAGGAATTATCCTGTTTGAAGCCCCGAATCATGGATCACCATGGGCTTGGACAGCATGGCCTGCACCAGCCCCAACTTAACAACCAAGTCGATGCTTGCATGTGCTGATGTCCCCGCAATCCCAGAATACACGCCAATGGACGATCTTGACTGCCTCCAGCGTGTCAACTTAACGGCCAGCTAACTTATGATTGGAGCCGCCTCCATCGGAGCACAGGAGCTTCCCCGCCGCGCCGCCATCAACTTCACGAAGCTACCTAGGTATTCAGTCAAGCTTCGTCTTTACTCGGAACAAGATCTGTTTCTCCGAAATTGCTAGATTTATCGCGATACGAAAGAAGAGTACCCTGTCAAAAGCAAAACACAAACAGGCTTTGAGCAGCCTCGATCTACCATCGCAGTTTAGGAATACGAGAAAGAGTTGTGGTGGCGGAATAGAACGTTCTTCAGCTTACTTATATCACTTCAAGCTAATCTTCGGAGATATCTTGAACCTGCGCTCTCTGCCATTACAAATGATCAACAAATTGCAATCTCAGCCACAATCAAAGAAGATGGGCTCAGCATCCACGTTCGACTACGCGTCGCTCAAAGAGCTGCTGAAGGACACCAAGGCCGAGGTGTTACTACCGAGCGATGGTGCAAAGTATGAGAAGAGCATTGAAAGATGGGGTGAACAGTGTATCAAAAGAGCAGTAAGCATTACACCTTCGAATCTCTTGTACTCGGGGTTTCCATATCAATACCAGCCATCAGAACTTCTCTAACCGCACGTTATCGTTTGACAAGAATCTCTTTTAAGCCCTCACTCTAACTACGCTTGAAAATTGACATATCGAGTAGTCCGCCGTAGTCCTCGTCACTTCGTCCTCCGACGTCTCAGCAACCATGACCATCATCCGGGACCACAGTATTCCCTTCACCGTCCGTGGAGGCGGCCACTCCACATCCGGTGCAGCTTCAATCGAACACGGCCTTGTAATAGACCTATCCAGCATGCGCGCCGTCACTGTCGACCCCGAAGCCAAAACCATAACAGTCCAAGGCGGCGCCCTCTGGTCAGACGTCGACGCCGAAGCTGCAAAATACGACCTTGCAACCGTCGGCGGTACTGTCAACCACACTGGCGTAGGAGGTTTAACACTAGGTGGAGGATACGGGTATCTCAGTGGAAAGTACGGACTGACCATCGGTATCCACACCCCCTCTTACCTTCTCCCTATTCTCCAACCCTAACCAACCCCACAGACGTCCTCCTCTCCGTCGAGATAGTCCTTGCATCCAGCCTCTCCCTGACAGCCTCCTCGCACGAAAACCCGTCCCTCTTCTGGGCCATCCGCGGGGCGGGCGCAAACTTCGGCGTCGTCACATCCTTCACCTTCCGCGCCTTCCCCCAAGCCTCCCCCGTCTTCGCTGGACCCCTGATATTCGCACCCTCCGCACTCCCTCAAATCGTCGCGTTTGCAAACTCTTTCCACGAGAAGAATGACGGGAACCAGGCGCTGCTGTGGGGGTTCAGTGCGCCGCCGCCTGCGAACGCACCGGTCGTCATGTGTCAGTTATTCTTCAACGGGGCAGAAGACGATGCGCGGGCGTTTTTCAAGGAGTTGTGGGATGTTGGGCCAATCGCAGATATGACGAGCATGATGCCGTACGAAAAAGTGAATGGTCTGCTCAACCACACCGCGGGCTTTGACGGGCGGAAACAATTCGGCGGTGGGGCGTTCAAATTGCCTCTTGGCGCCAATTTCGTAGAGAGCCTGCATGCAGAGTTTTCGGCGTTTGTGGGCAGTCATGAGCGCATGGGCGAGAGCATGATGTTATTCGAGTGCGTGCCGTATGGGAAGATTATGGAGGCGGGGAACGCGAGTATGGCATTTTCGAACAGGGGGGATTATTACAATTTGGCGACGGTGTTTAAGTGGTTAGTCGTTTTCACCCTTTTCCGACAATGCAGGCCTAAGTGCTGATATGCGTAGGTTCGATCCGGAGCTCGATGACGAGATTCGCGTCTTCTCTCGCAATTTGTTGAAGAAGGCGTCAGAGACGGCGGCGAGCAGGTCTGAGGATGGGGGCGTTGGGCAGTATGGAAACTACGCTTGTAAGTCGCGGAACGAAGTTATCAAGAAAGGACAGACCAGATTACTAATACTGCTGAAGCTGTGGATGTCGAGGCTAATGATATCTTCGGCGCCAACGTCAAGAAGCTGGAAGATTTGAAGCAGAAGTATGACCCTGACAATCTGTTCAGCCATGGTACAAAGTTGACGCCACGGCCGCTTGTTGTGGTGAATTGATCTTCTTCAACCTAAAGACCTACAGTCTCGAAAACAACCCAATTCCAAAGACAAATTCTCGCGCTATCTCATATCATTGATTCATTGAGCGCCCTTTGTGTGCACCTGAGATGATCACTAATCCCACCGCATGGAAAATGCATGCATTCCAAGAACATTTTCTTCTCCTCCGCCTCCAGACCTAGACATCCTTCATCAACTCCTCCAGCTCGTCATCCTCATCCCACCCTCCCCCGCCCCTCCTCTGCACCACAATCTTCTGCTCCTCCTTTTCATTCTGTTCCGCGACGGCCCCCAAAATCTCCTTGAGCTGCTCCTCACTCACTTTCTGCCGTATCTGCCCCGTGCGCGCCAGCATAATCAGGCGGTTCTCAATGTCCGTCGCGCGCGACTCTTTGACGAGCCGGATCCGGCCCAGGCGGTCAGCCGCGTCGGGCGTCAGGATTTGCGAGAGGATCGAGGAGCGTTGGTCGGCTGCGTGGTGGGAGTTAGCGGTTGGGGCGCGGAGGAAGGTCTGATGGGTGATGTTGCGCGTGTGGGGAGGATGGGAGTGGGGTTACGTACCCTCTCGTTGTCTGTGGTTGATTTAGTTTCCTCATATGGCACGGGTCATGTTCAATTCGTACTGTTTTGATTCTTGCTCTGAGCCTTCGCCGCCGCCTCCGCCGCCTCCACCTTGTTGCTGCAGCTGCTGCAGACGCGCGCGGCGGATGTTTTCGAGATCTTCGTCAGACATTGTGGAGGTTTAACCGACTGTGTGTATAGGGTGGGAAAAGTGGTGTTGTGTGCTGGTGTTGCTAGGCGCCTTGGGAAGGTTTGTTTGTGATGCGCGGGGAAAGAGCTCGGGGGTCCGCTCTGGTGAGGGGCAGGGATCTGGCGCTTCACGATGTCCACATTTCGAGGTCACACATTTGCTACGGTAGTTTGTATTCCCGGACTAGAGTTTGTCCATAGTCATTGCTGTTTTCATTGCTCGTTATATCTGGCCGCTTCCATGACGCTCAGTAAAACATTGATGCTTCGAAGAACCACATCATTTCTCCCCTGTAAATAAATCGAAGAACACTCGAACCGGAAGATGGTAATACAGAGTCGTGGCTGCAGGAAAAGACTGCTTCGTGGGTGTTGTTCATCTTCTCTTATCACTGTCGTCGTTGTTGGGTTCGAAATCAAGCTACATTTCAGTCAGTCAACCGCCCGCAGACAGTGCTTCTAGTACGTACCGTGTTCCCATTGTAAAACTGCTGGTTGTTCGGCTCTCTAGCTCTTTGATCTGCCAGCGTTCGTACCCGTATGCTCGCTCCTTCCGAGCTGGCAGGCTGTTGCGATGTCTGCCCTTCTCTTGACCCTGTGGTTTGCCCAGCTGGAGACTCTGCTGCAGGTGTTGAACCGTATCCCATTACAGAACCTAACATGCTGCCGGCATAGCCCACTGTACTCGACAAAAGTCCGAAAGCACCGCCAACAAGGCCTGTGGCACTCCCGACGACTCCACCTCCGGACCCAGAGTATGCTTCTGTGTACCCTTTGACTGGCACGAGGACCAATGTCGCGCTAGGTGCCAGGTCGATATCACCAAGTGACTGGCTTTCGTCGCCGGCGGACAGTTCGCGGCTAGGTTGCGGCGCAAGGATGTGTCTGAAGTAGAAAGGTGGCAGTTGCTTGTTGTTAATGTTCGGGTCATCGGTCGGCAACTTCGCAAACTCCTCTTCCACCCATTTCCTGACTTCGCTTTGGAGTGTTGCCGTGCGGGGGAACGTGGACCGTATGGTGCGTCCGTCAAACAGTCTGACCTGCAGGTTGACCGTCTTTGCTTGCGACCCTCTGGATGAGGTAGTTGTCCGCGATTGTGTCTGAGTCTGCGCTTCTGTGCTGCGTTCTTGTTCCCGCTCAGCTTTCCGCGCTTCGGCTTGCGCTTTACGCTCCGCCCGATCCTGTTCTATGCGCGCTTTGACACGAGCCAATTCTTCCGCTTCCTCTCGCTTCTTCTTTCGTAGCGCATCGCGTGCGGCTTGCTGTGCGGCAGTCATCGAGGGCGTTGGGGCATTCGTGGCCGGGGCGGTGGTGGCCCTCTGTTTGCCCTTGGCTGTGGATGATGGTGTGGGGGTTGCAGGCGCAGCGGGCTCTGGTGGTCCGTACAAATCGTCGTCTGCTACTGGGACTGCTTGCGGAGGGGGATTCGGTGTACTCGTCTGCGGTGTAGATGCTTGCACAGGGCCGGAGCCTGGTATCGGATTCGCACCGAGAACCTTGCGCAATGCATTGATGAAGTCGTTTTGTGTGACATCGCTCTTTAGCTGCAGTTGGAGCTGACCGTTCTGTATGACGACGAGTGCAGGTATGGTCTCGATGCTGCAGAAGGCTCCGAGAAAGCCGGCCTCGGTGGAGCCCGCTTCGATACGTAGGAGGACGGCTTTCTGGACAAGGAGACTCGAGAGCTGTAATTGTTAGCCATGCTTTACGCTCATTTGAGGGGTCTCTGCGCGTACCCAGCCGCTCTTCAGCCATTCGTCTTCCCACGTCTTGCTCGTTGCGCTGTCATCTGGCCAGCTTGTCAGTCGGCCTCCACATTCCGACGCGACAGCTGCACTTACCTCGGACAAAGCATGCGACAAGCTTCTGCTGTTGTATCGCAAGCGCAATTCCACTCTGTAAGGTACCTTGGTGAAACATGTTGAGAACAAGTCGCGTGGTGGATAGTAGCGGCGTGGTCGACCGAAGCTTGGGACGCGCGAGCTAAGATGCATGTGATGCATGCGTGCCTTAGCTATCGACCACCGCAGCGGGGAACTGTTACGCCATCCTGGTGGGACCGAGGCCGCCTCTCCGGCCTGCAGAGACATTCGACGTGTTTCGTACACGTACATGGCACTAATGCTGTCTATGTCGCCTTGCGCATGCACGGCTCATCTTTCGTCACGAGGTCATTGTTGGGCGTGGCTTCGTGCAGGAAACAGATCTATGGGTAATGCTAAGCCAGTCCTATGAATATACTGCGCCCAAGGAAAGTAATGCAGCAAAACCCAAAGCGTGATTATATGTGTGCTTCTGCAAAACGCAGGAGAAACTGCAAATGCTGCAAGCAAACGCTGTTCATGTGTAGATTGTGCCAAATGCTGAGATATCTTGCGTTTGCCTGACCACGCCAATTCCATAACGGCCGCGCAGTGATTAGTGCTGCCCAGTCGAATCGAGTCGCGATCCTGCCCTCTTTCATGCTGGATGTGGGTCGATGCAGATATTCAAGCTCTCGGTCCACTCCTGATTACAACTCCTCGACGCTTATAAGATGGTGCACTTGGACTTCTTCTTCGCTGCCTGCTGCTGGGGACGAGGACTGAGCACGGCACTGTGGAACATTAGCATCGGCACCTTCAGGCATAGCACCAGACTTACCGGATTGCCTCGTCGAATACACTCTTAAGGTTGCGCTGGGTTAGCGCAGAGCACTCTAGGTACTTTTGTGCTTTAATCTCCTTTGCGACCATGACGGCCTGCTCATACTGGATGGGCGCCATCTTCTTCTGCCTCAGCGACTCCTTGGTCCCTTCGTCGTCCCTCAAATCCAGCTTTGTTCCGACGAGTATGATGGGCACGCCGGGTGCATGATGGTCGATCTCGGGGTACCACTGTGACATGTCAGCACGTTGACTCGCCCCTATGCGACTGACCCGTACCTTTGCCTTTACGTTGTCGAATGACGGTGGGCTGACTATGGAAAAGCAGATTAGGAAAACGTCCGTCTGCGGGTAAGAGAGTGGCCGCAGTCGGTCGTAATCCTCCTGACCAGCGGTATCCCACAATCCAAGACTAATGGGCTTGCCATCCACCATAACATTTGCGGAGTAGTTGTCGAATCTTGGGCGATTAGCGCGGCTCGGGCGGTGATGGCCGACCAACTCACACTGTGGGAATGTACTCTCCAGGGAAAGCGTTTGTCGTGTACGAGATGAGAAGACATGTCTGCATCGTTAGCATTCACGGAAACAAGACTGCGAAAGCTGCTCCTCACTTTGCCAACGGCACCGTCACCCGTGACAACGCACTATTCACCGTCAGTCCTCTGTAGCACACACTTTTGCATGCTTCCTGTCGAGCAGCGCACCTTGAGAGATTGAGTAGCTGGGGCAGCCATGGTCGATGTGGTATGCGCGACGTCTGTTTAGAGTCGTCCGAGGATCCTTGGGCCCTGTTCGGCGAGATTGATGGGGCGGCGTCGGGGAGAAAGGTAGCTAAGTGCGGAGCTCTGAAGATGCTGCACGAGGACCAGATCAGCACGCAAGGTAGGTGCAGTGATGCGGATGCGGATAGGAGACAGTAGGCGGGCCAGCAGGAGTGTTCAGCGACTTTGTTATGGCGCGGAAGCTATGGGGGTCTATCGCTTGGCAGCGGCGGGTGATTGGAAAGGTTGATGGGCTGCGCGAGTCGATGGTAAAATGGCACAGACCACTGGCTTTCAGATGGCGAGGTGAGTGCAGCACTGGAGACGTGCGAAATGCGAAGTGCGAGGTGCGAATTACTTCAATTTCTCGGCATGAGCAGAGAGATAAGTCTCAGACGCCTGCCTCTGTCATCGAGGTGCAGTGGGCCCTTTGGCGCGTGTGGACTTGCTGCTTCTTGAAACGCACTTGGGACAACTTCCTGGGGGTTTGTGTTCCACTGCCGTACCGCCTCTTTACAGGTCCGCCGGAGCACCTAGAGCATACGGTAACATGAACCTTGGCCTCCATAGTCTACCTCCAATAGCGTATCCTGAAAGCTATATGCAGCTCCTTGATTTCACAGCGAGAAAGGTTTAGTTACACGCACGGCTCTAGGCTGTCTACCTTGGGAAGGTGTAGAGATGGTCCTAAGCGTTTCGTCGAATACCCAAAGACGCCGTAGACAGCTTTCGCGCCCCCCGCCAGTGTAAGAGAAACATGCACCACACGCACACGACATCGAGGAAGGCGTGCCGTGCTCCGGTTTATGGCGTCAGCATCTTACTATCTCTGCGCGTATTACTTCACGAATACCCTTCTTGACTCTGCTCAACGTCAAACTCTCCGCACATGCATTCGCATTTTGGCTGGCTAGCGCTGTGATCCGTCTGCATTCATCTGTTCGCCCGGCGAGGGTCGAGCTTCCCATTAGCCGTGTTTTGTCCGACATGTGAAGAGGCTGCATGCCGTTCCCAGCGAATAGAAGCTTGCATCTCAGTGGTGGCGGCACATCTCTGATCCAATGTCTGGTGGCCATCGAGACCAGACCCGCGGATCACGAACACCATAACGCATTTGTGGCTCACAATCCTCAAGTTTATTGAGCCTGCATGTTGCTTTATGCAAAAGCTTTCCGCATCTGAAGACCTGAAATGGACAGAGATTTCGAGCGTAACATACAGTTTACGTTGCTCAGAGAACGTCCTGTAGCTATGCGCAACCCTGTTTTTATTACAGCCAAACGACTTAACCCCTCAAACATCTTCAGGATCTACTACTTTTGAGAGGCGCAGAGATAGTCTCTAGGCGTTTTATCGGATGCGCCAAGACGCTGTGGGTATCATTCACTATTAGAGACCGACCATGCATGCTCGATGAGACAGTATCTCAAAAGAAAAGAAAAAGATCATCGCCACGCTCCTTTCCTTCACCAAGAAAGTTCTTGCGAAGTAGGAACTTGATTAGAGACTCGTGGAGCTCTTTCATGTCGAGAATGCCACGCTTCTTCTGGTCAATGTATGAGACGTCGATGACCACCTGCTTCAGGTTTGCTGTTGACAGGGCCTTCTCCTCCAATAGCGCCGCCAGCCGATCAGGTGTTCCGACTGCGAAGTCAATTCTGCAAAGTTTTAGCAAATGAATTGTTTCGTGCACGGCTCAACATACTTGGTCTTCTTCAGGTGAGCTACTTGCTCGGCAAGCTTCATGTGTTTGGCAAACAGTTTAGCAATGTTGGGGTCCTTGAGACTCTTGGGCTCTTTTGGCAATCCCGATTTAAGAGATCTGACTATATCGGCAGCACGGATTCCAGATGCGGTGACGATAATGGTGTGCGGCGCACCGACTGGCTTCTTGGGTGTTGGTTCCAATGCAGTGCATTGCTTCTTTAGGAATGCCGATATATTGCTTGTGACCCGTGGACCAGTCCAACTTGTACTGTCGCGCACAGTTCTTGCTACACCCAGTTAGACTTTTTAGTATTCGAGGTGAATTTGTGCGTACCAGGTATGAATTTGTCCTCAAGCTCTACACTGCTCAACTCTTTTCCATAGAGTCGTGTTCGGGCGTTGACATAATCCGCCACCAGTTGACCGTCCATGTGCTCAAACGCATGATTGACGCCTAGAGCTTGATCCAAGTCATCTTCGTCAATCTCTTTCACTTTCAGCTTCTTCTTTTCCTTGCGTTTCAGCTTCTTGGCGGCCTTCTTGCTGTCTTTGGTCGCGTCCGGCTCGGCCTCTCTCTTTCTCTTCTTCGATGATGCCGTGATATCAAACTCGGCCTCGATCAGGGGCACACCACCTTCTGAATCTGAATCTGACATGATGTGACTCGTGCTTTACGTGTTGTCGCAGTGTTCGCGAATTCGCAACAGAAAAAGTTCCAGGTAAGGTTATCGATAAGGATGGCGCTAGTGCGTCCCAGGCTAGATCAGCCGAAGGTCAGGGAAGGCGCGTCCCACCGACGCGTGCCCCAATGTTCATCATCAACAAACTAAACTCGAATACTTCACGACCAGATCAGCAACAACCATGTCCGAATCGGCGCGCAAGAAGCAGCGCCCGTCGCCCGACCGCGCGCCCATTGCGACACCCGATGCGCGCATAGAGCCCAGCACGCCGTTTAGAAGAGCGGCGAGCGCGGGGCCGACCCCAGGAAGCAGAAAGACACCACTTCTTCGCACCCCAGGCACAGGCAGGACGCCACGCGGAGGACCAGCAACTCGACCACTACCATCGCGACGAGTGGCGCCGACCACCCCACATGCGATTCGAGCCCTCCGAGAACGAGCCAATGCCGCAAGAACACCAGGAAACAATCGGAGACGAAGTGGGCGGGTACAGAGGGAAACTCCACGGGACATCTTGCGCGACCTAAGCAGAGCACTCGCCCGGGATACTAAGCCAGTCGAACCCTCGCCTCAAGCAGACCGACGCCGGACACGACATTCAGCCCTCGATCTCCCCGATGTTGAAGATGGCCCGGATCCTGCTGCTCCACGCCTTAGTATGGCAATCGACGACATGTACGACGATGATAGCTATCATGAGCATCCGCCTCGGCAATCCTTTTTGCCAGACCTGCCAGACGACGTGGATGGTGGAACAGTGCAGTCCCTCGAGTTTGGAAGAAGAGCCATCAGCGAAGACCCACGGTTCATGTATCCGGGCAGGATTAGTGAGCGATTTGCGGACCTGAGTGAGCTGGGCGCGGTGGAGGAAGAGTTCGAGATTGATGGAACATTCATCAATCGACGCGACGGCTTGCTCGATCAAACCATAAATGAAGCCTTGGATGAGGATGATACAACGACTCAGATCCGTGCTCTTACAGGAAGACGGGATGGGCGCCCAAGTGATGTGGATCTTGGAGTGTTTGGGGATGCAGAGGATGATAACGACGAGCCAACGTTCAGATTCAACATTCCAGAGCGCATACGGGCGCCACAACGAGAGGAGCCTACAGAGGAGCAAGATTTCGAGGATGCTCTTGAGGACGCACTACCAACATTTGCCAACGATGACGAGGAGCTGCTTCAACCGGAAGGCGATGAGCAGGATGAAGTCACGGCAGCGTTGAACGGAGATGTAACCTCAGAACCTCCAGGCATACAAGGCTGGGAGTCTGAACCTGGTCTTAACGATGCCGACCTTGCCCAATACCGTGAGGAAGAGTCGGCCATGGACCGAAGCCTCCAGACGCAATCACCTGAGCGCCCTGCCGCTGCAAAACAAGCAAACGTTCGGAAAGCCAAGGAGCTCAGAATCTCGCAGCGTGGTTTAGAGTACCCCTCCTTCCCAGCTGCTTCAGTGAAGAAGCTCGCACTTGGCTTCATGAAGTCGCAAGGAAGCAAAGGACAGCTCAACAAGGAATCACTGAATGCTCTTGTCAAAGTGACTGACGACTTCTTCGAGCAGATTGGCATTGATCTCGCAGCATATGCTCAGCATGGTGGACGCAAAATGATTGAAGAGAGCGACGTGATAGCGCTCATGAAAAGGTATGTTACATTTTAGTCCGTACAGCTCGCGAATCATGCTGATGCTCTTCTACAGAACCCGCAAGACTACAAGTAATAACACGATATTCTCACTGGCGCAGAAGATGCTGCCGCGAGAGCTGCTCCAGCAGTTGCGTATGGAACCTCCACAAAAGCTTCGCGGCCAGAAGCGGAAGAGGATGAATACTATACAAGAAGAAGATGAAGGCTGAGATCGTCTCTACGATTCGATGATCACCATTCGACGCTGTGTCGGACTCTTCGTTGCGTACCGGACATCGGCTTCTTTACGACCATCCAGAACATGATTGATGTCGCGAAGCTTAGCGCGTACCTGCTCGATGTCAGCACCTGTATAAAGTACGGAATGTATGGGTACATACCATGTGAAGATGTACTGGGTGTGGTTGTTTCTTAGGTTCACCGTCGGCGCTCTACCAATCGGTATACCCTTGGGTTCTCGCTCATAGTTTGTGAGCAAATCTGGCGCTATTGCTTTATTAGATACCCCCTTTCAAACATTCGAATATCAAACTTACTCATCGTCTCCTCAACCCACACCCTCTGACTCCCAGTATGCTGTGCCATCTCTTCAACACTAGGGAAGAACCACTTCCCCTTCTCCGGCTCATTCTTCGGCGTGAACATATTTCCCTTTGGCGGAATCCTCAGCAACCCCTCAACCATGACTTCTCCCTCTGGCAATCCCCCGCTATTCTTCCTAAACCATTGCGGTGCCGTGTCCTTCTTAATCCACCCCCTGCAACACAATATCTTATGCACATTCCCCCTCGCATCCGTCCTCTCCAGCGGCGTAACAACCGTATATCCCTCCTCGCCATCCAATATCCGCGGCCCAATCAACATCTCCTGATCATGCCTCAGTCTGCCCCGCGCATAAACCTTGCGATAATCAAACGCTTCCAGCATACTCTCGTCGATGCGCAGCGGGAGCTCGAGCGGCGGGAACGTCAATCGGTCTTCGAATCGCGCGACCAGCTCGGTCTTCCAGCCGAGTCGTTGCACTTGCCAGCACCCGAGGATGAAGGCTGTGAGAGGGATTATGGCGAGGATTATTAGGCCTGGGCCGTGTTGCTTGCCGCTTCGAACCATTTTCGCGGGCCGGTCGAGGATCGAGACGAAGTTGGGGTCCAGGCCGGGACCGCCACCTACGGAACGGCGCTGGAGGAGGAGGAGCGTGGGTTGGAGGCGTGGGGATGGGGAGGGTCGGCGTTGGGTGAAGCGTTGGCGGAGGCATTGTGGGCGGATGGCTGGTCGCGCGAGATGCGGAGTCTGTTGTGTATAGTATCGCCTGAAGAGGTTCAGGAAAGGATTCGGTTTCGACATTTTGCCTGGGGGTCGTGGTGGGGTGTTGAGAAGCTGGGATGGTCGAATGTCGAAAGTTGATGGCGGACTTCCGGGGCTAGTGACGAATGTGGGTACCGGTATGGGTCTATGCAGCAGCTCGACTACGGCTCATACCACGAAACGACTTGATCAAGAAATGGCTGAGGTACAATCTCCCCTTGTCGATATTCCAGAGTCAAGAGTGGGCAGTCATGATCAGGATAAAAATGTTCTCATCAACCGCCTCGACGAGCTGTTGGAGAAGTACTTGCATACCTTGGACAAGTATCAAAGGGTGCGGGAACTACTTTCCAAACAACTATCTTCGGTGAGTTTCAATCGAATCAATAGCATGAACAGGCCCTGATCCCATTGTAGGGCTATCTAGCTTTAGCACAGGCAAATTTCCAGAATCGATCAACTACCCACTATGGACAAGACAACTACGACGAGCGCATGCAGGCGATTCGCAAAGTGTGAGATTCCCTCTCAAGCCATTTTGGAAATGAAGTGAAGGCTGACGTCTCATAGTTCGATTCGTGAAGAAGCTGACAATTCAATGATCTTCCTCGTTGCTGCGAAGAAAGAGGAAGCAGAAATTAAGAACCAGAGTGACGAGGAATCAAAGAATGGAAAACTTGAAAAGGAATCCGCATCCACATCGACTGCAACCGATCCTGACAAAGAGAGTGAGAAACCGGCAAAGATTGTAGATCCATTGCGCTGGTTTGGCATATTGGTGCCGCCCGCTCTCCGCTCTGCACAGTCCAGCTTCTTTGCTGCAGTTGAGGGGCCCGTTCCACAATTGATGGACGTGGCCAGAGAGTTGCGGAATCAGGAGATTGAGATTGGACGGGTGAGAAAGCAGATCAAGAAGCTGTAGTTTCACGTCGACTACGAATGAAATTGTAAATAAACCCGGGTATCATGATAAGCACTAAACTCCGTCCCTCCGCCATCACTGTTGCTGTACGCCTCTCTCCGACATGGGTTGCGTTCAGTCGCCGGATGAGACCTCCAATGGGCCCGATAGCCTTTGTGCTCATTGATATGTCCCGACCGCCGTCCCTGGCTCTGCAGGATGCCTTCTCGATGCGTCCGTCTTTGGTGACGGTCATGACCGCCACCCTACGATCCGACCATGTGATTGTGATTTCCCGCACCGCTGCATCATTCTCTATGTCCAGGATGCGGACAGGTCCCTCCTCAATGCCATCTTCCTCCACGTCCGAGCTCGCTTCGTCGTCGCTAACGAATGCGTTCAGAGTCTGCCCAGCGTTCGCGACCTCACCATCGTTTGCGTCCCGTGGCTTCAGGCTCGATATCCCCGCCTCCTGCTTCAAGTCGTCCACAGCCTTGACCCGCATGTGCCAGCTGACCAGTTCTTTCCTCAGTAGTCTCCCAAAGCGCACAAGGTCCTGCTCCGGGTCGATCTCAGCGTCTTTCCAACTCGTCGGTAGCCACTTGTTCGCCAAGTGCTGTAGAGGTATACATGGCGGGATAGTGTGCTTGTGTATCTTCAGCAGCCTGTTGCCGATGCGCTCTCTCCAGTTCAGAAGCACGTGATATGTCTCGATAAATTTGCCGCCAATCGAGACGTCGATGCTGACGCCGAGGATGTTGCCGTTGTTGATCGCACTGGGGTCGGGGTCTTTGACTTTGTAGGCAGTCACGCCTGTGCAGGCGCGGTAGATGTTTTCGAGGGTTACGTTTCGATTGCTGTTTCAATCGCGCGCTGTGCTGCACTTGAGGGACTTTCGCTTTTTGGTTTGGTGTTTGGAGACGCGCTGATAGGTGGGGTTGTGATAGGAGGACCGACGCGAGATTCGAGCGGTGCGCCTGGAGGGTGGCTATACGGGCGTGCAAATCGTTGATTTCTGCATCAAGATCTTCGGTTGTGGCCATGATGAGGTGGTCGAAGTCTTGTGTGATTGTGTTGGTGGGGAGCGCAATGTCGATTGAAGGTCGCGCGTGGATCCCCACAACTGTCGCGTCGACACGTGCCGAACAAGGATGTTTTGGGCCTTGTGGGTCGCCGCTGCTGATCGAAAGGACACGGTTCCAACCAAGAACAACCCACTTGGGACCGCGGCCTTCAGCGCTCCATAGTGGTGCCGCCGCAGAAACGTATCTCCGCCGTTTCGTAATACGTCTATTTCCCTACTAGCTGTCATTCTCTTGTACCTGTATTGTTCCGCGCCTCTCCTTCTCGCTGCTCCGTCTCTCACTCAATCGACCCCCGCAAACAGTACCACTCCGCGCTAGCACAGCAACCTCCTTTTGACCTGACGAGCGTCATCTGAACTACCCCTCGTTATTGAAGACCAGTGCTCGAAAGCATCACCACAAATGAGCAAACGAGTGTCCAAATCCAAGAACCGTGGCTCTGTACAACGACAGGGCTCGACCGACTCCCTCCGCGACAAGGGCAACGGAAATGCGAATGCAACCAGCACCAATATGAACGCCAACCTTCTGGAACACCGGCGGAAACACAACTCAATTGATGGAACGTCCCCTTCAAGCCAGGCTGCCTCGTTGATGGGCAACTCGAACTTCTCCCTCGATGACGATATACCACCACTAGACAAGGACGATGAGGGTCCATCGAAGGGCTTCTTCGAGCTGAGCAAGAAGGATCAGCGCAACTTCTTGCTGCTCGTCCTGCTTTACTTCCTCCAGGGCATACCAATGGGATTGGCGCACGGCTCCGTCCCGTTCTTACTGAAGAATGTGGTTTCGTACTCGGCTATTGGCGTCTTTTCGCTAGCAGCCTACCCATATTCACTGAAACTGTTATGGAGTCCGATCGTGGATGCGGTGTGGTCACCCAGTATTGGTCGCAGGAAGAGTTGGATCTTGCCCATCCAGACAATCTCCGGTTTCTCCATGATCTGGCTGGGAAAGCACATCAACAAGATGATGACGGATGCTAGCGACAATGAGGGCGGCGTATGGAATTTCACATGGTGGTGGTTCGCGCTGGTCTTTCTGTGCGCGACCCAAGACATTGCTGTGGACGGATGGGCCCTGACTCTTCTTTCCAAGGAGAACCTCGCATACGCCTCAACCGCGCAGACCGTTGGTCTCACAGCCGGCCAGTTCCTCTCGTATACCGTATTCCTCGCTTTCAACTCCAAGGATTTTTCCAACCGATGGTTCCGCCCAGCCAATGCGCCTGCCGAGACTGGGCTTATGGAATTGGACAGCTATCTTACATTCTGGGGCTGGGCATACTTGATTGTCACTGCTGGTTTGGCTTTCATGAAGCGCGAAGACCGCGACAAAACTACGGACAGCATCAAGGAAGTCTACCAAACCATGTGGGGCATCCTTAAGCTCAAGAACATCCAATCCTTCATCATCATCCACTTGATCGCCAAGATCGGCTTTCAAGCCAACGATGCGGTGACGAGCCTCAAGCTGCTAGACAAGGGTCTCAAGCAAGAGCAGCTTTCTCTTGTCATCCTGATCGACTTTCCTGTGGAGGTCTTTTTAGGTTACTATATCGGCAAGTGGTGTCAGTCCTATCCGCCAATGCACATCTGGTGTTGGTCGTTCATGGGACGTTTGGCGGCCGCTGGATTTGCGCAATTCGTTGTCTCGGTCTTCCCCACTGACGGCGCGGGCGGATCGTTCTTGTTGCTTGTCATTGCTGAGCATGTGCTATCAACTTTCATGAATACTGTCATGTTTGTCGCAGTCAGTGCCTTCCACGCAAAGATCTCAGATCCGCTCATCGGCGGAACGTACATGACGCTTCTTGCTACGTAAGTTTACCCAACGTAATAACTCAAGAGAGCCCCCCTTACTAACATGCCATAGTGTATCGAACCTTGGCGGAACATTTCCTCGCTACTTTGTTCTCAAAGCCGTCGACATGTTCACCGCAGCGACTTGCTTACCACCAACGAACCCACCAAAGGCCGACGCCCTCAAGGGTGCGCCCATCACTCAAGCATTTTCTTGCGTTGGCGAAGCCGACAAGCACCGATGCCGAGATGGCGGTGGTGTCTACAAAGTCACTACAGATGGCTACTATATCGTAAATGTACTATGCATTATCGTTGGAGTAGTTACCTTTACTCTATACATCAAGCCGGCGGTGATGAAAATTCAATCCTTGCCATTGCGAGCATGGCGGATAGCTGGAGGAGCATAAACACGTGTTTGAGATATGTACTAGGGTAAATTACATAGCGTGTGCATTTACTACATACTCGATGCGTTCGTCAAGTTGCCGGTCTCAGACCTGCCTTCTCTGTAATCATTCCTCTGCTTTGTGATCTGCGACCTTGAGGTCCCACTCAATGAGCCAAACTCCAATGCCATTACCAACAACAATCTCAGACGGGGCAATGGTCCGCATACAGGTGTCAGTCCACACCGCCCTCGGAATAGAAGCATCTTTAGAGCGGATTGAGGCTCAAGTTGGGGCGCACGTCCGTTGCGCGCTGCCTCGTGACAAGGCGTCTCTGATCGGCCAACGACGGCGCTACTGAGGCGCCGAACAAGACTAAGTGCGCCACCGTCTCAAAGACAGGCAGGTACATGCAGGGCTGCTCCGAGGTGTATGGGGCGTCTCGACTTAATGACTTTGTTGCCATAGCCTTGCAATGCAATTAAAGATACATCTCTACTTTCGCCTCGAAGATTGACGAATACGATAGACACTGGCAGACTACCTAGTGAAGTATCAAAGTGCACGGGGGCATGAAAGGTTAGTTAGCACTGAGCCAGACATTGCAAAACCACAACCAACGTTTCTGTCAGCAGGACAGGCCTCGAACGTAGAGCCCACAACGCTACTATCGATGCCGAACATGCCGATGACGGAATTCCTGCAACGGCCCGTTGCCCTTTCCCGTGGCCTGACGTTTTTTCTGCCAAAGATACTTTTATAGCTGTAGTATGTTGCGGCTCTTTCTCGAACAAGCCAACCCAACTCCCTGCATCTTTCCTCCGAACACTGCGCCGAGCCCTGGAGCTAAACCCAAAAAGGCGGCGCGTTTTGACATCTGTCGCAAATATCTGCTGATGTCCACTTCTTGAATCTGCCTACATAACTTCTCGTACTTCTTGCCATAACTCTTATACACCTGCGATTGTCGCCTTGTTCTTGTGTTTCAACAACAACCGACTCCAAAACCCGTACACCGCTTCTACTGCTAGCTGTTTATACTTCTAGCCTGCTTTCTTCACTCGGGCCTTCGACCACTACAAGAGCATTTCTACTGCCGGACTCCCGATTCTTGTCGCGTTGTAATCGCAACGTTCCGAAGCATATACCATGGCTTTTCCGGCATACACCCCCAAGGCGCGCGTGCAGAAACCTGCACCGAACTTTTCTACTACAGCAGTTGTTGATGGCACATTCGAAGGTAAGCTTCCACTATTTCACATTCCAGCGACCCAAATGCAGCCATCATGTAGACCACAACTGACAATTAATCTCAGAACTCTCCCTAACAGCCTACACCTCCACGAAGCAATGGCTCGTCCTCGGCTTCGTCCCTATGGCCTGGACCTTCGTCTGCCCCACCGAAATCATCGCCTTCAGCGAACGCATCGCCGACTTCACTGCTCGCAACGCTAGCGTTGTCTTCGCATCTACAGATTCCGAGTACAGCCTACTCGCCTGGACCATGGCGAGTCGGAAAGACGGTGGATTGGGCAAAATCGACATTCCCTTGATCTCCGACAAGAACCACAGTATTAGCAAGGACTACGGAGTGCTGATCGAGGAGGAGGGCATCGCGCTCAGAGGACTGTTCTTGATCGACCCCAATGGTATTGTAAGGCAGATTACCATCAACGATCTCCCTGTTGGCCGCAGTGTGGATGAGACTCTCCGTCTGATCGACGCCTTCCAGTTCACAGACAAATACGGCGAGGTGTGCCCTGCAAACTGGAACCCTGGTGATGAGACCATCAAGGCTACGCCAGAGGGCAACAAGGAGTACTTGGGCAAGGTGCATGCGGACACTAAGATGTCTGATGTTGCGAAGACGAACGGTAAGTCCATACCGGCGAGATAGTAAGTCTTGTACTTATTAGATGTAGGGTCCTCATAGATCTTGGTTTAGATTAGCCTGCGCTGTTTCTCTACTTTCACGGCATAGGATGGGCGCTAGATAAGACCGGCTTCTTGACTATTAGATTTGCGAGTGTTTGAAGGATGTGTATATGCTGTTTGAAGGATGTGTATATGCTGTTTGAAGGATGTGTATATACTGTTTGGCGGTATCTCAGCCTCGTCTGTAGCTCATTCATCTTAATCGTGTTCCTACCGTTATCCAACTGCAGATAAGATCGAAGTGTGGCCGACATGTGAAAGACTGATGTCCGAGATCGGATGGTGGTCCTCGCACAGCTGAGTGAATCAAATCATGATACGAGACAGGGTTCTTGTCGCATATCATTGCGGCTGCCGTTGTAGCGATCTCGGACAATCCTCGGCCAAATCGGCACGCCACCCTAAGTTTGTCTACCCATGGACTCATGTATCAAAACAACTGATCTTTGCCAACCCCCTACAAATGTCCGCATGTGTAATCGACTTCGAATTCTTCATGACCTCGAATCAAGTTGACCTGGGAACATCACAGGGAACTGGAGGTATCACGATTCCTAGCAGGGTCCGCGTGATTGAGACGCAACTGAATGCCTGAACCATACTTACGATCCCAAATGCGACATCATGCTGCTCAGGACAGCACGAAATCTGGTGCGCCTATTGCGCAGGTACTGAATGATACGGATCCAATCCAAGATGCCACAAATCCCTCGTCCACGTCACATGTGTCTCAAGCAGCACCCTTCAGTGGTAAGCTAGCTGACCTACTGCTTGACACACCGGATCGACTGCGAACAAGCGAGTGGAGGCGTGCAGAGCATCAATATGAGGAACCATCCCGGACAGCTGGCGAGAATCCAGTCTTCAAGCTTCCGCAGCTTCCACAGCTGCCCACAAAGACTACAGAACGTGCTAGGATACCGCCTTTGCTCCAGGGTCTTCATCAGCCACCTCCGCTTCCACCTTCTGGTAGACTGTTTCCGCCCATTACGGATGGAGCCAGCGGCTTTGAGCAAGACATTCGCAACAGGATCAATTCCGTTAGTGCATCCCATGAAGCGCGGAGTAAAGCAAGTAAGGACAGTGTGTCGTCTAGAACGGTGGAATCAAACGATTCGAATGACGTCGATGGTGAACACGAGAAGGACGATCAAGATGACCTACCCCCAGCAAAGCCTGTGTCCACCCAGGATGAAGACTTGCCTTCTCCTCCAGCGGCGGACGGAAGCGAATCACAAACAGCACCTCACAAACAGAAGGGCAAAAAGAGGAAGAGGTGGTCTGATGATGAGACTAGAGACTTGCTGTTGGGTGTCAGCAGATTTGGCATCGGCAAATGGAAGAGGATTTTACAGTGCCCAGATTACACATTCCATGAACGGACTGCTGTTGATCTGAAGGACCGGTTTCGCGTATGCTGTACACCCGAAGGCTCAAAGCGAAGAGGACACAAGCGACAGGATGAGGAGATAGGAGAAAGTACGATTACGCCAAAAGCAACTGATCAATCAGAAGTCAGCACAGGGAAATCTGGCGTAGAGAGACCAAGCAACGAGTCTGCAACCCCGAACGACGTGAGCACCAAAGCCGCTGAAGACGAGTTACGAGTGACGCATCCAACATTAGTGCATTTGGGTATCAACACGCCTTTTGCTAAGAGTACACGGCGTCCACGTCGTGGCTTCACATCACGAGATGATGAGAATCTGCGCAAGGGTTTCGAAAAGTACGGCGCTGCTTGGCATTCGATGCGCGACGACAGGGAATTAGGATTTGGAGCTCGTCATTCCACGGATTTGCGCGATCGGTTTCGCATCCGGTTCCCACAAATATACGCTCAGGCAGGGTATAAAACCAAGAGCAAAGCCAAGACCAGGCGAGATGAGAAGGAAGATTCGAGCAAGCCATCAGACGCTGTGCCCTCACAGGAACCAAAAGAGTCTATTCCAGAGTCTAGGAAGAGAAGCCATGTCGAAGACAGTGTTCCGGAAGTCACTGTCAGTGATGTTACAGAACGCTACCTGGTACCCACCTCCAGCGCGAAACAACAATTACCCTACAACTTGTACCAAACGGATCCCGGCCCATTCTCCTTTGGAGATGTCTCGAGCGGGATGCCACCTGACAAGGACGACTTCAGCAACATCGTACTGAATCGAAATATCTTACAATGGGCGGACGCTAACAACTTCCTAATGGCAAACGCAACAACCACCGCGACCGGCTCATACGCTACGAACCATGCACTCGACATGTCGATGCACATTACATATCCGAATGACGGCCACATAGACCCCATGGCCACGCTCAAACTCCCATTGATGGGGGTGGGCGGGCCGTCCCTGAACCCCAACTTCCTAGGAAATCAGCCATCGTCGAATTCACGGCTGTCCTACCCATCTGATACCCTTGCTGCGCCGAATCCGTGGCAGTCGTCTAGCAAGAATGCTTCGTCGGACAGCCTTCTGCGCACGCCGAATCTGCCGACGATTGTGTTTCCGCATGTACCTGCTGCGAGTGCTAGGGGGGCTGTGCATAATCTACCGACGCCGGCGGATTTGTTGTCGGGGATGGGGCATGGTGGGGATGCGGATCCTGAGGGTGATTTTGGATGGGGGCCTAGTTAGGACGCTGTGAATGGAAGAATGAGTCCGTATAGTCAACCGGACTCTGGTTAGCCCAGAGCATGGGACTTGGTGTAATGAACAATAATGATACATTACTGTTGTCAAATCCTGAAAGTCACGTCGACGAGGCATGCTTGCGAGATGTGAGCTCAAGGGCGCAAACCAGTGTAGCATTAGATTTCAAATGCTAATCCATCTCTCCTCCATATCAGACCCTCATGGATCCTGCCACCAAGCCCCGTTCCCATCTGTACCTCACCGCCCCGTCTGACAGAGCTGAATGCAAAACTCCCTGAAATCGCCCTTGGTCGCCTCCTCCACATCTTCTTCGACGACGCGCCCATACTTCTCCTCATACTCGCTCTTCACCCGTGCAAGATGCATGCGGTCCCAATGCAGCCTAACCAGCCGCGAAATCAGCAGTTCAAAGCGCTGCTGGCGCTCATGCTTGCTTGTGGCGGATGCAGAGTTGGACGGCGGCTCGATGAGGTCCATGAGCGCGTGGTGCAGCAGCATGGCGTCGCGCGCGGGGCGATTGATTACGCCGTTGAGGATGTGCGCTATGACTTCGCCCTGTTGCGGATTAGTCTCGGAGGCGTGGGAGAAGGATGAGGAGGGAAGGGAAGGGAAGGGACTTACGACGAGGTTATTACTCTTCCGAAGCGCGTCCCGCGCAAACGAGGATTGATACGTGCGCTCATACGTCCTCAGAACTTCTCTTAGATGCGCATCGCTGCGCATAATCACGACTTCTAGCATCGCCGTCTCGCCGCCCTCCCGCGCCTTGATGGCGCGATACAGCGTCTCGACATCGCGATGCTGGTACTCGCGCGGCCAGACGTCGGATTCCTCCTGTCTGTTCGCCTCGAGCGCCAGGAGGACTGCTTTTCTAAACTTGTCGGCCTTGAGCTCCTTGTCCATGCACTTGACCAGGGAGTCTGAGTAGCGTTTGTCCTTGAAGGCGTCTTTGATCTCGCGCATTTCGAAGTTCTGGCGGCCCATGAGCGCTTCGATGAGGAGCTCGCGCTTTGCGCTGTTGCTCTGGTACCAATAGTTTGCCCAGTATCCTTCTCCCTCGAATTTGCCTAGCGCAGTGACGTATGCAGCCTTGCCGAAATTTCCACTCGTCTTGAGCTTGATATGTTTGGCAATGTTGATACCGCGGCCTTGTACTTTGCAATGGCGTTTGTATTCGGCGCGCAGCTCGAGCATCTGGTCGTGCGAGAGGGCGGGGAGGATCTCGATGATGGGCTCGGGATCGACGGTGCGCGAGGCCATAGAGTCGACGAGGGCGAGGGCGTCGTCGGTTGCGTCGTAGATGCGGGCGCGGCGCTCTTCTTTCTTGCGAGGCGGGTCGCGGCTGCTATCGCGTCCTCCTCTGCCACCGTAGGAATCACGCCCATCCCTGCCGCCGTAGGATTCACGCCCATCCCTGCCGCCATAGGATTCACGCTCATCCCTGCCGCCATACGAGTCCCGTCCACCGCCGTAGGCTTCGAGGGCGAGCCTGTCTTTGGGTTTACTGCGGAAGTCGGGGCTGGGTGAGCGCCCAGAGGAAGAGTGCGCACGACGACGGCCTTTGTGACGAGAGTCTCGGGGCGCAAGGCCATCCAGTGGAGGCAGATGGTCGAGGTCATCATCCAGCATGATTGCCTGTGGCATTGGGCTGATGGACTGATACGTGCCATGGTACGCCTCGAGCAGCGGACTCGGCGGTGGCAGTCCACCCCCTGGAAAGCCTCCGGGCATGCCTCCAGGCACAATTGTCTGGAGATCTGGCCGGTTTCCACTGACCGACAGCCTGTCCATGCGCTGGTTGAGCCCATCAGGCCGGCCACCGCTCACAGACAGGCTGTGTGGGCGCATGCCTGGGGATGGCGGCGCATTGAGCTTCCCTCCACCAGGCACCATCTCAACCACTTTGCGCCCATCGTGTCTTCCCCCCTGGGGCCCTTGTTGGGGAGGTCCACGGTAGTCGTCTTGCGGGTGCGGCGAATTCGCTCCAATCGGCGGTGGTGGGTACTGGTGCTGAGAATTGGGCGGTGGCTGAGGTGCTTGCGGTGTCGCAGTGTATTGAATGTTTGAAGGCGGTGGTGGGTACGAAGGGGTTGACGACTGCGCGCTATGTCTCACGGGAGGCTGCTGGTTCGCAGGCGCAACGGGTTTTGCGGTATACGTGATATTGGCAGGCGAGGTTGCATACTGAACTCCCCCTCCGCTCGTCGGCGGCGCGCGATTCGGACCAGCATGAGCTGCGGCCGTATATCACATGACTGCTGCGTGCTGTACTGGACATTACCTTGCGGTGCATACGCGACACCGCCGGGTGATGCGCTCGGCGCCGACGAATAGGCAGGTCCCTGTCCGTTGCTGAAGTAGCCGGGACGTTGCTCCGGAGGCAAGTCGCTATAATTTCCCATGGTGATGGGCTCGTTGGACTGTCTGCCGGCCATCTCAGTTACTCTTCTGCGCGTGAAAATATGCTGGGACACGCCCGCCCGAAGCGCAAAGCTCCCTGTTCTTCTACTCACGTCGCGTATGGCTGACCACCTGGCTGCCTAAAGTCATATTGGGCGCCGCCTGTACCTGCATCAGCCGCACCATAAGATGGCTCTCGAACATGAGACCGGGAGCGGGAGCGCTCGCGTCCAGGCGATTTGGACCTCCCTCGCCTTGATCTATCGTCAGGTCGAAGCGACATTGAATCGGCTACTCAGTATTTAGAGTGGTGTAATGAGTGCATCGCAGAGTGGGCTTTCGCTCCCAAAATCGTGACCATAATTGCGATGGCTGGGTGTTCTGTATCATGTAGCGCGACCAAATCTGTGCAAGCCTGTCGTGGAACTTGGGGGCCAAATCCGAGCAGGAAATCCAAAGTACACAGTAGGAACGCGACAGCTTCAAACTTTACTACTGTAGGATGCCGTCGACCAATAGCCCGAAGCTACATACAGTATTACTAGGCCTCGAATATGGCGGCAGGACTCGTGACTATGTGTATAGCTTCAGCCTATGATATGAGCTGCCCAATGTTGCACACTAGTCGCTTTCCGTCGTCGTGCTGTGCAGTTGATAACATGTAGATAAGAAACAGTACGATTGTCTCGCACTGTACTTCAGTATATCATCCGCTGTTGCTGACATCCACGTGGTAGCGTAGCTCAGCCAAAATCTCGGCTCTCACCGAAAGTATGTCCGCCGAACCAATGTCTTCACATCTTTAGCAAAACAACTTTGTTGAGTCCTCGTTATCGCACGCCATGGCGTATTTTCGCGGCAGCTAGCTAAGTTGCCAGCATTGGGCAACTGACACGAGTTCCTCAGGAAGAAGTACACTGATGTGACATCCAAATGTGGGTCATCGGAGGCAGTCGGCGATGCTCACCGCCGGCCTTCACGTCAGCTATCAGAATTTTTCCCACCGGCATATAACGTTTGTCTGGATACTGATCAAGTGTGTGTCTGTGTGTCGTGGGTAGCATGTCATGTTGCGCAAATTAGGGTCGAATTTGCGGCTGAGACGGTACACCGATATCAGACCCACCTAGGCCAACGCCACGAGTCGAGAGCAGAAGAAGCACATGTAAGCCGATATAACTTCGTCTGATTCATATACCGTAGTCCACCTGCTGGGTTTGCCCCCAAGTGATTATCCGTACATTTTTGTTAACCATGTTCGAAACCGTGGCACTTCCGGCGAATCTCCAGCCTCAATCAACTCTTGTCAACTTACCTGCTGAGATCAAGCATCAGATCTTCAAAGCATGCTTGACATTCGACGACGTTATTTCGGATCCAACAGTCCGTGGTGGGACTCAGAGGAGACCAGTCCAGTCCTTTAATGTCGCTATATTGCAGACATGCCAGCGACTGTATCATGAAATCGATCGCCGCCCTCTCTTCTCCCAGAACACTTTCCGTTTCACAAGCGTGGAAACAGCACGGTCATTCCTGAAAACCTTGGACGATCGCTACCGCGAAAGTGTGCATGACATCGAAATCGACATTTGTAAAGTCGACAGCAGTCTTGCACGCGACTGGCTACGATATCTCGCCTGGGGGAACGGACCGTGGGACTCAACATCTTGCTCCCTGCACATGGACGCCCCAAATCTGAAGACGCTGCGTCTGAATTTCGAATCATGGCCCAGAGTCTCCATGTTCCGAACAGAGCTTTGGATTCTGCTTAGGCAGATGATGGCCACTGTTCGAAGATTGGAAAGAATCATGGTAGTCGGAGCTAGCAAAGGGCAAGCGATGGCGAGAAGAGATCCATGGTCACCAGCTCACTTTGTCGGAGCGACCGATGTCGACTTTGATGACCTCGTCCCATGCATGTGGAAATGTGTCGAAGCGCCAGCTAATGACAAGATCATTCGGTGGGGCCGAAAGGATGGTAGACTGTCTCTTGAAGTCGTCTCCAAGAACCATCTCCTAAGACACGTCGACAGAGCATGGCATTCGCCTTCTGTCCGAAGCCAAGGCGAAGGATGCTGGCCAGAGAACGGCTCGTGTCTGTGGTCAGACTATGAGAAAAAAGATCTGAAAGTTATGGCCATGTCGATGAAAGATTGAAATTTCAGTCCCACCTTTGCCGGATGACTGGTCTCGCTGGATCCCAAGGACCGTGAATCTCATTCTTGTACCTTTGTAGTCCTATCAGCCACCAACTGCAGATGCCTATGCATAAAAATGTAAAGCTGCATCCCAGTACTACGCCTGCGAGGAAAGCTACTCGGCCACCACCTGTCAAAGTGACGAACAAGCCGCCCCATGCAGCCATGGTCAGCAAGACAGTGAGGGCAAGATGGCTGGACCGGGAGTGGATGAGCAGTTGCCTACGAAATATGGGAAAGAGCCCGAAGATTTCGATTGAGAAGAGGGTCAGCGAGAAGACGTGCGTAGTAGATGGTAGCCTTGACGCAAGCACGGCGGATGCCATCATTGCAGAATTGGTAGACATGGAGGTTGGCAATCTACATGCTTGTGTTAGCTCTGTTTGCATAAGTAGCCAATACACCCTTACTGTGTGCCTGGACCACCACTGTAGTCAAAGAAAGCCACATTTATCAAGAGCAACCAAGTGCTCAAAGCCCAGATGGAATCACTTGTCGTGGATTGTGTTAGTGACTTCAGAATAGGGCTCAATCCCAGAAGAGCAGCATATATCAGTACAGCAGACTTAAGCGTGGCAAGGCGCTGTTGAATCCGCCGCGAAGATGTTGGTTGGTTTGGGCCATTCGCGCCAATCATGCTTGCATCTGCTGTGTTGGACGAGTGTGGCACTCCTTGTTGTCCCATCCAATAGTCCCACAACACCCAGGCTAGTAGACTGAATAAGCTTGCCCAGCCAACAATAGCCACAGGCGATACTCTTCCAGTGAAGATTGCGACGAAACAGCAACAGAAGATGATAACGGACGCAAGATGCTGCACGATAATGGTAGCGTCTGACATCAGCGACCAGAACTCGTATGGTTGCAGCCGCGGATTTCTTTGCAGATGGTCGAGAAATGTTGCCTCATCTGTATAATTGTCCGGAACTGTGATGGTCAAACGCATATTCTTGCTCCATGGTCATTGCCACTTACAAGGTTGTTTGAACCATAAAAGCTTCTTATAATGACCTGTGGAAGGGCTGTGACTGGCAGTCCGCGCTGCATTCCTTCGTCTGTAGTTGGACGTTGCGCGCATGTCGCATCAGGAACGTATAGTTAGACACGAGTGGGTATGCAAATTTAGGTCTGATCATTGACGAAGAGATCGGCGCGTCAATGTGCAGGAGCTTCATCACTTCATGCACTCTCAGACAGGGATGCAGGTCGCACAGTGGAAAGAGGCAGACATGTGTGCCAAGACTTAGCTAGCTATCCAGCTATCTCCGCGCTCCGCAATTACACCCGACCAGGGTAGTCACAACTTGTGTGAGGTATTAGAAGCGGTACGACAACCCTAAGCAATACTCTTATTTAATGTTCTCCAAGCAACAATGACTCGCCGCCACTTCGACACCGTGGCCCGTCCAGCCCTCACGGTGTAGCCCTTCTGTCTAAGCGTCCTTCCAATCTCCATGTAACTCTCTACAGCAACGCGGATGGGGCCGCGAGCTTCTACAGGCAGAGTTTCTATCGCCCCCCTTGCTCCGTCATATATTGAAAAGGCTTTCTCTAGCAGCCGCATGCGCAAGGATTCCATCCGTGCGCCCTCGGGACTAATAAGAACCTCGTCGTAGGTCAGACCGCTTTCCTGAAGCCAATCCAACGGTAGGTAAACGCGGCCAATGTGCGCGTCCACGGAGATGTCCCGAGCAATGTTGACGTATTGGAGCGCCATCCCCATCTGGTTCCCGGCATCTACAACTTTACGCTCCTCGCCGGAAGTCATGTTACTAGGATACAGGCGAAATATCAGCTCTATACACATCTGAGCCACGGTGCCGGCCACACGCTCCGAGTAGAGACGCAAATCAGTCTCTGTCTTGATTGGGGATGAGGTGTTGAAAGCAAGATCCATTTCGAAGCCATGCAGCAGATCTTGTAACGGCTGACGAGGCAATTTGTGGGCTGGCAGCTGGAGAAGCGCTGAGCGCGCGTCGGATGGAAAGTGAGCCTGTACGAAATCTTCAGAGACGGTGCTCGACTTTGCATCGCTATACACTAAGTCAAGATATTGGTGGAGCTTGGATATCCACTCTTTGGCTTCCTCCGCTGTAGCCGCGTTATCCACGAGGTCGTCTGCAACGCGGCAGAAGGAGTATAACAACAGAAGATCCGATCGCAATGGTCCTGGAAAGGTTGCAGAGGCCAGGTAAAAACTTCGACTCTTGCGCTTCAAGCGCAATACAGCATCCTGAAGGCCTGCCAGGCGTGCGCGATCATACTTGTATGGTGACACCCACAGAGCGTTTATCAAGTCGAGTGGCGTTGGCATGCTTGGGGGTTTGGGGAACAGGGCTGGAAATGTGTACAGCACGGCGAGAGCATTGTCAAAAGCCAATTGACCGAACACTATCAGCGTGTTTGTGACGAAGAAGAAAAGAGCCTCCTCAATCTCCAGACCGTCCCACAAGTGCACGCCGTACTTGGTGCCTGGACTTATGACCCATGTGCCTCTTCGCAAGGCCAGCGTATCCACGAGCCAAAGATACAAGGTGGGTATTGCGATGGGCAGGACGGTGTTGGTCCACGGGAGGCCGAGTATGAATTGGTAGGCAAGAGTCCTGCTGCCATGTTAGCGCTGCACCCTTTACATTCGTCAAGATGTCATACCATTGCAGCAGAATAATAGGTGCCGCCCAGACAACGATGAGCCCTGTGTAGGTGCCCTTGGCATTTTCGTGCACGCGCAGCCCGGCCCAGACGGTCGCCCCAACGAGAAACAATTGTCCAGCGAGCTTCTGATACTTCCACGGCGACGATGCGGTGGGGCGCCCGGCGCGCAGGTATGCGGGTTGAAACGTGGGCTTGCTGAGGATCAGATACAGCAACGTGGTGTTGTACGTCTGGATGAAGAAGAAGAAGACTTCCTCGAGAGGAATGTCAAGCAGCGTGGGGCCAATAACGACATGGTCCGGGTAACTCCATATGTTGGTGCGGATCAGATACGAGTCCCAAGGTATTGTTGCAGTGACGGCGACCTGGGAGATGCATCGTTAGAGCAGTAGCAGAACCACGGGCGCGGTGTGTTGACATACGGTCACCAGGAATAAGACCTTGAAGGCATCGAGCTTGGTGAAGAGCGGCCGGTACAGCAGGGTAAGCAGTACGGCGGGCGGTATGGTGTATTTGACATGGCTAGCCGAGGCGGGTCAGTATGCGGTACATGGAAGATGGAAGATGGGCAAATGCTGCATTCACGTACACAATTGCATAGTCAAAGCCCATAGTGACGACGGCGGAGGACTGATCTGATGTGCCCTGGGAGACGTGGACTCGGACAGCTCCGCGTCAATTCGAGGCCACCAGCGCAGAATTGCAAGCTAGACTGAGGCTGCTTAGTGCCAGGCACAGCTTTGGCAGAGAATGAGCCGGCCATGGCGGGCGTGTCGCAGCATCGTTGGGACGCGGTTGCCGGCGCGAAAGCTCACGTGCGACGCATGCGGCATAGTGCCGCCCGCAAGCTCCTCTTGACGTCACGACTTTCACCGTCCGATCTTCCCTGCACATGTCACGACCGTTCACGCGCTAAACTTAATGGATTTGACAAGGCTTCGGCACCGACGGCCTGGGCGACATTGCATCATGGTGCCCGCACTTTCACCCTGTCTTGACGCGCTATCAGGCCATGATCTGAGACGCGTTGCCTCTTCACATGCTCGTGCCTGTCAGGACTGTGCCTCTGACTAACATGGACTCCATAACCTGAACGCATCCATTATCAAGCCCCGGCACCAATTTCTTTGATACTGCGATCAATGCCACCCGAGTAACCATTCTACTATGCCTCCTTCAGGACGCAGAAGGCCGCAAAAGCCAAGCCATCCGTTCGTCGCCACTTTTCCAAATGCACAACAATACCTCTAACATCTTACAGCTACCTCGCAGGCAACTTTGCACCCGCAACGAAGTCATGGCCGCCAACACCCGTCACGTGGACCGGCGACATCCCCAAGGAGCTACTTGGGGGCATGTACGTTAGGAACGGCGGCAATCCAGCAACCAACTCGGATCTTGGTCGCGAAGCCCACTGGTTCGACGGCGACGGTATGCTCTCGGGAGTCTGGTTCGAGCGGTCGTCGAGCAGTCCCCAGCACGTTGTCCCGCACTTCGTGAACCAATACATCTTGACCGATGTGTACCTGGCGAGCGTCGAAAACAGTTCTCTTCAAACACCCATCCTACCCAGCATATCGACTCTTGTCAACCCAGCGTCCCGGCTTCTGTACATAATATGGAGGATTATGAGGACCGTCTTCATTGTCATTCTGTCGCACCTGTCTCGAACACAGACTGCTATCAAGAGGATTAGTGTTGCAAACACCAGCATCCTCTTCCACGATGGGCGCGCGTTGGCAACCTGTGAAAGCGGACCCCCGATGCGCGTCACTCTGCCCACGCTGGAAACAGTCGGCTGGTTCGACGGCAGCACAGCAGAAGGTGAATCCATGGACGAATCGCAGAAGAACGCCGAAGTATCAACAGTCACATTCGGCGGTTCAGGACCACTCAGTTGGATGAATGAATGGACAACTGGCCATCCCAAGATCGACCAGGAATCCGGCGCCATGATCCTCTTCCATTGCAACTTTGCACCCCCATACGTACACTATTCGTTAGTGCCTGCAAAGGACATTTCACAGTCGGGACCGCAACAGCAAATCATGAGCGCTCCTGTGCCAGGTTGTGCTGGTGGAAAGCTTATGCACGATTTTGGTGTATCTAAACTTTCCACTATAATACTCGACCTGCCACTGTCTCTCACGCCTCTGAACTTGCTAAAGAACAAACCCATTGTGCTGTACGAGCCAGAGAAAGCTTCAAGATTTGGCGTCTTTCCCCGAACCGACCCGGCAGCAGTGCGTTGGTTCGAGGCCGTAGGGTGCTGCATTTTCCATACAGCCAACACATGGGACGAATGCAATGCCGAGGGTACAGTCACTGCAGTCAATCTTCTCGCTTGCAGACTGACTTCGGCCTCACTTGTCTTCAGCGCCGCGAACATTGCACCGCCTCCCCATCCGAACCACAAGAAGGTGGAGAAATCGCGACGCATGTCGTTCTTCGCCAAATATGACGACGACCAGGCGCTTGAGGATCCGGAGAAGTCGCATGCAGATGAAACCTCGCCTTTACTCAGTCAAGAAGAGTCCCAAGGTTCTCGATCTACACCACCGATCCCAATGACACATGACGATGAAGAGCAGTGCCGCCTCTACTATTACCGCTTCGCCATGGATGTCAAGGATTCGAATGACGTTACCCACCAGTTTGCATTGGCTGCCATACCTTTCGAATTTCCCGTGGTATCTCCTCATACCGAGATGACCTACGCGCAGTACATCTACGGATGCAGCACAACGAACGAGTCATTCGGAGCTGCTTTAGGGAAAGCTACAAAGATCGACGTGATTGTGAGGATGGACGTAAAAGCCCTCCTTGCTCGCGCACAAGTCACACCACCTACACAGGTCACAGGGTGTGTCGATGACCGTAGCATCGATCAGATTCTGGCATCGACGGATCGCAACGATCCAATAAAGACTTTCAAATTACCACCGAATCACTTCGGCCAAGAGCCAAGATTCATCCCAAGGGAGCGGAGAAGCGGTGATGCCAATGTATCGGAACACGATGGCTATCTCGTCTTCTACGTCTTCAACGAGGATCAGCTCAACGAAATGGGAGATTGCAGAGCAGACGCGGTCAGCGAGTTGTGGGTGCTGGATGCCAAATCTATGAGCGACATTGTCTGCAAGATCAAGCTTCCTACGAGAGTGCCTTACGGCCTACATGGAAACTGGTTCAGCGAAGAACGCATCAAGCAACAACGAGCTGTTCAGTCGCTGAGAGCGATCAAAGACCCACAGCCCGCAAGTAAGTGGAGAAGTAAGCTGATCAGTTCGATGGGTTAGAAGATGGAATCCTTGTACATACACTTCCCCGCACATTACCCTGCACCGCTTTTCATAACACCAGGATTCGAAGATCGAGTTCTTGGCAGAATTAATCGTAATAACTGATCAACATCGGGCCTTTTCCAGCACATGCACATGTGATTGTGTATCGTGCTGACGTGCGACACTTGCGCATGCGATTTACGTACGGCCTTTGTGAGGAGTAAAAGTGGTAGGGGTATGTTGCTGACTAGAAGTCACCTCATGGTTAACTCATGCCGGGTGTAATGAAACTGCCAATGAAAGTATACAGCTAGTTCCCGAATAGTCTCCTCACATGCTCGCACGACGATCGTAGCATCGAAATCACTGGGACTTCTCCGGACATATCTCTGCCCACTTTGCCATCATGGATAATCATGGATAATGTCAGAATTTTTTCTGCATCCTCAACAATTACAACGTGACGTTGACGGGGCTGTCTTTTTACGTGAAACTACCGTAGGTGACGTAAATAAACTATGTGGATGCTGTCAAAGCAAGCTCTGAGGAGAAAGCTTAAATGAGTGGTGCACAGACCGGAAAAGTGCGGACACTACCTCGACCGGCATGGTGTGGGCATCATTACTTCATCGAATCGAAGAAATAGTGGCCGGGGACACCCGCCACAGGCCTTTTGTCGCCTTGTGATGCAGACTAATCCGGCCCACCGAGTCGCATCCGTCAACTCATTGGCTCTGGCAATAGACAATGCTTCCTACGATCGAGACTGGAGATCTTCAAACATTGGATCATCTGCGCGGACAACCTTGAGACATCACGCACTACTCGCCCGCACCAATCGCTGGAACCAGCCTGGTTCTGAACGTTAGATGTCGTCATGGAAGATAGTAGCTCTGGAGAATTCTCAGGCAGTATACAAGGCAAGCTTGCGCCCGGCCTTGCGGAATAAGAAGCATTCCTTGTACTCTGCACCCAAAGACATAACACTGGCTTTGAGCAATCGTGCCTGATACAATCGCAAACATGTCGTTGTTCAAGAGAGCTAACAACGCTATCAACGTTAACAGTATGTCCATCTTTGAAGGCGTAAAATGATGCATCACTAACATGAGTTGTAGCCAACACCGTCAACGGCCGTACCGCTGACATCGCCATCACCGACCATGGCTCAGACTTGTATTTTGCCATTTGCGCGGCCATGACCGTCTCTGGCTTCGTCTTTATCGGTCTGGGCATGCGCAAGCAGCGTCGCGACCGCATCTTCCACTACCTCACAGCCGCTGTCGTCTTCGTTGCCGCCATTGCCTACTTCACCATGGGTTCCAACCTCGGTTTCACTCCCATTGAAGTAGAGTTCAAGCGCAACAACCCAGTGGTTCGTGGAAACTACCGTTCTATCTACTATGTTCGCTACATCGATTGGGTCATCACCACCCCTTTGCTCCTGACCGACCTCATGCTCACCGCTGGAATGCCATGGCCTAGCATCCTGTGGACCATCATTGTTGATGAGATCATGATCATCACGGGTCTTGTCGGCGCACTCGTCACCTCCAAGTACAAGTGGGGATACTTCGCTTTCGGCAACCTTGCCCTCGTCTACATTATCTACCAGCTAGTCTGGGAGTCTCGCACGCACGCCAGGCACTTCGGTCGCGATGTCGAGCGTACATTCCTCATGTGTGGATCCTTGACTGCATTCTTGTGGATCTTGTACCCCGTTGCCTGGGGTGTTGCCGAGGGTGGCAACGTCATCTCGCCAGACTCTGAGGCCATTTTCTACAGCATCCTCGACTTTTTGGCCAAGCCTGTCTTCGGTGCTCTTCTTATCTGGGGACACAGGAACATCGACCCTGCTCGTCTTGGTCTTGCCATCAAGGACTACGACCATGACACTTCTGTCTCTGAGAAGCGCAAGCCCGTAAGTCATCACTGATGTCCTCAAGGCTACTCCCCAACTAACAATTCCATCAGGATGTTGCTCCCGGCACCACCGCTGCTCACAACCCCCCTCTCGATGGCCCCGCCAACGTTTAAGCCATTTTCTGACTGAAAAGCTGCACGCCTGCGTCACGCTGTCGTGTTGGATACCCCAGGCCACATGGTCCCGATTACTGGAATGTTTCGTAGAGCTTGGTCTCTTCCACATTCTCTCCACCTAATACCCCAGCGAATACCACTTTAGTTTCTACCGTAACCTAATAATGACATCACGTTCACTATACACCAATTGTGCTTCGATTCACCCAGTGACAAATTTTCAGCTGCTTCTTGCAAATCTTTACACTCTACATGTACTGAAACTTTTGAAATACATGGGTTCATGCAGGGCGAGAGCTGTTGTCTTTGCATGTTCAGATCTGCGTGTCGGTTACAGCACGCGTGACCGCTGTGCATGACAGCACATGTTTGTTGACCTTGATGAGCTAATGTAGCTCTCAGCCTAGCCCAATATGCCTCTCCTATGTCGATCAGTCATTTCGGCCACCTCCTCGGGTCAGTATTTGGTCATCGTACGATCATAACACCATGTACATCAGTCTAGGCAGTCCCAACAATTGCATATCCACAAGCAAGCACAACACAAGTTATGCATGACACGTAGATGCTACACGACATCCCATTGGGAATTGCCGCATCAATTTCTCTTGAGAGGCCTCGCAGTGGGCCAGTTCTAGCATCAAAAGCTGTCTGTTAACTGCAGTGTGCGACGCGTAGATATAGTATCCAGACAATGAATCAACATTACCCCTACCAGCCTCTCAATCCTATCTACAAAACCTTCTTACTCGCCACAAACAGCGCCATTGTCAAGAACAGCGCAAGCACCAGATACAGCAACTGCATGACAAGACTACTCTGCGGCACATCCAACGGACTAACATTGAATGCGCTCTTCTCCCCCGTCGACCGATCCTGCCGTGCTATTCTATCCTTGAGCCCCAGATGCCTAAGCACCTGATCCGTGACCAATTTCGCGCCAGCAAGCACAATCGGCACGCCCGTTCCAGGATGCGTACTCGCGCCGACAAAGTACAGGTCCTTGATGCTCGGATGCTTAGTCTTCGGCCTGAAGCTGAGTACGTTGAAGAAGCTGTGGCTCAGGCCTAGGATGGCGCCGCGGTCAAGGTTGAAGCTTGTGCGCCATGTGGGAGGCGTGTTGATGACCTCGTCGACGATGTGCGGGCCAAGTGAGATGTGCAGGCGCTTCTCAACGGTTTTGAGAATCGTTTCGCGTGCCGATGCGACCATGGTGTCCCAGTCCTGTGTGACGCCGGGCGTGTTGCCGGATCCTTTGTGCGTGTCGCTCTTGGAGTCGAAGAGGTGGCCTACGGGGACCAGCACAACGATGGAGTCACAGCCTTCTGGGGCGGCGGTTGGGTCGACGCGGGAGGGGACGTTGACGTAGAAACTGGGCTGCTCAGGGATCAGATGCTCCTTAAATATGCTGTCGAAGCTCTTTCCGTAGTCCTCTGCTAGGAAGATGTTGTGCGCGGTGAGTTCGGGGAATTGCTTGTCGAGTGCCCAGTAGAAGGATATGCTTGAACATGATGTTTCGCGCTTCGTTAATGATGTGCCGTATGATGTGATGGGCAGAAGGTTGTTGTATGCATATGTCAGGTCGGCGTTGCAGATGACGAGATCTGCACTGAGCGGTGCTCTTGAAGGATCCTCAAATGTGACGCCTGTCGCCCGCTTTCCATCTTCCGATAATGTGATCTGCTTTATTGGGGAGTTGAACTGGTAGTCGACGCCCAATCGCGAACCAATGTTGACCAGCGCTTCTACAACCTTGTGGAAACCGCCGAGGGGATACCAAATGCCTTCAGCCAACTCTGTGTACTGAAGCAAACTGTAGGTTCCCGGAGCATCGAATGGACTCATGCCCATGTACATGCTGGCGAACGTGAACACTCTCCTCAACCTCTCCGTACGGAAGTACATGCTGGTTCTTCTCCACACGCTCTCGAAAGGATGCAGAGTTTGAAGATATCGTAAGAAGTCGGGCCGTATCATGCTTGCGTATGAAAAGAAATTCCTCTTCAGCACATATATGATGGACAATTCGTAGTGCTTATGCGCCTCGCTCAGGTAACCAAGATAGCGGTCGAATCCTTCTTTTCCTTCGAAGCGCTCGATCTCACTCTTCATGGTTGCAATGTCGGTGGACATTTTGAACTTGGTGTCATCATGGAAATGGACGGTGTAGTTTGGTTCACATTTGACAAGATGTACACCTTCATCTTCCAGTGTGGTGCCTAGATCTTGAAACGTCTCATGGAACAACCGTGGAAGTAATAGTAGACTTGGACCTTGATCGAATCTCTGCGGATTGTTAGCAATTGGCGTGATATCGCGATCCAAGGGCACCTTTCGTACGTAGTTGTTGCGATGTATCAAACTGCATCTTCCACCCGAGAAGTCATTCTTCTCGATGACCGTGACTTTGCATCCCGCGGCGGCAAGTCGTGCAGCTGTTGCGACACCTCCAGCACCGGCGCCAACGATAATGACACTTGGATGGCTTGCGTCTGCTTTCTCGACGTATTCTCCCATCGCGAAATTAGTTCGTTGAAGCACAACGTTCCAGAGGCGATCAGCTTTGAACGCGTTGAGGCGCGCCAAGATTTAGCCTTCTGGCGTGTACATAGTCATGACGTCTACATGTCGATTGGTTCAGCGGAAACGGAACTACAGGAAAGCGAGTGAAGTCGGTGCGCGGAATTCCACCAAGTGCTTATTCTATCGAGCGACTCAAAATTATGTCGCAGATTCATAGACTAAATTGCGTCTGCGGATCACCTGTCGCGCTTCCAGCGTGGATCGGTTCTGCCGTTCGCACTAAGGCAGGTACCAGCATTGGGCGTGGCTAATCACATGACCGGAAATATGGCCATGCCAGCGCGGTTGGATGGTGGATGGAGTACTTACAGCTTACTCTTGGTCTCTCCGACTAGGCAGAGCGAATATTTGCTCAAGCTCCTCCAAGTTTCGATGCTACGTGGTCTGTCAGTGATCCTCACCTTGCATTGCCCGACATGACATCGCACTTGCAGCGGCATGCTTGTCGTATCCATGAATGAATACTGCCGGTTGGACGGTCTTGTGAGGGGGTTCAACATTGGCGTGTATGGCAATGAGAATCGGACCGTCTTCCTCTACGAATGTTGCTCATGAGGGTCATGCGCGCTGTTTAAACTCCAGGTACTTTCAAAGACCAGCTATCATGTTATGCACAAGCTGGGACAGGCTCAGTAGCTGATCAACTTGTTATAAAGTGCCGAGAAAGCCGAGAAGTTGTACAGCCCAGACTCTGATAGTGCCAGTTTAGACACAACCGATAATTGTGCCTAGTGCGCTTACGATCAGCATCGTGATGAGATTAGAGCTGAGGGTGATCTCTCGTTGGCTTGAAGCCGCTTGTTCATGTTTCCAAAAGTAGTTTTTATGTGTAAATCCTCGTTCTCATTACAGAATATTCGCTATTAAACTATGGTATCTAATGCTAGTCGTAGCTCCCTAGTGGAAGCATGCTCATGATGAAAAAATGGTCAACGTGTCGGTAGAGTTGTCGTATTTCGGATTGCACTTCTCAGTGAAGCCATCAAACATGTCGCCTCGGCTCTTGACAAAGTCCTCGAAGGCACTGCTTGAACAGCTCTCTCCTGGGCCATCGGCACACTCAAGAGGCTTGGGATCCTGGTTCACCAGTACTCTGTAGTATGTTCCGGCATCGTAACCGTAGCTGTCGCAAGCCATGCGCTCGATGGCAATGTTGGTCAAAAAGGGAAGGATTTTGGAGGACTTCCATTCTCTGCCGTGGTTGGGCTTGTCCAAAGGCATGGTCGCATTGATATTCTCGGCCAGAGAAGGTCCTGAGTTGTTGAAAATACCGAGCGTGACCATTACCGCTGGAGGGAGCTCGCGATGCGTGAACGAAACGTAGATATCTTGGTCCGACGAGTTCGATTGCAGGGTCGATGCGGATGCTGACAGCCACGGATATCCAAGGACACCAGAAATCTCGTTGCCGTATCCGGCGTTGTAGAAGTACATGATGTCGTTCATGTACTCGAAGTTCAGCCAATCGTTGGCGCTGAAGACGTCCAACGAGCAGAAGGGTGACGATCCACGAATGACAGTTTCGTATCCGCAAAGTTGTTGCCTAGGGAATGTCAGCGGGTTACCGGTAGATCGTGTTCTAGAGTTTACTTACATTCCTACAATATCGTCTGCGGTGAAGTTGAAAGCTGGGGCTTGGTCTTGTAGACGGGCAATAATGGGCTTTGTGTATACTGATTTAAATTCCTTGACGAGTTAGTACGTTACATTAGATGTCTTAGAGGTTTGAACATACCGAAGACTGGTTGCTACCATAAGACGAGCTGTACTTGGGACATCCCTTGTATGGCGTGAGAGAGTCAGCACCACGGGCAGCATCCTCTCGAACAGAAACACGTTCCGTCCCGTTGCTCTCAGCCACCAGGCCATCGATGAATGAGCCCGCAGACAGTTCGGTTCTCTCAGCTGTCGATGTCCACACCTTCTTGGGGGCCTTCAGGCCAGGGTATCGCAAGTGAACATCGACGCCCAGTTTGTACGCTTCCAGCTTGCCGATCATGGTCAGATCCTCAAGATCCTCCTCTTTGATGGGCGATTGCCATGTCGCCAAAAAGTCCAGGGACCCAGCGCGGCGCCAATCGGCCGTGGTGTTCTTCAACTTCTCAACGAATGGCTCGATAACTGATTCAAAATCAAAGTCGTTGCCGTACTTTTAATGATTAGATGTATCCATGAAAGATATGATGTATTGAACTTACTATCGCAGCGTGGCGGACGAGCATGGAGGCCCTCGTGACGTTGCATCCTTGGGGAGCCTTCGGGTCGAGAACTGGATCCTCAAAGTACGGCGCGATACCGGCAAGATGCTCCAAAGGATCAAACGCATAGGCAGCAGCAGCAGCATTAGGAAGAGCGACAGCGAGAAGACTTGAAGAGAACAACATTTTGAATAGCAGGCCTTGGGATGAAGCCGTACCTCCAAACCCAAGTGCGCGCCGCTCTCTTTTCAACAAACACCCCAGGTAGCGCAATATGTCATAGCAATGTGGAAAGCGTACCCAGATACAGGCTTGCGGCCACAAAAACCTAAGCACGGTACCTGAAAAATGACGACGCCACCGGGTACCGGCTCAAGCTTTCTTGGTCCTTGCAGCGAGGCTTGCGCCCAGTTCGGCAGGGCCAACGCTCCATCCGGTTGGTGATCAGCAGGCAATAGGAATCGGAAACCTTAGAGGGAAGTGTGTGGACGGTTTGGACTGGGGCTGAGCAGGCTTGACCTGCGTGGCCAGCACTTTTGCATCCTTTGATATGTCGATTCAGAGATTCCCATCACAGCAATAGCTGTGCGGGATTGTCGATTCAACTTAATTCTGGAAAAAATAAACATGTCGATCATGTGACGTCATCCCGCAGGGGCTGAGGTGTGAGGTGGCTACGACGCTAGTCATGTTGTAGAGAATAATCTTGTACCTGGTGAGCTGAGCAGATGAGCCGGAACACATGTGCAACATACAAGTGTATATGCAAACGTCTCTGTGTGCCTCCCGGAAGGACAATGAGCGTGGTAACCGAGCACTAGAACGAACGCGAGGTTCCCAGGATTGCATGGACCATAATATCGAACAGAAGAAAAGTGATAGATTCTATCGTGGTATACGCTATTAGGCTGCAGATAGGCCGTTGACATCTCCCAGAGATATCCAAACTAAGAAATAACCGTACGCCCCCGTCAGGCGCACCACCTTGCGACCAGGTCCCTGTGGCTTCGCTCAAAGAACAGTAGTCCTTCTCTGTAAGGTCTGTAACCTCAGCTCGAGGGCTTGGTAGTCGTTCTCCTTGCGATGCAACTCCTTTTGCAAGAATTCCTTGTCTGATCGGAGTGCTTGGAGCTTTCCGCCGACTGATTCCCGGTAGTTTGCGTGTTCTTCGAGTAAAGCCTCTACACGGTACCAGTCCATGCTGTTTCCGCTGCCTGTTGACATTGACCCAGATCGTGCTCGTGCTATTTCTGCGTCTTTGGCCTTCAGCTTGTTCTCCAGATCGGAGACTGTGGTTCTCCAGGCTTGGTGCGCCGTGAGACGATTCAAATCTTCTATGTTTGCGCCTCCCTTCAGTGTCTCAGACTTGGGAGACAAGGTCGGAGTTGCGCTTCTCAAGTTCAAGCGCGCGTTGCTCCAATGCAGCGGTCTTGGCTGCGACGAAAAGATCGGATGTGCCACGGCGCTCAAGGTAGCTGGCTGGTCGTCCTCGGCTGGGGCTGGTTCGGCCGCCCTGTGCTTGCAGACGCTCAAGCTCTCTTGTCTTCTCTGCTAGCTTGGCTCTTACAATGAGAACATTGTTCAGGTCTTCGTCGCGTAGTTTTGTCATGCCCTCGAGTTCGCGTCGAGCTTTGGCGAGCATTCCCTGATAGGATGTTAGCGAAAGTGTCATGGGATAAATGGGCTGACGTTACATACTCGAATCTTGATGTTGTTCTCCACATCCTCGTCCCTCAAAGCCCAGATCGCTTCGTGTCGTTTCGTCCAAGTCTTCTTCTCCTCTTCCAAAGCCTTCAAACGCTTCTGCATATCCTTGAACTCTTCCGGACTAACGGAGACGGCGGGATTTGACTGTTCCATGTAGATAAGTTTAGACATTAACGCGGCTAGTTGAGATTCGAGAGGTCCAGGAATGTGTGGTGCAGGGTTGGGTGCTCGTGGTTCCTCGTTTCGCAGATCTTTCCTTGGGAGCATGCTTGGTACTGGCTTGAGGTCCATGTACTCCTCCTCGCCATCCAATGTGGAAGAGCGTGAGCTGATATCATCCTCTTCCGGTAGCTCCCCCTCTGCCGCTAGCTCCCACTTGGTTTTCCGGCGGAAGACGGGCGCTGGCTGGTCATATTGTGGCTTCCGTAAGTTGAAGCTTCCCATGTCGTTGTTGACGTAGTTGGTCGATGATCTGTTGAGTCCAGTCGTTGACGGTGACCTCGATGAGAGAGGGGACGGTACTGATCCGATAGAGTTGATAGATGTTGTGCGTTGCGGTCGCGGTGCTGGACGGCTGCCTGCTACCCACATGTTTAGACAGTGTTGTAGGGAGACTGAACTTGATGACAGTTGTAGTTCTGGTTAGTCCCAGATGTGCGCTTTGAAATGCCAGCTGATGTGACGGGATCGAGGGTTTGGCGAGGTGGTGTGATCTGGAATTCTATAGCAAGTGCATGAAGCAGGCAACAAAAACATTTTAATACAGAATTCCTATCTTGGCATGCAGACCGTGCTGCATCTGCGGCTGTCCAACTGGGAGTCCTGAGAATATGGCCTGAAACGTCTATGAGACGTACGGGTCTACGGGTTTTGATTGTGCGACCAAGACCTGCAGACAGGAGCGCTGGCTCATCTGAATATCTATGTCAATAATGCATGACCCAGAGTTATGCACGCTGTGGTGCAGCATCGCCTAAGTGAGCATTGTCGCCCCTTTTGCCGATGAACAGCATTCACAGTTGCATTTGCACAGGGTAAGAAGAACGATACAGTCATCCGAAGCAGCTATACAAAGGAAGGTTACCCCATATCGAACATGTCAGGAAGAGTGGCAGAAGAAGTGTTGAACGGTGTTGCGGCGTGTCAGAGTGGTGATCAAACAGATGAAGTCGCGAACACGACTGTGCGTGGAGGACGCGACCAATAAGAAGAACCGACACCTACCCCTGTTCCCGTACCTCACAACTCCTGGCCTTGGGCCGCACATTTCGTGCCTCAGTCACGACTCTGGCGATTTTACCAAGGGCAAAGAAGGAAAAAAGTCACTGTGTGGGCTCTAGTCATTAGATGCCGAGCTTTCCGCCCCAGACATACTCGGTCTTGGGACTGGTAGCAGGAGGGTATTATCAACATCCTGTGCAGCATCGTGAATCGTTGTGCATCGCACGTATGGTCGATCAGGATGCCCATTCCATTGGTCTGTATACCTGCTTCAGAATTGGTTCCTGACTGCACATTTTAGATCTATGCGCCCATGTCATAGCGGTCCGATTCGTGCTTAACCGGCCGGTACACGAAGTAATCGAAATCTGCTTTCAGCTCTGTGCCGTTGATGTCCGAGGCAGCAACACCGACGAATGCTCCTGTAAAGCTACCGTGAGCTTGATGCCCTCCACACTCGTCGCTCAAAATCGATGCATCATAGACGCGACCAATATCCTTCAGTTCCTCGCCTTCAAGAGCGTACTTGAACTGGAGCGCTTTGCCGCGAATGCTGAGCGCCAGCTTGACTTTGCCTTCTTGCGGAATCTGAACTGGATCTGAGAGAGGGAAGCTAAGGCGGCCTTCAGGGTACGATGCTTCTGAGCTCATAATGAGCAACTCGCGCTTTCCATCAGCGTGGGCTGTCACGGTGAGGTAAAAGAAGTTATAGCGACAGTAATACGCTGTCAACCCGGCAAATTGCCTCTCATCGGTAGGAGAGAAAGTGACTGTCGTTTCCGCATCGTAGGAGAAGTGGGTTTGGCGTCGTGCAACCAGGGCTTGCTCGAACCAGGATCCAATGGCTTCACGAGCTGTGAGGTGGAGACCATCCTTGACTTCAAAGATCCGTTCTGGTTCTGGGGTACGGAGCCACTGGAAATCCTTGTGCAGTTCCGTGCCCTTGAAATCGTAGCGTTGCTCGGACCAGTATGCGGTGTCGTCACGCGCCCCGGGAAGTTCGACATCGAGTGAGGGCACAGGGCCGTTCTTGACGTATAGCCAGTCGTCATCACCCCAGTAGCATTCTTGGATCGAAGTTTCACGGCCAAGTACACATCGTCGGAACTGTGTCGTGGGGCGACCCATAAGATGTACGAGGTATGGTTTCCCATTTGGATCGTGGACTATATCTCCATGTCCGGCTCTTTGTAAAGGCGCAAGCGGGGCGTCTTTAGATGTGAGGATATACTTTTGCGGATGCAGCTCATACGGCCCCCAGATGTCTTTCGACCGGCACAACGTGCAAGCATGCTCATACGCAGTGCCACCTTCAGCGGTCAAAAGATAGTAGTAGCCGTTCCTCTTGTAAATATGAGGGCCTTCCACAAGGTCCAACTCCGTACCATGGAATATCGTCTTGACTGGGCCAACAAGCTTTCGTTCGGAAGCGCTGAACTCTTGAAGTCTGATACCCGCGAACGACTTGGGGCGGCGGCGGTGATCTTGCAGCATGTTCACGAACCACTTCTTACCATCATCATCATGGAAAAGAGACGGGTCGAAACCTGATGAGTTGGCGTAGATTGGGTCCGACCACGGGCCTTCGATCTTGTCCGCATGAACAATGTAGTTTGGTGTGTCTTTGAAAGAGCCGTCCTTGCGCTTGACATCGGTGTAGACCAGCCAGAACTTCTCACCGTCGTGAGTTAGACAAGGAGCCCATACACCTGATCGTTATTGATAAGCAACCATCTCAGATGAAATAAGAGTGATACTAACCACAGCTGTCAGGATCACCTCGCATGTCAAGTTGACTCTTCCTGCTCAAGGGTCGGCAGACGAGGTCCCAGTTCGCCAGATCTTTCGAATGCCATATCTGAACACCAGGGAACCATTCAAAAGTCGAATTGGCAATGTAGTACTAGTTGAGAAAAAACATCAGTATGATGACCAACGGTGCAACAAACTCTTGCAATAACTTCAAGAACAAGACTGATCAAAAAACATATACGCACTACCAACCATTAGCACAATACGAACATCAAAGCATACTTTAGCAATGCTTACCATCTTCACCAACACGGACAATGGCCGGGTCCGCATTGAACCCAGGCAAGATTGGATTGCGTACTTGCGGCATGTTTAAGAAAGACGATGTTAGTCTGTTGAAAATGAATGCAGAGTGTCACGAAGGTAAGTCATTATAGCTATAAACACTCGGTTAAAGTACGAGCGAGAATACTCAATTTAGCCGTTGGCGGGATCCCTATGCCGCGCGCCAATTGTTCAAAGCAGCGTGTGCGAGTGACGAAAGTTGTGCTGTAGACAGATGCGGGGCACGCGGGGTTCAATTCTGACCTTCTGCATATGTAGCTACGGCAGGCAATCCCCCCCCCCCCCATTGTCATACATTGAGCCCTCCAAAAGGTCAAGCTGTTTTGCATCTCCAGACTGTGCATCTCAGTACTCACGAGGCATTTTGGATTCGGCCCTCTTTTCCCACCCGCGTCACGACGCCAGACTAGGGACTGATTCTACCGGGCGGCCTTACTTGGCAACAATGACTCTCTCCACAGTATCGTGGTCTCGACGTTGAGTCGTTAGCTTGGTATGCAAGCCGCCGGTGCATTGCATTCCCGACGTGCAGCCGTTGGTGAGGTAATCCGAAGACTGTTGATGTATCAACAAACGATGCAACCATGAAAATGGAAGGCCTGCCATCATAGCTCAGGACAATCAACCTCAACTTACCATTTGCAAGCTCTGTGACTTCTTCTCCAGTAATCTTGCTTTCCACTATATATTGATGATGAGTCGCATCGATTCATGTCAGAACGATGCTTATTATGGTACACATGAAATCAGATCACACGCAACCTGTCATCACATCACCTCCCAAAAAATCCCCATTTCAAACATTACTTCCATATTTGAAAGGACCATAGACTTCAAGTAACCAACCGATCCACCCCCAACCCCGCATACACCAACGCCTTCACCACCTGCCCCATCCCCACCTCCCTAACCTCCTGCCTACTCCTCCTCACCTTCTCCCACAAATTCGGCAAACTGTCTGCCATCCACTTGCTCCGCAATACTTCATACCTCTCCTTATCATAGATCCGCCAAAACTCCTCCTCGCTGTAATAATTACACGCATACAACCACTTCAGCCCCCCAACCCGCGCAACCTTAGCCTCAATATCGCGGTTGGTCTTGATGAATTGGTCATATGTTTCCGCGCGCAGAAAATCCGCGCCGTAATTCGGACTCCCCCAGACTCCTACGTTGACCAGCGCGGTCGTGAAATCCGTGCACGTAGATGCAGTGTGCATCAACGCCCTGGGGTCCTGCTTAATCGGACACAACCACAGTGGGTAGATTTTCAATTCGTCTTCAAGATACTGCACAAATCCGTCTGCGCGCTGTGCCGGAATAGCCAGGTCCTGGATAATGTGTGGCGTCCCGCCGACGAGGTGGAGTACGCGGTACTGGAATCGTGTGTGCCACAGCGGATCGAAGACGGTGCGGGTGAGGCGGTTCCACAGCTTGGGCGCCCAGCCGTAGCACGCCATCCAGAAGACGCCGCGCTCGTAGCGGAAGATGAAGTCGGCGACGGGCACTAGTTCGGTGGTTGTGGTGCTGGTTTGCCGGTAGGTGCGTGATTTGCTCGTCCAGTGGCAGGTGAGGCATTGGTAGGTGCCCGAGGCAGGTTGGCAGCGTATTTTGGAGTGTGCGTGTGCGAAGAACCAGGGGTCGCGCGCGCGGGTGAAGCGGACGATGGGGATGGGTTTGATGGTGCTTTCGGTGACGAGGCGGCCTTCTACGACGACCCCGTGGCGGCTGGAAAACATGAGGCCGTCGATGAAGTCGACGTCTGGGCCTACATTTGCGAAGAGCGCGAGGGCTTCGGTGTGGGATGAGACGGGGATGTAGGTGACTTTGACGTACTCGCCGCAGTCAACGAGCTGGACTTCAAGTTGGGTCGTGATACCCAGCGTTCCTAGTGATCCAGCGCTGCCGAAGAAGAGGTCTGCATTCTCCTTGGGCGATGCGTGGACAATGTCCCCATTCCCGAGCACCATTCCCACGCTGTTGACGGTCCTATCAAAGTACCCGTAGCGGAAGGACGAGCTCTCGGCAGCAGTACCAGCGAACGCGCCTCCGGCTGTAATACCAGGGAATTCGGGAACCACAGCTGGCATAAGATTGTAGGGAAGCAAGTGTTTGACCAGCTCGTCCATGGCAATACCCGGCTCCACTAGAGCGGTCTTCTTCGTCTTGTCCACGTATATGATGTGCTTGAGTCCCGAGATGTCAACAATCTCTTGTCGAGCCGCTGCTCTGGTAGAATTGGAGGATCCATGGAAGATTCGGAAAGGTACCTTCTTCTCATAGAAATTCCTGACAGACCGAGATACTGTTGCCACTCGATCCGCATGAGCTCTTGCGGCGATGGTGCTGTTCGACATTGCTAGAGATAATTTGACCTGGGGCTTTTCTTTGGGACTTTTAGCGAGACACAACGTGCACACGTCCAACACGCCATGTCCCCAGCAACATCTTGGAACAAAATATGTATACCTGAAGAACAATATTAAGCCGAGATAGTGTTCCGATAGATTGTTCACCATTGCATCCGATTGTATTTGGATTGAGCTAGGCCTAATGATGAAGTGCTGGCTGCTTGCGGGAACAATGTACCAACAGCACAAAGGACCCAACAGTGATTCCATTGCAAGGTGTACGCGAGCCTTTTAAGTTAGCTGGGTGGATGTTGCGTGCATGATTGCAAGTCGTGCAGACACGCAATTATTAGGTCTGAGTGCTGTCAGAATAACATCTAACAGCGAAAGGATCACAAGTAACGAGAATTAGGTGAATTATGTGAGTTGTTCGTGTCATCTACATGTTATCGATGCGCTTTCACTCTTCGTTTTCAGCCTCGTTTTCATGCTGGTCTTCTGCATCGTGTTGTGCCTGTGAATCGTTGCGCTCTTCGGTGTGTTCGCTCGGCGACGCAACAACACCTGCTGGTGGTACAAAAGTCTCGCCATCTTCGGTGTCCAGTTGCATCAAAAAGGTTTCCCAGATCTCGATCAGCTAGAGGCAGTGTTAGCAGGGTCATCTTGCATCGAGCCTCAAAACATACCTCTTTCTGCGCTTCCACCGCGCTTTCCAGGTAAGTCTCCACACCTGACTTGAAGTCTTCTACCTTCTCTTTCTCGAAACGTTCCAGTTCACTGCGCATCAGCCGTCCCATGTCGTCGAACAACAGTCTTGCTTGATGGACCCGTCGCTCGGCATCTGCCACGTCGGCGCTTAGCTGATTGAGGCGATCTTGTTGCGACCTCCCTTGTCTGAGAAGTTTGTCCTGTGTCGCCTTGCGCTTCTGAAGCTCCTGCTCGGCAGTGTGCCATGAGTGGTATGACTTTTGCCGTTGCTGGAATGCTGTCTTGACCGATCCTATCAGGCGAATGTATTCGTCAATGACGATACCCATTGTGAGCACATCTTGCTGCGCTTGGCGTTCGTAAAGTTCACGGATACGGATCTGGATGTCGGACAGGCTGTCGAGAGGGCCGGAAAGGGAAGGCGACAATTCAACGGCAGACAGCGAGTGCAAGGAAGCGGAGAAGTCACCGCAGGCCTCAGCAAGCCCTTTGCGCTGTCCTACAACGGTATCAGTCGCTTTGAGCAGGGCCTTCAGCTGCGTCTCAAGAGCATCTAGGTAAATGCGACGGTCGTGGAACCACTACATTGCGTTAGCGGTTGTCTGCTGCAGAGAAAGGGGAAGCGCACATCATCATGTTCGACAAATTTACCGCTGCTGCCAGAGAGCATAGAGCCGAACATGCCCTTGCTCTCGCCCAGGCCAACGTCCTTGCGCTCTTTGTTCTTGACATCGACATTGAACGCCTCGCTCTCCAGGAAGAGCTTCAAATCGCTGTCATGCTGCAATATGGGGTGCGCCGCTGATTTGTTGAGCATGCGCTCCAATGCAGCCCGCCTGGACTCGACGAAGTCGGCTTCGAAGCGACCTACAGCCTGCTTCTCGGGCGGAGGGGGGATGATGACACCAGGATTGTTGTTGTGGAGCTGAGTGTATAGCCACAGGAAGTCACGATAGCGGCGCGAGACGGTGAATTCAGGATTGCGGTAGCCCTTGGAAGTCGTCTTGGTCGTGACCGAGTACTCCGTGTGCGAGCTCGTGAGGTCGCCCACCTTGTGCGGGTCGCCGACGTAGATGGAAAAGGACGGCTTCGCGGCCTGCTCGACGCTCACGCTGGGCTGTGTCTGGCGCTGCGGTGCATTGCTCGAAGGCGCCTGCACAGGCGGTGGCACTCGGGCACCCTGGGCACGCGACTGTTCGGCGTCGTCATCGTCGAGGTTCACCGAGTCCATCAGACCGCGCAAGGATGACGCGGAGGCATCGGGCGCGGGACGGGTGTTGCGCGACGCAGCAGACTCTTTCTGGGGCGGAGCAGGAGGACTGTTTTCGGCTGCTGTGGGCGGCGTAGCAGCTCCCAAGGGGCCTAATGGGTCGTCCACGGCCTCGAGTTTGGTGGACTGAACGCCATATTGCCGTCGTCGCGGGCCGCGGCCAGCCGGAGAGCGGGGAGCAGCAGAAGCGCTGGGCGTCGAAGCAGTATTGTTTGTTGTCGAGGAAGCGTTCGTCTCCGTATCCTGGTTGTCGGTCGGTGCTAATGTGGCAGCCTTCTGAGATGGGCTCGACTGTGAGGGCACGTCTGCTTGCAGGTTAGCAGTCTGCGGAGGACATGATCGTGATCGCATGAATATTACCTCCCCAAGGAGAGCTCCCTTCATCTCCCAAATCCATTGGCACGGTTTACAGTAAGAGAGATAGTTGTTGGTGGTTGGCAAGTGGAAGCGGCATGCTATGGCATACGACCTCTTGGCGAACCGCCTGGAGCTCCGTCATCCCATCCTTCCTCAACGTCAATCCTCAGCACCACCACGTCCACAACTACATCATTGGACCCAACGTCATGAATTGCGAGCTCTCGAAATACACGCCTTTGAGAACGTTTCGCAGTCTTTGCATGACTGCTAGTGGTCTTTTCCTTCGACTGATGTTCATTCTTACTAGCTATCAGCTATAGAGGTATTGAACGTGCATGTGCATATACTGTAGCATATCGCAACCCCACCACTTCATCGCTCTACAAGCTGGAACTTCCGACCGAAGCTTTCCCATGTTCGCACGTATAGCAAACCTTCCCATCCTCCGAGTCCAGCCGCATGACACCCATGGTGAGTCCCATGCGCTTGCCTAGATGCACCACCCAGCTTTCGACAAACACTTTCGCGCCTTCAGGAGCAGGGCGCAGGTAAACACAGTTGACTTGGAAGATGATTAGCCAAATTCAGAGAACGAGTGACTTTGTCATTGGTTCCTCCGGGAAGGCAAACTTACTGCACATGTGTTAGAATAAGATGATTTGAAGGTGGAGAAGAGTAGGTGAGCTTACCGGTTTCTAGATACATGTCCAGTATCCCAGAATCCATCCTTACTACAAGCAGTAATGGCCGTGGAGGTGGTGATGTCGAAGATAAGAGCTACTGCTCCTCCATGTAGGTTTCCGCCCATGTCTAGAGATGTCAGCGTAGTCGCATCGTGTAGCAGCAGAGACTACATACTGCATAGCTGCCTCGGGACAGTGAAGCTGTAGACCGTGCGAGAATTGTGGGGATTGCTCCTATCCATATGAGCACAGTATGGCAATATAGCAGTGCATCCAGCTTACTTGGTCGGCTCATAAGTGACTGATTCGAGCTTCAGCGTCTTTGCTATTATAGCATCGTGACCCTAAACACAATTTAGAGGAACCATCTTCATATCTCATTGACCCAAACATACATCATAGCCCTCTTCGTTCGCAATGTCAAACTAATACCTTCTTAGCCATCATCCTTGTTGCACGCACATGTCGACATAGTTACCCACCCATGCCTTGACCTTGTCAAACACCGGTAAATCCTCGTCCTTGACCATCGCTGCGAACTTCTGATGGCGACTGCTCAAGGCACCTTTAGAAGACATGGTCAACGACAAAAAAGCTGCGTCGGATGCTCAGGAAGAAACAATGCGCTCATCAGTACAACTTAGTAACCCTGCGCGTATCCTACCTCGGCTGCATCTCCACGCGGCTACGTCTCCTGCCCGCCAGGGTCCCAACGCCGAATCCACATGCACGCGCTAAACTTTTTATCGGGCCTACACCAAACCACCTGAAGATCTCCGTCATATGTCGAACCAAAACACCACCTGGGCAAACCTACACCAAATAATATCGCAATCGCACAAACAATGGCGACGTTCCGCCAACTCCTCTGCTTCCCAGCATCCACCCGCACCGCGCTCCTCACCCCCCAATCCCACACGCGAACATACACCCTCCTCGCCCAACACCCGCGCTACATATCCCTCCCGCGCGTCCTGCAACCGAGTTTCTGGTCGTCCATGATTCCGAAGCCTTTTAAATCCTCCTCGTCCTCATCCTCATCGTCCACACAATCCAAGGAATGGAATCCCGCAACGCCGTACATAATCCTCGGATTGCTGGTCGGCAGCCAAGCGATCCAGATCCTGTGGCTGAAGCAAGACCAAGGGCATAGTTTACGGAAGGCGGAGGCGAAGATTGGGTTGCTGAGGGAGGTGGTGCAGAGGGTGCAGAGGGGCGAGGATGTCGATGTTGAGGGGGGGTTGGGGACGGGGGACGAGGGGAGGGAGGGGGAGTGGGCGGAGAGTAAGTTATTCTTTGATGTGAGGGCGAGGGAGGGTGACAATGGCTGACTAGTTGGTGTAGTTTTGAAGGATATGGAGAATGAAGAGGTGCTGTTTCAGAGTAAGAAGAAGAGGGCGGCGCTGAGGAAGGCGGCGGAGGAAGAGGCGGCGCGAGAGGAGAAGGATGGGGAAGAGAAGACGGTCAGCATGATGGAGGAAGGGAAGGTCAAGGTGGAAAGCGTGAATGGAGTGAGGTTTTACTGAAATGGGAACGCCTGGAGAAGCTGTGCGAGGCAGTTAAAAAAAGAGAAGAACAGCATCATCACCAAGGAAGCAAAGGTCAAGATGAGAAGCGTTGATGTTGTATGTTGTAATTGGAGCTACCAATGCTCAGACAGGAGGGTTACCTAGTAAAAGGTATGCTCGACCTGTCTAAAGGACGATTGACGCGACGTATCGCAAACCACTCATCCATGAGCAAAAAAGCGAAGCTCTCGCGAAATGCAAAAGAAAAATCAACTGTACAATCTCCGACGAGACGACCACCATAGACCACGATGCAACGCTCACATACGTGCCGCCTCAGCCTTGGCCTTGGCCGTATCTCTGTGCACCTTCTGACTCGCCTTGACACGCTCCCTGTTGCGCACCCTCTCGTCCTCTTCTTCCTGTTCAACCTGCTTCTCCAGCTCGGCCACCTGCTCCTCAGTGACAGGGCGTCCTTGCTCTTTCTCGAGAACCTTCTTCACGAATGCCAAACGAATTCCGCGCTTGTTGTTACCGGCGTTGTTGGACTCCTTGGTGGCCTTCCTACAAGCCGGGTTGTCAACGACGAGTGCCAGCGTGACACCACCCCTTAGACAGTCGTCTACGACAGCCTTGCTAGTCCTCAACAAGTCGCAGACCATCGCCAGGCGCGTCTCGACGCTCTGCATGGCCTTGTCCAAAAGCTTGCCACGCACAGTCTTCTTATGGTAGGTTGAAAGACGGTTCCAGCCACGATCGTGGACAGCGACGGTGGCGTCGAAGATGTTATGGGCGACAGCTTCGAGATCCTGAGAGTCCCAGAAAGGCTCATCTTCAAAGCGCCTACGGTTGGTAGACGTCGGCCCGTCGATCATGTTAGAGATATCGATCATGGCATCGTAAATCTTTGTGGACCAGTAGTGACCTGTCCTACTTTGTTAGTTGCATGCGTGATATGGGAGGGGAGGTGGGGCGACACTTACGACCATATTTCTTGACGCGCACGATGTCCAGCAGCTGCTTTGGGGGTGAATCGTGATGCGCTTGCGAAAGCGAACGAGCTTGGCCACCA